TGGTCCCGGCGTTTCGTGCGCCTCCGTCGAGCGCTGCGCGCGCGCGCGGGCACGCACTGATCCACGCGGCGCGACTTGGACTCGCTCGGAGCCGTGCGCTGCCACGACGACGACGACGACGACGACGACGACGACAACGCGACGGGGTTTGACGCGGTCCACTCCTCCTCCTCCCAGCGTGCGCGGGTGCGGTGCGTGCGTCTTTGCCTGCATGCGTCTTTGCAGGTCTTTGCGTGCATCGTGCATCGTTCACGTTCAGCTGCAGCCAGCGAGGGCGGCCTTCCCGCCCGTTCCTGTCCGCCGCACGCCGCACGCACGCCGAGACCCGGACCCGCGCGGGCCCCGCTGCGGGCGACGGTGAAGCGATCGAGCAGCGCGGGCGGGCGTCCTGACGATCGGGCGGGGCGGGGGGCGGAGCGCCCGGTGGTTGAGGTCTGAGCGCCGAGCGCCCTTTGGCGTTCGCGGTTTTCGAGGCGTGCGGGCCCGGGATGGAAGGCGGGGGCGTCGCCGGTCGGGCGGGCGGCGCGAGAGATGCGGATGGCGGGATGCAGATAGCTATACTAGGTTGGATGTGCGCACTAAAAAGGTGCGCCGCGCGCGCGCGCGCGCTTTCTCCAAGTCTCGGTCTCGGTCTCAGGCGGGCGGGGGCTCGGGCTCGGGTTTGGAGCGCGGTGGGAGGACCGGAGTGTTAAGTATAAGTATCAGGTGCCTGGCACATGAAAGCAGCTGACGGTCGAGTCCGCACGGAGCCGTTGCACCAGACGAGCCGTCTGGCAAAAAATCATCGACGTGCTCGCGCGCGATGGGCACGAAGATCCTATGTAGGGCTCGGCGGAGCGGGCGAGGATCCGCCGCCGTGCGATCGATTGTGCACCGTGGATCCATCGCTGGTGGCCATTCAGAAAGACGAGTTCGCAGATCGCACGTACGGCCGACCGAACGTTCGAACGCACGGCCCTCCGCCAGTCGCGCCGCGCCCTCCGAGATCGCCGCCCCGCACATGGGCCGCGCTGCCCTCCAGGGCGGGCGGCGCAGAGGGGGCCTCGAACCGGCCGCCGCTTCCACAGGTCGATCGGGGGGCGCGCGGGGCGCGGACCCAGGGCGGGGCGGGCACTCGCCCGATGCGGGTCCGGCGAGCGGGTGGGCCGGCGTCTTAAGTCCGTAGTTGAAGGCGATTGGTGGAGACCGTACGCAGTTTCGCTGGTGAACTTTACAAAGTTAGACGGCGGCGGCGCACCAGTATTGCAAACTACGGTTTCTAGTACAGAGCTTCTACGCCGCAGGTTCAAACTTCGCGTCGTACGGTCTCGACCGCGCGTTCGGCTTTGGCGTCCGCGCCACGTGGGGTCGTCGGGCCCGCGATGGGTGATGTTGACGGCGGGCACGAGTACTTGGCCAGGACGGGCGAGCGAACGCGACCGGGAGCAGACACTTGAACGATCGAGTGCGTCCGGAGGTTGGGATCAGCGGGGGTGCGTGCGCGACTGGCCCGACCGCCGAGCGACCACGCTGCGCCCTCGTTATTAACCAAGGGCGAAGAGACTAAAAGCCTGAAGCTGAAGAGCCACACCGTCATCGGACTCAAGAAGTGCGCGCCAGGACTCGCCAGTCGCAACAAATGCGACCCTTGAACGCACGAAAAGTAGGCCACCGGACTAGACCGGACCGCCCGCCCCCGGTGGGCCTGGTGATGGTATGCGCCGTTTGGAGGCCCGCTCAAGGGCGGGGGTGGTGGCGGGTTCAACGTTGTATCCCGCGCGCTAAGTGCTCGAAAGCGCCAGGGCGGAGGTTCAAAGATCTCGGACCCGCTGCGCAGTTTATCGCCGCTCGTGGGGTTTAAAGATCTCAGACCATGCGGCCGAGACAGACGCGAGTGGGCGAGCGGTTTGGGGGTGGCCCGTGAGCGCGGATGCGCGGATGAGAGGCTAAAAAGCTAGCATCGGCGAACGGTGGGCGTGCATCAGCCCCAGAGGGCGCTGGTTGGCTGGGGCACCCAGGGGGCCAATGGTGGGCGAAGAGCGTGAACTGGTCTTCCGACGGGAATCCGTGCGCGAGGGCTTGTCGGGTAGACGATTCTTCGTGGGGGGGTTGAGGCGAGGAGGCTGCTTACGTACTCGGAGGACGGTCTGGACAAGTACTGGGGCGGGGGCGGCGCTGGGGCGAATGCGGGAAAGAACCACGGACGTCGGGCAACAGAGTTCATGGAACAGTCGAGAGGGGCGAGCGGAGTTGGGCGTTGAGTAGAGCGGGATGCCACGCACGGAGGTGTGACGTCACCATATGTAGGGCGACGGCGGACGTACCACATGGATTCTCATCGACCCTTCCGCTCGACAGTCCTGCGCACACGCTTGAGCTTGCGCACTGGGGGCTGGGGCCTCGACCAGTCGACGCGTTGACGTGTACATGCTCAATGTTGTCTTCGCGCGCCCTCCGCCGTCCACCAGCGCGAGGGGCCTCGTCTGGCCATGGGCTCTGGCACCGATCGCGAGCGCGGCGTTCTGTCCATGCGTGCCTCTCGTATTTACGTTTCCAAACGCGATTCGCAGCCACCGCGCCCGCGCGTGCCAGGCCCGTTAACCACGACAGACGCGCAGCGAGGACCCCACATACGCCTCGTCGGCTTGTGCGTGCGTGCGCTTGGAAGGCGCCTTGGGTTCGCGCGCGACAGGCGTCCGATCCTTTCGTGCACCGCGTGGGCTCGCATGCGCGACCCACACCCGCACGGAGGTCCAGTGTGTCAGCGTGCGTCATGGATGACTAGTGACTCCTTGCATAGCGTGGACCGCTGCGGGGGTGGCTGCGTCCGCTGTGGGTCCGAGCGCGCAGGCGAGTGCGGATGGCCGACCGACCGGGGGCCCGCGCGGCGCGGACACGGGCCAGCTTGGTGCAGCGCGAGATGACTCGGCGGTGGCGCAGGAGGTGCGCGTGCGGGATAAGTCCCAGTCGAGCCAAGCTGGACCGAAGCTCAAGCTCGCGCTCGCGCCCAAACTCTGCGCACGGACGCTGAGGACAAGTCCTCGTGCGCCGCGCGTGGACGTATCCCACAGGCGCATCGCCCGAGCCTGCAGCCTCGGTGCTTTGTCCGGATGCCGCAGACGGCTACAGCGTGTCTGCGCGGAACAACAGGCGTCCTCGTATGCGCGGGCTCGAGCTCGACGGCCTGCGCGCACGGCGTTGTTCGCCGCCGCGATCGTCTGAGCAGGCTCTGAGTCTTTGCACCGCGCTGCACTGGGGCGCGTACTGCCCCGCCGGACTCCGACGAGGCTGCACGCCGCGAGCCTCGTGTCGTCCGAGGGCGGGGGCTGTGCAGGCTAGGCTGGTTGCGAGTGGTAGCAGGACTGCTCGGTGGGCACGCGCAGCCCGGCAGATCGGCGCGCGCTGTAGCAGCAAGCAATGCGGCAGTGGGCTGCGAGGAAGGCGAGGCGAGCCACCGAAGCAGCGAGGGGGCCCCACGGGGACGAGTCGTATCCGGAAAGCGGACACCTGCGCTGCTTCGCTGCGTCCGTCGGCGGCTGCTGGCACGCCGCGAGTGCGCCCCGTGGATGGCCTAGGGGCACCCCGCGGCGCTTGTAGGTTCGTCGAATCGATCTCCGGCCGGGTATGGGTGCGCACGCACATGAGTGGCAGGCAGGTCGGCGGTGCGGCGTACACGGATTCGGAGGGTGGAGGACCGTTGCTAGTGCCCACGTGCCGACCGTCCCTTCGTTCGTGTGTCGAGGATCCGAGGGGCGATCTGGGGGCGCATCGGGATGTGGGGGACGTGCGGCCTCATTCGGGCGGGCGACTGGGAGAAGACCCGGAATTGGACACGGGTGGGTGGCACGGTGCAAGGAAGCCGGAGCTTGCGTGTGCAGATCCCAGCGCAGCGCGGGCCCACCTCTCGTCAGGTGAGCGGCTGGGCCGAGGGAGGATCGATGTGCGCGATGGACGAGCGGCGGACGAGGCGCGCTTCGCCCGATCGGGCAGGCGGGCGGCTGTCCGTGCGAGGAAGGTCGTCCACATGAACGTGCGCGCGTCTCCGACCAAGTCCACATTCGAACCTAACGGGCCTCCCGGGCGCACGCCAGCTGACGCGGACCTCGACGGCGTCGAACCATCTCATCTCCCATCGCCCATGTCGTCCCACGCCATCCCTCCGCGATCGGGCGTCGCGCCTCGTACGTGTACGTCTGGTGCGTTTCGTGCTCGCCTCCCCCGACGCTGATTCGCTCCCCCACAGCGCGCGCACTCCGTTCCACGCGTAATTACGCGGTCGGGCGACGCTCTGGCCGTTGTCTGGCCTTTACGGCAGGGACGGGGACCCCCACGGGGCTCGCCAGGGACGCGGGGGCTTACCCCGCATTTCGAAGCCCTCGATCCCGAATCTGCCCGCTTCTTCTTCCCCAAGCCCCCGACTCGCCTCGCCTGCCGCCGTGGGCTCCGTTGGCTGGTTAGATTGAACTCGGCCGCCCTGGCGCGCCTGCCCGCTTTGGGCACGGGGCGGCCTCTTGCCTCTGCTCCCGCGACCACCGCACGCCAGTGTCGGTCTTCTGAGTCCCTCCGACGAAAGTACCTGCTACTCCTGTCCGTCTTCGGTGGCCAGGCCGTCCGTCTGGGCAGCGTCGGGCGCCGGTGGGGTTGCCACTTTCTTGCTCACCACCCTCGTCCCAGTATCCTTCTAGGCTCTTTGCCCTCGCACCCCACTTTGCGCTCCCACCTTGCTTGCTCTGCTGCGTGATAGATTCGGACGTTTGAACATTGAACCGGTGAGCCAGACGCTTCAGCTAGCTTGTCGTGCCGTAGCTTGCTTTGGACGCTCGCTGATGCGTTTGAACTTTGGGCCAGCCATTCAGTCGCTGTGCCCGCACCGTCGCCACCCGCGAACGCGAACTGTCGCAGCTGTCGATGCCGCCGGCCGCCGCCGCGGCGCGCAGCCTGGGCCAGCGAGCGGGCGAGCTCGGGCGGAAGACCCTCGGAGCGGTCGCGGGTCCCCCCGTGGGCTGACAGGCCCGGACGCCATGTGCCCGGCTCGGGCTTTTCGCGACAAGGTTCTGCTCGACGTTAGGTACGACGACGACGACGACGTCCTCGTCCACAAGCTCGTGTGGAGCATGTCCTTCCGCACGTCAAGCTTCAAGCGCGGTCGCACGCAGACACATCTATTTACCTGCCAGCTGCAGGTTCTGTGCCTCTCCGAGATCCCGCGATGCTGACCGTGGACCAGGCGACGTCCTCGGCGTTCGCGACACGCTGCGGAGTGCGCGCGGTGCCCCAAGTTCGGACTCCGCGGGACCATTCGTGCCCCTGTGACCCCGCGAGCCGTCGCGCATTGCATCCGACGGCCGTCTACGCCCGCCCGCACCGCTTGTGCATCAAGTACTGAACGCCTCGGCTCAGAGGCTCTGCCGAAGCACTCCCAGGCCGACTCCCATCGAAGCTTAAAGCAACTCGGCAAGTGCGCATGCAGCCCGAGCTTCGCCTGGTGGATGGACATGGACGGGACCGCAGGACGTCTGGGCGACCCCACACTTCCCCGCGTGCGTGTGTCTGGCGCATGACATATGGGATGCGGCGTGTGCAATTGACCGTAAGTGCAGGCTCCTATCTCGCCGCCCGTGTGGGCGCCCTGGCTGAATCGGACGAGCACAACAGCGAACCCCGCACGCAGCGTCATCTGTGCAACGCGCACAACTCAGCACTCAACCCGGCAGTGGAGCCCTCCGGTGGAAGAACGCACCCGCCTCGTCGACGCCTGCGCGGGCCCTGAGCTCCCGTCCGTGTCCGCACTCTCCGCACCTGCACCTGCACCTGCACCTGCACCTGCACCTGCACCTGCACCCGCGCTCGCTCCGGAACGACCCATCGCGCCTTCCGGGCGCACGACGGCGGGCGTTCCTCCCCAGCTACCTCCTCCCTGTCCCCGCCCGGGCGAACAAACCTTCGTGCCACGGCGCGCGCGCACGCGCGCGAATCTGGGCCTGACGCACTCCGGGGGCGCGGAGAGAAGAGAGAAGCCCTCCCCCCCGTCGCCGGTCGCCATCGGCAGCGTCGTCGGGGCCCCTGGACGTGGAGGGGCGACGCGCGGGGAGACCCGAGGGACGGTCGCGCGATGGACGTGGGGCACGGGACACGGCGGCTGCGGGGGCGAGGGGATAGCTTATCCCTTGGCCTTATCCCTCGCCTTTGGGGACTTATCCCTGATCCGCGCGGCCGGGGGGCGGCTGTACGGAGCGTGCACTGCGTCCTGGCCGGTGTCAGCGTTCAAACGTTCAACGTCGGTGTGGGGCTTGGAGGTAGGAGAGTGGGAGTGAAGTCCGGGGGCGGCCTTCCTCCGCTCCCGGGGCTGCCAGTGTTGGGCACCGAAGGGGCGTCGGAAGAATGGGTGCCTCGCAGACACGCACATGGATCCGGAGCCGGTGGGGCTGAGGCGGTCGCCCCTCGTGTTTGTGTCCGCCGTCGCAGGACTCGGCCGTTCTGGACACCGGACGGCACACCGACGCTCGACGTTCGAGATTGAAGCAACTCCGGAGTCCACGATGAAGGTCGGCTTTTGGCTCTGCTCTGCTGTGCCACCTCCGCACCTCCACCGGCAGCCCATGTACGGTGCCACCGAGCCTGCCCTGCCCTGCCCCGCCGGCCTTCCGCATACGTGCAGCACGGGTCCTCGACTTCGACCTCGACCTCGACGCGCCCAACGCAAACCCAACGTTATGTGACGGCACGCGCCCGCCGCCGACGCCACCGGCCCCGCCTGGAACCGCCGCGACAGACCGAAGCTGCCCACTAGAGCCACAAGTAGCTAGTGCCAGCTAGTGCCCCGGTGGGACGGGGTAAGACGCCGGGGATCAAACACTCGCCCGCAAGTGCTTGACGTGGGCGCGCGAGAGACCTCAGACTGGCCACGACGTCCATGTGCTCGCGCGGAAGGTTCGCGGCGCGGCGCCGTGCTAGCTCGGCGGCGGCGATGCGAGCCAACAGCGTTAGAGCGAAGGGGCCCGGACGACGGCGTGTGGGCGAAGCGTTTGGGTTGGAACAGGACGGCGCGAGATGCCGTGGATGCCCTGCGGTGGTGCGATTTGGGAGATGTCGAGCGCGAAGGGAGGTGCGTGGACGCTCGACGGTGGCCGTTTGGCTGCCTGTGTGGTGTGCTAGAGCTGGCGCTGACCTTGCTGCCGCCTCCCTCGCACCGCTCGGGATAGTAGGATCCACACTCTAGAGCGGCCGGCGAGGCCATCTCGTATCGCGCGCCGACGCGCCGACGCAAGCTTTGTCGCGCGCGCGGTGGCTATCTCCTGGCCATTCCTACTCGGGTGCCTTCAGCTCGCACACCCCGCGCGACTCAATGCGCATATCTGGCTAACTTACTAGGCGGTTCTGGAGTTCTCACTACGCTGGGGTGGAGGCTTGTGATTGCGCTCGGGCCCGACGTTTCTCCTTCAACTCTCAAGGCCTCAAGCTTCACGGCTCACGGCACGGACTCACACCCGCAGCCAAGTGGCAGGAAGCTCTCAGCACCCTCGGAGCAGTACCCACTGCGGCCCGGCGCGCGGGCCGCGCCCCCTGACGGACGCGCGGCGCACAACGTTCGTACTTGGACGGCTTACGAACCTCTGTCTCCCTCGACATCCGGCGGTGGACGCAACGGAACGTCGACCGTCGAACTCCGAACCGCACCGCGTACGTACCTCCTATCGCGGGAGCGCCGTCACTTTGACTTATCCTCGGTCCGGCACGCCTGGCGCAGCGTACGTACTCGTTCTGCACTCCGTTTGTCCTTCTCGCGGGCGCGCCTGACCTCCCGCTCCCATTGGCCCCGCCTGGGGAGCGCGAGGATACGGCGTCGGAGGTGGTGTTGAACGTTGAGGCAGCCAATGCGCGCACCCGTGCCGGCGGGGCCAATGGGGCCGGGCGAGCGTGGGGCACGGCGGGAACGCGGTTCCCACCGGGCGGGCGCGGGCCCGCCTTCCTCCTCCGTTCCCTCGTCGTCGGCCGTCGCACGCGCGACCGAGGCCCGAGGCTGGGACGTGGGACGGGCGGCGGCGGGGCTGTCTCGGGACACACACTAAAGAAAGGCGGGAGCGGGGGAGACAGAAGCCGGCGGATGTGGGCGAGACGCACTCGCTCTTGCGCGGACCGGGCGCGCGCGCACTGTGAACGGTCGGACGCGGGCCCGTGCGCACCACGCGCGGGCTCGGAGACTGGGCCCGCGGGCGGGTGTGTCGCCTTTCGTACCGCGATACGCGCGCGATCGGTCGACGCACTGCGCTCGCGTATCGCGGCCGGCAGCAAAGTCCGCGACGCAGCGCGCGGACCCCGCCCCAGGGCCCGCGCGATGCTTCGCGGTTGGCGAGGGAGCGCGGGCCAATGACGACGGGCCGCCGGTGAATTTTGTACGTGCGTACGCGCGCTAGGTACGTCGAGCCGCCGGCGCGAAGTCGGCGTGGCGACGTCCTGCGTGGTGTTTGCGTGCCCACGACGGCTCTCCGCGATGACGCTGCCTGCCGTCTGTATGACATATACGCGCACTGATGGAATTTCGCGGACGCTGGCGACGTCCGGTCGGACGAAGCCCGAAGGCGCGAAGCGGGTAAGAGCGGGTATCGGGCCTCCTGGTTGAAGTTACGAGAGGGAAAGAGCGCGCGCTCTCGGAAGACAAGCCAAGTCTTGCGCTACGCGAGACTTCGCTCGTCTACGAGCTTCTGAACCTCTTGATCTGGCGCCGGGCGAGTGAATTTGTCTGCGCCCCGGCGGGACGCTGGAGGAAGCCCCCGCGTTCGTGTCCGGCTTTGTGAGAGCGCGAGGTTTGGCAGGGGGGAGAAGGGCCAATGGCACCAGAGGGCCTGCCGCTCCGCGGGCCCGAGAGGCATGTGCGCATCGCACGGATTGGGACGGGCGGCGCGGAGGCGCAGGACGTGTCGAGATTTTTTTGCTCTTTGAGCTGGTTGTCCGTCCTAGGCGGGCGAGGGTGCGGGACGGGGGCACTGCGGGCTCGGGGCTCGGGGCTCGGGGCGCGACCCGAGCGCGCCCCGCGCACGACGCGCCCTCCGCCCTGCCGCTTCTCGAGCGATGTCCGCTGGGCGGGCGGGTCGCTGCCGCGGCCGTACGTACGTGCGCGCGCGCACGGCAATAGACGGCGCGGAACGCGCGCCGCGCGCCCGAGGTGCGCGCAGGATGCGGGATATGTACGTCCGAGGAGGGGGGGGGGGCTTGTCGCCCGCGTCGACGATAACGTCCGCCGCGTGTGGGCTTATCGCGGGGGGGAGGCCCGCGCGCCGAGGGCGGGAGGCGGGAGAAGCGGACGGGTGCTGACCTCGTCGCCGGTCGGGCGTCGAGGGTGGGCGCGGGTCACAAACGCTGTGTAAGGGTTTGAGAGCGAACGGCGGTATGCACGTTGGGGCTCGGGGCGGGGGCCGGGATGTGGGTCGGGAGGACCGGTGCGGGCTGAGGGCAGAGTTCGCGGAGATCGCTGCCGTGCTAAAGGTAGAACCTTGAACTCTTGAACTCTGAACGCTGTTCTCGCGGTTCTGCCGATAGCGAGGAAGCCTCCTTTGCGGCGGGAGCAGGTCTCGGCGCACGAGGACGCGTGGCCGGTCGGCTTCGGCGTGGCATCGGACGAGGATGAGTGTGGCGATCTGGTGGCAGCCACAGGTTGCTGTTGGATTCAAAGAACCTGTTCATACGTTTCCTATATACAGCTTGAAAATCAATGAACCGCCGTTTTTAGGTCATTCGTTGAAGACTTCAACCATTACAGGCGACGATCACTACCAGTTGGAGCGCCGCCAATGTTGTTCGAGTAACGGGCGCACTGGGGAGTCCATCCAAGCGGCGGGAACTTAAGAACGAGAGGGCGCGTCACGGTGGATTTTATGGCCGTCACTGCGCTTCACATCCGCATGCCAACGGAGGAAACAAGGGTTGAGTCCGTATGGCACCGTTCGCCAAGATCAATTAGAACTCACCCCCGGCCCCGCAACAGCGGTCTGAACGTCATGATTGACGAATTGCGTGGGAGTGCCTTCTGGTGACGATGAGGTTGAACACAAGCCTCGATCACATCCGTGGAAGTGAGTGAGTTATAAAAGTTATGATCTCCGCTAGCCTAATGTGTCGCAATTAAGCCAGTCTATGAGCCAGACGATCAGTTCCCTGAAGTGGTGGATCCGCGTAGAAGAAGAATAGAACGTCAAACTAAATCGTGGATCCACGCGCAAGGAGCTACTGACGGGGACGTCTTGTGGATCGCACATTCGCGAAATTCGATGGGGAGCACCTGAACACCGTATGTCTGATGAACGAAGTCGATCGAATCTCGGCGAAAGACGTACCAAGAGTCGTTACTGAGCACTCATACAACTATTAATGTTGCCCAAGCCCATTGGCCGACGCGACCACCCATGCACCCGTCAAGGCCATCAATAGTGGGATGATCATTCGCGGCGACCTGGTCTTACATCATACCCGACAGCGCTCTCTGCCAATCCCCTCCCCCTGCGGTACCCATCCGGTCGCGCGAGGCTCACAGGCGAGTGACGGACCACTCGAGTACATGGAACGGCGCGTCGGTGTTGTCCGGGTACGTCCCGAACAGCGTCTGCCCGCCGATGTCCGCGCGGAGCCGCGCGCGGACCTCGCAGCGTTCGCCGGCGTCGGCGAAGAGGCCCTCCCACATCTCGCGCCAGCTGTCGGGGCAGTGGCAGTTCATGCGCGTGCCCGGCGCGGGGCACCAGAGCGCCTTCTCGGCCTTGCCGCCCTGCACGCCGAAGAGCATCGCGCCGGGGTGCGGCGCGAGGAGGCCCATGAGGAGGCGCGCGATCGCGGTCTGCTGGTCGTAGGTGAAGAGGTGGAAGAAGGCGCCGAGGAAGACGGCGGAGACGCGGCCGTGCAGGGCGGTGAGCGAGGTGACGGAGGCGAGCGCGGGGGCGGGCGTGGAGGGCGGGTCTGGGGACGTCGGGAGGAGGGGCGCGGGGGCGAGGAAGGCCGGGTTGAGGATGTCGCCTTGGAGGAATGGGACGGGGAAGGTGGCGGGGGTGGAGCGGAAGAGCTCGTGGCCGAACTCCCAAAGTGCTTGGGATGGGCTGTGAGCGGAACTGGAAGGAGGGAGGGAGGTGGATGCATGCGCTCACCGGGATGGAGGTCGGAGGCAATGGCGTTCTCGACAGGCCAACCGTCTACTACAGTTTTACGGACATCATTCCCAACTAGATCGATGCGGATCAGGCTCATGACAGAACTGGAGTGCACAGTAGGGGCGACGTACAGCAAGTGCCCATATCGAGGAAGATCGCGTCCTTGCGGTCCTTTCCCAACTGCAGGAACTGAGGATAAGCAGGGAGCCGAGCTATCTTGAGCCTGATAGTGGGCACATGGTGAGTTCTTGAGGGCTTGAGAGTGCACCGAGACTTGGGCTCACCTCATGAACTCGAACATGCGGATGCACGGATACTTGTGGGCCTATGCGAGAGATCGGCCAAATCGCAGACTTGGAATATGGGTTGGGACATACGGAGAAAGCCCTGGTCTGTACGGCTATGATGTGTCGCTTGAGCTCCCCATCATCTTGAATTCCGGTAGTAGCCTTCATGAACGCCTTCTCCTCTTCATCGGGAGTATACAACGACTCGTCGAGGGTCTTGTGCCACGCCGGGCGGTTGTTGTCTCCGGACATTGTTAAGTGGCGCGTACACTGCGGTTGTTGAAGGAGAGCTGGGCAGAGAGGATGAGGATGGCGTTGGGGGCCACGGAAAGCCATAAATACCTGCACAGGAGGTGACTTTCCACGGCGAATGAATCAGGTTCGAGAACGACGGACGACTCGCTCTCACGCTGCGAGACGGGCACCAGTGAAAAGAAGAGGAAGAAGTTGATGGATAGTGATGGAGTGGAGTCAGTCGATGGGTTTTGGGCCCGAGACGTATCATGAGCCGCCGACCAGTTGAGAAGAGCGGGGAGGAGTACAGACTGCGAAGAGACGGATGAGCGGAAGAGAGCACGTTCATGCGTCAAACGAGGTCTTACCTGCTAGCCAGGCTTCTGTGGTAGTCTCATCTCAATCAACTTCTTTGCAGTGGCATGCTTCCATTCACACCAACGCGCAGGCAGCGTCCGAGACGGCTCTTCGGTCGCAGCATTGAGACGAGGGCATAGGCGTACGCGGAAACACCTGAGGTTTATGAACGTGCTGTTTCTAGGAGGTCTTCACCGGCGTGCTGGTGTGAATCTGTGGGCACAGCTCTCGACTTGGGGAAGATAGGGTTGCAAGTTCAGAGCCGCAAATTGTACTGAGGGTCGGCTCGTTGTCCTGCAGGCCGCATATCGAGTAAGCTAGCAGGTCTCGCCTCAAGCAACAACGCTAAAACAAGTACGGTGATTTGAGTGAGCGAGGCTACAGCCTGTGGCAGACGCACTCAGGCCTGCCAGGGATTGATGATCATGTCAGCGCTTGGGTGATGGCCATTGGCCACTCCTTCCGACCTCGGCGAAGCGCGCGAGTGACTGGGATTAGGACCACGTGGGCGTGAGAAGAACGCGTCCAATCCGAACCGCGGCGTTTACTTACCGCAGCACACTAGTCCTTAGGTCTCAGGCCCCCACAAACGGACGTTCGATGTCTAGCAAGGGACTCGGAGTGCATATTTCAAGCACCCGCTACTCGTCGAAATGAATAGTGCTGCCATGACCCATGCATGCAATTCGTCCTTGTATCCAGTGGGACTGAAGTCTTCGTGAGTACCACTCTTCTTCTCGATACAACATCTGGATTGGACTCATCCGAGTAGTACATCATAGCCCCTTTATGTAAATCGCGCCCACCATGGGAAAGTCGAAGCGGACATGGCAAACCTTGTGCCTCGAGTAGCCAACCTTTACGGTAGCGCGCGACTAGCTTGCTACTTGAACTCGACGTGAATCATTCATCTTCCCCCCTCCCTTCCATCCTCCCTCATCCATTGCAGAAATATCGCCCATGTCGCGTTTCAGACCTTCCACCGCGAAGTCTGCTGCCGCCCAAGTCAAGGGTCGCGTCGCAGCCCATGATCTCGTGTCCACCCTCGACGCGGCTCTGCTACAGTCCCACAATGCCGTCGAATTGGCACTTTCCAAGCTGTCAAAAGTGATACGAGATCCCTCTATGGATACGTACGCCGTCATGGAGCACATTCAAGACAAAGGCTCCCGAGGGTTGTTTGATTTTATCTTGTCAGGTGTGTTCCTCCTCACTTTCCATGGAACACGACTGAAATGTGTCGGCAGCGTCATCGGATGACGTGTACAACCAAATGGTTCGGATCATCCTCAAACAACCGGTGGAGGATCTCAGCCACATGACCTCTATGCCTTGCGAGTTGCTCCGCCGACTGTCCAGTGTGTCTTGGTCGGAGGGCCAAAACTGTGACAGTGAAGTGGAAAATGATCGCGAGAACGCTCGTTGCGCCATCGCGGCCATGGAGGCGATATCGTTCCTCCTTTCGAGCGGAACTCTGGCCGGAGAAGATGCTCTCGCACAGTCGCACCGGGGGAACCGGCGAGCGCGACCCCCCGTCCATAGTGGGCGCGGCGATGCAGCGGCTACCCAGGCAATAATTGATTACGGTGAAGACGTCCCGGTGTCCGTAACTCAGGCGGACGCCCTCTTGAAAAATGTGATCTCGGGGCAGATGAGGCTCCTCGAGGTGCGTCTGTTTTAACTCGGTCATCCGGCCGTCTCTTTACAACGCCGATGGCGCAGCGCATCCTCCCCACATTGCGCTCCGAGGGCGCGAAGACGATGCTTTGGGATGCGTATCTCCCTCACCTCCCGTACGCCGTCCCGCAAGGCGACACCTGGGCAACGGCGTCCACGGATGCCACCCACGTTGGAAAGGAATCGCAACAGTGGGAAGTCGCTCTCTCAAAGGGGGCAGACAAGGACATCCGTCGGGCCGAGCACGCGGGGTCAAAGCGTCTCAAGATCATGGTAAACAAAATTGAGTGCGTTGCGAATGCTCGAGCGACGTTTCACGCGAACGATACCATAACACCTCGACAGGGAGCTGCGCAAAGGCCACTTCACACCGGACAATCACAAGATGCTCACCAATAGTGCAGCCAACATACCGATCTTTGAGGCCAAGATGGACCGTGACTCTAGACTAGTGGTGAGTAGATCGTCTGCCCTCAATGATCGTTCTTAACGCCCAAATAGTATTATATTGGACTTGCGAATTCGGTAAAAGATCAGGTACGTCCCCTTGGCACCGTCTAACGCCTTGCTCACCGATCCTTGCAGAAAGTGCGACAAGGTTCGTGAAATTTACAGGGCATTTGGTCGGCATGAGGAACTAATGTGGCTGTAAACAGTCATCAATGTATATGGCATATATACTCATGCGCAAGTGGACCGAATCGACTGGAACGCTATCAGTAAACAACTTTTCAGCTACTACGGCGACGAAAAGAGAAAACTGTACGCTTCCCTTCCCTTGATCCGTCTCTTTGTGTTCAGTCTTCCTCGCAAGGTCAATGCAACGCGATCGACATATCGAGGGCCGTGGCGACCATGTCGTCTATCCCAAGACATTCTCGAAAGCAGAAGAGTCGGACATCAACACGCCGTCGTCCCCCGCTGTCAAATCTCATGTCTCGTCCGAGGAATCTGAACAGGTGAGTGAGACGACAGGCGTTCCGGTTTATGCAATCTGATACATGGGTTATGCAGCTCCAATCGTTCCTGAAGTACGACATTCGTTTCCCTCCTCCACTTCGATAGTGTACTGATGACCCATGCTTAAGTCACGCGAAGTTTGTCACCTACTCTCGGGTGCGTCGCATGGTCTTGACGCTGAGCGTGCGGCTGACGATACTTCTGATGTAGGAGTACTTGGCCAGTGCGATTTGTTCACCGTCATCCTCAGAATGACGTTGCAGTGCTGATCTGATTTGGTAGCGGTCGTCGCGGGTTTGTCTTCGGAAGAGACGGCGTTCCAATTCCGTCTCGAGTTCGTACAGTTCTCAACTTAACCCTTACAGTCCAATGTCTCATCCACTTTCAGGGAAGAACAGCAACAAATTATGACACACGATTCTTCATGCTATGTAATCGGTGTGTACGACGATCGTGTCCACTGGTCAATCGCGCTGACCTCCAGAGCAGGTCGCAGTGGTACAGGGTAAGTGCGGCTCTTCAGCATGCATGTCCGAAGCCTCATGCACTCGGATCTAAATGCAGGAAAACGACCGTCATAGTCTTCAAGATGCTCGCCATGGACAAGGCTTGGCAAGACAACGCTTTCGGTCGGAGGCCCCGTCAGCTGTTCATTTCTCAGAGCAAAAACCTTGTGGACGCCGTTAAAGGATATTACGACAAGCTCAGGTTGTCGATCGAGGTTGGCCGAATGTCAAAGACTGCCCTCAAGGAGATGGCTTCAAATCGCGAGGCCGTCGACCAGGTTGAGAGGTTGAATGACCTCGACGAGGCTGTGGAAAGGGACAAAAATCAGCCACGGCGATACGGCGAGCTCCAGGAGTCTAGCTTCCCCCTGTTCATGAGCTTCGGGAGGGTGTGTGTGTGTTACTCGATCGCGCACGGGCTCTCTGACAGTTCGTTGTCAGCTCTGCGTCTTGCTCGAAAACGAATTCCGTTATGTTGTCAGAACGGGCCGAGTCGAGAAGACTCAGATCGACAAGTCCAAAATAGCCTCTCTGCGCCAAGTCCTGGGCATCCGTCCTGGCGACGAGACATCTCGGTTCTCCCTGCTGCTCACAGACAGACGTCCTCGGCTGCTAGATTTTGAGACCTTTTTGGACTTGGTCTGGAACCATTCTCTCGAGGCATCGCGGCACATCCTGAGTACATCCACCCGCAAACGGCTCTCCTGCACGTAGCTAACGCATGTCCCAAGGTCCAGAGTTGGCGTTCACCGAGATCATGGCGGTGATCAAAGGGTCGGAGGACGCCATCCGAAGCGAGCAAGGTTTTCTCAGCCGGGAGGCATACTTCCACCGCCGTCGTGAGCATTCCCAGTCGGGGATGTCCGAGAAGCAGATGGAAGCGGTATATGCCCTCTTTGAACAGTACCGCAGGAAGCGGGGGCTCTTGGTTGGGGACTGGTACTATGATGTTGCGGACAGGTGCGTTGGAATCTCTAGCAACTTATTGTTGGGGTCGGATCCGCTCACAAGTCGCCTGGTTTAGAGCCAGAACGTTGATCAGATGTTTCGATTTAGTTGGTATACCTGGACGCCCGCTCATCAACATGTATGTTCTCGCCTTCAACCGAGTCGCGTGATAGCGCAGCATTATAACGAAACTGCAGCTTCGTCGACGAGTGTCAGGACAATCTGTTGGCAGACTCGCAACGTGCGTATCACACATTCGATTGCTAGCGTCGGCGGCTAATGTTCTCGTAGTCCTGCGCGTTCTTTGTCCCAACCCTCACGGACGCTTCTGGGCCGGAGACACAGCTCAGACAATCTCAGCGCACAGCGCATTTAAGTTCAGCGAGCTCCAACGATTGAACTATCAGCGCGATCTCGTAAGTTTCACAATTTCCATATAGACACAAGACGCTGACATCTGAGGTCCTCTCAAAGAACTCGTATGGTCCGAAAAACGCTCAACACGCTCCGATGTTTCACTTGGTGGTGAATCACCGTTCCCACGATGGCATCATCCAGTGTGCACAAGAGGTAGTCCACCTGTTGATCAAGTACTGGAGGAGCACGATCGACGAACTCGAAGATGAGAGGGGTTCGTGCCCTGGGCCCAAACCTCTTCTCATCTCAGCAGAAGAAGACTCTGCCATATTTCGCCTGATCTTCAGTTCGAACTCGTCAGTGACTATCTTCAGGTGTTTCCGACCTACAAAAGTGACCTAATCTAAACAGGCAATCTGACGAAGAAGATCCAGAGGGAAGCACAACTGTCGATTTCGGGGCAAGACAATGTACGCCGAATCAGAATTTGCATGATACATATTACAGCGCCCTTAGATCCGCTCAGGTATCATAGTGCGTAATGACGCAGCGCGACAGCGCCTCCGTAAGCTGGTTGGGGATGTAGCGTATATCCTGTGAGCACCTAATTTCTTCCGAGGACGTTGCGTACTCATCCGGGTTAAACCCACTCTTTAGCACCATTTACGAAAGCAAGGGCCTTGAGTTTGACGATGTGCGTCATCGCATGCCAGTAATGCCCTCATTGAAGTGCTGATATTCGACCTGCATTCCAGGTTCTGCTGTACGACTTCTTCCGGGAATCTACTGTCGACGACTCGTCCTGGAGCTGGATCCTTCCAGAAAACGGTGTCTCCCCCGACCCTGAGGCGTTGGCAGCGGTCGACCACGGACTATGCCGAGAGGTTAGTCACTGATCGCTTCCGGAGACTAGTGGTCGTCTACAAGTCGTCTGACTCAATGTGGATGCTCGCTCTCGCAGCTGAAACACCTGTATGTCGCACTGACTCGAGCTCGGACGACTCTGTGGATTGTGGACACCTCGTCGCGCGCCGAGTCTTTCAAGGTAGGCTTGCGTTGTACTATACCTGCTAGCACGATAATGACCTGCGAACAGGATTTCTTCTCGGTCAAGGGCCTTATTGCCGTCCATCTTCCCGAATCTCCTCTCCCGCCCTTCCAACGCTCCTCCACCTCCGCGGAGTGGGAAGAACAGGCCCGCGTATTCTTCCGGATGAAGCTTTATTCAGAAGCTATGCGCGGCTTCACACGCGCCGGCATGCTCCGCGAATGTCGCGTCGCCGAAGCCTTCCTCCTACGCCAACAAGCCTCGCGGGTGAATGCCCTCGACGCTCGCAGCAAGCAAGCCCGAGACACAGCATACCGCAAAGCGGCTCACGCGTTCATCAAGGCCGCAGAAGATGCGCAGGATGATGTCGACCGGCACGACTATCACCACACGGCCGCGTTCTGCTTCGTTGACGGTGGCGATAGCCTCAGCGCGGCCGAGGAGTTCGAGGCTGCGGGCTCGTACGACGAGGCCGCAGTCCACTTCCGCAAGGCCGGCAGGTTTGATCACGCAGTCCGCGTGGTCAGGTCCCAAGACGTGCCCGAAGACGTGCGAGAAGGCATCCTCAGCGTCGCTCGCTTACATTACATCAAGGAGAACAAGACTGCACAGTAAGCGAATGGCATAGACATTCCTACAGCTCATGATCTAATTGTCGTCTTCAGAGAAGTCAGAGAGCTGTTCGACGACGACGACGAAGCAGTCGAATACATGGATGACTACGACCTCAATACTTCGAGTGCCGCCTTCCTCGAACAACGGGGCAGGTACCGCGATGCGGCTGAGCGCTATCTACTCGAAGGAGACATTCTCAAGGCCATCGATCTCTTTCTCTTGGACGACCACGGCGCGCCAAGAGCGATACAGACTGTGCTGGTAGGTCTTTGGGAGCACTTGCCGTTGCACGCGCCAGCGGAGGCATTCGAGAACTCGGTAGTCAAGAAGCTGATCGAACATGCCGAACGGCTTGCTGGGACGCTCTCGGCAGATGATGTAGTATCAGAGGAGGTAAGAGCCGGAATTTTGGCTCGTCTTTCCATCTTACTAATGCGAGAGTGATTGGAAAAGCTGAGAATGTTCACAACGATTCGTCAGCCAGACGCTCGATCGACGCTCGACAGATTGAGCTCCGTCACCACATTCCTCAGGACTCCGGGCAAGGAGCCCGCGGCTCTTCGATTATTCGACTACATCTTCGCACAGATGTTCTTCCCCATCGAACATGCCATCGAGACGACGGGCCTACAGGATGCAGAAGAAGACTGGGCAGTCAAAGGCGCTGCTCGAGATCTCGCGAACACGCTCGAGCAGACCGGCCATATAGGTATTGAGACGGTGTTCCGCTCATTCCTGGAGTACACTCGCATGCTTTTGCGACTGTCATGCAAGCCAGGCGGCGAATCAAGCATTTGCACAAACCCGACGCTTCGGACCCTTTTTGCATTCAAGCCGTGGCACTCCGGTGAAGAGCAATATGAAGTCTTGGCGTCTTCGTCCCTATATTCCTCGTGCAGAGAGTTTGTGCAGTCGGCCGAAGATCATATCGTCGTAACTCCCTGGGTGCTGGAGGACCTTATCAAGGATAAACTGCGGACGATCCTCAAGCGAAGAGTGCTTTCCCAGAAGGAGATGGCTCACGCATTACAATCTCTGAAGCCATGCGTGCAGTCGATGGCCTCTGATTTCTCATGCGCGCGCCGTTCAACCTGTCGCAACATCCACATCAACATTGAAGCTGCGGCAGCAATTGCAACATATAACCGCATCGTGCACATCTACATCCTGCAAATCATGATATTCCATACTCTTTATGCCACAGACATATCGTTTGCTACGCGCACAAGGCAGCAAAGGTATGGACAATCCAATGACGTGGGCGACGGCATGCGTAATACTGTAAAGCTGACCTGATATTGTGTAGGGCATGGCTTCGTAAGCTATACGAAGCACTTTTACCGCCTCATTTCAAACTTGGATCTATACACCTCCTCTCCAGCGGCTTCGGAAAGGACCTGCCTGACGCGCATCGCATCATAGTTGTTTGGATACAAGATTTTCTCAACCGCCTGAATCCAGGCCCACAACACCGACTCTCCGAAGTATTCCTCACGAACTTCATGCGCACGGCACATCTCGCGATTCTGTTCGATCGACACACTGCTACCCAACATCTGCAGAGGGTTCCCTGTGCCATTCGCCGTCCATGGTGGCCGGCACCCTTGATGCGGCCTGCGTTGTATACCAGCAACATCTTCCGGCCGCCGCGTCCGCAAGATTACGTTTTGCTCGACTTCATTTCCTCAATGCGTCGCCAGGAGCCATCTTCACTCAAGAAAGGAGTGGCTTTCGTCCGGTACGTGTCTGTGCCTTCAGACTTCACGACGCCGTATCGCATCCTAATATACTCTCAGGCATATCCTATCCAACCATGTGCCAATCGATGTCAGCGTGCTCTGTGATTACCTGGATCACCTTTGCGGTGCCCTCGTGGCTTCAATTCTCCTCGCACGCAAGGGGACGCTTCACGGATTGACTGTCCCGAAGAGCTGGATGGTCCACATTTTGCGTGATCTCGAGTCTGATCTGCATGTAAGCCAGGAGGTGCACTCACCGAGAGAATATGGATTGTGTATGGAGAACCTTCTGAAAGATCTCCACGAGGGTGGCGAGCCAGCAGGTATGGGAGATTGTCTTCTATCCTCGAATTGAAGCTGACGCTCGTTGGCACGATCAGGATACCTATTTTCTGAGAACATCCGTCTCTCTGACCTCCGGCTTGTCGGCCTGAAGCATCGAGAGGTCTTCTTCCGTCGGGTGTAAGTGTGTCAATAGCAACCAGACACGAAATTTGATATTTACTCATCACCCTTGTACCTATAGATGCGTCAACTTTGTAATATGTGAGTGGTATTCCGGATCGCAATTGCTATTTGCTCACGGTCTTTTGTGTAGGGGCATATAACCTCGGACTCGCGAACTACCCTTCCGAAGAAGTGGCGAACGCCTTCATGGTGTCTTTGAAGGCGAAACCACCGTCAAGGGACAGGATCGTATCTCCGTCAGTATCAAGTAGCTGAGTTCACTTACTTGCGAGCTCATCCCTCCATCCAGCATCGTCAATGCCTTCAATTGGGTCCAGAGAAGGGAGCTCGTGCTCGCGTCATTCAATCACTCAGACATGGACGAGATGGTGCAACTGCAGCAGTCCTCCAACGATTCGTCCAATGACGTGGCAGCACGTGGAACGGTCCGCACCTTGGAGTATACAAAGCACTCCGACATCCTTTCAGCTTTAGCCATCGAGGAACCTGTTTGGTTCGCGTCTAGTCCCTCCTCCTCTGAGGAGCCAGTCACATCAGACGTTACAAAGATCGACCCTCGTCTCAACGACTCCTCCTTCGACCATCCATCAACCGGAGACGCCCCGCTCCAGCAAGCCCTCGGACAGGGCCCGGAGACTTCTCAACATCAGGAGCAAGGAGAGTTCAGCGCCCAGCAGCATAATTCGGCCGAGACCATCGTCAAAGTCTGTCGCTCCTATCTCCGGCGGAAGCATGCGTACAGAGGCGAGGCGGAGGAGGCAGTTCGCGCCAAGACCCTCGAGTTCCGCGAACGCGCGCGCGGGGCGTGCGGTGGGCAGCGCAAGTATCGCCGCCTCTACCTCGGGGTCGTACCGTGCCTCCTCGTCGCTGTAGAGGACATCAAGAACGTACTCTACCAACAGAAGTCCGCTGCGAAACAGGGGCTCAAGTCGTCGACAGACCACCTCGAGTTGGAGGGGGTGGGGAGGGACATGAATGTGGCACGGTGTGTCATGACTTTCATTTCGTTCTGCTCGCCGGTTGACTTATAGATTTGTTGTTGTGTTGCACAGGGATAATTTCAAAGAGGCATGCCGCCTCCACAAGGCTCTCGTCCCCTCCAGCGACGTCCATGCCCGTGGCGATGGCGCAAAGCTTTTGCAACACGTGATGGCTGTACGAACCCTCTTCGAGAGCATTGACTGCACCGGCCAAGGAAATGCAGCATCTAAGTGGAGCGACGTTATCGAGCTGGCTGTGCGCTGTGTGTGCAACCATGAGATTCCGGAAGCAGAATGGGAGGGTAGGATATGTAGACTGCGAGTCAACCGTCGTCTGTTCTGAACTCTGTAATACTACTGTGCTCTATGTTGTTTGTTTACCTATCATTGCACTTGTTACGTGGATATTGAAACCTGTTTCTTAGCACGTTTAAGCTTGTGAGCGTGAAAAATGCAGGTATGTTATTGCGTGTACGAGGCAAGTCCGTGATGGTGCGTGTACAGGTATCTTGTGACTACATATACTACAGTCCATAGCTTAGGCGAGCTCGGCGAAGCCGACCGCGGTGTCGTCGAACGAGAATGCAGTGTAGACGTTCTTCATGAACGCGTCGCCGAGCAGCCAAACCTCGTCCCAAGGCCGAGGTCCTGCCCGAAGAGCGCACCAACGCACTCCCCGGATCCGCTCTCAGTCTCGCCGAGGTTGAAGCTGTTGAGAGAAAAGAGAGCAGGACGCGTTAGCTTCAGGCGCGGGCAAAGGACCACAAGAAGACGCACTTGTCCTCGGTGACCTCCCACTGCTGGCCGCCCCAGGAGAACGCGACGGTGGGGAGCGAGCCGCACGGGTACGAGTACTCGCCCTGGGAGGAGTCGACGACGGCGGAGCCGGAGATCGCCTTGTAGAACGTCTTGACCGCCGACGGCGGGCCGTACATGAGGGTCGTGCCGGAGTCGATGATGGTGTCGAAGCCGGAGACGGGGGTCTTGCTGCCCGCGGAGATCTCCGCGCCGGGGATCTGCCAGAAGCCCTGGGAGTTGTCGACGTCGTGGAACTCGAGCGAGCCGGAGTAGAGGTCGCTGTTGGTGCCGCCGAGGTAGAGCTCGGAGCCGGTGGAGGCGAGGTAGAAGCCGAAGACGCCGGAGTCGACGGTGCCCTGGTCGACCGCGGTGTTGAAGAAGGGGTTCTGCGGGTTGGGGTGAGTATGTGGAGATCGAAGGGCGAGGACGTGGGTACGAACCTCCCCAAGGTTGGAGATCGAGGAGAACGCGAGGCCAAGGATGCCATCGATCGGGTCGGAGCTGAAGCTGCTCGAGAGCGTGGTGACGGCGGAGAGGTACTGCGACTTCGCGGTGACGCCCGCGACCTTGACGGTGTCGGTGTAGATCGGGCCGGAGACGGTGGAGCCGTCGCCGTACTCGATCTCGAACGTGCCGCTCTTCTTCGAGCTCGTGGAGGACGACGAGCTCTTGTACGTGTCCTTCTTCTTGCACGTCGAGCTAGTGCACGAGCTCGAGGGGACCCAGAGGTCGGACGAGCCGGTGTCGAAGTCGATGAGGAATGACTGCGCGGGCGTGCCGATAGAGATCTTGCCCGCCCACTCGGTGTCGTCGTCCTCGTCGGTGAGCGACTCGCTCTGGCGCTTGGCGAGGAGATGGTCGGGGATGACCGCGAGCGGCTTGATCTCCGCGCCCTGCTTGAAGACGTGCGAGCCCACGTTCTTCTCCAGGTTCATCAGGTTCGCACGGTGCTTGCTGCATCGGTGTGTTAGAACAAACAGAAGAGACGACGGCGGTCGGCGTACTTGATCGTCTTAATGGTCTCGATCTGAGCCTTGTCAGCGTTGAAGGTGCCGTCCGCGTTCGTCACGGAGGAGCGCTTGGTGAAGGGGACGGCGACGCCGCGCTTGGTGGTCGCGAGCGGGCTGGCGGACGCCATGAGGGCGAGCGCAACGGTGACCAAGGTAGCCTTGCAGAACATGTCGGCGTCGAGTGAACGAGCTGAGAAGTTGAGAGGTTCTGAGGGCTGGTGCGGGAGGTAGGGAACAGGAAAAGACCTGGTGAGGATCCAGCAAGGACGTTGGTCCGTCTTTATACTGCCGCATCGCTCTGCTAGTGATGAGGTGGGTATAGGCAACCATCACATGAAATGGTATGGACGACGCTGGAGGGCAATGCGGGGGAGCGGCGATTGTGCTAAACTTAGACGGTGCTGTGTTTAGCCAACTAGCGGCCACAATCCGCATGAGCCATTCGACCATGCAAGACCTGTCGGGGACCAGTGATGGAAGCAGCGTGGGGCAACGATGCAATCGGCGGGATGCCATGTGGACCTCTTGACCATGCGCATCGGTGTTAGCGACGGGAGAACCAGATGGTCCGTCGCTGTCTTCGGGCGTTCTGCCGGAGATACTGAAGGAGCGAGTAGCTGAAAGGCAGGGTTGGGCGGGGTTGGACGCTGGGAAGGTGGATTGCTGCGTCGGCGGAGTGGGGCATTGCGCGTCTATCTGGGAGGAAGAGGACAAGCACGTGGACTTGATCGACGTTGCACATGGTTCCACCCAAGTTTGATTTCGTCAGGGTGCACATTGCCCTGTTGATGGCGCTCGTCAACCACCACTCGAGAGCCAAGCCCCAGCGATACCTGCAGTCATTCTCTTGGCACTCGGAGTTCCCTTAACCACACCGTCCATCGCTGGTGGATTCGCTGTTGGCCATCGACCCGTAGCGTTCGATCTCGAACTGGACTTGAACGCGCAAACCGTGTTGACCATATGGCTGTTATTTAGATGTTGATGCGCCCATGCTATCGTGTAACAGCCTACTGCGCGCAGCGCACAGCTGACGATGCACCCCGATCACTGCTGTGGCACGTCTCCATGCGTGTAAGACCGACAGCCGCCTCATTGTCGTGCTATTTTGGCGGGTGCAGCGTGAGCACATGGTGACACCGGGAGAGAGATGGACTCACGTCTTTGTATTGACGGATGCCGCCACCTGCACACCAGCGGTAGCCAGAAGAAGGTCATGTCGAAGCTTATCTCCGGGCGGCATTGAGTAATCACCGGACAAATCCGCATGGTGGGTGGCGTTCACTGTGGAAATGAGTAATGTAATCATCGTCAAGCGCAGCAACGTCAGATGGCGCACACAGGCTGGAAAGCTGAAGCTGAAGGCCCAGCAGAAGGTAAGTATAAATACGAGACGTGACGACGACAATTGTACATATACTGGCACAGTGGTCAATTTGCGATACTGCGCTGACGAAGGCTCGAGGTGAAAGTGTGCGCGACCGCGGATCTGTGCGGGTAAAAGAATTTAGGATGAGACACCTGATTTCGTATATTAATGCGGGGCTTACCTCGACGGCCAGGGGCCGATGATACCTCGGCTATTGGGCTCGGTCCTGTTGTCATGTGTGGTCTTCGACATTTGGCTTAGAGATCGAGTGCCTGGACATCCCCATCTCTGAATTCCCGATTTTGGTGACACTCTCGTTCAGCGCATGGTGAGTGCGCGGTTGGAGGCGGTTGGGTACTTCGTGTGGACTGTGTTGATGTGTGTCGAGTTGAACGACTGTTTGAAGGGACTCGGAGTCGCAGGAGATGTGGGAGTAAAATGTGATCGATTCATAGATGTGCTCGTATCTGCTTTACAATTGATTGAGCGTCGTCGGGGCCGAGTTCATGACGAGCTTCAAACTCCCGCCAGTGCAACTCATTCTCAGTGAGCGGTTTGCTTGCTTGTTCCTCGCGAGCGATCCCAATGAGCCTGCCCGGGGTCGATGCCGCCTGGCTCGCTTCGCCTTCGGGCCTCGGAGCAGGAATGATGTGGTAGTGTACCTAATGGGCAATGCGAATAATTCAGTTTCGCGTAGGGGTTCCCAGTCAAGTCATAGTGGAGGGGGTTGGGGAAATATGTGTGGTAACGAAAGACCTGGAGCGATGATTACACATACGTGGGGGACGGCTTGTGCGTACTCTTGATTGCAAACAACGTTCAGGGCCGTGTTACGGAGACCTGAACATACCTGTCAGCGTCGGCAGAAGAGGCAAGAAACCTACGAGCAACACAACGGCCGCCGGCCTTGAAATGGCATTGAAGGGCATATATGCGTGTACACACCTGCAGCAATCGCCCGAGCGACCTTGGACACTGCTCTCCCGCATTCGGCCGCAAAGTCGTCCTCCAGCTCCGATACGCGTGAGACGTGCGTCTTAGGGATCACGAGGGTGTGTCCAGGGCGGAGAGGCGCAATGTCTGTTCCGATTTCCGAATGGCGCGTCGTGTACGTCCCCATAGAGATGACGTAGAACCAACGCCGAGACGTTACACGTCAACAAGGGCAGGGGCGCCGGCGAGAAGGCCGACGACGACCATCCCCGCCAAGAGGGCGAGTCATGAACAATTGTCACTGCGAGTCAGTCGAGCCCGCTCGCGGCGCTGGAGAAGGGGACGGGCGGGAGGGGACGAGCACCTAGTATCGCGACGACCGCGTCGGTTTCGTAGACGCGGTACGCGGGCATGGTCCCCGCGACGATCCCGCAGAACGGGCAATTCGCGTTGCTCGTCGTCGTGGAGGAGACTGGAGGCCTCCACGCTTCGGGGACGGGGCGCCCTTCGTGCGCCTTGAGGACGTAAGAAGTCATCGGACGTTGCGCAGGGGTGGCTTGATGTGACGTCCGTTGGGGTTTTGCAGGGACGGCGAGGAGCACGAGAGGCACGGCGAGGGCGCCGAGGCTGCGGGAGGGCTGGAGAGGGAAGGCAAGGAGGCTAGAAGGCTCCGCAGCTGGGCGAGAGCGCGCCTCCCGCCGGCCGCACAGGCCCGAGTGCAGGGCAAGCTGTCGCTGAAACTGTCGCTCCCGACCGGCGGCCTTGCTGCCTGCCGTAACATTCGTATGATCACTCTGCCCCTGCTTTTCTCTCGTGAGCTTCCCGACTGTGCCCGATCACCTCTCTTCCTTCTACCTCGCCAGAACCTCCACTGGATTCGACTCGCAGCATGTCGCGCGGGAACCGGGATAAGGTGTCGGGCATCCTCAAGGGCTCAATGCGGGACAACTACACGGAGCACGGTGTGGACGAGGTAGGCGATGTCGCCTAGCCGCATCGTATGCATGTTCCGCGTGGGTCGAGGCTGATCGCTCGGAATATCGCGTCTAGTACTACAAAAAGGTTGGTGCGACATACCGCAATCCGCACTTCCCGGGCGTGAAGAGCTGCCTCTTCCTATGGATGAACAGGCGCGTCTCGCCCCGAACCCTCGCTGCGCTGCCAGCATGCTAAATCCGTTGCCGTAACGTTAGGTGGTGGACCATGCGTCAACCTCATATCGATGCAAAGAGGTTCATGGTCTTTGACATGGCTTGCGGTGCGTCTTCCGTGCTCCAGGCATCCGCGTAGAAATGGGTCTGATCCTCCATTCGCGAGGGAAGGCAGGTGAGTACTCCATGGGATATCCATACCGCCCTGTTCTTTAAACGCGTCTGTCTCAAGTGGTGAGGCAACCCAGGCGATCATGGAGTGGTGGAAGGCAGGCCGCGATCGCTACACCGATCGTAAGAATGCGCAAGCAGCAGCCAGAGACGTCCCCGATTCAGATGAAGAGCGTGCTTCACGCTCGCGCAAGCCGTTGCAGGCCCCTCTCATTGCGCCTGAGATGACGGTGCCTTGCATCCTCGCTGCGGACCCGGCACGTACCTCCCAAGCCCATACGTCCCTTCTCTTTCTTAATCCCGCTCTCCTCCCCCGACATAGTACACTGCACAAGCGTTCCACACTCGCACCGGCCTCTACGCCCACCCACTTTCCTTCAAGGACATCGCAGAAGGCCAGCTTCCAGAAATCGCTTCAAAGCCCATTGGGGCGCCCAAGGGTGGGTCTGCGCCTGTGACCCCGTCACCCAGCTTTATCATCCGCAGTCCTACTGCATCTGTGACAAGCGCATCGAGCAGTCAAGACGGCGATGGGATCATCGAAATGGTGGTCTGTTCGTTCGCGTTGCACCTCATCGAGAAGCCGTCGGCACTGTTCTCCCTGCTCTGGGAGCTGAGGTACGTCGTTCCGGGCCGTTTCCGACTGTAGGCGTTTATTCTGTTCGCAGCACAAAGACGCGGTGGCTCGTCATCCTTGCCCCACATAAACGTCCCGAGGTAAGCGTCCAGCTCGCATTCGGCACCTGTACTTGAAGCGTGACTGATGTCGTGCTCAGATGAAGGACGGATGGGGGTGGTGCAAGTGGGATGTGGAAACATGGTCCGAGTGCCGGATGTCGGATCCGTCGGGGGAGCTCTTGGAGGACAGGTTCGTCGATAACGCTCATTCTTCCACTGCGGTAGCTGACACTGGGTGCGCAGAGTCCACTGCCGTGTGTTTCGGAGCCTGAACGTATAATCTGTACATTGTATGCTATAGGCACAGCTGGTCGTGACTATGATACTACCCTCAAGAGTAGTTTCAGTCAAACTCGAGCACAATCTTGCCACTGTACCAGCGCTCAGCGCTCAGCCCAGGCGTTCGCAGACAAGTTGTCCACATACCTGTTCTTGCTCGCTTCCATCTCGCGATGAGCTTCCTGGATCTGAGTCCACGGGTAGACCTGGAAAACAGCGTGAGTATTCTGTGAGTCTTCATATCACTCAAATTACCTTGTGGATGTAGGTGCGAATGCGGCCATCCCCTGAACTCCCGGTGATGGAGTCGAATGCCTCGGCCTTGAACCTGGAAGATGCGGCAAGGGCGACGCAATGAGAGGGCGTTCCATGCACAGAAACATATGAAGAAGCACACCTGCCGATGAGCTCCGCATGGTAGTCTGCCGACCGCGCGCGTAGCGTTGAGCCCTGGATCCGCAGGCGCTTGAAGATGACGGGCGCGAGATCCACCTCCTTCACCACGCTGCCTGCAGTGTGCCAGCGAACATGACTTTCCTACAGGGCTGTACCAGAGACGACGAGTTGCTCACCACTGAGGAACGCGAGAAGCGCCATTTGCCCGTCGAACGCGAGCGACGCGATGTTCTTTTGCCAGTGCGACTGCCCGACCATGTCGATGACAATGTCGACGCCCTTGCCGCTCGTGATCGTCTTGACCTCCTCGGCGAAGTCTTGCGTCCGGTAGTTGACCGCGTGTGTGGCCCCGTTGGGCATCGCGAGAAGCATGTCGAGCTTCTCCTTCGACGACGCGGTCGCGATCACCGTGTTCCTACGGACGCGTCATGAGAGGTGAGTTCAAGGTGGACGGAGAAGAAAGGAGGGCAGAGGACGCTCACGCCCCGTAGAACCGCGCGAGCTGGATCGCGGCGACCCCAACCCCGGACGCACCCGCATGGATGAGGACGTCGTCGCCAGCCTTGATCCCCGTAAGGAAGACAAGGCCCTGGAACGCTGCAGCCCCGCACAAACGCACGTAATGTCAGTTTTCTGCACGCAGCTGACCGGCAAGCGTCTGCAATCGCGCCCCAAAACGCGACGCACCGGTGATGTAGTTCTCCATGATCCCCGCGGCATCGACCCAGGACAAATGCGCGGGCTTCCGGATGAGGTTGCGGTGCCGCACTTCCACATACTCGCCGTACGCACCCTGGGGGTGTGGGAATGGCAGGCGTCAGCGCGAACGCCGCGAGAAGACGGAGGAGGGAGCGGGAGGCGACGTACCCCGAGGGCGAGCCCGAGGACTTCGTCACCTCACGCCACTCTGGACGCCCGGGGCTGGACGACGGTGCCAGAGAACTCGACGCCCATGATCGTGGGCGAGCTCGGGGGCATGGGGTATCGGCCTTCGCGTTGTAGGAGGTCCATGCCGTTCAGCCCAAACGCTTTGACCTGGAGGTATGGAAATGGAAGTAAACATCCGAATGATGTGTGAAATTTTGCAGATCTTGTGCTTTAGTAAGGCATACCTTGACGAGGACCATGCCGGGTCCAGGAGAGGGCCGCTCGGCCTCTCCGATGAAGAGGTTTTCGATCGGACCTTTCCCGTCCTTAACGAGGATTGCGCGCATCTTGGAGCTCATCTTAGTACTGGAAGTTAAGAGCAGTCAGAGGAAAGTGAGCGAGAAACGGAACTGTGTCGAGACCAGGGGCTAAGCTTCCGGATCCCGATATATATGCGCCGACTGACAGCCCCCTTACGAGCTCATGCACTGGGTTTCCGGTCTCGCTCGGTCAGCAAGCGAAACTCCCATGTGAAATCAAACAGTGCAAGGTCTTAGAGGGAACAGAACGCCGGAAGTTGAGTTCTCCGCGATTCGGGCCGGGATGGTAGCAGCTTCTGGAAAAATCCTCCCATTCGCAACAAGCTAAGTTATGAGGGCTCTTGTCAGTTCATTGGACGAGAAAGAAAAGGACGGCGTTCTCACTGAAGTGCGCACAACGCGCTTACTATTTGCTGGCTCGAACGCAAGGAATTGACGCAAGCTTGAAGCGCCCATGAAGTGAGCGGAGCCCATGGATTGTCATCTCCGACACTTCTCCGACAGACTGGGCTTCAGCCTGGCGCCAGGGCCGGGGCTTGCCGTGATGACAAACGTGGAACTCTGACTTGAAAGGCCAGGTCTTACTACTTATTTCTGCATGACTTATGCAGCAAGTTCCCATTGAGGAATTGCACCCAAAGCGCCCGCAGTTGACACGGATGTGACCAAATTAGCGTGCTCCGAAACCTTGATAAGTATAGCGTTTGACATATAGCTCCTGGCACTTCCCTTCTCTCTACCTGCCATCGATAACCCAGCGACCCAGGGCGAACCCGCAGACGCACTCCTGGCCTCGTACCTCAAACTACGATATCACGGAAACAGAACACTATCCCTACGAGGTGCGGTGATCTGACTCTCCTCGTCTCCGACTGACGTTCCGATGCAGATGTGGCTCATCAGCACCTCCCGGGCAGAGCATAGTTTTTTTTCTAGACCAGAAGACGTACCGGGTGGATATGCTATCCTCTCTCATGTCTGGCTGCCGATGGACTTGGAGGACACGTTTCAGAAGCTTCAAGGCTACAAGGAGCGATGTCAGGAGAATGTTTTGATGATGAAATCCTCCACACGCCTCGCCCCTAAGCTCCCGACCAACCCGCGCGACCTTGTGTCGTCCAAGATTCGGGCTTTCCTTGTTTTTGCGGAAAAGGATGGATACGCGTGGGCCTGGGCCGACACATGCTGCATCGACAAGACAAGTAGCGCAGAGCTGTCAGAAGCCATCAACTCCATGTTCCGGTACTACTCCCTCTCCCACACATGCTACGTCTATCTCTCCGACGTCGAAGACAATGGCTGTCTGCTCTCACCGTTCATTCCGAACCCGCAAACTGATAGCACGGCGAATCACGGCGTAACTCCCTTCATCGCAGTCAATGGCACGGGCGTGGGTGGACCCTACAAGAGCTCGTAGCACCGAAGGAGGTGGTGTTCCTTTCTCGGTCCTGGATCCCATTGGGAACCAAACTCGATCTTGCCATGATGCTGGAAGAAGCAACAGGAATCCCTGCGCCCGTACTTCGTTTCGAGCGGAGCATCACCGACATGAGCGTCGCAGCGCGCATGTCCTGGGCGTCGAAGCGCAAGACAACCCGGGTCGAAGACGAGGCGTACTGTTTATTTGGGTTGTTCGGGATCAACATGCCGACTCTCTACGGCGAAGGGTCACGGGCTTTCTACCGCCTGCAGGAGGAGATCATGAAGACCTCAGTGGATACCTCTCTTTTTGCCTGGGGCCCCATTCTGCGAGAGCCTCACCCATCCTTTGGGGAAGTCGTCCCCCAAATGGTCTTTACGCAGCCGGAGTTTTTCTTATTGGCAGACTCCCCCTCTCGCTTCGAAGGTGCAGGCTCCGTCGTGTTCGTTCGCTTCTCAAGCCATTTTAAGCCAGACGCAAATGTGAGTGCCATCGTTACACATGGTATTTGGAATATCACTTACTTATCAAAACTTACCAGCAGGATCGCAGCTATGCTTACACAACCGCAACGATCACACCCCATGGTATTCGTGTGCAACTGCCCATCGCTCATCTCCACGATCTCTACCACGTCCTCGACCTGTCATGCGTCCGGCACAAGCAGCCAGTGTATCTAATCGTCAGAAGACACGGGAACCTGCGCATCGATGGCCTGGACGTCTTCCATTGCGGCGGGCGGGCGCGGGGCCTCGCCTCTAACTCCGCGGACGGTCCGGAGCACCAACAGCCAGCCAACCACCGCCTCCTCATTCCTCCCTCCCACTCCGCTCTCCGGCGGCACCCCTGGTCAGCCGCGGACGTGTACGTGCACGCCCGCGCGCCCTACCGCGCCGAAACCACGCCGCTCACCGACGTCGGGCTCTCCGTCGTCCGCACCTGCGGCACCTCACAATCCCCCTTCCGCTTCCGGTGGGCACACTTGGCGGCCGCGAACGCGCTCAGGCTCGTTCGCACGACGTCGGTGCCGTTTCCTTGGACGGGCGACGCCCCGCTCACGCTCTTCTTCCACGACACCCATCTAGACTCCGACCCGAGCGCGCCGCCCACGGAGCTCGTCGCGGTCACGCTCGGGCGCTGCCGCGGTGCGTCGTCCGGGCCGACGTACATGCCGTACTCGCCCCACCGCTTGCGGCCGCACGGAGGGGAGACCACCGGGCGGGCGCAGCGCAGCGGGCGCGACCCACTCTTCGCGACCGTGCAAGTGCGCGTGTCGCCGCAAGACCAGGGTTTAGGGGCGCGGCACAATTGCGCGGAGGACCACATCGATCTGTGGGCGGGGTTAGCGAAGGCGTTCGCGGTCCCGTCGCAGATGGCCATCCCACCGCAGTGGGAGGAGGGGAGGCCTCGTGGGCAGCGCGCCGGAAGGCAGGTCGAGCCTGGGAGCGTCCCATCGTTTGCGAAGATGCGGATCCTCACTGTGCGGTTCACGGAGTGCCCGTTGTACATCGATGGGCGGGCCCTCGATTTCCACGTCGACGTCAAAGAGGCGTATGTGTAGCTTAGACTCCACTGGTCTTTCATGGCGTGTCGACCGAAGTCGTCCTCCATGCGAGATACACTTCTCTAGTGCAGCACAGCGACAGTAATACACCTATTGATACATTTCTACCGAACCGATTTCCTTGCTCCCCGCTCATCCTCGACACACCCACCCATCAGTGCAAGCTCTGCATCTGCACCAGCACGTCCTTTACAGTGGTTATCGGAATCGTGATCCGCTCCGCCTCCACGTCACCCTCCATGAACATCTCTGGATCTGGGTGAGACAAGAACGTCTCCAAGAAGTCGCCGTCGAGGAATCCCAACGACTGCTTCTCCGCGTCCGAGTGTCCATGCTCGTTCGCCGGCGAGCGCCATCTATGTATGCCCGGATTGTTAGTATCGTAGTAGAAGTCAAGGGCTAAGAGGACAGAAGGGAGACGCACTTGGTGTGGTCGACTTCGCCGGGGCCGAGTAGTGTCTTCGCCATGTTGCGCTGCAGGGCGGTCATGTGGAGCGCCTCAGCGTCGCCCACCTCCATGATTGCGCCGATGCGGCCGGACGCGGTGAAGAAGACGTGGCTAGGCCGCACGGTTTGGTCGCCCGTCGCGTCCACCGAAGTGAGCCGGCCTGCGCGCAGGACGATCAGTCGGAGCCAGAGTGAAAAGGACGTGAGGATGCATACCGGGAATGATCTTGTTCACTACGTCGTCGATGAAGTAGATGCCGTTCCTCTCAAGGATCTTCCGCTGGCCATGTGACTGGAGGACAAACGAAAAGAGGTTGCAGTCGCTCTGGAGGGACAAGGTGAATGAGCCACGATGTCACATCTTTTACGAGACATACTCACATTGCTTCCAATGACGCCGTCCTCGCTGGTTGCGATCGACATTGGCCACAGCGGACTGTAGTCCCGTGCAACGCACTCGATCTTCTCGCGCTCTTCGTTCCATTGGACCACTGAAACCGAGCTGATTGCATCGCAGACCAGCAGGTAGGTGCCATCGAACGCGATTTGTGTCACAGCGTAGTTGTGATTCCACTCTGCGACCTTCGTGACGCTGTGTGTCATCGTCTCGCCAGCAGCGCTCTCTTCGATCCTGAAGATGGTCACCTGAAGTATAGTGAGTATGTATAGTGAGTATGAATTGTCACGTTCAACAAATGGTTCACGTACAGAGGTCCCGACCCGGCTGCGAACAATGCGTCGGAAATGGGTTCAATGGTATAGACTGCGCCATAGACCTCATGGGAGGCAAGCACCTCCAGAGAGCGCGGACTGTGGCTTGACACTCCCAGGACAACGATGCGCCCGTGCGAAGGCTCCGTCTCCTCTGGCCGGAAAACAACAGTGCCCACACAGAATGCAGTTCTGGGGACTGGGCCTGGCACCGACAGGATGCATACTGAGAAGGCCACTTCATCTGGCTTGCATGCAAAACTGTCGAGCTCTATAGAAGTACGCAGATATGCGTGAAACAATGCGGGAAAGACAGGTGTTTACGAAGCACTCACGCTGGAAGGAGTGAGCGTCGATGAGTTTGAAGGAGCTCGTGACCTCTGGTATGTCCCCTACGCGCTCGATGGCAGTTTTGGTGCAAGCCACGCCGAACACTGTTGCTCTGCGTGGAATATGATCCTCCGGGGACAGTCCGATCCCAGTGGAATCTGGTGATAGGAGCGATGAGACGGCGGGGTCCAAATCCATAAATATCAAGCTTACCGTACTGATCTGCATTTTGCTCATCCCACGAAGGTTACCGACAAGCAACGATGACGATGTGGCAATAGCTAAGCAGGAGGGAATGCAGTGGTATTCAGTGTCGTTCCCTTGACCAGGTTCTGCACAGAATGGCGTGAGACGACGGACATGTCATAAATGTCAAGACGACTCACCTTGATGGCAACAGGTGAAGGTCGCAACCGGTGACCATTCCAATGCAAAACGCTTGCGCGAGCTCCGCTCGCGAAAACTACCAACTGGTCCTCGACCGCGCAAACGGAGAGGCTCGCAGGTGCATTTCCTAATGAACTCGTCTTCGGCTCTGCGAGCTTCGTTCCACGTATTTCGTATGTCGCAACTGTACCGTCGGCCAGACCAGCAAGAAGGTGTGGTCGGAAGTCAGGACCAGAGGAGCTTGTGCCAGTGCCGAAGTTGTGGAGGAGTACGGAACACGGTAGGCTGGAGAGCGAGACACTATGCGTGGTCGCGAGGGATGCAGCCGGGTTGAGTACTTCGATGCAGTTCGAGCCCCAGAACGAGACGGCTACTGAGGTTGTGAAGTTCTTGGAGGGGTCGAATGGGTTGCAGGAAATGGCACAAATCTCGTTCAGGAAGTCACGTTGCCTGATGGACTAACTCAGAGATCAGATGAAAGAGTAAGGCGTCCATAGCACATACGTGTAGATCTTGAGTGAGTCGTCTTGGTCGAGGTTAAGGAGCACCAGACGACAGCCACTGAGCCCCACTACGTATTGGCTGGGACTCATAGCGCCTGCAATGACTTGTCTACCGACGAAGTCGCCGCCTGCATCACGCGGAGTCCAGCTTCCATAGTGGTCAAACGTGGCCAGAGTAGGATCGCATTCCACGAGCTGAACTCCTTTGGGGGTGATCTGGACAACCAAGGGAGAATCCACATACGCAGATTTGCCACTAGTGGTTGTTTTTCTCCGGGGAATATTTCCAAGCGCGTAAGTGGGGGCATCAGTGACGAATCCGAGAGATGCCGGATCAAGGTGAGTGATGCTGTCCTTCCCGGAGAACGCAAAGATCAGGGTTCCTTGAAGGACCGACACCGCAAGGTGTGTATGCGTACTAAGTAACAAAATCAGCATATGTGCACACTGTATTCCTTTTCGTCCGACTCACAAGTCCAAAAATGTCGGCCGTACGGGCCAGACATCTGTGATTCCCTGAAGCCCATCTATTCGTGCATGTTCCCGGAAATCCGCCTCTGTACGAATGACTCTTAAGGAACCTGTGTTACGATCGCCGGAACATGTTACAACTTGAGGCTGTAGAGGAACGGAACGTGAGCGGATTTCGGAAACAAGTCTGCATTTGACCTACCTGCCCACTCCCGTCTATGTCCTCCAAGAGAGCGTCACAAATTGGTGCAATGTTGCTGTGCGTCTGAAGAACTTCGATGAATGTCCCCTTCATACCTACAACACGTCCTTTGAATCTTGTATCCGAATCGTCATCCACCGCCCTTCCCTTCCCTTTCTCGGATGGGGCCAATGCAGACGGTGGAAGAGTTGAGATACCCGCAGGTATAGGAAGTGTGGGGGAATTGCTATTGGCGATGGGAGATGGGTGTATGCGGACGATTTGTGAATCCCCGAAATGAGAGCCAACATAGAGAACTTGAGAGGAAAGGTACGTCATGCAAGTAGCGGGTGAAGTCTGAAGTCCGTGTCAATAGAATCCAGTGGTTGTCGTGACAGTACACACCTCGCCGAGAGGGAGTAGCGTGATGTACATGCGCTTGTCGTCGAAGGCCAGCATGGACAGACGACCGTATGCGTCACCCAGAATGAACCGCCGAGAATTCCGGGCGGGATCGCACCAACTACACAGTCGAATGACCTTCAGCTCTTACGCACTCACAGATCCATAACTGGTAGACTTACGCAGTTACTGCAGCCCACGGCCATCTCACGCTCGCGCGTGGAGGCAGTGTCCGACTTGCTCTCTCCCTTTCTTTCGCATTAGCTTGAGCAATCTCCTCCTTCTTCCCACTTGAGCGACGCTTGTTGACCCTGCTTTGTTTCCCTTTGCGCGTCTCTTGTTCGCTGTCTGACGCGTGTTCGTAGAACGAGAGCCTCGTCCCTCCGAGCACCAACACTCCTCCGCGATGGATCGCACTCGCTTCGTCGTCTTCGTCGTCTTCGTTACCGGTCGAGTAACCGGCGACAGGTATGAGCATGGGAGGCGGGTCTATAGACGGAAAGCGCTTCCTCGGGAGAAGTGTATGCGAAAGAAGGGTGGATGGGTCTGGGGAGAGTTCGTATTCCGCTAGGTCGAGATCACGGCTAATTAGCTGGATCTCCTGGCGGTGATTGAGATGGAGGAGAGCAAGAGTGTATTGATTATGGCTTTCGGTATGGAGGAAGGTGAAGGCGAGAAGGTTATACAAGTCTGAATGGCTGAACGGGAGACCAATTAGAAGAGGAGGCCGTCAAAAGCCTACGGATTGTACTCACGAAACGTCGAATGCGGCCCCCAACTTTCCCTTCTCAAGCACCACCACCTTCAATTTGCCTGTGTAGCAACTCGCGACCGCGATGCTGCCGGTGGGGTCGACTTGAAAATCAACAACGAACTCGGACTGTCGCAGCGCGCGATCGTAGAGGGATAGAGAGCCTATCGGGACCACTGACGGAGCCCCAGCATCGACAACGTACGACATGAGAATGAGATTAGGATCAGGATGGTCGGTCATAACCAGCAGGTCAGACCTGCCAGTGTCCTGCAAAGTGGCGACTAATGTGAATTGCAGGTAGAGTAAGCATCTTCGCAGCCACGCACCTCAGACGGGACAGCCTGCAGACCGACAATCCTTCCCCACATATCCGTGACACACTCCTTCTTGAGGCCATCTGGTCGGAGAGAGTATACTTCAAGTTTGTCCGTCTTTGCGAGGACGAGATGTTGAAGAGAAGCGTCTTCGGTGAGCGAACATTTCACCGAACGCGCGACCGACGACGGGGGATGGAAGGTTCCTACGACGCGCATGTTGACCGGTATGAGCAACGTCCCCGGCGTCGGCGGCGACAAAGAGCAGGCGGGAGGAAGATATCGGAGTCGCGTGTGGAGGAGGAAGTTGCTTATACACACGAAGACGTCACTTCCAAGCTAAGATACCGATCGGCTTTCCGGGCCGTACTGGGTCCCACATACTCGCCCGGGGCAGCCACACGATGCAACCATGGCAAAAGACAGTTTGAGTGAGTATATATCATGTCGCTCCACTACTAAGACTAAGTACCAGTATACCACTAGTACTGGTTGCTGTAAGCCAACTGGCAACAGATCAAGGTACATATCACAGCAAAATTTCAAGACGCGTATACTGAAAGGAGAATCCTATAGTACACTAGTACTTGGCAACTTACACACCGCCGAATCTGCATATCGTGAGGCGTTGCTTTAGACATCTGCCCGCGGCCCGTGCATGACTTCTGAATGAGCATGCTCAATCCAAACTTCCTCTCCACCCCAAGAGTTTTTCTTCGCATGCCACGCCGGTGGATGACACTGCTTGAAGTTCGGTGGGGGCACGGGTGCGGAGGCGGCGCTGTGCCAGCTCAACACGCCGAATTCTTCCTGAGGACTGAGTGCAGGTGTGGCGAGTGGACTCCGCGGCACGATTCGCCGAGGTAGGTCGAACGTCATGGGCGAACCACAACGTTCTATATCCGAGGTGTGCTCGTAGGTCGTATGCGACGCAATCGATCGTGGGACCTTGTGTTGCTCCTTCTTCATGTGAAGAGTGATTCGAGACATCATTGCTACAGTCATCCTAAGACGCATGTGTTCAGTCATCGGGCTGGAGCAAGCACTGAAGGACGCACAGGTATTCGGTTCTTCGATATTCCGAAACACTACTTAGATCAAGTCGTCCTATGATAGCATGATAACTCACTGAGCGATGACCATCTTGATTCCATCCGGAGCGGTAAGGATCATTATTGTGAGCACCAGAGTGACGCAGAATATCACGCTTCATGTCGCGTGAAAAACCGATGAGACTACGTCAAGTATCATTCGACTCACCCGTAGTACATGAGACCCTCCTGAAGGAACAGGCGAGTGGTGCGCATAATTGTTGGATACTTGAGACCGCTGTACGTCTTCCACAATGTCAGGGCGAAAACCGTTGTATCGAACACCAGCGGCAACCAAGCGGATGCCGCGGCTGCGACACCTTTCCTGGGAAGGGAGCTAAGAGGAACGTTTGACGAAATGGGGCAGCAACACCCACACATTAGGATCGAATATCATGCTGCACCCTTGGGAATCTGAGATTAGTGAAGGGGGCCTGTGAAGCAAAGTTTTGGTCAAATTTGCTTACCGTGAATACCAGGACTGTGCGGAACGGCTGACTTCTCGTCAAGCAGTGAACAAATACAGAGCGTTGAACCACTTACCTATTCCATGAGTCAACAACCAAGCGTTGGTAGCAAGCTCGACAACGAACACTAGGGCTACAGCTGCGGTAGCCCCCGGTTGCAGGCGGTAGAGACCGTGAATCCGGAAGAGCATCATTAGAGCCGAGGTATTAATGCCGATGACAGTCATGCTGCCTTCGTAGCGTACAAAATGCGAGCACCTGCAAATATCCTCAGTATCGCAGATAATGCAGCACTGAGTCAACAAACGTCTACAAGGATATCAGCAAATAGTCCGTCACGAGAAGAGGGTGACTCACTTCCGGTGTCCACGCGCTGGAGAGGTACGCTGAGCATCGTGAGCCAGTCGCAACCTTGAAGCTAAGGAAAGCCCTCTTACCGTACAAGTTGCCGAGAAACGCGATGGGAGTGAGGTATCGGTTCTGCCACGGTGGTGAAATGAATGTGAATAAAGATGCAGCGTCCTTACTCACCAGGAAGAATAGATAAATCGTCGCTGTGGGAAACTGCAGTGAGACGATAGCTCCCTGGGGCTGATATCGGCAGTGAAATTGCATACGACTGCGCAGGTTCTTCGTTCGCTCCCAGATGTATTTGATCTGTCATAGCATCAGCCCATTGAACGTATGACATGTGGTAGCTGCCACAGCGAACCTCGTCATCGAGCGTAATTAGATGGTCCCAGACGAGAACTGTGTAGCTCGCGAGGCCTACATACTGACAATGATGATGTGAGTATACAATTCTTCGCGACGAGGAGAGGTACAGCTCACGATAGTGATCATACTACACCGTGCGGCACATTGTATTCAGCATGAGCGTCCGCGCTTAGAAACCTAGAATCAGGAATATCTCACAGCTCGCTTTGTTGATTCCACGGCGATTCCATGGCTTCTCGGGGCCTGTAGAACTGAGAAGCGGTATTAGAGGAAGAGAGCGGCAGGCGAGGGGAGTAAATGACATGGACGCACCGCTGCTCCATTCTTATGACGAGCTCACGGGCTGCGCTCCAGCTCTGCCGTACACCTGTAGTGTAGACAGCGCCCCCGCGTCCACACTAGAAGCGATGACTCTCTCCTCATCAAACGCATGTCACTGCCCCACAGCGCTTGGCGAGCGCCTGGGCTGGAGAGTTCAGTGAGATCCCTCAGCGCGGAGAGTGCGTGGATATTTGGGTCTTGCGACTGGCCACATGAACGATCGAAACTGTGGGATGAGAACTTCAGTGTCGTATCAGGAATTTTTAGAAGACTTGGCAAGCCTCAAGGGTGTCAGTCGGTCGGCGCCGAGCGGGAAGACGTGTTCAAGGGAAACGCCGGCCTCACCCTTAATCTTGTTGCTGAGAGTCGCCAGGGTGCGTCTCGATCGGAACCTCATAAACGCATCTGCCTTGAGCTGTCGTTCGGCCCCATGGCGAGTCACAGTGCCGGCAATTGAACCTGCTGCTCTTTTCGACTCACCATGAGCTCGTCGAGGTTTTCCATACTCGAATCCGGCGGCGGCGGCGACCTGTAATATGCTCACAGCAATGTCTCTGTTGAACGACGCCAGACCCATCTCCCGATCTCTCGGCTCTATTTCACGCCACGACATGGCAGAGTGTGTGAGAGAACACATGCCGAGAGCGTCAAGTCAGCCGCCACGGCCGTATATCGCGGGGCGTGCGCAACCAATCCGCCTGTCCATTTCTGAGCCGAAGTAAAAGAAATCTGCACAGTAAGCCCACATGACGGCGCGCTGTGAATGTGGGCAAACCTTCTCCGCAATACTTCACCTTCGTATGTTTGCTCGTCATTGATCATTGTGAAGAGATGGTTATCCCGATCGATGGCAAGCCGGGATTGCGTAAAATCTAGCAAAGTGAGACAGGCGCCTGGGAAAGTAGATGATTATACGGGGCCTGGTGCGGCAACATTTACAGCAACAGGTACTTAACAAACCTGCTCCATTGCCATCTTCCGGGATCAGAGAATGTGTGCAGTGACCAGAAACGTCGGCACCAATCGCCGTTGCCTTGCCTGGTGCACCGTGCACACTCATGTGGCTTTCTGAAGTCCGTGTCGACGTTCGTGAGTATGCGAACACACAGCATCTATGATGCCAACCCTTCTTGATCATCTAGACCACACGGTGGTGGGTGGTCGTTGCGTAAACTCCGTGCATCCAAACTTACATTGACAACACTTACCATCGAACAATATACGCGTCATGCAGCCTGGATCAACCCTAGCACCCCTGCAAACGTTACATCCGGCGGTCATGATGCTGGGGGTTCAAACGAAAGAGTTCCATCCATGTTCTCTATCGGGTCTCCGCTTGTGCCCGTGATCTCGCTCCCAGGCTGATTTGCAACAAAACGGTCGAGTGCGGTTTGTGTACGGTCTTGAGGCGCTTTCGCTTTCGCCCTGCTCTTTCCTGGACGTGTCGTGGGGGGAGGCTTGAGTTCGGCGAGAACAGGAATAAGTTCTATAAACGAGCGCAGTCTCTCCGTCATCCCGCATTGGCTCGAATTTCCCGAACCCACCTTCGAGAAACGCTAGCTCTTCTGCGCGCTGCACCGAGGATACTAGAATGCTATCGCGTTCAAAATGGGTTCGAGGGCAAGAAGCACATACAACGCACCCAGATCCTTCACTTGCACAGTAGTCCTTCGGTCCCTTTCCGCTACCCTCTGCGACGCCTCAGTCAATTTCTGAACAAACTCCTCCGTCGCTCGTGAGATCAAGAAGGCCGCTTCTCGCTGCACCATTACAAGCTCCTGGTTCGCACATGCGCAAATGGGATGGACCGAGGGACGCAATCAGTTGCAGTCCCCCTTCGCAGAAGAGACCTCACGGTACCTTATCCGCCTTCAGAATCTTCTGCACTCTTGTGTACGGAAAGATAGACTTTCCGGGCTCTCGTGTCAGTGTATCTGGGGCTTTGGAACGTTTCGTTTTTGATTCAGTGGGGAGTTCATCGACCGTCTCGCTGAGCACGGCTTGATCTTGGGAAACGGCGGCCATTGTTTCATCTTGAGTTATGTCCAATTGTGATGCAGACACCTCTGACATTGCTTTACGTGCGGAGGGGTAGGAAGAGAGCAAGATGCGAGAGTGAGGATCTTGCAAATGCAGGCCCAACTTACGCGCGCGCGTTGAACGCGACCAGCCACAGACGGTGACGCGTACAGTCACAACCCTGGTCACATTCGCCTAGCAAGTAATTATGTACCACGAAATGATGACCGCATCCTTCACCCTGCTACAGTCTGCTACTGTTTGTTCAACGACCGAGCCCATATACATTGAAGTGCTTCTACAATGCAACAGACTTGTTGAATCCCTCAAAGCCGCACTTCTTCCCCGACATCGACGGTTGAGTACTGCTCCATCACTGACAGCAACCTGATCCACCTGCCACCGTCCCACTTCTCCACGCTCTTCCACTCCTCACTCTCCTCGCCGAGGCAGTCTCGGAACCAGCTGAACACCCCGGCTATTACGAAGTCGGCATACGACGCCCCGCCCTTGTCGCCCATGACTAGCAGCTTCTCCTCTCCGTCCGCTTCGTACCATTTGGCCATCTTGCTGAAGCCCTCCTCTGTCTTCCTCCAGCACTCCGCGCGGAATTCACTACCTTTGGGCGCGATATCTTCAATCTTCTTGTTGAAGCGCTTTTCGCGAGTCGCGCGGAAGTATGGCTGACTGGCCGCCCTCAGCTTCTCGAAAGCGGCAGGGATGATGACGAATCGGAATGGGGGAGGAGGTGCGAATGTTCCGTGGAGGGCCTTCTCGAACGCGACGGTCAGGACGTCCGTGCCAGGAGGGATCAGGCGGGGTGTGTCTGGGTACGTCTTGTCCAAGTATCGCGCGATTGCCATCGAGTCGGAGACGGTGGTTTTGGTGTTGGGGTCATAGATGGCTGGGAGGGTGTAGATCGGCGTGCCATCCTCCGCCTTGTCCCCCGCCGACGCCCCGATCTTCCTGCACAGGGCCTGGATGTCGGGATACTCGACCCAGACTGTTTTGTATGGAAGACCCTTGAAGTTCAATGACAGCCTGCGTTGTACGTCGTCGCTCAGGCCCAGGGGCAGATACCATTGCCATTCGTGTTTTGCTCACCGGATTTTCCAGGTGTGCGGGGAGAATACCTTGGACTTGCTGAGGCAGGGGATGTCGTAGAATATGATGGGTTTGGACATCATGAATGTCACGGTGCGATTGGCTCGAGTGCCAATATGCACGCATATGCGTTTGCCGCATGCACATGAAGATGACTCATGCGCATATCTGCTTAGAAAGACTGTAGGGCGTCAGCCCACGAGTCCCAAGTCCGAATTCCGCAATCTTATCTGGAAAGTTTCACCTCTTGAACTGTGAGCGTCGATTCCAGCATCGAGGATGAAGCCATGATCAGGTTCCATAAATGGAGCAGACCACGAGATGACTGGCCACGCGGGAGATGTCCATGTGCCATCACAGCTTCGCTGGGATCCGTTCCCGCAAGCCTCAGTGCAGCCACCACAACAAGCTGTCTAATTCATGCTTCCCGTGGGAGACGCATTCAATCCGGTACGTCCCGGGTTGTATCTCTGCTCTCTTCATCTGATGTTAACCCTCCAGTACAGACACCGCAGCCCACGGCAAGCGCGCGAGAGTTGCACCGCGCACGAGGATGTGCTCGGCTTCTTACCCCGCAGTGATGGCCCAACACCGTGATCGCGTGGCCCTGGCCCCGCGTTGTCTGCGGGGAAATGCACTCGACCACCGCGTGCTCATGTGGCACGCGGACGTTTCATTGCTGCATCGGCGGACATCCGATTCGCGCCGCCGCTTCACACAGCAACAGTACTTTCGAGTGGCAACGCACCGGGCTTCGAAGCATGCACACCTGAAGGTCACGGTGAGATGCCGATGCGGGTCCAACACCGACGTTGTGTAGGTATAAGACCAACTGTGTACCGTGGTGTCTCGCCGTCGGTCGCCTCTCGCCTTCCTTCGAGTCCCGGCTCCCAACGCACGGACTACCGCATCGCCGTCGCTCCCTCCTTAAGCACGAACTCACCCCGCCTTTCACGATGCACTTCGTCAGTACCCTCCTCCTCGGCGCTCTGGTCACGCTCCGTGTGGCGGCCGCCCCGGCCGCTACAGTAGTGTCACCACGGGAGGCCAATGTCGTATCAACCACGCAGATGTCGAGCTACGCGCCCTTCACGCAGTTTGCGCTCGCCGCATATTGCGACGGCACTGCGACTTGGTCGTGCGGTGGTACGTCGATGTCTCCTGTCCACCCATTCGGCGGCACCCAATATGCCTCTTCATGGACTCACCTTGCCCATAGACGCATGCGACTCCGTGTCCAGCTTCCGGCCCTCGCTCGCCGGTGGCGACGGGAACGCGGTCCAGAAATGTGAGCACTCTTCTCTGCCCACTTTCACATGGCTCGCGCTGACCCCATGACCGTGCTTCTCAGACTACGTCGGGTACTGGCCTGACCAAAACGCGGTGGTCATCGCGTACGAAGGCACTGATCCACCCAGTTGTGCGTGACTTCTCCTTGGTTCCATTTCCCATCGTTGACGTTTACACGTGGGACCGCTTCGCAGCCTCTCGGATTTGACGGACGTCGACCTCTTCCTGGCGCCGCTCGACGCGACCCTCTTCCCTGGGATCCCTTCCTCCGCCGAGGTGCACGAGGGCTTCGCGAACGAGCACGCAATCGAAGCGTCTGCTATCCTTGCTGAAACCAAGAGTCTCCTCAGCAGCAAGGGTGCCACCACGGTCATCACGGTGCGCATGCTTTCCCTCTGCGTGCCATGTTTTGCCTGGAAGAACAGATGCTGAATGAATGGGATGACGTTCAACAGGTTGGGCACTCGCTCGGAGGAGCACTGGCCGAGCTGTCGGCGCTCTTCATGACACTCAACCTGCCGTCGAGTGTTCATGTCAAGTCCGTCACCTTTGGTACCCCACGCGTCGGCAACCCCGACTACGCTGCTTACTTTGACTCCAAGGCTCGTCCCTCGCAATTCTCTCGGATTACTCACGGCTCATCTCTGCTGTGTCTGCCGTTCACTCCTAACAGGTGTCCGATTTCGTCCGCATCAACCACGACCACGACCCGATCCCGATCGTCCCCGGACGTTCTCTCGGGTTCCGGCACGTCCACGGGGAGATCCACATCCTGGACTCAAACGGAAAAGCGTACGCGTGCAGCCCTGACGACGATGCCACGGACTCGCAATGCACGATCTCAACGGTACCCAACATCTTCGATAGCAACATCCTCGACCATCTTGGCCCTTACGAAGGGACTTACTTGGGCACCATCTTTTGTTAAGGCCTAGTCGGCCTTCATATGTATACTAGCAGGGAATACCCGTCACGATGTTACGCAGGTTCACTAAGGAATGTAACACTATCTGTTGCCACATTGAAGTGCCCCCGGTTCGACGGTAGGAATGTTGCCCAGTGGTTTTACATTCGCCAAGGTCGCCCAAGGTTCAAAGTACATGATTGGTGCCCTCGTCGACCGCCTCATATGGTTCGAATGCCGCCGCAAACTTCCCCCACCTCCCACCTTTGATCGCCATAATCCCCATCCACAGGTCACTCTCCTCACCCAAGACGATCCTGAATGTCTTCAACCACGACGCGAGCACGATATCAACGTACGCCACCTTGTCGCCCATGAAGAGCACCTTGTCCTTGTCCTCCCCCGCCTCCAGCCACCCCGCGATCGTCTCGAACGCCTTGGCCATCGCCGCGAGATGCCCCGCGCGCTTCTCGCTCCCCGCCGGCGCCATCGCGTCCAGCGGGAGCCCGAAGACCTCCGCGCGGCGGCGGGCGAAGTACTCCGCGCTCCTCGGGTTCAGCTGCGCGCCGATCGGGGGCAGGATGAGCATGAGCATGTCAGGCGCGGTGAGCGCGCGGAACGCGGTCTCGAACGCGGCGTGCAGCGCGTCGGCCTCGGCGGGGATCAGGCGCGGGGTGTCCGGGTACGTCGCGTCGAGGTAGCGGGCGATCTCGATGGACTCGGAGACCGCGCGTTCGGTGTTGGGGTCGTAGATCGTCGGCAGGGTGTACTCGGCCATGGGGGGCGCGCCGGTCTTGGGGGCGCCGAGCTTCTTGCAGAGTGGGGCGATGTCCGGGTATCCGACCCAGACGGTGGTATAGGGGATGCGCTTGTAGTTTAGGCAATAGCTATGGCCATCGATAGCCTTGAGCACGATCGATGTCGAAGGTCGCAGGGAAATCAAGCTCACCGCGTCTTCCAGGTGTTTGGTGACCACGCTTTAGCTGCATTTCCCGGGATGTCGTAGAAGATGAGGGGCTGCGACATTAATGTGATGTTGGGGTTTCAATATGCCTCGGGACGCAGAGTTAAATGCACTTCCAGAAAGCGCCTGGCTTACGGTCCGAGCCCAGCTTCTGAATTCTTTGGCTTTCATGGTACTCGCCATGAGTCATCCCAATCGATGGCATGAGTAAGAGCATGTCCACGCGACTGTGCTTGAGCCAGCCTCGGGGACCAATTGGCACGTACACGGAAGTTGTTGTCGAGGAACTTGCACAATGCAACCCGAACATTGAGATGACATCACGTGACTCTCATCTCGTTTTGCTGTCTTTGCTGCCTTACTTGCTGCCACTGAGACCGAGGCTTGTTCTTATGCATCCCATGACATCTCCTCTGTGTATCTGTACGCGATGCGACAATGTGTCAAGTTGCTTTCAAAGCTGCAAATCCTCTCCCTGGTCAACAAATGAGTACTGCTCCATCTTTGCCAGCAATTTCGCCCATCTCCCCCCGTTCCACTGCTTTATCCTGCCCCATTCCTCCGATCCCTCGCCGAAGCACTCGCGGCACCACACGCACCAACCCGCGACGATGAAGTCCGCAAACGACACCCCGCGCTCGTCGCCCATGACCAGCAACCTGCTCGACCCGTCCGCCTCGTACCACACCTCGATCTGCCTGAAACCCTGCTCGATTTGCTTCCAGTACTCCTCGCGCTGCGCGCTGCCCTCCGGCGCGAGCTCCTCCAGCGTCGCCTTGTAGTCCTCCTCGCGCGTGCTCCGGAAGAACGGCTGGCTGGCCGCCCGCAGCACGCGATGCGCCGCGGGGACGATGAGCCGTCCAAAGCCGTCCGCGAACGCCGCATACACCGCGGACTGGAACGCTTTCACGAGGACCTCGGTCTCGCGCGGGATGACCGCCGGGGTGTCTGGGTACGTCCTGTCCAGGTATCGCGCGATGGCGGCCGATTCGGGGACGATGCGCCTCGTGTTGGGGTCGTAGATGATGGGGAGCGTGCCGATCGGGATTCCACTGCGACCGACCCAAGTCGCGTCTGGGCCGAGCTTGTCGCACAACCGCGCGATGTCGGGGTACTCAACCCATACGGTCTTATAGGGGAGTCCCTTGACGTTCAAGGTGTAACTAGGCGGAAAGTGAGAAACGACGCGTCACCAGCAGGGATCCGCAGCACTGACCGTGTTTTCCAGGTGTTGGGAGACCAAGCGACATTCTTCGAGTTGCTTGGGATGTCGTAGAACACGATGGGCTCGAGCATGCTGAGACGTGGGCTCTTGGGAAACGCATCAAGCTGCGCTTATATCGTGCTGGCTCTTATACTTGAACGAGGTTCCCACTCCACGAGGATCCGAGTCAGCGCCAGCAGGCCGCCACAACAGATTACACCAGTCATCCGCTCAGAACTTCTAGCTTTCTCAGATGGCCTGCATAATATAGCTGCATATCCACATGGTGCCGATGGAATATTTTCGACCAGAATGTTCTGTGGATCGCGGCAAGCGTATCCATTATAGCATCCAGCACTAGTCAGGTCGCATTGGAAGATTGCCGCCGATCAAAGAGGATTTGTAGTTTAAATTCGTGAGGGCCCGGTAAACATCGGAAAGCATACGACAACATTGACCGATTCGGAGCGCGGAATGATACACCGTCCATCCCTTGCATGATATGCTCGTCCTACAAGGGCACTTAGTAGATGTACGGGAAGATGCGGTACGGCACAAGCTGGGTGTACTTGTGCCAGTCCTTTCCATATCTGCGGGACGATGATGAGACTACAATCGAGAGCAAATCCAAGGGAACTCACTTTTTCTCGCATGCCTCATCGTCACGCATCTGGCGGTGAATCAGAAGAACCAAAAAATAGGCCACGTAAAAGTACGTGATGGGTGTGCTGAAACCGGTAGGGAGAGACCAAGAGAACGCCATGATCAAGTCACCCCTGATGCAGAGTCAGCAAAACAAGAACGAATTGCAGTATAGTCGTGCATACATGTAATTGGGGTGACGGCAGAGTCCCCACCAGCCAGAAGTGAGGAGCTTGCGGCCGCTTTCGGTTGTCATGAACTTCAGGTCTGCACATCTACATTAGCAACACATCCTCCTCAGGTCACAAATAAGACGTACTCTTGGGGTTGCGGCCGTTCCTGAAATCGTTTTTCTCGCCATTCGCGCCACGGAAGATGTAGTAGCCAAGCAGGTTGGCAGTGAAAATGAGCCCAGTGTAGATGGGACCCAGTTCAACTTGGTTGAAGACGAGGTAGCGAGCTTGCAGAGAATAGACGAAGGGAACCCAGGCGAGGTCACCCACCGAGAGCATGAAACCGAAACCATCGGTTGTGATGTCCATGGTGGTGAGAATCGCTGGCTGAATGAACGAGTTAAGAAGTGTCCGATGGATCGCGTGCGAGTCCGCTCTCACCTCGTTGTACAGGCAGTCGGCCACATACCACCCCTGGAAGGCGAGCACCAGCCACATCGAGTCCGTGACGTCAGCGAGAGTACCGCCGCGACGAACGGCCTGCTCGCACGCCATGGCAATGTCGATGATGAACCAGAGGATTAGACCAGGGCGAACTTCGTTAAACGACTTGATGTCAAAAGAGCCAATGGACGGGTTGAGCTCGCGACCGATGAACCACTGTATGTAAGGCTCAGCATGACATCTACCTGGGATGATCGAAGAACACGTACGTCGTAAAGGAAGTTGCCGGAATTCCCTGCGAGCGCGAGGAGGGCACCCGGGCGGTAAGAAGACGCGTATACGTAGAACGCCTGGAGGATGGACATGGTGAGGGCGGCGGTCTGGAGGCCGATCCAGTGGTCGTAGATGAATGTCAGGGGCGCAGGGCCGTCGCGGTAGATCACACCTGCGGTGAGACCAAGGGCCAAGAGCATTGTGGCAAAGCCTTGCATGGAAGTGAATACGCGCATGTGAGGGACGAGGGAGGGCGACGTACCGTTGATCTTGTACTGTTTCGTCTGCCCATTGCGCATTTGGACGCCACTAACCCAGTCTCCGGGGAGGATGGCCCACGCCGCGACGGTGAACGCATACCATGCAAAGTACGCCACGAAGGCCTCCTTGTCAAAAAGGCCCTTCCACCATTCCAAGCTTGAAAGGGAGTTGATGACGGCTTCTGTGTCGATGGGCGGGTGGCAACCACCAGCTTGCTCAGAGCAGCCGAAGTAGAGGGCGTAGGTCGTGACGGGGACACCGAAGCTGACCGCGAACGCGCCAATAGGGCCGAAGAACTCGTACTTGGTCGTGCGTGGGTTGAGTTCTGCGGCCGTATTGGAAGATGAGGACATGATGGTCGTTGGAGGACGAGAACGTGAGAGCGCGTCTTATGCATGCCGCACGCGCGCGCGACGCGTTCACTGCGCCAAAGTGGCACGACAGCGCTTTACGCGGAGCCATTTCCGAGCCCGACTGTCACACCGTTATCCTGCTGCACTCCAAGACGTCTATAGGCACTGTGTATATTTTTCGTCTCTCGGGGCTCGGCGCGAGACCTCGGGAGCATCCCCGCTCTGACGGGCCGACACATGTGTGACAAAATGTCACATACGCATGACCGAGACACGACCGGTTGCACGGCGACGCAGCCCAAACGTGACCCCTCCGCGTCCGACTCGTCGTTGCCCACGACCTGCCTTCCTCCTCCCACAAACCCAGCATGAGTGATGGGGTTCTTCTCTGCCAGGCGGGCTGAAGACCTCCACTCCAGCGCACAGGATGACGGCTCCGTCGTCCGAGTTATCCGGTCCAGATTTGTGCGTTCGATCTTTGCATGCGTTTCGCCATTCGCGGCTCGTCCCGTTCCTCATTCCCGCATTGGCAGTACGGCGGCAAAGCCAAAGGCAAGGAGCGTGAGGGAGAGGGTTCCTCCGGATCCCACGCATACACCTCCTCCCTCTCCGACCCCTCCACTTCTTTCACCGCCAAGGCAGCCGACAAGCGTTCTATCACCGGTTCCATCCGCGCTCTACGTACGAGCACATCCACCAGGAATTGGCCTCCTGACACCTCTACCATCTCTACCCGGAGGAGTGGCAATGTCGGTGACATGGCCAGCTCTCGCACATCTACAGACATCATCACGTAAGTCGTCATCCCTCGCTTCTTGCGTCACCAGCCCCAATTTCCCCTTCATGCAGGGTCACACTTGCCCAGAGACTCAACGAACTTGCGACGGCCAACTCCGAAGGTCTCCTCAGCGATGACGAGTATCGGTTGCTCAGGCAGAGTCTTTTCGAGCGGTTTGCGAGCGGTTCTGCTGTCCCCACGGAAACATCTCTGGTAGCGATGTCGAAACCCCTTTCCACTGCCGAGTCCCGTAGTGAGTCCGTTGCTTCTACTCTTTTGCGCCTTTCGCCAACCAAGTTTAGCATCCAACGCCGGGCGTCGTTTGTCCTCACACTTCCACGTTCAACCCAACTCCGTACGAACACCCTCCATCTCCTCGAAGAAGTCCATATCTTCCACCGTCACCGGGCTCTTGCGACGGGCGACTAGCAAACGCGTCGTCTCTAACCCCGCGGATATGAATGGCAGCGACTCAATGAGCGTCTATTCAATGGCCTCCTCTCCTCCAGAGCGCGTTACCCTTCCCCGAAAGCTCGCCAAGCAAAACAGTGACACTTCGTTACGCACCGATGCATCTTCCGCAAGGATGTCTCAATCCTTCAATCGTAGAACGATCATTGGCAACCATACCTTCGCCGCGACCGATCCTGGGCCTCTTCCTACAGTATCATCACCATCGAGCGCATCAAGATCCAGGACTCGCTCAGGCAGTCGCACAGCGCCCCCTTCCTCATTCCACGGCTCTTCCAAAGGCATAGAGTCAACATATACCCACATTAACATGAGCGAGATACCAGACGACGATACCGTGGAGTCCGTGCAGGACATCAAACATCAAATAGAGCTTGTCGAGGCCGAGGGGCTTCGACTCTTGGACGCTTTCAATGGGCTGGAGCTCTCGACGTTGACGAGGCGAGGACGAAAGCCCCCGGTCATTCCGCCATTGCCTTCACACGGTTCTCTCAACGATGGGAGCTGGCCAACTGGTACCCTTCGCCCTGGGAAGGACGTCGACACCCTTTCATACAAATCCAGCGGCTCTGGGCGAACGGCGAAGTCACTCAAACGTTCACCGTCCTTCGGCGCAAAACCTCGGACATCGGCTCCCGGGTCGAGTACCACGCTAGTGTCCCCGTCCCACTCCATCATGCGCAAACCGTCCCAGTCATCCGTTTCTTCTCGCGGCCGCAACGGCTTCCCCGCTCTGACTGGCCACCTCGCCACCGCCAGTACGTCGACCGTCAACTTGACACGTAGTACGAACCACCTTCCTTTGGAGACCGTCGAGGAGACCGACACCAAATCCGCCCGGACTGCTGTGAGTCGGAATGGAAGCGCAAAGACGCCGCGGACCCCAATATCCCCCACGTCGCGATCGGAAGTGGGGTCGACAAGCTCCGGTAACAGGCGAGGCCCGGCGCATGTTGACGAGGAGGAGCTGATGATGATGGAGGCCGAGCTCGCGGACATCCGCCGCCGGCGCGCTGCGGTGACCGCGCGGTACGAGTCGCGCATTGAGTACCTGCGCGCGCGGCTGAAGGGGGCGGAGCTGCGGGAGAAGATTCTGCGGAAGTAACTACGGTACTGCGTACATAACACCCCCACCCCCACCCCATCCCCATCCCATGAACACAACACACTCGATACTCTCTGCGCGCTGGAGCCCGCGTTGAAGTGGCTGCTGCCCTGTCCTGTCCTTTACGAGCTACCTCACGTCGATTGCACTATACCTGGACTAATGGGTTGTACTCTATCGCTATCCTACCCCCTTACGCGTAATGGCCGGACGCTCCTCGTGAGGCGATATCTTTTCGTGTATCTTCCTCAATGATGCCATTGCGTTCACTTCCAACCAGGCTCTGTGGCCATAATTCCTTGTCGTCTTGGACTGCGACGCGGATCAGAGACTACTCGTGGGTGAGGCGGCAGGGTGCAAACTGGGACGGTGCCGCTGCGGACGACGAGGAGGCTACCTAGCGCGCGCACAACTTCGAGCAATGTCGACGCGTCCCAAGACTTCATCTTCGAGGACTAACCAGAGTCCTGGTTCAGCGCAGCCTACAATGCATGGATTCTTTGTGATTCTACAAACCTAACGATGAGTCGCAACATTAAGGCTTGCCTCGCATCTAAAAGGCATGACGTAGTTGGAAGTCGCCGCTTAAATGATTTGGACGCTCTGGGGAGCCTTTCCCTTCTTGCCACAACCCAGCTCTCTCAGGTCCGCTGCTCTCTCCCAACCACCACCATATCCCCCGATACCACGCAGCATCGCAGGCTGTCTTGTTGTACCCATGCCCAGCAGCATACTCCACGAAGATGACGGCACCGGGCCCATAACGCCAGGCTCGCGCGTTCCGTTGCATCGAAGCACAAGCCACAGCTCGCAATGGTCAATCCCCGACACGCCCACGCACCATCTTCAAGGCACGTCCTACTTCACCGAGCGCTCTACATCTCCGACGCAGCAACGACGGGCGGTCCCTGCCAGTCGCGGACGGACACCATCAAGTAGCTCCGCCGTCCGCAGGCCAAGGGGGCCGTCCAGGAGCACCAGCGTCACATCTACCGGACGAGGCTTTCGAGATCGCGATCCGCTAGACGAAGAGAACGAGGAGGATATATCCGAAGAAGCTGGGGAGAACGGCGATTCGTCGGGCAACGACACCCCGCGCGCAGGTGAAGACGAAGACGGAGAGTATGAGGACGAAGAGGAAGACCCCATTACGCTCAAGGACCGTCAATCGCTTATCAACGTCGAGCACCCATTCGGACTGCGTATCTGGAAGCCCGCGCTCTACAAGAAGCAACGGTCCGTGACCAAGTACGCAGACCAGGAGCTGCACTCGGTCCCCAGTGCGCAGGCGGAGCGCCATCTACTCCCCGGGAACATCTTCTGGTTCCTTGCCTTTGGATGGTGGCTCGCTGTGGTATGTTTCGTCGTCTCCGCATTTCTCTACATCACGCCCAAAGGTGGAAGTGTCTATTCCACGCTGGTCTTCGGCCTGGGATGGTACATCGCTTGGCCTTTCGGGAAGTACGTAGAAGGAGACCTTGGGGCTATGGACGAAGACGAAGAGCACGCCGTACCTCCTCACTCTGCACGTTCGGAGGCCTCCCCCCGTCGCAGCGAGTCCCAAGCCAGTGGTTCAACTATACCCGCCTCATCATCCGCGTACGACACCGTCACCCCGTTGACTTCAGCCCTCCGAGAACCCAGCTCCGAGTCGTGGGTCGGCAGGCCCGATGCTACGACTTCATTGCTGAGTGCTCCGAACGGTTCAACGCGTCCGTCCTCTCGTCCTCTCCCTGCAAAATCGTACGGCGCCACTCCATTGCAATCTACCTTCGCCATCGGGGCCGCGAGCACAGCTAGCAGGGCAGAAAATTGGCTGGGGAAGGCGGTCTTCTGGCTTGCGATAACCTCCCTCATCGCCCCCCTCATGCTTCTTGTCTCGGTCATCTGTTGGTTCTTTATCTTCACCATCCCAATGGCGCGGCTGAACTGGGCCCTTATCAAACACCTCTTCAAGCACCCCACATGTCTCCGGTTCTGTGCCGCACCATATGTGCCCGTGGTCGATGACCGCCAGGAAGCGTCTGAAACTTCAGATGGGTCCGCCGAGACGGAAGCAACCCCCGTCACGCTCAAGCACGCCAGACTGTCCGCAGGCCAAGCAGCCCCGTCCGGCTCTCCGACCTCTACCGTGCTTCTGTGCACGTACCGTGCGTGGGGCTGGAAATACTACAAGTACACCGTCGGCGGCGTCAACATAATCTTCATCAACCTCCTCCCGTTCGTCATTTTCGCGATCATTGACGGTATCGTGCTCCTCCCCATGGTCGAGCGGCGGGAGCACACCGGCCAACATATTCCCGCCTTCCTCGCATTTATCACCTCGCGCGCACTCATATTTGTAATGAGTCTGGCTAGTGTCATCCCGCTCTCCTACTTCATCGGCATGGCCGTCGCCTCGATCTCTGCGCAGTCGTCGATCGGCATGGGCGCGGTGATCAACGCCACGTTCGGCTCGCTCATCGAAATCCTGTTGTACGGAATTGCGCTCACGCAAAGGAAGGGCCACCTGGTCGAAGGATCGATCGTCGGCAGTCTGCTTGCGGGCGTCCTCCTCATGCCGGGCCTGAGTATGGTCAGTGGTGCGGTCAGGCGCAAGGAGATGAGGTTCAATGCGAAGAGTGCGGGCGTCACCAGCATGTTGCTCATCATGGCGTTCATCGGCACCATCGCTCCCACTCTGTTCTATCAGACCTACGGAACTGTGAGTGTATGATATTTTACTAGTGCACATATACTCACCTCTCGTCAGTTCGAGCTGGTCTGTGAAGGGTGCCCTGATGATATGGTCTCGGTCCTCGCGAAGCCATGGAAATGCGACCAATGCTATTATGAATACCCGGACCCGGTCGAGGACCCATTCTATCAGTCCACGGTGAAGAGTCTCATGTACTTCTGCGCCGTCGTCCTCGTCTTGGTAGCGTCTGTTCACCACTTCTCTCGTGTCGCATTCTGATCTATTTCTTTGTAGTCGTACCTCATCGGTCTTTGGTTCTCACTACGGACTCACGCAAGCCAGATCTGGCAGAACCCTCAACCGCTCCTCCACCAAACCGAACCTAACCTTGCTCAAAGCAACAGGCTTTCGATGTATCATAAACTCCTGCAAAACACCCAGTTGCGCCACAAACCCAGCTTTCTCACCACGCCGGCAGTTGAAGATCTCCCTTCGCTCCCAGGCGACGGCCCTACCTCGTCGCAGCACCTGCAACCGGCCGCCCCCATCCTCCAAATCCCACCCGCGCGCGACCCGAACGCACGCCGGATCTCGTACGCTCAGCCGCCGGTCAATGTCCCGCTCGAGAATCCGATCCTGGAGACGGTCGATCACACAATCAAGCACACGGGCATCCAGCCACCACGGAGTCTGACCACGGACGAGTTTACGCGTGCCGTCGCCGTCGCGACGGTGAGCGCACTCCGGCACCAACAACAGCACGGGCCGCCCCCGGCGTCGCCCGCTCGCCTCCGCCACCCAGAGGCGGACGCCGGTGGGCATGGCGGACACGACGCGCCGTCGTGGAGCCGGACGATGAGTGCGAGCGTCCTGCTTGGGTGTACGGCACTGTATGCCATCATTGCCGGTAAGCTGACGCCTTGTTCGGGGGTGAATGTGAGGCTTACACGACACCATATCAGAAATCCTGGTGGACGTTGTCGATGTGGTGTTGGAAGGCTCGGGCATCGACGAAAAGTTCCTCGGCGTGACGCTCTTTGCTCTGGTACCGAACACCACGGAGTTTATGAATGCCATCTCGTTCGCTCTGAACGGAAACATCGCACTGAGGTGAGTAACTAGGCTGTACACGAGGAGCTTGTGCATGGGCTCACATCCATCTTCCAGCATGGAGATTGGCTCCGCCTACGCTCTGCAGGTCTGTCTGCTGCAGATTCCAGTTCTCGTCGCGTTCTCCGCCTGGTACGCCCCCGAGAAGATGGGCAATGTGGCCGAAACTTTCACGTGCGTGCTATCTCCTCATTTGCGCTGTCTGGTGCTGACGGCAGCGCAGATTGATATTCCCCCGCTGGGACATCATCGCGATCATCCTCTCTGTCTTCCTGATGACGTACACCTACATCGAAGCCAAAAGCAACTATCACCGCGGCTCCATCCTCATCCTCAGCTACCTCGTGCTCGCCTCTGGCTTCTACTACGCCCCTGCACGGACAGAGGCTGGCGGGGAGATGTTTCCCGTCGTGGGCAACCTCGCGCAGGCGTTCAGAGGCTCTCTGTCCTCGTTCTCTCCATCCGCTTGAGTAGGGCGAGTGCTCTCACATCACCTGCGACAGTGCCGTCGTCTTCTACGTACTACTTACGCCCATTTTGAATGGCGTTTACGTGCTACCCCACTTCCTCGTCTCGTCACGGATCGCATATAACCACATACACACATTTCACGGGTTTGGATAAGGACGCTGCCAAGATTATCGACCATGTACATCGCAGCTCAATCTCACGACATTGCACGAGAACCCCGCACCGCATCAGCCATTGAAGTCGCGGCCCACGAGGCATGCACATAAACGTGCGTCAAGTTATTATTATTGTGTTCGCTCTGCCCGCGAGCTACAGCAACACTGATCTGGACGAAAATGCGTGTAGGTGTACTACAGCCACGATGGTGACAATTGTGGTATTACCCAGAGCACGAAAGGTTACAGCCCATTGGGGATACCAACTGTATTCTCCCCGTTGGAAGCCTAACCTAAGCTCGACTTTTTTAGAAACCCTGGTGGCACGTAGTATCAACTCCGTACTTCGCGATTTCTAGATCAAGACCTCGACTGTTGCCGGAACTCCGGTTGAACGGCGCAAGAGCGGATCCAGCCCGAGACGAGCACACTCATACCCATGCACTCGAAGACCGAAACATTACTACGACGCGCGCATGGCGTGTTGGCTGACTGGGCTGGAGGCTCGTCTTCACCGTTTGCACAAGGGACCAACAAGAGATGGCTGGGCAGCTTACAGAGTGGTCGACGAGCCGCGTGGGACCAATGCATTAAAAGCCACCCTCTACACGCCCGTCCGGCCAACGCCCCGACACCTTCCTCCGCGCGCAAGTACGCGAGTGCGTCGATCGGCGCGTGGGGCCGAACACCTGGAAGACGCGGTGCGCATCCACTCCGTGGTGGGGTCACGACGCGCGCGCATGCTGAGCGCTGGGCCCCGCGTCCTGCAGGCACACGCTCAACATCAAAGGCATCCCGTACAGGACCGTCTGGGTCGAGTACCCCGACATCGCCGCGCTCTGCAAGGAGATCGGCGCGCCCGCCGCGGAGACGCTCGCCGACGGCACGCCGATGTTCACGCTCCCCGCGCGATCTACGACCCGAACACGAACAGTACGCCGGTGGCGGACTCCGCCGCGATAACGGGCTACCTCGAGCGGACGTACCCCGGCGCGGGCCCGACGCTCATCCCGGCGCGGCTCGTGAGACACTGTTGGACGTCGTCGAGGCCAGTAGAGATGATCACGGGCAGGCGGCGACTTCACCATCCGACAAGTACGCGATCATGCAAAGTCAGATCCTCGCAGGTGAAGCTGCACTGCGTTCACGTTAGCCAACGTATTCCGGTCCAGCCAGTAGAGATACGGACCATCGGAACGCGGTCATAGGGTGCTGAACTTCGGGGTCCCATCAAATTCAAACGGAGTCCGGTACGACGTACTCGGTGCCCGCGTCAACCGCCTCGAACGCCTCGAACGCCGCCGCGAACCGCGCCCACCGCCCGCCCCGCACCGACGCGACCGCCCGCCACACCTCGCTGTCCTCGCCCAAGACGAGCCGGAGCGCCTTCAACCACGCCGCGACGGTGACGTCGGCGAACGACACCGCGTCCCCCGCGAAGAACGGCCGCTCCTCTCCCTCTCCTTCTCCCTCTCCCCTCCCCTCGCCCTCCCCGGCCGCGAGCCAGCCCGCGACGGTCTCGAACGTTTTCACGAGCGCCGCGACGTGCCCCGCGCGCTTCGCGCTGCCCTTGGGGGCGAGCGCCTCGAGCGGCACGCCGAAGTGCGCCTCGCGCGAGCGCGTGAAGTACGCCGCGCTGCGCGGGCGCAGGCCGTCGCGGATCGGGGGGACCATGAGCGCGAGCACGTCCGGGGCGAGCGCGCCGACGAGCGCGGCATCGAACGCGGCGAGCAGCGGCGCGCTCGCGGGGGGCGACACGAGGCGCGGGGTGGACGGGTAGGCCGCGTCGAGGTAGCGGGCGATCGCGGCGGAGTCGGCGACGACGCGCGCGGTGTTCGGGTCGAAGATGGCGGGGAGGGTGTGGTCGGCCATGGGGAGCGCGAAGGTTTTGGGGGCACGGATGTGGAGGCAGAGCGTGGGGATGTCGGGGAACTCGACCCAGACGGTGGTGTAGGGGAGGCGTTTGTAGTTCAGGCAGTAGCTGGGGAGATGGTGCCAGAGGGTGAGAAGGTCAGGCGCGGGTTGTGGACGGTGGTGCGCCGAGTAGACGGACGTACCGCGTCTTCCATGTGTTCGGCGACCAGGCGTTGCCCGCCATGTTGCTAGGAATGTCGTAGAACACTATGGGCTTCATCGGGGTGCAGCTGAGCGGCGAACCGTTGGGTTGGCATGGGATGGTGTGCAACCTCTTTATATCTGAGGGCATGAAAGCGTTTCCCCTGCCACATGTTTGACGGATTCTACTGGGGCACATGAATAAGAGACGAGGCTGACCACGCTGTGGGTGGAGAGCGTTCCGGGGTCGGAGCCACATTGAGAGTGCTGACAGAAATCTTACGGCGTGCGAGTTGACCAGGGCATATGGTAGACATAATTGGCCAATTCCATATCGTTGCTGGTCAAGATTCATCATGCGTGTCAACGCTGAAAGACAATACAGAACGTGGGATCCCTGGTGAGAATAAAATCGAGGCATCAGCGCATGTGAAGCATTCATACGAATTCGCCGCTGACCTGTTAGCTACGTTTCGGGCGCACTGGGTGGCAATATTGGGAACGGGCACTCGAGTCCGAGTGATTCATAACGCAGCGATTTGTCACGTCAGGTAGTCGCTCTGCCGTCGATGACACAGCGCAGATGTAATTGTAATTACGGGCAAGTACACCCTGTCTTCCGGAGCGAGCCTAATGGACTAGTAGATACGAGAGACACGCGAGCCATGTGTCCAGGGGCGCCAGAGTCTATAACCGGCGAAACAACAGGAGAGCGGACCGGTAGGGCACCGGCCACCGAAAAAGACGGAAAGCAAGGGAAGGACGGAGGAGCTACGACGACAGCGCGACGGTAGACAAGAGAGGGGGGGTATTATACTACAGAGAATCATATGGGCACAGCCATGAAAGGGGGGGACGTCAAAGCCATGCGCCGCATGTCGTCGTAAGCGAATGGTGGATGGGGGTGGGGAGCGCGAGAAGGCAAGTGGACGAAGACGCAGTACGATAAGGATACACAACGAGAGGGGTCGTACCCCAAATGGAAGCAAGGCGCATAGGTGTATGCGCAAAAGCAAAGGGAGGAGTCCTGTGAGCGAGAAGGCTTGTCAGCAACGGTAGCGCCATGCGTAACGAGGGGGTCTGCTTACAATCTAATGTACAACCTGGTTTTGGAAAGCATTCACACCAAAGTTTTGATGGCGTTCACCACCGCTGAGCGTAGTTGTGTGACTGCAGACGGGCATAAGTGGGCGAACGTGAAAAGCGTGAGGCATAACATCCGTACAGGACTTAAGACTCCCTTCACATCGGCTGGCGAGATCGGTGAGTGGGTCTGCGATCGCCAATCAATAAAAGTCCCAGGGAAGGAAGTCGGTAAAACCTACAGCTTGTTCCGGGTCAATATGGATGCTCCGCTGGGTGGTCTTGCCGACCATGAGGAATGTGGGCACAGTTGTGCGGTCATTGTCAGTGCCACGGCCACGGCTAACTCGTCTTGTGTTCAATCTACAAAGGACGACCGCTATGAGAACAGTGAGAAGCGGGAGAATACCAATGTGCTTACGCGGCCAGGAAGGAGTTAGCATACACCTTACTCAGCACGAAGTACATGCCCATGAAGATGAAGTTGTCGGGCATGAAGTTGTACTATGAGCGTTGTGTCAGACGATGGACCGATTACCAGCACAGCGGCGTACATACCAGAATGAGTGTCACGAGACTGATGAGGCTGAGAAAGAAGGTGCATGTAAGTTTTCGGCCCACCGTCGCCGTAAGAGTACACGGAAATGTACCTAGTGAGTAATCCTGTGCTGAGCGAACCAAGAATGAGGTTGTTGACCATGGAGTCATCTCTGAGAATGATCAGTCAGGGCGGAAGACACCAATCTCTGGCACCGACAACGACTCACTGCCTGTGACCCGTGCGCAATCCTCCAAGGAACCAGCAGAGAGATGCGGCGATGGCGACGTCGGTGCCTACACCCAACCCGAGGGACAATGTGCCAATCATTTTCATCTTGCCGATGTCCAGCAGGCTGTCCAGGATTAGCCTGGAATGGGATGCGGTCAGCTCCAGCTGCAGTGAATGAGAGGCTTGTGACGTACCCCTGGTAGGTATAGACTGCACGCATAAGGTTAAATGTAGGTTAGCGTGGCTCTGGTTGGTGAGGGTTGCCTCGGTATCTCACCACACGCAACGCCGAGCTCGCCGACCGTGAGCAGAACCTAGTTACAATTTTAGAGACGGTTTAGACGCTGAAATTAATCCGACACTCACGATCAAGCCGGTCACTGGAATATTCATTTTGCTGACTGGGGTTGCGCATTTATTTGAGTACAGGCGAAGGATGCGGACAAAATAGTGCACTCACAACGCCATACGCGCATAGCATAGTTGCTATTGCACCAAATTAGCGCTGGCGAAGTGACTGGAAATCGGATATGAACTCACAGTTTGACAACAGTCCCTGTTACGACCTAGAGTGTCTCTAGGTTAGAGCGCGTAGCATAACGAGACCAGTGTTGCACATACCCCAAGGGTGATTTGAATCTGCAGGACGGCTGAGAAGGCGGATATCTACGTCGTTACGGAGGGACGTACGACAAGTGACCATACGGGGGGCTTGATCAGGATCAGCTTGTCGCCCCAATTCGTGACGACATATGTGTACACGGCGTGTGCAATCAACGCTTGATCCGCGAACTCGAGTGCCCTGCGCGACACCGCGTTTCAATTTCGCGAGCACAGTGCGCTCGGATCGTGAGGACGCACCACACCGCCGAGACCTGGAGCGGACGGCTCGTCAGGAACGCGCATGCAACCGCCCGAGAGGTGAGGAAACGCACCATGACTTTGTAGTAGGTTTTGTCGAGGGGAAATGTCCGGAAGTAGTTGTAGGTCTGCATCGAGAGAACGCCCAGACAGCTGCTCGGGGACATGTCAACAAGCGCGCATGTAGACAGCGCATACTACGCGACGCGATCGACGGCGGCTACGGCGCGGATGACGTCGGGAGGCGGGGGACTCACAGACTGGAGACGGCGAAGCCAACGAAGGCGGCGCCGAAAGTCTTGTCCAGCGAGAAGGAGGCGGCCGACATCTTGGGCGCGAGCGAGCGGCGGGCGGGTGGGGCGAGCGCGGGGAGGGAGAGTCGGCTGATCCGTCAAGGACAGGCCGCGCCGGGCCTCGAGCAAGGGGAGCGTGGAGGGGAGGCGGGGAGGGAGGAAACGAGCGTCGGCCGTCGGGGGAGGAGGAGAAAGAGATAAAAGAGAGCGGAGGGCGGACGCAGGGCGGACGCGGGTCTTGTGGCGGGCGAGCCTCTGGCCTGTCGCAAGTACTCGCGGTCGCGCGGACGCCGAGACGCGCGGAGGGCGGACAACCGAGGCGCGACCACGCATGAGCCACGGCGGCTGTCCCGCCCACGACGCCTTCCCCCGCGGCACATCCCATCCCCGAGCGCCCCTGCTTGTCCCTGTCCTCCCCAAGTCGCGTTCCTGCTCAGCGATGCTGGAGCCGAGAGCGAAGCGGGTGAGGCAGGCCTCGGACGCTGCAATGCGCACGCGCGCTTTTGCCCGTCTCTAGGCTCTGCGCACAGGGCCGGGAGTAATGGGGTCCAACCTTCTCCCTCGCCATCTTCGCTGCCCGGAGAACGCAGCGCCGGTCGTGGCGGTCGCCTTAATTTCCCCAATTTGGGCGGCGTCTCCCGGCCAATCCCCTAAATCTCTGCTCCCACTCTCCCCGCGCCCGGGACGATTCCGCGAGTCCATGTGGTCCCGGCGCTGTTCTGTCTGAAGAGAACAACAAAGGCTGGAGCAAATTTTGGGCACAGTCGACTCGAGGCTGGGAGTCAAGCGCGGATCTTGAGGAACCGGAGTGGCTGTTCAGCCACGAAATGCACAATCCGTACGTGTTCCATCATCGCACATGCAAAAACATAAAGTACAGGGCCCGACCGACTCCAGAGAATGCGTTAGCACGACCGCCGCTGATCGGTGTCATTCGGACACCGCGTCCGTCGGCTGGAAAGCGTCCACAGTCCATTAGAAACCACTCGAAACCCGTCGCACGCACGCCAGCAGGAAGGCACACTCACCACGACGACCTTGTCCCTCCCGCCACCGCCCAGCTGCGCCACGCACGCCCACAGCGCCCCATCGCCTGCGGCGGCCAGCCCCGCACCCCGCGCCACGCCGTCCAAGACGTGCGTCGGCGTTAGAACGCGCGCGTGAGCCCCGGTCTCCGCGGTGCCGTTGCGCCCCCCGCGTCGCCGGTGCCGTTCGCCCCCCTCTGCGTCCGCCCGCGCCGACTCGAGGCCCCTCGCGACCAGCGCCCGTGCGAACGCCCGCACCGCGAGCGCCAGCGTGGCCGCCGCCGCCAGACGTTCCTCTGCCTGCGCCCGCGTCAGAACGGAAGGATCAGGAAGGGCCTGGTGTAACGTCGACCCGGACGGGTGATGCGGCGCATTCGGGCCGTTGTGGTCGACGGCTGTCGCGACGGGTTCGACGGTGCTGATGCGCTGGGGAAACGGTAGACCCGTGAGACGCGCGATGGCCAGGACGAGGCGAGGGTCGGCGGCCGCGACAACGTCGGCGTGTGAGACGGCCACGGGCGCCGAGGGCGGCCTCGAGGAGCTCGGGTGGTTTGAGGCGGACGATGGGGTGGGGTGTGCAGTGAAAGGAATGGCCGGGTTCGCGTGCGCATGTGCCTGGCTGCCAGCGTCGAGGAATTCGGAGACATCGAACAACGGGACGTCTTGCGCTGTGATGGCCTCGCGGAAGGTCGTGCAGACGCGCATTGGAGCGGGACCGAGGGAGTGACCGATTTGCTCTGGGCCGGGGACCGCGTGCTCGGAGTCTTCTTCGAGAGTCGAGAAGTGATGGGCCCGTTGCCGTCCGCACACGCGACAGAACTGCCGCTCTACCAGAGCCAAGGGTGTCGCTTCTTTGCGGGAGAGATACCTAGATGACGGCGGACGAGGTAGGTGTCCCTCATCTTCGAGCCAGTGCAGGACCTCAACGGTTGACAACGCCGGTGAGTTAGGATCTCCCGCCTGAGACCCTGTCACAAGTTGAGCATATGCGTCTCGCATCGCTCTTGCGCGACCCATCTGAATCTCTGTCGATCAGTACACGGCCCGTGTGGATGTAAGACTGCAAGGCACACGGACCTCAATAGCCTTCCGCCGCCCGTAATTGAGGTTCTTAAAATGAACGGATGAATCCACGAGGGTGTAAGGTACTGCAGGAGCGGTCCGGCCTTTCAAATCTGAAACATTAACGTACGATCGTCAGTAAGTAGTTGCCGAGTTTCAATCCTGAGCCACAACACTCACCCCCTATTGTCAAGGGGAACTTGGGTAACAGAGACTTCAGTCGCAGAATATGTACTGATAAATGTGACGTGAGCATGATTCTCCATACGGGTGGATGTCCGCCCACCAGCTTCCACTTTCTTCTCCGGCTTCGCCGCTGCAACAACAGGCTGTAAGATGCCGTCCCATGGAACCTCTTCGGTATATTCCTGTGCAACAAGCAACTCCGTGTGGTGATCCAGCTCGACATCAAACACTTGCTCATCACCGAGAACAGCGGTTGGGGAGCGCATAGGATCGAGCTGTGCGTTTCCGTATCAACAGACCAAGTCACATCGATGCAGTGCGGCAGTCTTACCTCTACCCAATGCTCAATCTCGGTTGCGGGATTCATACCTCCCGCCCATGTGAACACGAGCCGTGCCAAAAATGGCGTGTCGGTAGTACTAGTGACGATGTAAGGTGGATCCTTGACTATGATGGGGGTGGTCAGGGAAGCCGGTGGCGGATCAGTTACAGAAGATATCTGCACTTCCTGCAAGACTGATGAAAGAGGAAGACTCTGCGGGTGGCATTAGTACTTACATGCGAACACACGCGGGAGTGACTTACATAGGATGGCGAGCGTATCACAAGCCTCCAGTGGTGCGTGTGAGTGGCATTTTCGCCCACACGATGCTCTTGAGAAACATGAGTATATGCTTGCCAGAATCAATCGAGTGAGTCTGACCTGGATGGACAAACCGACTATAATCTGCAACATGCACCCTTGCAACCATGTGGAACCGTGTCCTAGAGAGCACTGAAATGGCATCGGCCGGAGATGACTTGACCGCATCATAACGGGCAGCGTTGGCTTCGGAGCTTGGAGGTGCAACAACCTCATCCAGCTCTTTTCGAGCCGCGTTGCGATGAACGTAGAGCTTGCGCCAACTCGTCTTGTGTCCAGGATGCTGGAGCTCGATGTCGACTTGATCGTGGCCGTGGTCGACACGAACGTTGATGCACCGTCTCTTGGCCACTTTACCCAAGAAAGGAGCCAAAGCGGGCGAGTCCGCATGGTAGCCCAACGTACGTGTAACATGTGTGCTCGTCGGAGCAGGCTCAGCCGGCGACGAAGCCTGCTCGGCTTCCTTTTGCGACGGCGCGTCCTCGCTGACAGCACGAAGCTTAGGAAGAGGAGGAGGAGCGGTCGTCGGCGCCGGCTTTCCGCTTTGCCCTCCCGCCCCGACCGCGATCTCGAAGAGCCGCTTCAGACTGGGCAGGCTGACGCCCCCAATCTCGATCCCGTTCGCGACAACCCACTCCCTGTCGCCCTCCGACACGAGCACGGCGCAGTTCTGCACGCATTCGTCGTGCGAGCCGTACTCGACCTGGTGTCGGATACGGCTGTGGTTGAGCAGTCCTTGGAGGTTGGAGAAGTCGGAGCGAGCGCAGTGTGGGCAGGCGAGCTTGGCGACTTCGGGAGGGTTGACAGAGGTATCGCGGATGAATATGAGACGTTTCGGGGGTGCGTGAGGTACACGGGCAAGGCCACGAGTACGAGTTGACCGCGAAGATACCTTTGAGGACTCGACAGGTACAGAGGGAGGGGGAGGAAGGACCGGTGGTGCGGGCTGAGCAGAGGGCTGAACAGTGGAGAAGAGCCTGCTTTCTCGGCGGAAGACGATGTTGCAAGGAGCTTCAACTGCATCCAGGGCTTCCAGAGAGACAGTACGGAAGTCGCTCGAAGCTTGTGGAGCGTGAGGGAGAGGGCATCGACTTGGGAAGAACGGACGAACCGTAGTTACCACTCTGTCGAAGAGATTCCTGCAGCAGATGAGCCCATTCGATACGTAACTGTATGGTTTCTGCGAGGCGGTTCCTAAGAGCGATTTCAAGGTCGATCTCTTCCAAAGTTATCTGTCGACAAGTCGGCTCATATTCTGTAGGGCGATTAATGGAGGTGCAGTAAGACTTACGAAGGCAATCACAGCGCACCTGAGTATCTTCGTCGCTTCGTTGGTCTATAGTCGTCTTCAGTTGGAATGTTGTCTTCTGGGCTCGTTGGTCTTGATGAGGTGGGGTCGGATGGCATGCAAGGCTGAAGCGTGTGGCTGGACGGTTGATCTATGCTATGGATGTTGTTTCCGAAATATCGAGATTGGCAGCGATGTTCGGGGAAGAAGGGGCATGCACAAGAGCATGAAAAGCGCGAGGAAGGCAAGTCGAAATCTGGGCTCTGCACCGACTCCGAGAAACTCGGGGAGAAAATTGGCGCGCGGAGCAAAGCGTGACTGACGCGCTACGTCACGTATCCGTCACCTGCGCCCGAGGCCTCGACGCGTCAACGAAGTTCGTGGGTCTCTCGATCGGACCCCTCTCTCACTTGCTCTACTTCGACCTTTCTGCGCACTCCGTGTATCGCACAAAGCTACAGCTCTGGGTGTCACTTAACGAGATGGGTATCAAAGGTCTCACCGCCCTTCTCGCGGAGCACTCTCCGAAAGCGTTCAAGGTGAGCACTGTTCTCTTCTACTGCGAGACCATGCGCTGAGTTTGTGAGTAGGAACATGAAATGAAGACCCTTTTTGGGCGTAAAGTTGCCATTGACGCGACCATGTCCATGTACCAGTTCCTCATCGCCGTACGCCAGAAAGACGGAGAGATGTTGACGAACGATGCAGGAGAGACCACTAGGTGCGAAGCAAGCACGCAGGCCATTTCCGTTGGGCTTAACCATATGTCTTCAGTCATCTTATGGGATTCTTCTATCGGACAATACGAATCGTGGAGAATGGAATCAAACCAGCATACGTGTTCGATGGAAAGCCTCCAGACTTGAAGTCCGGTGTGGTGCGTACATGCTCGCCAAGTGGCTGTACTGCATCATTCACGATTGTGACAGCTTTCAAAACGGTTTGAACGGCGGGAGGAAGCCAAGGAAGACGGCGAAGAGGCCAAGGAAACTGGTGCGTCACATTTACTTCCCCCTGCAAGTAGCGGTGCCGACACGGTAATCTGCTCTAGGTACCACTGAGGACGTGGACCGCTTCTCGCGCCGTACGGTGAAAGTCACAAGGGAGCACAACGAAGAATGTCGGCGGCTGCTTGGACTCATGGGCATCCCGTATGTAGTGGTGAGTCCGCAACATCTCCATGTCTTCGTACCGTCACCGAGTCGCCTTCCATCGTTACAGGCTCCTTCAGAGGCCGAGGCGCAGTGTGCAGAGCTTGCGCGTGGCGGCAAAGTCGACGCCGCGGGCTCGGAAGACATGGACACCCTCACCTTCGGCTCCCCGATTCTGTACCGTCATCTCACCTTCTCCGAGGCTCGCAAGACGCCAATTAGCGAGATCAACCTGCCGAAGGCGATTGAAGGGCTGGAGATGGACATGTCCCAGTTCATCGACCTGTGCATCCTACTCGGCTGCGACTACCTCGAGCCCATCAAGGGCGTTGGCCCGAAGTCTGCGCTGAAGCTCATCAGGGAGTTCGAAACGCTGGACAAGGTGGTTGAGCATCTGAGAGAGAAGTACGTGATCTATCTTGTTTCGTATAGAATGTGGTCTGACCAGCAGTACAGGATGGCGGAGAAGGAGGAAGCAGCTGAGGAGGGCAAGAAGAAGAGGGGTGGAATCCATGTCCCTGACGAGTGGCCACATGAAGCTGCGAAGCAATTATTCCTAAAGCCTGACGTTGAGCCTGCGGATCAGGTCGAGGTACGCATACCAACTTACGCTGTTGGCGTGCATATATTGATGGAACCTCTCAGCTGGAGTGGAAAAGTCCGGATATCGACGGTCTCGTTGACTTCCTTGTGAAGGAAAAAGGTTTTAAGTACGTTTCTCTATAACTGGTTTCGGAGTCGAATGCTCATCTTCTACCCCCACAGCGAGGAGCGCGTGCGCAGAGGTGGTGAAAAGCTGGCGAAGTTCATGAACGCCAAGCAGCAAGGTCGTCTGGACGGGTTCTTCACGGTGAAACCTAAGGAGGCCCCAGCGAAGAAGGACAAGGCCCCAGAGAAAGGCAAAGGCAAGGGAACGAAACGCAAGGTACCACTCTCCTTAAAAGCACCATCATCACGGTCTAACACTACCACTACAGGCTGACGAGAAGACGGAGAAGGCCTCCAGCTCCAAAAAAACCAAGAAGAAGTAGGAGTTATCCAGCTTACCACTCTGCTTTCGCGCTGTTCACTGCGCCGTGCTATCGTTGGGACATACCGGCTATCATATCTTCGTCTTCGTTTGCATATCCCATTTGTTGTATCACTAGCGTCATCTCTAATGCATCGATCCTCGCCCGAAAAATGTGGAATGTCGTCTGATAGCAAGCACGAAACGACTGAACCGCTGCGCTACTTCTTCGTATTCAACTTCGAAATCGCCTTCCCACTCCTGACTCTCTTCTTCTGTTTCGCGCCCTCCTTCGCACCACCCTTCTTGTCGTTCGGCCGCTTGCGCACGCGCTCCCGGTCCACCTGCGACTTCACGCCCTTTTCGGCGAGTGCCTTGCCGCGCTTCTTCGCCAGTCGACGAGCAAGACGGTCTGGATCGGTCGCCTTCGCCTTCTTGCGCTCCTCCTTCGAGAGACCGACAAGCTTCTGCCCAAGAGCGGGGTTGCCCCGCGGTAATTGCCTTGATGCAGGTTCGAAACGAGGTGGTGGTGGTGGCCTGGAGGAGCCTGCGTGGGGATTCTTGGAAGAAGTCGCAGAAGCAGCACCGGTGCGAGGTTGCCGTGCCACACGCAGTTTGGGACCGCCAGGAAGGGTCTTGCAGCGTTGTACGCGAAGCTTGCGTTTGGCGAACTTCAGCTTTGTTTGGTCGAGAGCGAGGATCTCGTCTACGCATTCTCGGTCCTGCATCGGATTGTAAGCATAATTGGGGAGGACGAAGAAAATCACTCACCACAAACTGAACGTACGCGAAACCCTTCCCGAGCTGTGTGTCCTTGTCACGTACTATGCGAACGCGCTTGACCCACGTTTGAGCCTTCTTCCCGACTTCCTGATTTTCATCTTCATCCTCGCCGTCACCCTCGCCCTCACTCTCCTCGTCGTCTTCCTCATCCCGCACGTTCTCGCCGGCTTTTTGCTTTCCCTTCGTTCCGGGCTCTCCCCTCTCCGCCTTCACAATAGCCTCGAAGAACGTTCTCAAAGCCTCCTCCTTGCTCGCGAAGTCCAGATTCCCCACAAACACCGTCGCCTTCGGGTCCCCGGCCATCCCACTGTCACCCGTCGTACTCTCCTCCGCCCCCGGCGCTGTTCCCCTCTTCACGATGTCCGCGCGCAGCGTGCGCCCGAGGAACACGCTCCCGTCCGCCTTCTCAGCGCACTCTTGCGCCGCCGTGTACGGGTCCATCACTGGTGCCAGCGGGGGCACGTTCGTGGGGCGCCGCGCGAGCGCGGCCGCAGACGGCGGGAGCGCGAAGACGACGTACGCGTTCACGGCGTCGACCTGCTCGTGGATCTCGTGCTTGATGAACGCGACCCGCTTCTTCTCCTTCGGGGTCAGGTACTGCTTGGGGGCCGCCGTCGCCGCCTCGTCCGCGTCGCGCCAGGACGCGGCGCGCTCGCGGTCGTGCTCGCGGGTCTTGGGTTTGGGCTGGGGAGCTTTGGACTTGCCCTTGTCGTCGTCGGCGGGGAGCTCAGACGTCGGGTTCTTGAACGCGACGGAGCGGAAGCGGACGGACTCGATTTTGGCGGAGGGGACGAAGGCGAGGAGGTGCCGCTTGAGCTGCTTTTGCGCCGGCTGGCCAACCCCAGGAAAGTGTGTGTTGGGGGGCACACGTGCGGAAAAGAGACGGACGGACGTACCTGCGACCTGGCCACCTCGACCGCGACGTTTCCGACGAATATTGTCCGCGCATCGCGCTGCTCCGCCATCTCTTCGACGGGCACGTCGTTCCTCTTCCCGCTGACGGCAGTTTTCGCGGACGCGCCTTTCAGCAGCGACTCATGCATCATTTTCGATGGGTCTCCCTCATCGTCCGAGTCGCTCGAGTCCGCGTCGTGGTCGTTTATCCGTTTGCCATCATCATCGCTCTCGCTCTGCGCGGAGCCGGGAGCATTTTCGTCCACTTCATCCGGCTCCGACTCGTCTTCCGAGTCCTCTTCACTGCTTTCCGGTTTCTTAGGCTTCGCAGATATAGACTTGGCAGATTTTGATGAGCCTAGATGCATAGAGTTCGATAGGCATCGGAGGCACCGGAGAAGAAAAGAGGGACGTACGTGATGCATCTGGTTTGGACCGCTTCGCATTGCCTTTGGGGGCGTCCGCAGCTTTGCGCTTCTTGTGCGAGAGCGATGCGGCAGCGTCAGCAGCGGCGGGCGTACTTGATGCAGTGATTGTGGAAGGATGTGGCACCTAGGGAGCATGGCACTCAGGAAAAGTCTGTTGCACAAAGGAGCGGAACGAACGGGAGCCGTCGAGCGGAAGAGGTGATCGAGCCCTTGATCTATGTTTTTCGCCTTTCCCTTGCTGGTTCCCGGAAGGAGGAATGACGAGAGACTCATGCTGGGCTGAGACGGCACGGCGGGACGGAAGGAAAGGAGGCGTCTTCAGTGCTGGGGCAAGGACGCAGGATGTTTCCTAGACGCTCGCTGACCCGATCGGGCCGTGCCACGAGGCTACGGGCCGTCCACGGTTCATCGAACCAACCGATAGGGCATAGCATGACCTCGACTGGGTCCTAGGTCGCTAAGCCTTGTACACCACGGAGCGCCCATCTCAAGCTCGTTGAACAAAGCCGCCGCAAAAAGACTAAAGTTGATTGCACAGTTGCTAACATAAAAACCAGTTCCATCATATCACGCCAGCATCAAGGCCAGGCAGTGAATGCAACACGGCTCCATTTCGCTGCAGTGGTTAGCATTCAATATCACAGATTGATTCAACCCCTGCTGTGCTGGAAAGTTCGATATACCAAACTAACCTCCTCTGTTCGCATCACCTCGCAGCTTGTTCCGGCGGAAAGCAATGTACCAGTCATGTCTAGTCGGAGCTTGCAGATAGGCGTAACAATGTCTCGTCTTCTGGCGTCGGCTACACGCTCTTCACAGAAGTACCGGCACACGGCCGCAAGCGCCCATAGTTGCCCTCCGCGGTTGTCCATGCTCCCTACAGCAGGCGACTGCGAGGAGCGAAGCAAACACAGGTCACCCCTGGGAATTCGTAAGCCTCGAGAAAGCAGTACGCGGAGCCCCGAGGGGAGCACAGAAAGTTCTCACTGCACCAGTGACGTGATCACAAAATTGTGTTCCACAGTCGATCGGCGCGCGGGCGGCGGCTCGCACGCCAGTGAAGGCGAAGCGAGAGGGGTATATAAACCTCCCCGGGTCCGCGACACTTCCCCAACCGTCCCCTCGCCTCGTCTCGTTCATCCGGACCTGAGTGCTTGTCAACGCGACTCTTCGTCTTCATCCACCTCCCACCCACGCACCAACTCACCAAGATGTCCAGGCTCACCATGTTCTCCCTGTTCACCTTCATGCTCTCCCTCTTCGCCATTGTCTCTGCTTTCCCTCTCGTCGTTCGTGATGTCTTCGTGCCCCCTGTCACAAGCCCGACCTCCGGTGACGTTTGGATTGTCGGCACCCAGCAGACAGTGACTTGGTACGTCTATTTCTGCGCGCGACCGGACAATACCAGCGCTGATGTTGCTATTCTTCCTCCATGGATAGGGATATTTCGAACGCGCCCCAGCAAATTACGAACCCCAAGGGCGAAGTGGTCCTCGCGAAGGGCGGCCTTCTGGACATCGGTGAGTCTGGGATAGAACACGCAAGGCATCCAGGTGTTGACTCTCATGCGTATAGACCACCCTTTGGCTTCCGGCTTCGACATCTTGGATGGCTCCGTGAACGTGACTGTCCCTGAGGTGGATGCTGGCACGGACTACACTATCGTTTGTGAGTTGATCGAGTCCTCGCACACCTCGCGGCTTTACTCACCGCGTTTCTAGTGTTCGGAGACTCCGGCAACGATAGTGCCAATTTCACTATTATCAGCGCCGCGATTGGCAATTGATGAGTGTGTCTGGACATTTGACTGCACGATTTGATGAACCTTCATGACACACCTTACGTTACGAGCCGGATCGTTCTGGACTCATTCGACGACATGTTCGTAGGATAGTCTTTATAATCGGATTTAAATCGAATACAAGTCTACGATATGCCGTTGCGAGAGCTGCTAGTCGAAGTAACCCAAGAGGCTCAGCCGACGCCATGCGACGCAGCTGAGGTTGGACAGTGCAAATGACTTAGAGTCGACGGATCTGATGCAGCGAAGAGAGTCAGCAACAGCCACCAAACACCATCATGTAAATGAATTGAAGTCTCAGCAAGTGCTATTGGTCGTCACACCCGTTCGACAGTGTCGAGACGGGTTGGGCTCATTAAATCATTCGTTTTGTGAAATCATAGACGATGGCGAGAAACAAATACTAGGTACACTCACTTATTCATTCAATCAAGACCATGCCAGAGACCACAGCAAAGGGGAACGAGACGAGACAAGGGAAGAGAGGGTGGAGGGCGAGTGTGATGAGATCAGACAAGATGCAAATTTGACGAACGGCGCCAACTTCCAAAGGTCTTGCATCGCGCTCACGTGATGTCGTCGCGCTACGCGAGTTCCCGCGGTTCAAAGAGCCGAGCGCAACGAGCCCGTCGTTCGAGTCCGTTAACACCTCAACGCACTCCGTGTTGTCTCGCCCGCCGCCTCAGTACATCAAGATCCGCCTCTCAGGCGGAATTGCACACCTAAAATGTCTTCATCAACAAGCAAGATCGCTCGCCCGGCACCGTTCACTCCCAAGCGCAACCTCTCCCTCGCCGGTGGCGACGATGACTCCCGCCTCCCACGCTCGACAACACCCAGCCTGCTCAACACCACCAAGAAGTACAAGGCCCCGCTCTCTGTCGAGTCCCGCACTCGTAACAAACCCGGTTCCATCTCCGTCCCCCAAACACCCTCCCGCAGCAAGAGCCGCGATGGGTCGCTAGGCCGTCCCAAAACGCCAGTCTCTCCGCGAAAGGGGTCAGAAAGCCCGTTCCTCATGCCGAATGTGAGCGAGATGGACGTGAGCCGTGTGGATCCCGAAGAGGCGTTGGTCGACTTCGAGAAGGTCACCGAGGCTGGGGACATCTCAGTGGATGAGGTTGAGGCTTTGTTGGGTTCAGATTACGGAAAGGAGGACAAGGTGCTGGTGTCTGTCAGGTGAGTAATCTGCTCTCTTTCTACAACCACGTTAGGTGTATATTCCGGTGCTGACATTGGTCTACAGAGTTCGGCCCTCGAACAACCCCTCGGCCTGGGATCTCAGTACCTCAACAAGTCCGAAAACAATCAAGCTCCAACGAGAACACGCGAAGACTGCCGCGACGGTCTCTCAAGACTTCCGCTTCGACGAGGTCCTCACCGGCTCCGAGAACAAGCCCGTCTATAACGCCGTTGCTCGCAGTCATGTCTGTGCAGCCATGGACGGATTCAACGCCGTCATCTTTGCGTACGGGCAGACGGCCAGTGGCAAGACATTCACACTCGTGCGTTAGCCCTCCCCTGTTGCATGCTGCCCAGTATCGATGATCGCTCGCCCGAGCAGTCCGGAGATGAAGACCAGCCCGGTATTATCCCGCGCGCCATGAAGGACGTCTTCGCGTACATCAAACGCCAGCCCTCGCGCGAGTACCTTCTCCGTTGCTCCTACCTCGAGATCTACAACGAGGCGATCCACGACCTCCTCGCCCCGCCGTCCTCCTCCGTCTCGCAGCCAGTCCAGATTCAGGGCTCTGGCGCGAACGTCATCCTCACCCCACTCCGCGAGGAGGTCGTGACGTGCCTCAAGGGCGTGCACGAGGTCCTGCAGCGGGGTGAAGGCAACCGGCGCACGGCGAGCACGGACTGGAATGAGCGCAGCAGTCGCAGTCACAGCGTCTTCCGACTCGTCATCGAGAGTAGGGAGCGGGGAGCGGTGATGAAGTGCCTAGTGGGCGGACGACGCCTGGCTTCAGGCCACCCACACCTGGTGGCCCGCGGCTGCAGGCGAGGGGTGGGAGGACTGTTCAGACCTCTGTGCTGGTACGTTTTATGTCTGCTCGGGGATGTTGTATCAAGTCTAATGAGCCGCTGCAGAGCTTGATCGATTTGGCGGGCTCAGAGAAAGCAACATCTGACAAGGAACGCACAAGGGAAGGCAAGTACATCAATACCAGGTCAGTAGCACAAGCCCCTGCGTCAGCATGCGTACTTACGGCTGCCCAGTCTGCTCACCCTGGGCTCGGTCATTTCCACCCTCGCCGAGAACTCGGCGAAGGGCAAAAGGTGCGTGCTCCCGAAGGAGCCTGGATGCGCCCTCGCTGATCATGACCTCGCCCGCAGCGACCACGTCCCGTTCCGCAACTCGAAGCTGACACGCATGCTCCAACCGTCTCTCTCCGGCAACGCCAGGATATCCGTCATCGCCACCATCAACCCCGACGCGAGCGCCGTCGCCGAGTCGACGAGCACCCTCCTGTTCGCGCAGCGCATCAAGAAGGTGCAGCTCCACGCGCAGAAGAAGGAGGTCGTCGACACCGACGCGCTGCTCGAGCGCTACCGCAAGGAGATCGAGGAGCTCCGGAAGCGGCTCTCGGAGAAGGAGTCCGACGCGGCGGGCCCCGCGGGCAAGTCGCGCCGGCTGTCCGCGCGCGAGCAGCTGGACGAGAGCCTGGCGATGCACAACCTGAACGCGCGCATCAAGCAGCTCACGAAGCTCATCCTCACCTCGCAGACGGTGGACGAGAACAGGGGGGACGAGTCGCGGCCCGCGAGCCCGGTCAAGGTCGACTTCGACATGTCGCCGTACCAGCTCCAGCAGGAGCTGCTCGCGGCGCGCCGGGAGATGGAGACGCAGGCGACGCAGATCCTGTCGCTCGAGGCGGCGCTGCTAGCGCGCCCGCAGCTGCCGCCGGACGCGCCGGAGGGCGAGAAGGACCGGGTGCTGGGCGAGCAGGCGAAGACGATCCGCGAGCTCGAGATCGTCGTGAAGGGGTACGAGGAGAACCTCGGGGAGCCGCTCCGCGCGGTGCGCGAGGACGTCGAGAAGGAGTGGGCGGAGCGGCTCGAGAGGGAGGTGCGGCTCCGCGAGGAGAAGGAGGTGTGGGCGGACGAGCTCGTGAAGCAGCTGGAGAAGGAGCGCAGGGTACGTGGCTCTCGGGATCCGACGGAATGTGCTGCGCTGACCACATCGCGCGCGCTGCAGACACGCCAGAAGCTCGAGGAGGAGCGCCAGGCGCTTGCTGCGTTCGTGAAGAAGTTCGACTCACTTGGCCTGGGCAGCCCTATCGCTCCTGCGAAGTTCAACCCGCCCATGCCTGCGCCTGGGGGCGCAGCCGCCATCTTTGCGCAGCGCCAGAAGACTAAGGGCTCCTTGCTGAAGGCGGAGAACATTATGTCTCCGCTTGCCGAAACTGACTCTCCGGTACGACTGGTCGTGGAAAACACGCCGCCGAGTCTCCTTGAAGAGGAGTGGGACGGCGGTGAAGACGACAGTATAGATCTGGAGAAGACGAGCGTGTCCATGTCCCCACCGAAGAGCCCGTTTCTGTCGCGGAAAGGGTCGCAGAGTCCCACGAGGGAGGTGTTAGGACAGAAAGAGAACGTGCCTGTGTAGAGATGTTTTGACTTATTCTGCTGTCTTTGGTGCGTCTGCTTTGATCCGGTGTCACAATCTCCAGCTGACTCTGTCGGCAGCTGTGATGCATTCCGTGCGCCGCGCGCCATATGTACACTATACCCTGCGCATACTGACCATGATGTACGATTCCGTATTTTACAAGTATCACAACACCTACATGTCTTCCTCCCATCCTCCAACCCATGGACGCCGCTCAGTCATGCACTGCTCCTGCCAGGCCACTTCATCATGCATGCTGTCTCCTCCTTGCTTGCATCCTCCATGGATAAATTCAACGCGTGCTCATGCCTCTCAACCATCTCGAAGCCCCACTTCCTGTAGAACCCGATCGCGCGCTCGTTCTTCTTGAAGACCGTCACCCAAAGGCCCCCGCGAACTCCGCCTGGACTGCCTTCATCAACAGGCCTCCATAGCCCTTCCCGCCCTCCGACGCCTTGACGAAGAACATGTCGAGCTCGTCGGCGTCCCCCGCCGGGCCGCCTTCGGGCTTGACGTTCCCGTACCCGAGCAGCGCGCCTGTCGCGGGGTCCTCGAGGACGTACGCCTCGCGGGACCGCGGCGGGAAGAGGCGCTTGCGGAGCGAGGCGGCGACGAGGTCGAGCGCCGCGTACTGGGGGTCGGTGGAGAAGGTGACGCCGGGGATAGAGAGGTCGAGTGAGTGGACGAAGAGTTGAGTGACTTCGTCGACGTCGGCGTCGGCGATCTTGCGCACGGCGGGCGAGGAGAGGATCATGGCGCGCGAGGGGGTTCGAGCCCGTGTGCTTGGCTGTGGCTGACGTTCGGATGCGGGCTCAGGTGCGAGGCGTACTTGGGGAAGGACGGCGAGATCTGGCGGGATGTGCGTTCGGATATGTCGTCCACGCTCGCGCGCGGCACGCGTCGCAGTTGCTGCGACCACGGACCGAAACGCGCTGCGCGACTGCGATGATGGTGGCCTGCGCGCGCAGCGATAGGGGCCGCAGCTGGTTCGTAGCACAAGGAAGAAGACTGGAGCAGATTGGGCAGGAAGCGGCAGGTGTGCATTGTGCAGCCGGGCGCGATGGGCGGTGAATGGGTCAGATAAGTAGGGGATTCGGTTTTTGCCACGTGCGGCAGCCTGAGGCCTGAGCGCCTGAGCGCTCTGAGGCATTTTTTGCAGCCTCTGCTCCCCTTTTCCTTGTTCTCGTCTACTTGTATCTCGCTCACGGCCGCCGCAGTTTGCGCCCGCGGTGCCTCTCGCACCAAGCTCGCGACCCTTCGCGAGCTCAACCCGGCGTCGGCGTAGCGTCCTTCAGCGCTTACAGCTTCATTGTTCCGCGTCTCGTCTCTCCCCGACTTCGTCATCAACGTCTTTCCATCTCTGTGCATCCTCTCTTCCCCTTCTGCCCGCATCGTCGACCCGCGCTCTAGCGCCGGCATCTGCTCTAAACGCTACAGGGCCAGCCAGCGCGCAATTGCCTCTGTTGATTGCAAAGTCAGGATCGGCACATGCCCAAGTAAGTACACGTGCAGAGCGCCATTCGTAGTGTATGTCCATGCGCACTTCAACTGAATAGTATCACCGACTTCAAAGAGACGTAAGGCTATAGTCGATATGGACAAGCGTGATGGCTTTGACGCGAAAAGTCACGAGTGGCGCGTACAGTCACAGCTGGTCACACATGTTGCCAAAAGCAACTTCGGCTGCTCACTTTCGCCCAAGAGCATTCGGGATCTCCTTCAACCACACTGCGACGGCGACGTCCACCTACGCCACCTTGTCGCCCATCATGCATCAAGAACGGCCACTTCCACCCCGCCAGCGCACGACGGGACCGGGCGCGATCGCCTCGAGCGCCATGCCGCCGTATTCTCGAGTGCGCTCCCGCACGGAGTAGGCCGCGCTGGGCGGGCTCGGCTGCGAGGGGATGATGGGGAGCGCGAGCAGGGCGAGTGCGTGCCGCTCGAGCGCGGCTCCGTGCTCAGCGCTCAGCGCTCAGCGTCCGAGCCTGCGAGCACGAGCTGCGGGGTCTCAGGGTAGGTCGCGTCGACGTAGTGGGCGATCTCGCCGGAGTCGGAGGCGGCGTCCCAGTCTTTGGTGTGCACCGCTTCCGGAAGAGGGCACCATGATATCGGGGCACTCGGCCCAGAGGGTGATATAGGGGAGCCGCTTGTAGCTGCCGGCGTGCGGGGGAGGTGAGTGCATGCCACTGCACAAGGGCGTCTCACGAGCGCTGGGTTTTACGCTCACAGTGCCTTCCAGGTGTTCAGCGACCACACCTTGCCAGTTCCGTTGCCGGGAACGAGACGGCGCATCTGTCTGGACGAACTTGGCGTGGAGTCGAACCGCTCCGGGCGCAATCGAGCATACAACGCGCTGTCGGATTGCGAGCCAGCAGTGGGAGTCGGTCCGGTGAAAGCACTGCGGGCATCCTCGGCCGCTGCTTGCGCACGCGCTCTTTGATCATTATTTTACGACATTCAGCGCACCACAGGAAGTCGGAGTGCTGCCGAAGCTGTGGGGATCGACGGACAGGATCTGATTGCATTCGTCACGCTCACATAGCCGCGGGTTGTCGATCCAAAGGAGCTTGGCGGGCGCACCGCCGGGACGGCCAGTTGAGACCCAGAAACCCTACAAGCAGTGCAGATATGTGGACGCTCGGGGAGGTGTTCGTTGAAATCGGGGGCTCGGGTGAAGCCGAGAGGACGCGCGAGCTGTGCAAAGTCCGGATGAGGGGCTGATGAAAGGTTGGCGCATTTCGCCAGTGTGGGAGTGTGTTTGTCGGGCGCAAACTTCTCTTCTGGACGCATAAAGACCCCATGAGTTTTCCTGCAAGAACAACTCACGCACCTTTGCTGTGCAGACCCGATTGGCGGTGCTGTGAGACATACGTGATTTCCGACGTCTGTGGTTCACCTTGGTTCATTTGGCACATCGCTTGCGGCTTCGCCTAATAGCCGGGGAGCGCGTCCTGTGCGAACGTCCAGACTTGGGACCGGCTTACAGCTGATGAGTGGTAACACATAATCGATAGAGACCTGCGTATGTGCGATGTCTATCCATTTGTTACCAGCTGCAACAGACTCCGGGCGCGGGAGTGGGTTTGATGATGTGCCAAGTTCCCGCCAACACGTCATAGCCGACTTGAGAGATGGATGTCGAGCCGTCGACCGCACTGCCTCCCCCACGGCCGTCCAGCCCTCTCTGGCCCCGCCCGACATTGCCGCGGGGCCGCTCCTATCCCCTGGGCCCCATATAATTGCGCGCCGGCCACCCTCCTCTCAGGCGCACCGCTCTCTCCTCCCCTCCCGCACCGCCATTCTCCTCCCCGACCCCGACCACAAACGCGCCCCTCCCGCAGAGCAGACCGTTGTACCGACGATGGACGCCAAGGCACCGCCCCCGAACTACACGGCCCCGCCCCCCAGCAGGAAAGCTACCCGCCGCAGCAACCATACGGTGGTCCGACGCCCCAGTACCCCTCGCCGCCGGTTGGGCCGCCCCCGCAGCAGTCTGGGTACTTCCAGGGCGCGATACCACCGCAGGGACCCGTCGGCGGGTACACCTCCGCGCCGCAGACGGGCATGAACGCAGCTGCAGGGCAGCAGTACCAGCAGCAACGTGCGTGCCTCTTTCCCCTCTCTGTCGTCCGCGTTCTCGCCCCCGTCATCGTTGGCTTGTGGCGAGCATGCCCTGGCCGGAGCCCGTCGATCGCGGTAAAGCGCAGGCCGTACAGACGAGCGCCTCTCCCTCCCCGTCCATGTCCTCCGCATAGCGGCTGACGCGCGTCCCGTTGTGTCTTTCCAGTGTTCGCGCTCTGCGCGCAAGGCCAGCACGACGTGACGACCAAGTACGGCATCGCGGGCATCATCACCGCCATCGCCTGCTTCCCGTGCGGCCTCATCGCGCTCTTGTGAGTCTCGACTCTCGCCCGCCCGCCCTGCCAAGCCCTCGCTGATCCGCTCGCACAGCCTCGACGTCGAGAAGCGCTGCGTGCGCTGTGGCCAGCGCGTTGGCTGAGCGTTGAGCCGCCTGTGCCCCCACGTTCCTAGCTGCCCGCCACCATCCGAATTATGATATCCTACTCCATAAATAGGCTTGCCATCTATTGTTGTCCCTCGACGTCCCCCCACGGTTGTACCCTACACACGCACACCTACGCACACGCTCTACTGGAATGGCTTTCCCGCATCCCCCATGGACAACTGCGCGCGTGCGCGGCCGGTGCTTGAACGCTCGCGAGCATCAGCCCGCGCCCGCCACCCGTCGACGTCGTCGCGAACGCACGCCGAGGCCTGGCATTTAAACGTTGTACGGCAATCTTCAGTATTTGCAAAGCTCCGGTCAATCCGGAGGCTTGCAACGCGACAGGGGACGTGCGCCACCGAGGCCTCCCTCTGCGCCCATCACGGATGGTCGCGAGCGGCATGCTGAGGTCCTCCCGGCGGGATGAAGCCGTCCGCCGGTGGCGCGTGGTGTTATCCGTTTCAAGGATCTGCGGACATTTTGCCAACCTCCGCGCGCGCGCGCGATGCGTGTGTCCGCTGACGTGCGCGCCGGTCCCGCTTGTGAGTGGGAGGAGTAATGCGCGAGTGGACACAAGGGGGCGCCGCGATAGTCAAGACCCGTCATTCAACGTCCAACGAGAGACACCCGCGCCGTCGTCTCGACAGCGGCGACCAAATGCTAGCGGCAGTGGCAGCGGCGCGCTCAGCGCCCGCACCTGGGGCGCTCATACATCAATTTCAAAGTTCGTCCGCATCCGCGCCTCATCACGATTGTTGAATATTTACGACGACCGCGGGCGTGGTATGCGAGGAAGTCGTGCGCTGCGGTTATCCCGTAAGCAGTGCCGCGCGAACGTACTTGGTGACGGCCGGAGAGCGGACGAATGTTACGGCGGGGGCGCCCAGGCTTGAGCTTGAAGCTTGAGGACACAGCGTTTGATCAGTGAATTAGATGCTGTATCAAACTTTGGGAGCCGGGGCGGGGCGGTTCCGGTGCCAGGGACCGATCGAGCGGAGGCTGTTGCGCAAGATCGGAGCCTGGAGGAATTTACTCAGTGGTATAATGGGACAAGAGGCCCATACCAGACTTCGGCGGAGCGAGAGAACATTGTATGTAGTATATGGACAGCCATTTGGAGGTTGCTGTTGTCCGCCGGCGCGTGCAATTGGGGCGAAGCGATGCTATCTGTTCCGGACAAACCTTGAGGTAGAGCAGCGGCGAACCGCATCGAGACAAATAGTCGCCTCGCGAGCACCGCAGCTAAGTAAACCGAATCTTCAGGTGGTGTCTTCTAGCGGGTGAATGATGATCCGTTAGATGGAGGGGGTGCATCTGGAGTCAAGAAGAGACAAGACGATCAGTTCGCCAATCAACATTGTGGTTTTGATCCTCAAGGAGGACGCGATGCGTTGAGGGCTGGATGCAACAGGTCCGGCTAGAGATGGCGCCGGCATGCAAGAACATCAAGAAGACGAGTCCACAGAAGGCGTCGGTTGTGATGGGCGGGGGGGTTGGCGCACTGCTGTCGACCCGGTGCAAATCGCGTCCGACCCGCACAAGACGACGAGTGTAATTGGAAAGCGTATAAATGATGCGTGGCTCACGGGCACAGGTGTCCTATGTGTACGCGATCAGCGCTCGCCGCTGGGGGCGTCGGATTTGCGGTAAGACAGTCGGGTAAACGTTCGTTTTCGGCCGGACGGCGAGGGCGGAGTTTGAACCGGCCGTCTCGAGGCAAGTCGAACGTGAAGCTGTGCCGGCCCGGCCCCGAGCTCCTGAGGGTGGGATGTGGAAACCAGTGCGAGAGGAGGGGCGCGGCGAGGAGCTGATTGAAGTACTGCATTTGCTGCCCACGAGGACGGGCGACCGTGGACATCTGTGTGGTGGAATCCAAACACTGGGCGGTGATTCTGTCGGGTCGTCATAGCGTCCGAATGTGGAGGGATGCTGGCTGGCTTCCGATCACACCAAATCTAGACCAAGCAAATTGAGGGCCCACCCCTCACGCGTATCAGCTGTGCGGTTGCGCGCCATCCGCGGTATAAGAGTGCGGGAGTGTCCAGCGGAATCCCCCAGACCAGTCCCCGTCTTTCGCCTTTGCCTCCTCAGCTCGTTTTCCTCTTCTCCTTCCCTCGACTCTTCTGTCGCTTCACATATTCGCCTCGCCACCCCCGTTTCTAAAACCACACTACCACAACAATGGACGCCGGCAAGGAGTACCAAGCTCAGCGTGAGTGACCCTTCGCCTTCAGTAGTCCACCGACGGCCCACTGATACGACCTCGGGCACAGTCATGGGCCAGTGCGCCGCGGGAAACCACGACTACACCAAGAAGTACGGTGTGTGCGGTATCATCACCGCCATCGTCTGCTTCCCCTGCGGTCTCATCTGCCTCTTGTGAGTGTCCTCGCCTGCGCTTCGGTGACTGCAGAGACGCTGACCCTTGGCGTGCAGCTCCGACGTTGAGAAGCGTTGCGTGCGCTGCGGTGTCAAGGCTGCATAGGCAGCGGAGGATGGTGTCGTTGTTATCTCCCCCATGACCACGCGCGCGCTCGAGGGCCTCGATATCCAGGGTCTGAGGGCGCGTTTGGGATATCAGTACATGTGTCACACTCTTTAATTATTCTATTCTTGCCTTGTCGCGTTATACGTCGAGGACATGCACCGAGATAGGGAAGACAGTGCCCAGGAATGCGGACTCATGCGCAGAACCCACGTACCCACTTGGATCCAGTTGTGCGTGAGTTGAGATGGCTCGAGATTCGAGGGTCACCTCGGCGCTTTCCCACCGCGCCCAACGAGCATGACGTTGACGAGCAGGAATACTGTTTGAATGACCGCTGCCTGTATGTCAGTGGACGCTTCGACGACGAACACGGTGTGTCGGCACTTCGAGAAAAGTGCAACGACTCTAGAGTTTGTATCGGAACGTGCTATGCTCCAATATGCGCTTGCTATTGCTGACATTGCCACTGTCTATCTGATGTGAAGCCGTGACGATAGGACAGTGGACCAAAGTGAGGAGACCCCTATTGGCAGCAAGACTCGAGAGAGATGATGAAATTGAAATTCGAAAGCCGGCGATCTCCGCTGTACTCCCGCAGGCAGCCGCCCGCAACGAAGGCTTGAAGAAGACTTAAGCAACTTTAAGCCTTTCCGAACGTCTCCTCAACCACTGTCCAAGAGACTTCTCTTCTCCTTTGGCACATTTTCTCTGCAGGCCCCTTCACATACATAAACATCGACGAAAGGAATTTAAAAAAGCAAGCTTATCTCATGCCCACCCGTAGCTCACGTTTCAAAGCACTCGCCCAGCATGAACGCGTATCGCCGAACGGCCTTAGAACGACCGACATCCCCCAACGTCTCCCTTGGCAAACCGTCCACCAGTAGGAACGCTCGCAGGCCTTCCTGACGACCATAGCCGCATCATGGCCGGAGTTTGGCTCAACATTCGCAGACGTCCGAAGGCTCAGACCGGAGCACAACAGGTATGTACGTACGTCTCCATGCCGGCGTGCATTCGACGCTACACGAGGCTGACTGTGCGTAGCGCAGGCCACGACGCAATCGCCGCCGTCGCGGGCTGCACGGCTCTGCGTTAGCACCCTGGAGGTCACCTGCGTCGATTTCGACAGCGGCTCGCAGACGGAGCAACCGACCTCCCGCTTCGCGTCCCCGTGTCCGTCGCCGCACTTACATACATTCGTGTGTTGCGCGCTCGATCCCGACACCCAGGGACCTAGATGAGCTGCCGAGATGATCCATCCTGTGTCCCGTTGGGACGAGCACTGGAGACGTGCCCTTGCGCTCCTCGAGCTCGCAGAAGCGCTCTGTGGTCGCACACGGCAGCCGGGTTTCTGGCGACGCATCACCAGAGGAGGCCGCGGAGAAGCCGTTTCCATGTCCATATACCCGAGCTCAGCGCAGGGTGGCAGGTACGTCTAATACAGCTGTTATCAGAACGATAGGCCTGTTTTGCAAAAAAACGCATACAGCGGTTCAAACTCAGTTTGAACAGCGCTTGACAGCGCTAAGAACCGGCTACTCGCGTGGAGGCCTGGGTCAGCCTCATGCGTGCCTTGCTTGTGCCTCGCGCGCGTCGAGCAACTTTTGACGACTGTCTGAGCTCTTGTTTATCTTGTTTCTTGCTCCTTCCTTCCCCCATCGCTGCCCCGACTGTCTAATGCGACGACATATAAGCAAAGATGTCAATCCCTGCCTTCCCTTCGTTGTCTCCCAAGGTCCCGGCGTGCCTGCTCGAGTCGTCGTCGAAGGAGAGCCAACGGAGCGACGGTGGTGGACAGAAGCGCGTAATTGCGCTCCACGACTTCGCCGCCGGTTCAACCGACGAGCCCAGTTTCAAGGTCAGGGACCAGGTCGTCGTCGTCAGCGAAGCCCTCGACGGCTGGTGGATCGGTGAACTCGGCGGCAAGTGTAGCCTGTTCCCAACCACGTACAGTCTGCCGAAGTCATCAACTCTTCGATGTCGTCGCTCTCGAAGCCCCCACTTTCACAGCACCCTTTATCATCGGCAATGCGAAACCTCAGCCTCGGCGGCAATGGCAATGACAGTGGCACGGTATCTTCGTTCTCATCGCTGGAGGCCACTCACCCCTTCAGTGAACAGTACTCACGCTCGTCCAGTGGCGTGCTGAACATCAACGGGACGTCTCTACGCGGCAAGTACTACGAACCGAGCATCGACAACCTGAACAGCGCCTCAGTACGCTCTGCGTCCGATGACGAGTCCGACGACGACGTGGGCTCGCTCGTCCGCGTCCAGTGCGTCGACGACTCCTTCTCGTCCGTGTACGTCACCGGCTTGCCGACCCCGCAGTTGCCTGCAACGATTTCGCCCGTGACGGCGTCCAAGACCCCCAGCCTTGCTCCCACTCCCGCCGCTCATCCCGGTCCGCAGGAACACGGCCGGAGTCTAATCTCACAGTTATCCTCCTCGTCGTTATTGCTGGCATTGTTGTCTAGATCACGCTTTACATAACACGCTGTCATTCTACGCTCGGCGTTCTCATCGGGTAGTGCTTTTGCCGGGTCGTTCGAGCTCCGCCCGAATTGCTATGTGTGTGAATTTTTTTCGACAGGCCTATCGTTCTGATAACGGCTGTAATGGTGTTTTCCGTCCCGATACTCACCGCAGTCTCTGTGAGCAGGGACCTCCGCCCAGCTGCCTCGAAGCTGATCAAAAGGCTCCCCAGTCTGTCCGCAACCTCGAAGCTTGATAAGGACTCGGCGAAGCTGCGCTGTCCCAGATCCGACGGACATAGGCTTGGAGGCTCTTGGGAAGCTCTTGGGCGCGACTTGGCCTGCGCGGATGACGCAAGGCTGGGCAGGGGACGACGGGAGACATTGACAGCAGGCTCTTGTGCGCCGAGAAAACTACAGAAGGCTCTAGATTGCAATGTGCGATACACTGGGCGGACGTCTAATCTGATTAGTGGTACGGACTGGGGGCTCGGGGGTTGGGGATCCATGTAAAGGCCGGGACGGGGCTCGACGAGGCAGGCAGATGACGATGCTACAGGTGGCGAGACGGGAGGTGGTTTTCGAGGCAGACGCAGCGAACCGGACGCGGGTCTGTACGTGAGGTGGTAGTACGGGGGGAGGGATGCAGACATGCGGGCACACGGCGTGAGGCGTCGTCAATCATGAGGGGCGTAAACCAAGCTGTACGGACGGAGGCAGCTAAACAATACACTACACGCGCGACGCCCCGCCCACCAGACTAGGTATTTAGACTGGCGGCAGCGTCGGCGATGGTATCACTCTACAAGAAAAGAAGGAACAAGTAACAAGGAAAGCGACTCAGAGCAACAGGCGCGACGCACCGCATCGTCCATGGCAGACAACGAACAACTTCGACAGCGACCTGGCCACCCACGCCCCCTCACGCGTGCCTGTGCTCCGACGGCGGTGAAGGCAGGCTGAAGCGCACCCGGTCCCGCGGCGAGTCCTCGTCCCCGCCCTCTCCCGGGCTGTCCCGGTCCGCCCCCGCCGCGGAGAACGTCCCCGACGCGGGGCTCATCGGCGACACCAGCTTCGGGGTCGTCGTCCCGCTCCCGCCCCCGCCGTAGCCGCTCCCCTCGTCCGCGAACCTGACCGAGCGCGCGGGCGACATCTCGCGGCTCGGGGCCTGCGAGCGGATCGAGTCGATCCGCCGGTGCGCGAGCTTGAGGTGCCGCGGCGTCGCGGTGCCCGACCCGTCGCGGGTCGCGGCGCTGCGCCCCCGCGCGTCGTCCTCCGCGGGCGTCCGTGCGCCCGACGGCAGCTGCTCCGGGCTGCTCGTCCCCGTCGTCGTCCCCGTCCCTGTCCACGTCCCCTTCCGCGACGGTGGCTCGTGGTGCGTGGTCGGCCGCAACTCGTGGTGCGACGTCGGCCGCGCGCCGATGACGCTCCGGCGCCGGGGCTTGCGCGTGCCGAGGCCGGCGACGATGCTCTTCTGCTTCGCGCCCTTGGGCTTCGCGTGGCCCTTCGGGCTCTTCGACCGGCTGCTGCTGTCCTTCGGGCTGGCGCGCGGAGGCGCACCGCTCGCGCTCTGGTCCGACATCCACCCCTCGTCGTCCTCGTCGCCCGGCGGGGGCGGGGGCGACCGCGCCGAATGCGTGGGGCTCACGACGCGCGTCGCGGCGTCCACCGCGTGTTCGACCGCGTGTTCGACGTCGGCGGGCGCGTGCCGGAGGCGCTCGCGGACGTCGGCGAGGAACTTCGCCGCGCCGTCCTCCGCGACGCGCGTGATCTCGACGACGGGCTCCCCGCCGTTCACGTTGCGCTGCACCTCGACTTCGACCTGGACGTGCGAGCAAAAGAAAAAAAGCGACGATCAGCGCCGTTCTTCGGGAGCCCCGTGTGCCGCGACTGCGGTCTCGTGTCCGCGGAAGGCCCACCACGAGTCGCGAAGGCGAACTCACCTCAGCTCCCGGGCCCGCGCGCCTCTCGATCACCCGGTGCGGGCCTTCGTTCCACTCCAAGACCTTCTCCTCCCCGTCCGGCGGCGTCTGCGCGCGCGCGCGCGCCTCGCCGCGCTCCGTGAGGTCCTCCGACGCCGCGGGCGACGAGCTCGTGCCCTTCTCGACCTGCGAGCCCGCCGGCGTCAGGCTCTCCTGCTGGTCCTGGTCGCGGTTGATGACGATGGCCTCGCCCTCGCGCACGTGGGTGATCTGCGTCGCCCACTCGGGGAGGACGGAGCGGCGGCGGGAGCCGAGCGTGCCCGCGGTGTCGTGCCGGGACCAGGTGCGGGAGACGGAGTGCACGCGGCGGCCGAAGGTGAAGAAGGGGATCGAGAGCCCGTGCACGGCGATGGAGATGAGGACCATGAAGGCGACGATGGGCTGGATGGTCGCCGCGAGCATCTGCTGCTGGCCCTGCGGCGGGCTCTCGGCCTCGGGGAGCTCCTGCGCGGCGAGGGTGGAGATGAAGATGGCGCCTGCGCGGGTGCGTGGGTGGGTCAGCGCTTCGGAGGGGAAAAAGGGGAGGCGGCTTACCGATTCCCATGGGACCAAAGTGGCCGCTGAAGATGGCTTCACGAAAGGTCTTGATGTCCGGGATCCACCTGTAAAGCGCGATAACAATGGGCAGGCGGCGGAGGATCATGGTGAGGATGCCGATAACTAGCAGGCGCCACACGGAGAGTGTGAGTTCGGCGTTGGCGAAGTCATTGAACGGCATCCAAGCGCCGACGAAGACGAATGCTGCGACATTGAAGAGCAGATCGATGACGGACGAGAACACCGACTCCTCCGTCTGCTTGTTGAAGAAGCCATCCCAAGCGAATGCCGTACCACAGCAGAAGGCCGCGAGTAGATCGTCGGAACCGAGCAGTGTGGTGGCGCCGATGGTGAGCATGGCGAGGGAGACATATTGCGCGACGTACGACTGCCGGTCAATGAGGTCCTTGCGCTCGCAGAACTTCATGAGGTGTCGGAAGCCGAAGCCGAGCAGCGCTCCGAAGGTGCAGCCTACAATAACTTCGTCTGGGGAAGCAATGTCATCTGCCTCAGCATACCGTGATACACGACAAATGTGCATGTAGACTTACATAACCAAAGGATGAGGAACCAGTCAGTAATGGCCTGGCGCGTACTAGAGTCGATGGTGAGGTAAAGGGCGATGTACAAAAACGGGAACGCGGCCCCGTCGTTGCAACCACTCTCTGCGGCAAGCAAGTGCCGCAAGTGAGCAGGAACGTGTTTGTCGGCGTACTTGCCTCCAACGACTGCTGCTGCGAGGATAGGGTCCGTGGGCGTGAGGCATGCAGCAACGACGAGGACGACAGGAAGTTGAGGCCAGGGATGAGGGCATAAATCAAGCCTCCTGAAACAAACCACCCCTACAACTCGCGGTCACGGAAAGTCCTCGATGCCTTTGAAAAGTGGGCACGCACCCATGTCATGACAGGACCTAGTAGAAACAAGAGACTCTTCCAGTGCCGCTGCATGTATGCTTTCGGCAGCTCGACCCCAATGGCGAAGACTCCGATGGCGAGGATGACGCGAGTGACCTCGAGGGTTATGGTGTTAGAGACCTCGACATTGCCGCCGCTCCAGGCTCTTGGGTCGAAGATATTGGCGCCGTATGGACCTAGAGAGGGCCGAGTGAGTTGTGACGGCTTGGCGGATGAACACGAGACTGGGTACGCACCAATGACGACTCCAAAAAGGAAGGCCCAGATGGCTTCGCCGATGTAGAGCTGGGAGGCGCTCAGGACAAAGAGGACAGGCCGGGCAGAGAGAGAATGCGCACCTTTTCACGAATGAAGAGCGAGAACATGCCGAACTGTAGGAGATGAGCCAAGGGTGCTACCGGCGATGACACGGGGTGCTCACCAAGACGACAAACCCACCCAATGCCGCATACACGACATGGGGTGTCGACACCTCGAACTTTGGGGCGCATGAGCACGGGAGAGAAAAGACAAAGAAGGGCGGACGTACGGGATGGAAGCGCATGTTGTATTCAATATGTTGCGCTTGAGAGACTTGGGACGGAGAGAATGCTCAGCGTCGAGGGTGGCAAGCAGAACAGGAGTGCCGAGAGAGAAGGGCGAGTGAATCCACGGTGGGCGGCTGGGTCGTAAAGGTCGTGGTGCGTGGGGGCGTGAGGGAAGACGTCGAGCTCTGGACCAAGGGAGAGTGGAGATGATAACGGGAGCCAAGCGTCTCGGCTTCTATGAGCGAATGCAATGCCGAGCGGCGCCCAGCCAGCCGATCGTCGACGGGGAATCGGTCTACGGGCGGGGGGTGAAAGGGCAGCGCGTCCTCCGGTCCAGGCGCAGTCGCGGATGGGTTGCTGACAGGGGTGCCGCGGTGCGGGACTACGCAGAACGCGGGCAACGGAAAGCGGCCGTCGACTTTAACAGTGGAAGAGGAGGACGCGCTCCGGCGCTCCGGCGAGCATACCAGGGCCGGTTCCGACCAATCAGGCAGGTCCGACCCACGAGGCTCCCCGATGCGCTCACCCGCGCAGCGCTCATTTGCGCCCGCACCGTCTTCAATCTCCTTTCCCTCCGCCTGCTTTCTCCAGCACTGTACCCCCGCACCCCCAAGCCACCCCAAGCCCCGAGCCCTGGCCTCAGCAGCGCCCCGCCTGTCTCTTGGGAACACGCTTATGACAGCCGCCCCGCCCTCGATCACACGACGAGCACGCGTCGCGGACCCTCTCCAGCCGCGCTCGCTCTCTTGCCCGTCGTGCGCGGTGATTGGGCCCCGCCGGCGGCCCTGCCCTGTGTGCGAAGACGCCGCTTCCGCAGCCACCCTCGTGCGTTTTACCGCACGATGTCTACGCGACAGACCGCGACCTCGACCCCCCCTGCCGAGCCGCTAAAGCCGTGCACGGGAGGCCACCGCGTCCCGGATGACCTTCTCCTCCTGCCTATCGCTACGGAGCTTCAGCTTCGCGTGTTCGCGAACGTGTTCGTGCCGTAACGAAGAGTTCGGTCCGGGCGGCCAGAGCCCCGACACGTACACGTCCTTTGGCGTCATTAATCCTTGTTGGTGACCGGAGCAAACAAGCTCGTGTGATGTGCGCGCCGTCCGTCGCGCCTCGTGTGTCGAACAAGGTCCAGCACGTCGCGGAGCTGCCGCGCGGAGCCGCAGAAGCGCCGGACGGCCGCACGCTACTGAACGCCTCGGGGCAGATTGCAGCGTTCGCTCGGTTCGGCGAGGGCCACTCCTAAAAGTCTGTTGGATCTGTGTAGGACGTCCCGACATCTGATCCGTCGCGGAGGCTCTTTCTGCTCGCCAACGGCGAAAAAGACGCATCCCGCAGGACACGCGCCTGGGTTTCACTGGCCAGATGCAGAGGTTTCGAACTCCGCGGTGGCCGCGGCCCGTCCCAGACGACAGCAGGGACATCCCGATACAACATGCCGAGGTAAGAGTAGCGTTCCAGAGTATGTAAGGCAGAAAAGGCAAGCCGTGCAGTCAGTTCGGTGGGCTAGGTCGAGCAATCAAAACATCGATGACGCTAGCGCCGGCTAGGCTCCAGCATGCCCTTGAGGTGGACGTTCCACAATCATCCGGCACGTGTCTGCACTTTATGACGCCGGCGCGAGGCCCACAGGCAACATCGTGTCAAATATAGCTGCACATCTATGTTGAGAAGTGTGTTGATTCATGAGACGCAATCGTTCATAAGTGTCCTGACGTTTCGAACGGCTGTGGCTAGTAGAGATCTGAGAGTGTGTCAAATTGCGAGAATTCTGGCAGAGAAGGTATTCGAATATTCACCTCCGAATGGCTGAGGATGTCGGCGAGAGCCGAGGTCAGAAATGAATTGAATCACCTCTCGATCTATGTGGCAGACCTACCCTCATCTCAGCTCGTTGTGGCTTCGCGAAGTACTAACTAACTGTTGTACGAGCTCCAGAGAGAGAGCATATCATCATTACACTGGCAGGTCGTCGAAGCACTGCAACCTTACACGCACACATCAACTTCCTTCCGTGTCCAGTACAGCATAGCTGCCCCACCTGTCGTCATGCACAAGTCACGGCGCATCTAATCCCGCTTCCCCTTCGTCCCCAACTCCGCCGCCCCTCCGCCCCTCCGCTCGAGATGAGAAAGGTCCACCCCCGGCAGCTGGCCGAGCACCACCCGGACGCACGCGAGTACAGCGAAGAACAGCGTGCCGAGCATCCCCGCCAGCGCGTTCTCGTGCACGAACTCGAACGCGCCCGCGACGAGCACGACGTAGCGCGGCGGCATGCGGTCCGCAGGACGGATCGCGAAGGGCAGCCCGGGCGCGGCGACCGTCTCCCGGTGGGCGAACGCGGAGGACGGGGTGGTGGCGGGGAAGAGGGAGGCGGCGGCGCGGAGCCCGGACGAGAACCCGTCCTCGTGGAAGCCGTACTTGGTCCAGGCGCCGGCGTAGGAGACCCCACGCGTGTTTTGGATGGTGGGGAGCGCGGACTGGGCGCGGATGGCCTGGGGAGGAAGTGGTCAGAGGGGACGGTGGGACGCGGGAGGGGGAGACGCACCTCGTCACTGAGGATGGGGTGGTCGTACTTGTACCGACCGAACGTGAGCGCAGGGTCGGGCTCGAAGGGCGGGTTGAGCGTGACCAGGACGTCACCGTGGTCTTTTGTTGGCAGATGTTGCAGTTCATTCATCCAGTCTGTTGAGGAGTTAGTTACATGTACGGGTCGGGCAAAGATAGTTACGCATACAGGTGCTGCACAAGACTCCGTCAGCGAAGTGAAATTGAGGGAAATCCCAGATAAGACTCACAGAGACACGCGGTTCACGTTGGGCAAGTACTTCCCCGCCATATCGGTCACTGACTCAGTGAGGTAGTTCCAGCACGACCACGCGAGCCGTGACCTGGGCATAAGCTGACTTTCTTCATGAGTGCGGCGCCCAGCAAACGGAGCCGACGACATACTCTCTGGTCGCAGTGAAGCATAGCCTCGTTTCTGTTCCATCTGAAGCATTGCAGGATCTTGGCTTCTTCTTCTGTCATTCCGTCTCCTGCGTTGAGGATGTCGACAGTCGTGTCGGTATGGCATGCGAGGATAACATGATCGAATGATTGCGTCTCGCCGGACGCGGTGGTCAGTTCCACCTGGTGCGACTTCTCCGATGTTTGCGTGGTTCGGAGCGCTTTGATAGGAGTCGATAGATGGAGCTGAGAGGGAGGAAGTCTCGAAATGATCTTCCTCACGTATGTCCGGCTGGTAGGTGATCGAATCAGAAGGGGCAAGCCACGTAGCCCAGAGAGACTACTGATTACTCACCTGCCGCCGCGCAGTGTCAACCACTTCGGCTTTCCCGTGATCTGCAAGAGATGGTGGTTGTACATAAATTGGATCTGGACAAAACTGCATCAACAACGCACATACGATGGTACTCGATTGGGAACTTACTAGGTACGAGCCGGAAAGTCGAGAGCGCATTTATCCGGAGGAGTGCTCCAAACGGCGGCCGTCATTGGCTGGTATGACATGTGAGTACATGCAATAACTGCGCCAAGCGTGTACCTACGATCAATAGTTGTCGCGGAATGAGTCCGAGTACCCATTTTGCTTCAGGTACATGTCGATAGACAACTCCTCACCCAACACGTCCCCTTCGTCTTTGATGTCGCGTAGTAAATTCTGCGTACACGCATTGAAGCGCAGAACGTCGTAGATTAGGCGCCACATCTCCGGGTCCAGAAGACGCGAGGGCTGGCAAAACACCGTCATAAGGTTGTTTCCAGCCCATTCAAACTCCCCTCTGTTGCGAGAGACAGAGAAGGTCATTTCAGTGGGCAAAATTCGCTCCGCGAGGTCCGGGAAGATGTGCAAGAAGTTGATGAAGTTGGGATACGTGCTGGGATTGAACACGATCTGTGAAATGTCAGCTATATGCGTCAATGGCTGGTCCGTAGGGGACGTACGAAGCCTCTGGAGCATGTCTCTGGTTAGTCTCAAGACGCGTATGAGGCTGGAATGCGACTGACGTGTCAACATCGGTTGGCTCCCTTCCTGGTGGTGAGTAAGTGACGGTGTTGGCATGGCCACCGGGTCTGTGGTCTGATTCGAATAGGTGTACTTCATGTTCCGAGTACTCGTTCAAGAGCTAGAGATGAGCGCGTGAGCATGGTGATTGCAGATGCATGCTGGGAGCCACCTACCCAAGTTGCCCCAAGGCCGGAGACCCCAGAGCCAACGACCGCGACCTTCATGGTGGAACGTGAGAGAGATGAAGCCGCGCGGCGTGAGTGCCAGCGGAGATGTCAGAAGGCAGTGGCCACAAGCAGGGTCGTGGGCGTGTGGTGGATGGAATCAGAGAGCGTCGCGATGTCATAACCGGTCTGTGTACGGACGATGTCGGCAGCCTGCGATCTGCTGCCAGCCCGTCGCGTCCCCATCGTCTTCTGCTGGAAGGCGGCATGCCAATTTGGGCACGTCTTCCGCATCAACCCGCTCCCTCGGGCTGCCCGAGCGCTGAGTGATATCTGCTGCCGCAACATCCCCACTTCAATGCGCAAAAACAACATGCATATGGGAGAAGACTGAAGAAGATGATAATGCTGCAAACTGCCCGCCACCAAAATTTGACGGGCCTTCTCCAGTCCGGCGCTTACCTAGCAGCGCACGCCAAACTTTCGTTTGCCGTCAAGGCTCGATATGAACCTACATGTGAGTGGCGCCGTGGTATTTGCGACAAGTACTTTCTCCCGATACCATCCGCTGTCCCTTCGTGCGTTCCACGACCACCATTTCCATCGCTATACCCGGGCTACGAGCACCTAGCACCCGCTCCTCACACAACGTTCGCAACGATGCAATCCACAACCGCGCACCGCTTCTCGTGCAACACAACCCTGATGGCCTCCTCGAGCGTGGCCTGCAGTTCGTCCGCCTTAGAGATGCGCTTACCCCAGGCGCCCCCGGCCGCGACAGCGACTTGCGCAAAGTCCGGCATGTCGGGCCCAAAACCCACGGAGAGCTCGTCCATCGTTGCCTTGCTGCCGTGGCCCTGGGGATACACCCCGAGCATCGAAAGCCTCGGAGACTGCACACCCGATCGTCGTCAGCACTGTCCGTATGGCGCGCGCTCGCATGAAGACAGAGAGAAGGACTCACCGCCCAGCCGCCGTTGTTGAGAATAATGGTGAGGAAGGGCTGTGCGCGCGGGGGTGTGGGACGCAACGAAAGCCCAGCGAAAAAGGTTTCAGTCAGCAGCGCCTAGTAGTAAGAGCGTGCAAATACGGCTGACCGTGCCTTGCCGCTTCGCGAGCCAGTACGCCGTCGCAGGCACCCCGAAGAGGAACGTGCCATCCCCTACGATGCACCCGACCATGTCGAGCCCGCGCTGGGCGACCGCACCTCCAATGACCGCGCCGATGCTCGCGCCCAGCGCGTACCCAAGCCCCGACGCGCCCGAGCCGACCATCCCGCCCGGCTGCCCCGGGCGCAGGTACGCCCACACGTTCGGGAGGTTGCTCGTCGCCTCGTTGACCCACAGCACGCGCTCGCCGCGCGACGGCGTCTGCGCCTCTATGGCCGCGCGCAGCGTCCCGAGCACGTGCGCGGCTGTCATCGTCTCGCCCACAAACGAGGGCGTGCGGGCGAGGCTGTCGGTCCACTTGGCGCGCAGGGCGCGAAGGCGCTCTTGACGCGCGGATAGCAGGGGTGCGGTGGTGGCACGGAGGGAGGAGGTGTCGACCGCGCGGACGAGTTGGGAGAGCGCGGCTTCGGTGTCGGCGCGACACAGCAGGTCGGCGTCCACGTGGGACCACGCCATCGTGGTCTTGAGTGGGTCAGGGTCGATGATGAAGACACGGGCGTCGTCGCGGGACTTGTTGCCGTGCGTGTCAATCCACGGGATGTCGACGTCAAGGAGGATGATTACATCGGCATGGTCGAGCATTTCGTTCTTGCCTCCAAAGGACATTCCGATGTAGTTCTCATGTGTCCAGGGGACGCAGACAGAGGTCGGGCAAGAGGTGTAGACACCGATCGCGAGAATCGTTGAGAGTTCGGAGAGAAGAGGGACGGTCTTGGGGTTACGTCCGCTGTTGGCGGTGATAATGAGTGGGAACTGAGCAGTCGTCAAAGCTTCTACGATGGTGGACAGAGCTGTCATCAAGCGTGAGCACCAATGCCTAAGTGAAAAACAGATTGAGTCCACCTGTGTCAGGGAGTGCTCCTGAATGTGCGGGAGGCCACTTGTTCACGTCCAGAGTTTCCTGAAACTGCGACCCGTCCACCTCGTCTTCGGTCGTCTCACGCCGCGCCCAGAGATAGACCGGGCCTTTCGGCTCACTTGACGCACTGTCAGAGCAGCATAAGCAATGGACACGACCGCCAGAAAGCATCAGGGCTGACATCTGCAGCGCTCGCATGATCATCGGGCCTGCATTCTTCGCGCTCTGGATCTGGGAAGTGAAGCGCATGTATTGGCGGACGATCGATGGCTGGTCCGGGACATCTGTCGCAGTTTGAACATCAACGTCCCCAAGCGTGAGCAATAGCACGGCACCTTGCAGCCACATCGGCCATTCATTCTTGGTGCCCTTCAGTCGCGCGTCCGACGATTGGGGCGCGGCCCCCGCGAAGATGAACACTGGAGTGCGGCCGCGGTCGACGTTGTGTACCGCGCTGGCCAGGCCCTGTTGAAGTAGATGAAGTCAGCCCTGACGCGCCCTCGATACCAAGTCGCGCCCCGCCGCCATCCAGCTCCCGGCCCTCTTCGGCTAGAAGCCCATGCCCGCGCGCGCTCGCAACATCAATGGGTTCTCACAAGTCGCGGGGGCTGTACCCGTGCGAGCGCGAGTGGTCCACGGATACCTTCGAAGTCCAACGTCCAACGCGCGACTCACTTGCGTGCCAACATCGACGTGGACGATCACCGCGGCCGGACGGCCGGTGACCTGAGCGTAGCCCTGCGCGGCGCTCAGCGCGACCATCTCGTGCGGGCACGCCACAATCGCGAGACGAGTGCCACCCTCTTGTTGACGCTCACGCTCAAGCTCCTCCAGGAACGCCGGGTGGTCATTGCCCCAATTGACGAACGCGTGCGTTACGCCGGCCTCGGCGAGGGTCTTGAAGATGACTGAGGCCGCGGTGTACATCGTGCGCGGTGGGCCTGGAGCGTCGGAGATGTGGGTTCGGGAAACGCGCCGAGAAGGTTGGGAGGTAGGGAGATTCTAGGGAGGGGGCCGGTTATAAGGGGCCGAGCAGGTCATGTGTGCGGCGTCCCGAGTCCTCTCATGGGAGCCCGCGGGTGCTTCTTCCGCGTGTTCATATTCTGCGAGATGGGCGTCGGCCGAAGGGTCTTCGAGATCTTGCGTCTTGTTTGAGAAGCGAGATACGAGGAGACTGAGAGAAACTGGATGACGGTGGCTTCCGTTCAAACATATATTCTGGGAGCCTTTGCATTCCCTTAGACGCCGTGCTTTGCGAAGGCGTCCTGAACTCCTATCTGATAAAGGTAACAAGCGCGATGCGATGGCGAAGGTATCGGAGAAGCATTTATAATTTCGCATTCCGGAGCTGCACCGTGACAGGTCCCGTTGGGGATCTTATCTTGATTGCATAAGAGAGTTCGTGGTTCGCTATGCCTGTATAGTATGTATGTTTTCGTCGTCGCGTCTCGCATCCATGCTTATACACGTCCTTTTTCAGGGCCTTCAGCTTCAGTAGGCTCGCTACGGATTTGAATGTGAATCTCTACTAATATCGTCACAGACAGTGGATGCTGTTTTGCAAGGTGTAAGCGTACCTACAAATGTCTCGCAAAGTTCAAACCACCGTGCTCACATCCGTCCTTTTGAGGTCGAGTTCACGAGATATCTGGATCAGCATTTCATCCAAAGTTGGAGCAAACATGGCAACGCAACTTTGGCGGTCGAACAGGATCTGCGCTTAAGAGTTCGCAGCGGTAAGAACTTTAGTGGCACATCATCCATTCACATGAAACGCAAGCGATTGACCTTCTTTCGAGAAACCCCGAGCGAAACCGAGCCAATAGTACCAGATATCAGCGAGCAGGAATCAGCGGGAGTGACGGTGGATGAGACGAAGCTCGTCGTTCCGACTCCGGCCAGCGATCCAACTTCGGAAGACGGAAGCCCGGGCCGACGCCCGACGGCCCATTAAACGCGTCGCGACGCGTGTCACGTGCATAACGCGTCAACAAAACGCGTCAACAGCAGCAAATAAGTCATTAAGCGTTTGGCGCCCAGGGGAGATGAGCGCGCGCTCTCCCGTCCCCACGCCTTACTCTTCACTCCCTTCGTCGTCGCCGCCGCCGTCGTCGCCAATCGCGTTCTCCACGCGTCATTTGGCCCTTCCTCCACGCCCATCCCGACGACGGTCCAAGATGAGCCTCCCTACACCTCCTGGCACGTCCCACAGGGACGAGAAGGAGAACTGGGCTCCCCGCTTTTCACGCGTCCAATGGAGAGAGGCCGCACAATACCATCCTATCACTTCGAGCCCGCCACGACTTACGACGCGGCCCAGTGCGCTCAAGGCTGGTCCATCACGGTCGATTTTGAAGAAGATCAACCTCCCATCCCCATCCCCTGCCTTCGTCAAGGAAGTGACGCCCGAACCCGAGGATCCGTTGGCGAACCTTGACTATCTTCAACATCCAGTCTCCACCATCATCGCTCTCGACGTCCCGCTGAGCGATACCATCAACGCGTACACCAGTCTCATGGCACGTCTACGGAACTGCGTCTCGGGAAACACAGATGCGGACGCGTCATGGCCGCTCTTCCAACCCCTCAGAAAACACCGGGAGCAAATCGTCGGCGCGTTGGTACGTGACATTCGTCAGGCGTTCGCGGAACCTCTCGCAGGCTCGTCAAGTATCACCGAATCTCCCTCGACGCCTGTTCTCCGAGAAGCGCCGTCCACGTCGAGCCTACCCTCCCCATGTGAAAGCCCGAAGAAGAAGAAACGGGGGATGTCTGAGGAGCAGGTCAAGCGTGCGCGAGATTTTTGCGGCGTGTGCCAGGCGGCGATCAAGCTACTTGGGTTGGTGTTCACCCTTCCTGCGGTGTACAACGTATTTGAGGGTAAGTGGTCAGATTCTGTTCCATAACGCCGTTGTTCTCACAAGCGCTGCAGAGTCCGAACTCGGTTTCATTCTGACGCAAGTGGTTGCCATACCTCTTGCGCGGGACATCCCTACGCCCAATGCTCGGAAGACGTGTGCTCTGGCCATCTGGTTGATTCAGACCCAGCGTTTACCAGCCGAGGTTCTGGAACCGGCGAAGGACCGAATCGCGTATGCATTGCGTCGAGGCATCGACGGAGAGCTCGGCAAAGAGGGTAAGAAGGGATCGGTGAGCGATGGTTTGAAGGTACGTTGGCTCTCTACTAGATGGCTATATGCTCTCATTTTCTCTAGGCCGTTCATGATCTCGCAGTTTACCAACCAGCGACCTTCGTCCCTGCCTTCGCACCCATCCTCAGCTCCATTTTAGACAACCTCATGGCCCCCTCCCTCGTCATACGCAACCAGGCCTGTCATGCTCTCGGCGGCCTTGCTATTGCTGCCGCTTCCCTGCCTCCAAGTGAGGCCCATACCCTCATGTCTGTTGCCGTCACTTCACGCCTCGTCAAGGACCGAAATCCCAGTGCGACGACGCCGACACAGCGGAAAATCGATGCCAGCCCCACCAAAGACCCCATTCTAGTCCGCACCCTTCGTACTACACTTCAGGCTACGGAACCAAAACACGCTGCTCAAGGTCCAGTCTGGGCCTTCAGTGTCATCGCTCATCTGGCGGTTCTGCTCGGTCCGACTGTATTCCTCCACAAGGACCTGACGCGAACCATGTGCAACCTCTTCCATCTCGGGATGCGTCATCAAAGGAGCTCTGCGCGCGCACTAGGATGTCTGGCGTGGCGTGCCATGACATGGTCGTACTTCCGCCCTCCCCACGTCAAGATCACATTCGACGAGGACACGGAGAACGAGGAGGAGCCCGCCACGGAGGACGACATCGAGGCGGAACGAAAAGAGCACCAGGCCTCTCTACGTTCTTCGTTCAAGGCTCTCACCAGCGTCGTCGTCGACATGGGAGCTGGTATCAACATTGTTGGCGCTTTGCTCGGGAACGACGTACTTGAAGGCCTCCAGGCTTTCGGGGCTCTCCGCATGCTCCGGTCAATGAGTCGCAAGGGCGGCTTCGCATCCAAAGATGCGCTGGACGTCGTGAGACACCTGCTCAGCGGGGCGGCCGCGAAACCTTCCGAGGTCGAGGATACGGAGTGGGATCACAACAAGCTGCTTGTTTCAGACTTCTTCTCCGCGAACCCTGGGCTCTTGACGGCTGAATGGCGGACGTTGTCGTCTGTCGTCAGGTCGCTACTGGAGCAGTGCCCGACGATTGAAGACATCCGCCCGTTCACTTTGGAAGAAGCTTCGACACCGGGGATGTGGGAGGAGTGTCTACAAATCTGGAGAGGGGGCTTGGGGGTGCTTAGATTGGTGTGGGGGGACGAAGCCATCCCGGTTCGTGCATATCATCCCTTGCAGCTAGTACTTTGCTGATCCTTTCACAGTCTGAGATTCGAGAAGTTTGGTTCAGCCTATTGAAATGCCACGCGGCTCCGCTTCTTGGTAAGTTGATCACTATCACGACCATGTGCTTCGCTCATCTCGCCGTCAGACGATGGTGATCACCACGGGCTAGCAAAGCTTGCAGTCAAAGTGCGCGACGTCCTTGTGGACATTCTCGATGACCCGGACCTCGACTTCATCGCTCGCAAGGACGATGGGGACTTGGACTTGCTCACATCGCCAGTCAAGGCCCATGGCGCAGATGACGTCGACTTACTACCGGGACACCGACAGAACTACGCCGTCAAACTCTTCCTTGTTCGCGACTTGTTCACCATCACCCGTGCCGTTTTCCCTACCGACGTCTTCGCGGAACTCTCGGAGTCAATGCTGCGCCACCTCATCGTTCATGAGGAGGCGCTCCTCGGCGACGTGGAGAGCGCGGACCAAGTTCGTGAGCAATGGTCCTGCATATGCGCGGACGCCGCTTTCGCCGGAGAACCTGCTATCATCCAGTCGTTCTTCAACAACAATTTGCGGAAGGCGTATCGCAAATCAGACTGGGGTGTTGAGATCCGGGCGGACGTCTGGCATGCCTTCTGTCAACAATGGGCCGGTGGTGGTAGCCCTTGCAGTTTCACCTGGGATGCGGCAGTTATCCTCCTTGCCGCGCCGTTCGTCGATACGAGTTGCTGGGACTTGCGAACGGAAGACCTGGAAGTTTGGACCAGGTTCCTACCACATGCCCTCGGTATCGGTATGGACCAAGGCGCAGACGTCAACTCCCTCGTCGACCAAATCGCAGGCGCAATCACCGGCAACCAAGGACCGTCCACTATCAACACCGTTCGGATCGCGGACCAGCTCCTGTGCAACACGGAGTTGATGGATGCGTGCTCCCTTCCCGCGACCACTTTATACTTCACCAACGACACCCTCTACGCGGCGTACCCGGCGGAGCCGAAGCACAAGGTCATCTGCATGTGGCTCATTCGATCCGTTACGCATTTGGTCGACAAGTGTCCTCAAAAACTCTGCCTCATGCTCCTCGAGCTTCTTGCAGAAAGCATTAGCACTTGGGTCACGGACGACCTGCACATCTGCTCGGAAGAAGAGTACTCGAGCGATGTATGTACACTCGTACTTGCAGGCTGGAGTTATTGACTGAACTTAATTCGTCGCAGATCCTTCCTCTCTATCAAACGGTCCTCGTCAGCCTGCAGGAGTTGCCGCCTTGCCTGGATATCCTCGAGAAGATGGCACCTGTGCTCGCGGCACCATTCCAGGGCCGGAAGGACAGACACGTTGGTGCTGTGGACGCCTTCGCGGAGTTTTGGCAAGCCGCGTACGCTGCCATGCCAGAGCCCGCCACGGGCTATCCCGAGTTGGTTGCGCAATGCCTCGACGCCGTTTCGCAAGCGCGCCTGGAACAGCAGGAGGACGAGGCGAAGGTCGAGGATATGACGGCTCTTCTGAGCGAAACACCAAGTCCCGTGGCGGAAGTCAAGAAGACTGCTGTCACTCAAGAGCTCATGGAGATCGACGCGTGCGAGAGCGAAGACGAAGGCTCCGTCGTCATTCCCTCACCTGGTACTCTTCTTCAGGGCTTTGACGCGTCCCGGACTCGGGACGCTCCTACCCGCGCGCTCTCGACACCCCCGTCGAGTCCTCGTGCACTCGCTCCGACCCGTCCTCACAAGTCGGGCATCAAGGTTCACGACCCCGAGGACATCGACGGTTCCTCCCCACTGCGCTTCTCCGTTGGCCGTTCTCCACCTCGCACACCTACCACTCCCAAACGACCGACATCGAAGGTGAACAAGGAGAATGTGTCGCCAACTCTCCTCTCTGCCTCTGTCGCCGAACGGTTATCTGCTCGCTCGCCTCTCCTTCTAGAGTCTCTCTTGGGCAAACGCGTTCGCGTCGACGAGCCCGAGGATGCAGCAGACTTGGAGGTGAAGGCCTTCAAGAAGGGCCGCCTAGAACCTTCTCCTCTTGCACCATCCCCCCTTGCCAACGTCCCTGTTCATGCAGTCACGCTCGCATGCAATCCGTCGATCCCCATGCTGTCGACAAAGGCTACTTCCTCAGCGGCGGTCGCGAAACTGCTTGCGGACGTCGACGACAGCAACTCCGTGATGAACTCGCCTACTGTAGCATCGCGCAAGCGCAAGGGCGTGTTCGTGGAGGCTGTCGAGGTCCCTCCCCTCAACGTGGTACTCAAGGAATGGCGTCGGAGTCGCTCTCTGCCTTCCGTTTCGGCCTCTGAGAGCGAGCCATCGACATCCGCAGTCAGGTTGGACAGCACGAAAGGAGACGAGAGTCTGCAGCCGACTATCCGACGGACGCGCTCCGCGACGAAGCTCCTTGGCGGACCGGTCGACTTCCAGAGGCTAACTACACCTAAGAAACGGAGAACGAATCGCGTGCAGGACCTCCGCGAGGAAGCCCGGCATTTGCTGTCCTCTCCCTCTAACAAGTCCATTGACGAGCCTCTGTTCGGTAGTGGTATGTCTAATCTTTTCGCCGTGGTTGAAGTGTATGCTTATGCCCCTTTTATAGACGACTCTATCATGATGGCGACCCCGCATCGCCAGAGCAGTGACCTGTTGGCCTCCGATGATGATCCTCATCTGGGACAGGTCACCCCACACCGTCTGGTGTCGCCTGCAGTCCGCCGCATACAGCAACAAACCTGCCTCTTCACCCACGACCCGCCAAGCGACGACTCGGACCTGGTTGAGAGCCCGACAAGCGAGCGCATCTCCCGGAAGATTGCGCGTCTGGGAGGACAGGTGTCCACCCCAAAGGCGCTGTTGTTTGGCGGCGGCCGGCTGTGAACGTCGAGTCTTGTTTCATGTCGAGCTGTTTCTCCGTGACGAATCCGTGCCCTCTCGTGTTCTATGACTATGCTCACTCGCTGTACTTACCACTAGGCTCTCTCGTTCAGTGCATGGTAACCTCATGTGTTACGTGTTCTCGCTGTCGATATGTTTTCTGGTCTCGCAAGCCCACGATAATTGACACAGGTGTACATTAGCGACCATGTGGCTCGGTACAATGTACTTGCTTTGCATTCCCCTTGACTGTATGCGAGATACCTGGGATTGCCCTCTGCGTCCAAGCTCGGCAGACACTTCATCCCGATTCGACCTCCGAAGTGAGTTCGCACGTCATCTCATGATATCTCCGGGTTCCGTGTCTAATCCCGGCTCTACCGCAAGAATGTTCAAGCTGCATGGCAACGAGGGTGTAACCCGTTCTGGCGGGTCATGGTATGGAGCGTTCGAAGGTTTCGCATCACTGCATCTTCGCTCGTGCACCGCCACACCCCGTAAGAACTACGCGGCTCATTTACGCGAGCTACATCCTCCAGTGGCCACCCTACACCGAATTAACGTTCAGTAAGCTCTCTAAGCTCTCTATTCGTGTCTCTGACACTCACTACTAGTCGCCAATGTTCACGTCAGTGGTAGGGATCTCCCCTCCATGCCGCCAAATGCACTTTCACGACCACAGACGCTAGCGTGCTTCGCGTAGCCCGTGCTCGCGTCTCATGCGGTCACCCGCTTCGCGCTTGGCGGATCGCGTGAGTGAGCCGCTCGCAAACGAAGATCGAGAGTGTGTGACTGGCATGCGCCGACGCCAGAAGCTCCACAGACGGCGCAAGCGTGATTAGCAGTTTCAGGCCTCGGCGGCGCGTCCAAGTCCGCAGGGTCGACGCCTGGTTGGTTATAAGTCGGAGCGACGACAGTCTCCTCCTTCTCCTCATTGACCTCCCCGGCTCTCAGCTCGCTCCCGGCTCCGTCTCTGCCCCCCGCCAGCTCTAACGCTCCGCCCCCACACTCGTTTCACGAACACGCTCGTTCCGCCACCCCAACCCATTTACCCCCCACATTCTCACGTCTAGCAAGATGCTCTTCGCTAAGGTCTTCGCCACGCTCGCCGCCGTCTCCGCCGTCGCGTTCGCGGCGCCCGCGCCCAGCCCGAGCGGCACCTTCGACGCCTCGGACTTCAACGAGGAGAACGTCGTCGCCCCGCACATCAGCGCGCCCGCCGCGGGCGCGCAGTGGGCGGTCGGCTCGGTGCAGACCGTCGTGTGGGACACGGCGGACGTGCCCCCCGAGGCGTGGTTCGCGCCCGGCACGCTCGTGCTCGGCCACGTCGAGGAGGGGAGCACGAACGAGCACCTCGATCTCAGTGCGTACCGCTTCCTACGCACGCGCCGGGTTCGCTCGCATGATCGTGGATAGCTGACTGACGAACATTGCAGTGCACCCGCTCGCGGAGGGTTTCTTACTCATCTCGGGCAAAGCCAAGGTGACCGTGCCCTCGGTCGAGGCGCGCGACGACTACGTCGTCGTCCGTGAGTTTTTTCCCGGTTCCTGCTGCATGCCTGGTTTGCTCACGGTTTGCTGTTGCAGTCATTGGTGATTCGGGAAACGTGTCGGGCAAGTTCAGCATCGTGGCTGCTGACGCGTGATACGGCTTGCGTTACCACTGGCGCTCTCGAGCATGGACTGTTAGCCTTGGATACGGACTCTTCTTGTTTGCGAGGAATGAAACAGTCTCAGTTTGAACTTCAGTATTGCGCGCAATGCTCGTACGGTGTGATGGAAGGGGATCATCGAACTTAAAGAACAGCTAGGAACAGTAGTAATGTGACTCGTCAAAGGGCTCTGGAAACCAGACACCAATGTGTCGTCGACCTCCTATGAAGCAATTTTATCACCACACAAGCACCGTCGCTCTTGAAAGGCCCTTTGATCATACTCATATTGTGAGTGTGTTTCAAAAAAAAATGACAACAGTGGGATTCGAACCCACGCCCTTTCGGACCAGATACCAAATCCCAGAGAACCTGATTCTGGCGCCTTAGACCGCTCGGCCATATTGCCATGCAAGTATATCCCGGTTATTGTATATACCCAGTATTAGAGTGCGGCCCAATCTATTCTTAGCGGGGAGGCTGTTATGACCTCACGCGTCTGGGACTGTCTGACGCTGTTCGTTGACTACATATAAATATCTCCCTGCCCACCCATGGCCTCATTTCCCCCTCCCCCGCAGTCTCCCACTCTTCAGACCTCTTCCAGCCCCCCGCTCTACTATGGACGCCCCCAAGCCCCCGATGACCGCCACCACTCAGCCCCAGGCTGTCCAGATGAGTACGTCGGTGTACTTCCTGTACGCGCTCAAGCATACTGAGACCACATGCGCCACAGGCGTGATGAACCCGCCCGCACGTCAGGAGCAGGCGCAGGAGTGCCAACGCAAGCGTGGGCTCGCAGCCCGCCTCCGCGGTGGAGGTGCCGGCAGGGTGAGCACTGCGCCCTCCAGCGAACTCCCCCCTTCCCGACTCTCATCACTGTTCTCGCGCGCAGGACTGCTTCCTCGGCCTGATCGAGTGTTTCCTCTGTTTCGGTGCGTGCCCCACCGTCCGCCCTCTTCGCCCGCAGTGTCCCTGACTGCGCTTTTCGTCCTACAGAGTGCTGCAAGGTGAGCCTCGTGCGATGGCGGCCCTCGTGCGCGGCGGCCGGAGACGGCGCGCCGAGGGGGCATAGTGGAAGTGTTATCGTGCTCACGCACACGCGCCCATACAGGACTGCTGCGAGTGCTGCGCCGACATCATCTGTGCGTCTGTCTCTCACCCCGCGCGTTGGCACGCCACGTTCCCCGCGTGCTAACCCCATTGCGCCTGCTCCACAGGCTGCCCGTGCGAGATGTGCTGCTGAGCGGCTGCCGAGGGTGGAGGCACGTTGCTCGCCGCTTGACATTACGACATGAATGGGAGTGGGGTGCGATTTATCCGCGGAGGTTGTTGTTTGTACCAGTGTTGCTGGCTCGGAAAGCTTGATACATTTGCATGCGAATCTAGAACTCCGACGGCTGTGCTTTGTGTGCCGTTGGGATGCCGAGTCGTGCTGTCCTCGTGTGGGGAGCGTGTTGCACACGTTCCCTGTCCGCCGGCGTTGTAGTTTGGGCGGCGGGTGTATGCGCAGTCATCGTCGGAGACTCGGAGGCCTGGATGGTGTAAGAATAGAACGAGCGTAGTGTGAGGCGCGAAATTGACGTACCGACCCATCTCGCGGGTGCTGTATAACTGCGTCCGCATCGAACTCGGCACGTTGTAGGTTAGTTGTCTACCTCGGGCAAAGAAGCTCTTGCGTGCCTGGTGCCAAGAGTGCCGGTATGCCTGGGGCGTATGGTTGTCAAGTGCAGAAGCTCACCCACCTAGGACACCGCCGACGGAAGATCAGCCGAGAAAAGATCCGGTATGCAGAGATGTGCGCTGCCACCTACTTACGGCTGCTGCGTCGGAGTTGAACGGCTTGCGCCAGGAAGAACAGGGGCTTCGTACGTATGTACATTCGCTGTCGGGGACGCCGTGAAGTCCAACTACATCGTCCGCGGTTGTGACGCAGTGGGGGCATTAGAATCAGCTCGAGAGTGGAGAGACGGCCCGAGCTCACCTCGGTTCGACGCAAGCTTAGAGACGGCCCGAGCACCTCAGGTGATCACTCAGGCGCCCAGCAACAGCGCAATGAAACTTTGTTTGATTATCTGTGAGTCTAGCACGGTCCGCTTCATAACTTCCATACCCTTACACTCTTGGTCCCACTCCTACAGCCACCGCTTGTCGCCGAAGTGCGAGACGAATGCGCCCGTGTCCGGCGGGCCCGTCTTCGCGAGCACCTCGCGCATCATCTTGACGGACGTCTCGGGCGAGATCGGCTTCCCGTCCCACTGCGGAGACACCCGCTTGAACTCCTCGACCATCTTCGCGATGAATGGCAGTTGCTCCGGGGTTGCTGTGTGCGGCTTTCCAGTCAGCTTCACACACTCTCGCACAGAACGGGAAACGATGAGCGGACACTCACGCGGTGCCTTATCCCCCGTGTCGACGAACCCGGGGGAGATCGCAAGCACGGTGAAGCCCTCTTCCCGGAGCGCGCCCGCGAAGAGGACGTTGAACATGTTGAGCGCGGCCTTGGAGGTCGACTAGGGCACCGAGAACGAGTAGTTCGAGGCGAGGACCATGTCGAGGTCGCCGGCGCCGGTCGAGAGGTTCACGATCATCTTGCGCTCGCCGGCGCGGAGGAGCGGGAGGAAGGCGTTCGCGGCGTGCGCGGGGCCGAGCGCGTTGATGCGGATCTGGTCGCGTCGGAAAAGGGTCAGTGGGCCACCTCGAGTGTGGAGATGGATGGGCACACACGCTTTCGATGACGTCGTCTTCGAGCTGGGGCTGAGAAGGGCCTTAGTAGGTAAGGTGCGGGGCCTCGAAGGGAGACCAGGAAGGCGTACAAGCTGGTGATTTCGCGGAACGAGCCGATGGTGCTCGCACCGTTGTTGATGAGCACTTCGAGCTTGCCCCCGGTGATCTTGCCAACCTCCACGGCAGCGGCCTGGGTGAAAGAAGGGGATGGGAACCTCTACGAGAGAGAGAGAACGCACCGCAAGCGATTCGGCATCGACGAAGTCGCCCTTGACGACATAGATGTTGGAGCGTGAAGCCGCCAGTTCGTTGAGCCTCGTGGTATTGGTGGGGGTACGAACGATGGCGAAGACCTCGTTGTTCTTGTCTTCGCTCTACCAGGGAAAGCAACATCCGATTAATGCTTGTCATGTGTGCGTGCACAGGCTTCAACACACCAGCTGGCGGACCCACTCGATCTAGAGTTGAAGTTGCCCTCAACATCGGATAGACTAGGTAGGTAGAAAAGAGCTCACGCCAATACCACGGGACGCGCCGACGACAATTGTGTAGGAAACCATGGTCACGGTGTGTTCAAAACGCTGCTTTTAGGAGCTTGAAGGAAAGAGATATGAGGACGAGATAATGGCCACAGGGCTGAATGCACTTGCCCTTATGTACGTCTGCCAGAGCCTCCTGAGCTGCTCACCCGCGAAGGGTGGCCTTGCAGAAGGATCTTGCTGGTTGCCTTCATTGATGCACTTGACCAGACGTCCGTGATTGATAAGCCTTACGAATCTGCGAATTATCGGTGAATGACGATCCCCGGAGCAAAACTTCTCAAGGCACTCGTAGGCTGCAGCGCAGGAAGCAATTGAGGCTGACAGCCTGACTCATCTGGTCATATGCGGTGAGTGATATATGTAATAGTATGTTCGCGTATCTGTCTATGTATGCATTGGCAGTGGCTGGCGGATGCTGATCTGTGGAGTTGAGAAACCCAGTTAGAGTCGAGATCGACGAGCCCGTTGTTGATGTTGTCTTGAACGTTGGGGGAAGTTGAAGCGTCTCTTGAATGGTGCCTGAGCCTCTTCCGCAGCGCCCGGCAAATTCCGTCTTTCCCATCAGCAAGTCACGCGACTCTGGTGTAACATACAGCAACTTGTCTTTCCCTCTCTACGCATATACCCCTGCTATGTGTTCGCTGCTTCCATGGCTGAACAACAGCCGGCATTCGACCCTCATTCCAGGCATCGGTCGTTCATCTCCAAATTGACAAGCCTCTCAAGTCCATAAGCACGTCTTACGCCTTCACTCAGAAAAGGACTGAAGAGGAACTAAAGAAGTTCAGTCGGGGCCTTCGTCGAGCATCACAATCGCCGGAACTTGGTCGTGGGACTGGGTTGGAGGGGTGTCGGCGAAGAGGTTGGCGAATGGCTCAGAGTATATGCGCGACCTCTCCGACTGCGTCATTGCATTTGGCCGTTCGTTATTACAGCGTCATCAATTTCCGACGCTGGGACCCGGATTCCCCACCATCGCGAGCAAGTACATGATCGAGTCTCTTTGTAGCCTTCTCATCCGCGAGGTTGTCGACGACTGGTCGACCACGCTCGAGGGTTGGGGCCGGCAGGAGGCTGAGCTGGGGGTCATGCGGCGTGCGCGGTCGTGTCCGACGCCGATCCGCCAGTACGTCCCCGTGCCTGCGTCCGCAATCCGTTTCATGCTCGAGTTCGGCTGCCCTGAGACCCTCCCGCGGCGTTCTACCAGCTCTGGACCACCAGCATCAAGGACGGTTGGAAAACCGGCCGACTACCATCATTTCCTGCTCTGGCGCGAGCGTACTGCGACTGTTACACGGGCCACCCGGCGACATCCTCGGCCCGCGGTGCATGCCGCTCCGCCTGCGAGACGGACATCGGGACGGACGAGCAGCGAAACACCTTCGAGTGCTTCGAGATGCTCCCCGCCACGTTTCGGCACGGGTTCAAGGCAGAGTGGCGTCGGACGACGCGGACACCCTCAAGTGGTTAGCGAGCTGCTCGACTACAAGCGGCGAACAGTGACGAGGAGGAGTTCGACTTTGTGCCGTACCTTAGCTGCTACATGCGCCTCCAGCGCCGGGTCGGGCGTGTGCGCCAGGATTCGTGGACATCTCCTCACATATTCGCTTTTACGGAGCACTGTGTATGGGCTTCTTCACCTTCTAATTTCCGGTTTACACTGCTGTTCTCGTTAAGCAGGTGAATTTGTTCTATAATACGGATCAGCAATGGACGAACGAACAAAGCATATTCCCGCCGCATGCGATAATGGCCGATCGCGATCGACGGTGGAGGAGAGAGATTACCTCCGTTCCCCGCTATCTGCATGGCACTGGCAGCCTGATTTGGGTCATCACCTTCGACTATATGTATGTCTTGCGCTGCACCTATCCTGACACTCCTGACGCCCTCGTAGAACCATCAAGCCCACAGCACGGTGATGTACGACTTTGCGTTTGCTCTCGGCAAGGACACAATATCGAGCGACATCCTCAACTCGATTTCTCTGACGGCGACATACTGCTGCTCGCAAGATCGTCAGTCACCACTCAAGGTCAATGTCGATATCAACTACTACGAGTGCATAAGTTCATGCTTCGACACAACTCTGCCGTTTTCGACAACATGTTCAATGATGCAATATCTGGCAACGATATGACAACGGCATACCTCTGGTGCACATGCCTGGCGATAGCGCTGAAGACCTTGGCCGTGTTCTCACTTACTTATACAACCCTTCGTACGTACTGCCCAATCTCAATCAGCACACGACTGACGCCTGCTGCAACGTCCATACAGGAAGCTCACATTTCGCAGGCTCGATCCGACAACTCCTCTTCTGATGAGCGGTGCCATCCGCCTCGCCCACAAATACCTCATCGATTCTCTGCGTACGCGCCTCATCCGCCAAGTGTCGGACGACTGGCCGCTCTCTCTGCACGAATGGGACCAGCAAGAGGCCGAGGCGCTCGCCATCGCCGACGCCATCGCAACAGACCCTGCGGCGCGGCCCGTTGGGTCTCAGCACCTCGCTGATTGCGTCCCCGAACCCGCGGCCGCAATCGTCTTCGCACAGGAGTTCGGATGCCCGAGCTGCTCCCTGCCGCATTCTACCAGCTCGCGCGCATCCGCGCGGACGACGACTGGCCTGCGACATCACCGCCGCGCGTCCACGGCCTCGGGCGGCGGCGCGGAGTCGCCACATCGCTCAACCTCACCCCTGCCCCTGCCGCCGCTCGTGCGCCTCGCGCGCTGGCCCCTCCTCGGGCGCGACACGCTGCTGCGGTACATGCGCGGCTGCGCGCGCCTCGACGACTTCCAACGCGGCGTGCTCTCCCCGAGGGCATCGGCGGCGCGCTCAGCGCGGCGTGCCGGCCGTGGTGGGCGTGGCCCGGCGTCGCGCCCGCGGGCGGCGCGCGGGAGTTCGAGGACGCGCGCGCGCACCCGTGCTTCGAGTTCCTCCGGGCGCTCTTCGAGGACGCGTGGCGGCGGCAGGGCGAGGCGGCGGGCGCGCGTGGGCGCGACCCGCTGCGCGCGCTGAAGGAGTGCCTCGAGTGGGAGCGCGCGCCGGCGCAGGTGCGGAGGGCGTGCCCGCAGGGGCTGTGTCGGAGGTGCGCGGGGGCGCTGGAGGGGTGGGTGCCGGACATGCGGCAGGCGTTGTGGAAGCGGCTCCCGGAGTACTTCGAGCTTGTGTGAGGGTGGAAGGTGAGCGGACCGTCGATGTGCTTGGCCTGGAGATGGATGCTTTGCTCACGTTGGTTGGGCAGGGATTTTGTTGTGCGCCTTGTAGCATCTATTTTCGAAGTTTCTTTGCGATGTAGCGGGTGGACTTCGTCGCCTTGGGTGACGGAGGCTTATCAGCGTCAATTCTGAGTTGGTCAAACGCAGCGCCCACGAAGTCCAACATCTGTGTGCCCGCTCACCAAGATGTTGCATGTTCATGGGTTGTTCCCGCCTGATTTGTGGGTTTCAATATCGAGGGTATCATGGATACATCGCATGGGAGATTTGGTAAGCAAAACTACCATCTCGGAACGGTGTTACTGACTGAATTCAGTCAGCGGCAAGTTTCCTGTTTGCGTCTTCGCAGACTACCAGCGTCCAATAGTTGCCATGCATCTGATCATGATATACGGTCGCTCATCTCGTAGCTGCATGTTGACACGCTGAACCATCGCATCACAGGCGTTTTTCACGATTCCCCCGAGCCTTACGGCGATGGCGGCACCACAGGCGAGTTGGACTGCATAGCTCATTCGCCTACCATTGGCAGCGCTTTAGTTCTGCGTATAAGACCATGCCTCTGTGGGCTACGGTTCCTCACCCCCCTTTTCCTTCATCGCTCTACTTTCGTTTTCACGTCTTCTACCAAGTCCGCTAGTCGGGCTTTACTTTTTGCTTTCGTCGTTTCGCCTTCTTTTATTCGCGATGGTCTCCTTCTCCCGCATGATCTCCTCCGTTTCGGTAGCGCTGGCGCTGGTCTCTGTGAGCAGCGTTCTCGCTGCTCCTGTCCCCGAGGTCTCTTCCCTATCCACCCGCGATATCACCGTCCCGAGCCCGGCCTTCGTTATCTACTCCGACCTCTTCACCCCCGACCCCAACGTCCTCGGTGACCCGTCCAAGTACGCCGTAAGTTGCCGCCTTGCAGCCCACTTTTCTCTCTTGCTGACGACCGTTCATTCACAGGGCTACAACGTCATCAACCTCTCCTTCCTCACCGTCAGCAAGGGGCCCTTCGACCAGGTCCTCCGCTGGCAGCAGCTCCCCGCGGACACCAAGGCGACCGTGAAGGCGCAGTACGCCGCAGCGGGCATCCAGATCATGGCCTCCGCGTTCGGGCAGACCGACGCGCCGACGACGGCGGGCCTCGACCCGGCGGCGATCGCCGCGCAGTTCGGGCAGTTCGTCCTCGACAACGGCCTCGACGGGATCGACGTCGACTACGAGGACCTGGACGCGATCAACAAGGGCGACGGCGCGGGCGAGGCGTGGGTGGCGGCCTTCACGCGCGCGCTCCGGGCGACGCTGCCCCAGGGCCAGTTCGTGCTCTCGCACGCGCCGATCGCGCCGTGGCTCGCGCCGAACGCGGCGTTCGCGGCGGGCGCGTACGTGCAGGTGAACAAGGAGGTCGGGGACCTCATCGACTTCGTGGGTGTCCTTCCCTTCCCTTCTCTCCCGCTGGAGGCTGTGACTGTGGATGCGTTGCTGATCGACGCGTTTCGCCGCAGTACAACATCCAGTTCTACAACCAGGGGACAAACTACCAGGACTGCGACTCGTTGCTCAACGCCGCGCAGGCGCCGTTCACGGGCTCGTCGCTCTTCGAGATCGCGAGCAACGGCTTCGCGCTCGACAAGCTCGTGATCGGCAAGCCCGCGACCGCGGCGGACGTCGGCCCGCCCCCCAGCGGGCTCATGGACCCCGCGACGCTCGGGACGTGCGTGGACCAGGCCGCCACGAAGGGCTGGAAGGGCGGGGTGATGGTGTTCCAGGACCCGCACGCGGACTCGGCGTGGATCCAGGCGGCGAAGGGCACCGCGTTCCAGTGAAGAGGCGTGCGCCCGCTTCAGAACACCCTCCGCCGGTTCGGACGGCGATCGTGCCAGGAGACCATCTTAACGACGATTGACACACTTCCACGACGTGGGACGCTTATGCTGTAATGAACATATGTTTTGGGGGTCACTGTACACGCCCGGCTGATGTGCGGGAACTACTACTTGGAACGGCCCCCGGAGTTCCACCGGGGACCGCGGCTCACCCTGTACAGGACTCGCATGCTACTAGAACCACTCCTGGTTGTTGTGGTGGGACAGGAACGCGCCGGAGTTCTCGGGGCCGTTCTTGTTCATGACGTCGAGGATCATGGACACCGCGACCGCGGGGGTCTTCGGGAGCCCGTCCCAGCTCGGGTAGTGCTTCTGCCAGGCCTGGGTCATCTGCTTCACGAACTCTGGGATGCTGTCGAAGTCGTCTGTGGCGCGGCACAGTCAGCGCGCACTCGCACGGAGGAAGGGGCGGGGGGATGCGCACTGGGGTCCTCCGTCATCGTGTTCACGTAGCCGGGGCTGATCGAGAGCACGGTGAAGCCCTCGGGACGGAGCGCGACGGCGAACTGGGCGGCGGCCATGTTCGAGGCCGCCTTGGAGATCGAGTACATGCAGCTGGCGTCGTAGTTGATCTTGAGCGCGAGCTCGATCGAGCCGGCGCCGGAGGTGACGCAGACGATCTTCTTCATCGCGCCCTTGCGGAGCAGCGGGAGGAAGGCGTTTATGGCGTGGATGGTGCCGATGGTGTTTGTGCGGAACTGTAGTACGGGGAGCCGGCGGGTGAGCGAACGTTTTATGAGGGATCGAGGTTGGGTTTACCCCGCCGACGAGGTCATCCTCGAGAGCCTTCGGGTCGGGGCTGCGAGATCGTTCGCGATTAGCACGGAGGCTGGCTCGACCAGGCTACAGGGTTGCTGCACTCACAACTTGTCGAGAGTTAACATGGAATACGGGGTGATGATGGCGGCGCCGTTGTTGATCAGGACGTCGAGCGTGCCACCAGTGACCTTGGCCACGTCCTCTGCGGCAGTCTGAATCGTGGTCAGCGTCGGGCCTCAGTGGAGGTGCGCAGGGAGTCACCTGGAGAGTCTGGGCGTTATCGAGATCGCCCTGGATGGCGTGTACGTTGGGAAGAGAGGTCGCGAGCTCGGCGAGCTTCGTGGCAGTGGCGGGGTTGCGAACGACACCGAAGACGGTGTTGTTCTTGTCTTTGGCCTGTACGAGTAGAAGAGGAATGTCAACGCGGGGAAGAGGCACGAGAGAGGGACACGCACGAGAGAGTTGACAAACTCAAGCTATGGAGGTGGAGGGCCTCATCAGCATATAGGGCTATACTTGAGGGAGAACGAAGCGCACCCCCAGGCCACGAGAGGCACCGACGACGACGTAGGAAGACATTGTGTGCGCGCAGTGCTGATCGTTTATCTGAGGTGCGAGATGAAGGAGGAGTCGGAGGTGAGAGCGAGGTTATATACTGGCCTGCTATTTGCCCGCCGCACTTCACGAAATCACTCAGGGGCGCCCGACATCCACGGCTTCTGTGTGCACGCAACCGAGCGTCGAGGCTCCGGCGGAGGTCGGCGGCAGCAGCCCCGGCCGCATGACGCTGACTATCGGCATGCGATGGGCTTTTGGAAATGCGCCCAGGCCGAGGAGGAGGAGGAGGAGGAGGCGGGTGATTAATTATCGCGGCGGAGAGGAGAGCATAGTACGCGGCGTGGGCCGCAATTGGCATCGACGTCGTGCTGACTAAGCATGAGTGCCAGAGGCGCGCGTCGCGACCCGAGCCTCTTTTCCTCCTCTACATCCCGTCCATGACTTGTGTCTCTCTCCCACATTGGTCGCCGCCGACATTTGCCTCGCGCTCAAGCGGATTGCCCAGGGACGCGACCTCCGATCGCCCTAGGATCACCCTGGAACCACCTATTTCCCACTGGCCTAAGTACCACAGCCACGCCGCCGTACCGCTTCAAGGCCCAGCCGGCGGTCATGCGGTTCTTCGCGCTTGCGTCCTCCGCTGTCCTCGGAGCCCAGTCTGTAGGCTATGATGGCCGGGGTTCCGATTGGTGAGAGTCGGATTCCATGGCGAGGCATCTCCAGGTTTCTCTCCAGTACGTCTCCGTCCTGTGGCTCGCGTGTGGGAATCTCGCCTTCAATTTCACCACGAGGCCATAGATATCGATCTCGAACTTTATTGACCCAGTCCCGCTATCGCAGCACCAGCGATAGTGGTCGGGTAAGAGAATCTCATTCCCTGCTCGCTCGGCGTTGGTCTATTCATTGTTCCTACCTCACTGTGATGCCGACCCTCCTCGAGCTCGCAGAGCAGTTGGCACTTCAGGCCGTCCAGCCAGGCGCAAACTCCGAACTCAGGTGAGCACTAGTCTCATTCACCTCGGCCGGATCTCTAGCTTACGACCTACTCTCGGCCAGTGTTTCGCAGGTCAGCAACGCCTCAGAGGACTTTGCCGCTCTCGATTGCTGAAATCTGCGCAGCTCTCCCGGACCCTCGAACTGTTGAGCGATGCCGCCAAGGGGATCAAAGTGCTCACCAACACCCGCGTCCCGATCACTCGACTACCCACAGAACTCATGGTTCGCATCTTCTCTGCGGTCCCCGGAGGCGCCAACAGCCGCACAAGAGGCCTCTTTGGATCCACCCAAGGGGCTTCCACTCTACCACCTTCCAACTTTAGGAACACGCTTGACCTTCTTCCTCTCACCACTGTCTGCCGACTTTGGAGAGACATCCTTCTCAACTCCCCCGCTCTCTGGACCAGTCTCTCCTCTGCAGACCCTCGTTGGGGCGCCTCGTCCTCCTTCTTTAGTGAACCTGAGCGAGCTTTGCACATCTCTCGACTTCGTCCAGGGATGACTTCCGCAAGACCGCTGTACATCGTCTCTGCTGAACCAATCCAGGATAGTGGGAACTCGCATTTCTTCCGTGAGAATGGCCATCGCATAGAGGAGCTCACCGTGACTATGCACCTGTACGGAACGATGTGGTGTCCAGCTCCCAACGGGTCACAGCACTCACCACCATTCCATTCCTTGTCATTCCCCCCGACATCGCTCAAACGCCTTACCCTTACGGGTCAAGCACGTCTTGATTACGGAACGGTGTGGCAAAACATTCCCTTGTTCGACGGCGTTGAGCTTGCGATAAACTCTTTATTCATGCACAGCATACCTTTCCTCCCAGTCAACCCTACCCCCTTTCTAACCTGTCTTGTTCTCTCGTGGTCATTGTACGATAACATACCACGCACGGGTGGGCCGGTGCGCGAGCTTCTTACCTTCCTCTCCAATACGCCATCTCTCCAAAAGGCCTACATCGACGGCGTCACGGAAGATGTTGAAGGCACATCTGTCACTCAAATCGTCCATCTCCCTTTTTTACGCACACTCAAGCTCTCTCCCGGGAGAGCTGCCGCGACTGTATTCTCTCAGCTCTCTCTCCCTCCTCAGTGCCTCACCTTCTTGAACCGCATCGACATCCGTTCTGGGGACTGCGTTGCCGCTGTCTCCACGGCAATTCCGCTGCATACCCACCGTGGCGCCGCGAAGCTCTACTGTTCCTGGGACCCGGGTTATTTCCAGGGCAGCGTCGGCTCCATCTCCATCCAAGCCATCTGGCCCGAGGACGGCGGCGGGCTTCGCCTCCACCTGGCGTCGCAGCAGCAAGGCGAGGACCTCACGGACGCCTGCGACGCCCTCGACGTCTTGCTCTCCGCCCTCGCGGGGGTGGACGAGGTCTGGTTGCGCGGCGCCGGGTCGGAGATGTTCGTCGCGCGGGCCGCCCCGCAGATGCTCCTCCGCCGCTGCACCGCCGTCAAGGCGCTCCACGTCCACGCGATCGTCCCGTTCGGCCGGGAGAGCGTGCCAGCGCTGTGGCCGCCCGCGCACGTCTGGCCCGCGCTGGAGCGCCTGCACGTCTGCTTGAACGGCACGGAGGGCCTGCAGGACCTCGCCGGCCTGCTCCGGGCCAGGAAAGACGCGGGACGGCGGGTGGAGGAGCTCCGTGTCTCGCACCAGGTCGCGCTGAAGGGACGGGGCGTCGCGGCGTCGGAGGTGCGCATGCCGTGGAACCACGCGCCACCGGACACGGAAGAGGCGAGGGCGGAGGCGGCGAGGGAGGTGGAGGCCATCCGGGGCGCGACGGAGGCGCATGTCGGGAACGTCGAGGTCGGGTGGAACTTGTACGAACAGGGTTCGTGGGACACCGTGTTACCGCGGATCGTTTTGCCGGCGGAGAGCAATGTGTTTTGGCCCTCGTGGGTAGGAGACACCGTGTTCGGGTGAAGCAGCAGGAGCCTCATTCGCTAGACTAGCAAGAGCTTACAGCCTCCGAATACTGCTCGAATCCGTATATGCCATCCAGTTGGGCCTCCACATTTCGCTCTGCACGGGCGAGGGAGACATGTTGGAAAGTCTGGTACATAGCTTGAGTAACCATCGATCTGAGGCGGAGGCGGAGGACTCAGTCTCCAGGTGGTCGGACTTCCACACGTGCACACGTGACCGTCTGGTATCGACACTCGCTCGCCGCGATGCACCGGGACCTCAAGGCCTCACGAATGCGGGATACGTTCTTAGCTATGTAGTTACACGCGCATATGTGACACATAGGGATAGAATGATGATGATAATAATAATAATAATAATAATAATAATAAGCACCGGGACCTCACTCCTGCTTGCACTAGTACGACCACTATCTTCGCTCAATGTCCCTGCCCTCCGGTTGTCCACTGAGGCTTCACTGTCGTTCGCAACATCTCCGCCTCTCTGTTCATGTCGCCGCCTTCTGTCGTCTCTCCCCGACCATAAATTGTCCGGGAACAAATACGATTGCGACCTTTTTGCTCTCAATTTACAGGAGAGCGGCGTAGGGAAGAACAACGGAAGGCAGAAAAGTGGGGAGGCATGGCCAACGGGATCTTCTACGATGCTGGACGAATGAGATTCGCTGGTGGGTGTTTGAAACACGCCTTTACGTTCTTTCCTGTGCAAGGTCATTCCCCAGGCGAGGCAAATGTTTCTTCTGGGGAAATCTTGGACCGGCGTACTTTTCTGTTCCGATGACATTGCGTGGAGGGTCGTGCTGCTCGCAAGCTTCTCCATCGCCCGTCTTGCGATTCGCAAGGCGATCGGGTTGTCGTCAAGTCCTGCCTGAAGCCTCGCTGGCAAGGCTGGTTTCCGCCCAGGGACATAACAACTTTTAGTGGCGGTACTACGCATCCTGCGCAGACGGATGCGATGGAGCGTAGCCTTGCTGCGTAGGGCCCGCCTCGCGATCACGGCACAGACCATGGGCCACGGTGGCGGAACACCAGCTTCCTCCAAGGCAGCGAGCTCCCGATACAACCTCTAAGCTTTGATCCTGCGCGGCACTCCCTTCTTCCTCTCTAATCCCACCCCCTGCCTTACCTGTCTTGTGCTCGCGTGCTCGTTGTCGGACAGCATCCTATAGGCGAGCTCGTCACCTTCCCCTCTCGCGTACCGACGCCTCAAGAGGCTTACGTTGAAGGCATCATGGAGGACCCCAAATGTATACACCAAATAGTCCAGCTGCCGCATCTGTGCAAGATCAAAAGTGCTGTCCCCCGGGAACGTGGCCACGACGACGCTGTCTCGACTTTCACTTCCTCCTGGCTATATCGCCTATCTAAGCAGCGTCGACGGAGGAAGACCTCCGGGACATCTGCCGCGCTCTCGACGCCCTCCTTCGCTCCTTATGGAGGCCTCTCCGGCCGCAAGCCCCATTACAGGGAATGCCCCGTCCCTCCGCATCTCCGACTATCTCACGGCGCTGCATCTCGTCCTCCCCTTCGATCGGGAAAGCGCCATAGTCCGCCGAGTCGCCGTGGCCCGCGTTCGAGAACTGCATGAACGATACTCGTGGGGGACTGTTCTGCTGCGCGCGTGTTCTGGAGCAGAAAAGAACATGAGTTGGCCTCCATGGGCGGGCAAGAAGCTTTGGTACGGTGTCCGCCGCAGATAGCATTTCACATCCCATTCAGTCGAACCTTCGCCGAAGAGTGTCAGCCCCCAGACACATCACCCCGATGGATTCACCGTGCGCGACGACTTTGCCGCGCTCCCAACCATCCCCATAACATCTTTCCAGAATGCCCATGGACACAAAACTATTTAAGAGGCAGCAAAGCCGCCGCCAACCTCCAGTACGCAGCCCATCCCCCTTTTTCTCCGCTTCCGACTACCGTGTTCCGACGTTTGCTCACAATGCTCTCCTTCAAGGCGTTCCTCGCTTTCGCTGTACTTGCGACCGCCGTGACCGCTCTCGCCATCCCCAGGGCAGCGGCCGACGTGATCGCGCCTGCCGTCACGCATCCCACCGCGGGCACCGTCTGGCACGTCGGTGCGCTCGAGACGGTCACTTGGGACACCTCCAGCGTCCCCGCATGGTCGGAGAACACCGGCGTCCTCCTGCTCGGCTTCGTCGAGGCTGACGATCCATCGGGGAATGAGCACCTCGACGTCGGTGTGTGACACTCCCTCCGCTGCACCCGGGTGCTGACCGCAGGGCCGGTGTCAGACCACCCGCTTGCTGCCGGGTTCAGGCTCGCAGATGGTGCCGTCAAAGTGACTGTCCCGGACGTAGTCCCTCGTGACGATTATGTCGTTGCTTGTGAGTCTCTGCTATGTTGGTGCTCACGGTGCTTCAATTGACGATCGCCTCTCTCTTTCAGTGATCGGCGACAGCGGTGACGTCTCTGGGATGTTTATCATCGTGCCCTGATGGAGGTAGCAGCCCGAGGACGAATCTGCGCACACCATCCGAAGACACGGACATCTAGGACTTCAAGGTAGCATTATTGCGCGACTGAGCTATGAGACGAACATTACGTTGCTTACGGAATGGACTGCTATGCGTACGCTTCTATCGACAGTGATATCTCGCATCTTCGTTCACGGACACTTCCCGGTCGAACTTCTGTTGTGCTTCTTCCAGGTCTCAATGAACTCGGAGATGCTGTCGAAGTCGTTCGCGATGCGACACTAGCGAAGTTGAAGGGGTTCGGCGGGTACCCGCACGGAACTCGAGCGGGAGGGATTTGCTGGGATCCTCGGCCATCGTGTCAACGGAACCGGGACTGATCGAGTGCAGGGTGGATCCCGCAGGAGGAGCGCGACCGCGAAGTGGGCGGGGGCCACTTTTTTGGGCCGCCTTGGACGTGGCATAGTAACCGCTAGTGACCTGGGCGACCAGTGCGGCAGCCTGAGATGGGGGTATTGCTCTACCTCTTTCTGACAAGGGTACGAGACCGCTCACCTAGAGAGGTTTGGTGCTGTTCAGGTCCTGAACGGCGCCGAGGAAAGACTGCGCAATCTCAGCAAGCCCGGTGGCGCCAAGGAGTATACGTACTGGCCTGCGTGGGGCGAAGAAGACGAGTATAGCACCAAACGCACGGCCTTGTCTCCACCAACTTGTTGAGAGCCCCGACGTGGTTTTGTCGAGCAGACTGTCATCGGGACGGACGAGACGGGAAGCGGATAAATAAAGATTGTGGGGCTAATTACATAGTTGAGTGAGATGAATTACAGCTAGGCATACACTCGATCCGGGATGGGCACTCGTTTAGGACCTCCGCCGATTCGCTAGGAAGAGAGGGAGAGGGGCGGTATGGTATATATGTGGAGAATGCAAATACCCTGACCAGGAGTAGGAGAGAGACCGTGACCAGAACAGAACCGAATCCAAGAAAACTTCGTGTGCGGAACCCCTAGGGCCCGCGTTGTGTTGAGCGATGCTCGCGCCGGGGCGCGCGTGTGGGTTGATACTTAGGCAGAGCCCGCCGAATCATCCAGGCCCATCTTCTTGCGCACGACCTCGAACGTCTTGAGCATCTTCCGCCTCGCCCCCAGGGCCGCGACGCCCTTCGCCTCGAGCTGGGCCTCGTCCATCATGACCATGTCACGCCAGTCGACGTTCTCGAAGTTGGGCGTGTACTTGTGCAGGCGCAGGCTCCGGAGCCACGCCGGGATGTCCTCGAGCAGCTTCGGGTCGACGTCCTCATCGTCTTTCTTCTCCCGCTGCCCGGGAGACTTGGTGTTCCTGTCTCGGTTGCCGACGCCGCGATTCCCGCGCATGTTGTTCTGTCCCCCGAGCATGCCCATCGGGTTGAAGCCGGCCTGACCGAGCTGCCCAAGCTGGCCAGCCGCCGCCATCTGCATCGCGATCATCTGCTCCGGAGAGAGTCCCATCGCGGCGAGGTTCGACATGTTGAACATGCTGTTGAAGGGACTGACGGGCGCCATGCCCGCCGCAGCAAGCGCCGCCATATTGAAGCCGCCTCCACCCTGCAGACCGGCGAGGGCAGGGTTGCCCATGCCCATAGCGAAGCCGTTCATGCCGAGACCGTTCATGCTGCCGTCGTCGCTGTAGCGACCCGACGTGTTTGAGAGGGCGGGGCTACGTGCGCCGCCCCAGCCGGCCTGGCCACCGAACGCGCTCAAGTTGCCATTGTTGCGGAAGCCGCCCGAGACATTGCGCTGGCCGCCGCCGTTTTGGTGTTGGTGCTCCTCGACGTCGTTTCCCGGAGCGCCCTTGGAGAGACGGTTGAGCCTCTTGGGAGGGTCCGACATCAGAGGGACGGCGCCGCTGTTTCCGCCGTTCCAGTCGTTGAGCTTCTGCGCCGCAGCATCGAGGCTCTGGCTCGGGTTGCGAGTGTCCTTGAAGATGGGATCAAGGGCGTGTTGACCATGCTCGCCCAGCTGCCACCCGGCATGGGAGACAGCTGGTCACCGATGTCATCACCAACGCGAGGGGACTTCAGGGCGTTCGCGAGGCCGGAGAAGTCGGTGCTCTTGGGGCGCGAAGCGGGGTTGGACGACGGGATGGTGATCTCCTGACCGCCGGGCGATGGGGCACGCTCGTCGACCTGGCCGAGCTGGTTCGAGCCGGTGCCCCACGTGTTGCGGTCAGCGCCGATGGTGGTCGAAAGGACAGGGGCAGAAATGCGGTGAGCGGCGTTGCTTGCCTTGAGCTTGGCGCGCTGATGGGCAAGAGTAGCAGCGGGGTCGGCGCCGGAGGTGTTGTTCGCAGACTCCGGCGAGAGGAAAGAGGCACCCATGCCACTGCCAGAGAAGTTGCGAGCAGTGGGCGAAGCAGGCAGGTTGGACTTGAGCCCCGGAGACTTGAGGCTCATGCTGGCTAGCTTAGCCTCCATCTGGCTCTGCATGGAACCTGCCAACCCATGTTAGTGGACGCAAAACAGAGCTAAATGACGCAACGCACCTCCAACGGCAGGAGAAAGGAGGGCAGTCATGGGGTCGGATCTAGCCATTTGCTGAAGGACGGTGATGAAGAAGCGAATCTGAACTTGAGTAGAATGTTGCAAAAGACTGTAAAGAGCGGCTGTGCGCTCGGCTTCGGAAAGGACCTTGAACCCTGTGAGACCCAGGATTAGCATAACGTCCCTATGGGGAGTCGCAAACATGAAGGTCCTGGGATAGGACGGGAGTAAAAATAGCGCGATCTGTACTGGGGCACTTCCGGCCAACTGGGACAATACGCTGGACGACGCTCCCAGTGGCTAGTGCTGCCGACTCAGCTGCGACTGGTAGAGCTTCCAATATAATGGCTTCGGCAGACGACTCCCACCCAAGTTGATCGATTGGGACGAGACAAGACAAAAACGCACGAGGGGGTTGATCACTTACATTGCTCGATGGCACTCAGTTCTTCCTTGAAATTGACGTCAAGAGAGGCAGCAGCCATTTCTTCCTGCGCGATAATGAGAGGCAGAGCAGCAGGCGGAGAAAAGGGCCACTCACCAGCGTCGCCTCATAGTTCTGGAAAGTCTCAAACCACTGGTCGATAGCTTCCGCTGATGGGGAGTACGCATGAGCATCTGAGAGGCATGTGGTGGACGATGTGGCTCACCCTCGGGAGTTTGGAACATGCCTGCGCCGCCCAGGAGCTCGCTGGTGGGACGAGCTCCGTTCGGACGGGGGGAAGCGGGGGGCAGGCCCTGAGGCCCGCCGCGAGCAGAGGTGGGACCCATGGAGGCACGGTAGCTGGGAGACCTGCCGCCGCTCGGGGCGGGGGACACGCTAGGGCTGGGGGGAGCGAGACTGGACATTTGATGAGAAAGCGAAGGACTGCAAGTCGACGTCGAGTCGGGGTTGGCTAGAATCAAGCGACACGTTCGGGGACGTGCAACGATGTCTAGACAAGACCAGCGGAGCCTGCCGGTCTAGGAAGTGACAAAGGCGGGAAGACGGCGACGAGGGGGAGGGGCTCGAGAACGTCGAGGACGATGAGGACGAATGGGAAAGGAGCCCGCCGGGTTGGAAACGCCGCCTTATGCTGGCACCCCAAACACCGCCAAACACTCTGGTGGCGCCTCGCCCGGGCTCTGATGCCACCCATCACCATCTGTTCGTGTCTCGCCCGCTGCACACCGCCTCCTTGAGGCCCTCTACCGCCCTCTCGCGGAATGCTCGTGCTTGACACATCGCGGGCCTGTAGGGCGAGGGGTGCGGAAGACGCAGTCACGACCCGCGGTCCATGCGGATAATTACGCTCCCCGCCGGCTGTGCGGCACCCAAGGACGCCCAGGTGACCAAAGCATGATGCTCTTTATGGCCGCCCGCGCTTCCTGGCAAGCCCATTGGAGTTTGTTGCATGCATGAAACAGCACACGCAGATGATCAGCTAGCCTGGCCAGGGTCGAAATCCCTGACATAGGGCAAAAGAACCGCCTCATCGCGGCCCGGTGGAACGACACCTAACGGCAAGGGCCGTGTCGTATCGCTAGAGTACATAGCCAAAGTCGATCCACCGCGGTCTCTCGAGGAAGACCTTGTCGATGGTGAAGTTGGCCGCTTGCTTCCTCGTCAAAAGATGCTCAAGAGGAATCCGCTCAGAGGTGTTCCCACCAGGCCCTGTGTGTGTGCATGTCAGCCTAGGGATATAGGGGCGTGCATTCAAATACCGCACCAAAGGAAGCGAATTCTGCATAGAACGTGGTGTTCATGATCACCGGTCTGCAACAAGTCAGCCCAACAGATTACGTCGACAGTGGATGAGCGGTACCTAGCGCTACTGAATGGAGTCCAGCCCACTGGCTGAATGCTGTCGTCCATGAATGTGCGAAGATATACTGTCGTGGCAAGATCGTTCCATGGTCTGCCCAAGAAACACTTCCCATCGGTGACGGTGGTCGCGTTTGCATCCGGAGACTGCAGAAGCGTGAGCTACATGTGGGATCCACGCTTAAGCTAAACTCACCCTGATGATTCTGGAATTGGAAATGTATGCGCCGTAGCGATTTCCGGGAGCATCCGTTAAGTTGGTACCCTTCCAAGCGACGATTCCACCACCACAAGCACGGTTTGCCAGAGTGACGTTTTCAAACCACCTGAGGAAGCATGAGCTACCGCTTGTCAGGCATCGATCGTGACCACTCACGCGGTCCCAAAGCCGAATAGGTCTGCAGGCATGCGTTAGGAAATGGAGACGGAAGATTGATGGGAGTCTCACTCACAATCTGTCTGACCAAAGATGATACTGTCGACAACATAGGTGCTGCCGTTGCGACCCGTGTACCAGGTGTCTTGGAAGCTCGCGAACGTGCATCCGTAGAAGGACGCATTCGCATACGAGATGTCTGTGACGAGTGCCTGCGAAATGGAGAAGTTGGCCTGTGGCCCGAGACAGACAAGATCAGACTGCAGCCCCAACTGACATCGAGAGAATGATTCACAGCGCGGTTCTCGAAATCGATGTTGTACGCCTTGAAGTCGACATTACCGAACAGCGGCTGCAGCGGTGCACCCGTGGGGCCTGCACCGATGAGGGAAGCGTTGAACGACGGCGCGACGAGAAGAACGGCAGACTGCGCGTCGTCCATGCCGCTCTGGACAAACTGGTTGTTCCAGATGTGGACGAGGTTGCGTGTGGACGCGTTCCCGGCTGGGTCGAAGGCGGTCTTAGAGTTCAGTTGACCCTGCAAAAGCGCGTCAATGGTGAAAGGGTTGCGCAAGGCGTGCTGTGCCACTTACCAACAGCGTAACTGGGCCTCTTCGAGTAACATTCACGATCTCATTGTATTCTCCTGCGCCGACAAGGATGGTAACCGCTCCTTGATCAGGTCTGGGGAGAGCGTAAGTATTGACGTTCTCTCGTGAGCATGGTGAGCTTACAAGGAAACAATGGCATCCTGGACACTGGTGAAATGAGCCCGAGGGTCGTTCTGAGATACAAAAATGGTTCCAGGGGCGCAACCCGCTAACGGCGAATGTCTCGGCGCTTTCTGCAGTTGACACGCTATATGGGCAGGAGAAAGAGCGTGGACGCCACCAGTGAGCAACAGTCCGAACAGCACCTCCGCAATCCAGTGCATGCTGAAGGACGCGACCTTGACGAGGGGGGTAGAGGTGCTGGTGGGGGCATGCGCGTCGCGTCTTATAATGCGATAGAGGCAAGCGGGCGGACCGTCGGGAGTGTCATCAGACCGCGAGCATGACCATGAGGGCGGGGCGATGTTAAAAGCCACATATGACCCCCACCTTCTGGAGTAACAGCATGCCCACACGCTCTAATTGGGGATTTTCAACCGCGCCGATCGCTCCCTCTGTTCCTGGCTTGCGGAATAGCGCACATGTGACCCATTGAAATCGGCTCGCGTTGATGGCCCTTGACGCAGTTTAGGGGAACATGACAGACTACCGTCAACTGATGCGGAGAGCGTTCGAGGCGGGCGGTAAAGAGAGTATGCCAGTCGCGAGTCGGACGAAAGGGAGGGTTGGCTCACAACGAGCAGAGTCGGCAGGTCTCCCGCGGACAGCCGGCGGGTGTGTGGTCCTGTTTGGCGCTTCGACACCGTGGCCGGACCGCCACCGTCGCGCGTTCTGGTCTGCGGGCGCAGCGTCCCCACAGAGCGCATGTTTCTCGTCCTTACTACCACCACCCTTCCTTAATACCGACTCCACGCCCCTGTCGACGCTGCAATGAGCTTCAACGACATCGAGGCCGGGCTCTCGCGCCCGCTCTCGCCTAACAGTGGCGCGCCACTGTCGCCGGAGGAGTCCGCGTTCACTTCCCTCCAGTCGTCGCTATCCCTCCAGGTCTTCAAGATCAACTCCAATGTCCAGGGCATCCTCAAGCTCGTCGACCAGCTCGGTACCGCGAGGGACTCTGCGGCCCTTAGGAAGTCTCTGTGAGTCGTGTTTGGGCGCATGGGAAAGGAGCGCAGACCAACCGAATCTCCGCACAGTCATGACCTCACCGAGTCGACACGGGCCATGGCCAAGCGTGGCTCGGACGATCTGAAGAAGTTAGCCGCGATGCAGGCGACCCTCGTACGTCTGCTTGCCGCAATTCCGTGCCCATTGCGCGACTCACCGCCCGCGTTGCCCCCAGCCCCGGCAGAAGACGTCACTACAGAAGACTTCACACGATTTCCAAGTGTCACTCGTCGCATTCCAGCGCGCACAGGCAGTCAGCGCGGAGCGGCAACGTACTGTGGTCGAGGGTGTGAAGCTCGCCGTTGAGGAGGATGAGGCTGCGGCGTGCGTAGTCCTTCATGCTGCGTATTGTTCCTGGTTTTGACGCAGCGGGAGCAGACATGGGGAGGCCGTGCGCGCGTCGAGTCCCTCACCGTCGCAACGGCAGGCGCAGATCCTGCACAACCAGCTCTCTCCGCAGGAGCTTGTGTTCCAGGAGTCTCTGATCCAAGAGCGGGAAGCAGAGATCCGGGATATTGAGAACGGTATCCACGAGCTCCGCGACATCTTCCGCGACCTCGGCACGCTTGTGCAGGAGCAGGGGGACATGCTCGGTGAGTCGCCCTTCGTAATCTGTCTGGTGGGGCGGTCGCTCACGGACGCGCGAAATCAGACAATATCGAGTCAAACATCTCCTCGATCGCCGTCGACACGGCAGGCGCTGCCGAAGAATTGACCACGGCACATGAGTATCAGCGGCGCGCAGGCCGGCGTGCACTCTGCCTGATGATCGTCGTCGTTATCGTCATCTGTGTGGTCCTCTTGGCAGTACGTGTTCTCCTCATTGTTGCCCGCTGCACGTCCGGGGGATACCAATGCTTTGTTGAATTTTCGCAGGTCCTGTCGTGATGACTCCTATCCGATCGACTTTGACCGGGACGCTGATGTGCTGTGGCAGGCTTGTTCCTGCGGCTCCACCGGACAGTTTATGCTAGACTCCATCATATTCCCCTTCTACGATGGCGACCAATTTATATCCCTGTTTATGCCGCTAATTATGTTGCCCACCTGTACTCGTCCGGACGGACGGCATGATGATCTAGTGATGGGATTCATGTCCCCGCAGTTGTACTTGAGCTTGGCGTGGAGAAAGCACCGTCGCGCTGCTTACTCCTTATATGAGAGGTTGCACCAACGCACCACAAACGCATATGGCTTCGCTACAATGGGCCAGGCGAGCAAGATGCAGACGTAAGATGTCATTTTTCACGTTCGCCGATTACATTACGACTATCAACAACGCTACATACGGCTAGCCGATCAAAGTGCGCAACGATAATAAATACTTACCAGGACTTTCGGCGCACGTTAGCTTCCCCACCCCGGCAAGCCGGAGCGGGTACTAGTCCCGAGGGCCACGAAGAGGCCTGCGCCAGGATCGGCCGCGCTCGACACGAGCGCGCGCCGACCCATACCTCGGGAAGCTGTCTTGAGCGGGGGCGTGCTTCACCGCGGCTGCTTGAAGCCTTCATGCACGCTTTTCCATTTCCACCATCCTCTCATTTACGTCCTCAGGTCTTCACCCCGGGCGTCCCCGAGCCGCAGCGAGATATCTGTCTTCACCCGCCAGCGCGGAACTTTGCTTTCGTCGCCCATCTTCCTGGGCGAGCATATTTTATTTGCTGCAAAACAAGTAAGTGGTTCGATTGCTTTGGTTACCTACGGCGACGACGGTGAGCGGCAGCGCGAGACGACGAAGAGCGCAGAGGGAACGCACCTGATGATGCAGGGGATCACGCCGGGCTCGCGCGAGACGGTCCCGAAGCACGAGCTGTCTTGAGTCACCTAGGCCGTGCACGATGCATGAGGGGCGCACGATCCGTCTCGGCTCGTGAGAGTTGCACGGTCACCAGAGGCAGCCACCGCAGCGGCGTCGGAGAGGGCGTCGGTGGTCAGCGGCCAGGACTCGGCTGGTAGGCCCCGGCGAACCCGGCACCCCACATCTATGTCCCTCAAAGACCTGGAGGGAGTATGGTCAGCATGGTGGTCGGGGTGGCGGCGAACGATGGGGCAAGGAGCGGTGGGGCTTGGAGGAACGGTAACCGGGGACGACGAAGGTCGTTGAGGAGGGTGGCGGGAAGGGTGGCGAACGATACGAGAATACTCACTCTTGCACTTGCCCGAAGGCGCATCCCCCGATCCGCCTCCCGCACGAGGATTCAGGGACGCGTGAAAGCGTATGGCCAACCGATACGGATTAGACGACGGATCGAGGAGGTTTCGACGTGCCTGGCGCGGGTACGCCCGACCAGCGGGACGCAGACGTCGGGAACAACACTGCTGAGGAACAAGGCGTGCTCGCCGTCCAGCAGACAGTGAAGACCGTGCCCGGGGACGACTGTCCGGGGGACTACAGTCTTGAGATGGGCCGCAAGCAGCTGTGGGGGGAGGCGTCAGCGTGGACTCGAGGTAAGAGGAGGGAGAGAGAGAGGGACACACCCGCCATCTTCGCAGTCTGAGGGAAAGAGGGACGTGGCGAGGAGATGGGTTTATATGTGCGGCGAGGTGGCGAGCGGCTGACCTGTTCCGAACTTCAGACTCCGCTCCGCGCGAGGGGATGCGGGTCGCCACCGGATGGTTGGGTGAGAACAAAAGGATCGATTGTTCCGTCTGGGGGCTGGCCTGATGGCCCTTGGGAGCCGCTTGTTCAGGGGGTCGGCTATCGATCCTGCTCCCACATTCCGTCCCATATTCTCCGCCCCAAAAGGCAAGTCCATCAACGCGGTCCGCCGCTCGAAGGTCCCCGTCGCCAAAGAACTTCTGATGTGGTCCGAGCACACTTCATCGCCACGCTGCTGCTGCTGCGGGCGGTGATACATCGTGGCGCGGCTCTTCAAGGCAGTACGCCTCCGGGTGTTTGGCCGTGTTTGTCTCCGTAGGTGCAAGCATCCCAGCCTGTAACGGAGTTCCTGTAAGGGCATCAGATACAAGATGACCCGAGAATGGACAGCACTTAACAACGAGATGCGTTTGAGAGCGGAGGGGATGCCGGTTTGGGATACAAGTGACTCACAGCGGAGTTTCTCCACTTCTAGCTCTGTCCGCCAAGCGAGCCCGGCTGTGCCTGCGTGTTCGAAAGATGTACAACGGGTGACAAATGAGTCATTGTGTGCGTTTGGGAAAAAGAAGCCATACGGAATCATGACCAGCATGTGCGTTGATGGACATATGATGAGAAATACCATACTGTGCCAGAATTCAGTTGCAGCAAGCAGCGACCCCTGCCCGTTCGCCAGCCGTTCGCGGGTCTTTGCGTGCATTGGTGCACGCTTTGCTCACGCTCTCGCATCTACCATACAGCGCAAGAGGGCCCGATTTAAATTGATAATGCACATTATATGCGTGACTCACAACGGAGGTTCTTCGCGCTAGTCCACGCCACGTCAAGCCCGTGATCGCGTCGGTTTTGTGGGCGCAGAGCCGTCGCCACGAGGCAACCTGATGTCTTCACTTCGTATGGCCCTGCACCATGATCCCACCGCTGAACCCTCGGAGTCAGTGACCTAGCCACGGACGTTCCGAGACTCGACGCCCATCTGTATCTAGATGGACGCACCCCTGTTAGCGTGCCAGATTCTGCGACGTGCCCCATACGTACGTAAGCACACCTATTCTTGCTCGAGAGTCGGAGGGTGGATGCCAATTCCCCAGTCAGCCCGATCGAGGACCTTGCTAGACTTCCCCGTAGCATCCCGGAGGCCACAAGGCATGCAGCACAATTTACTCAAACAGCGACACCAGCTGTTCCCGTATCAGTCTTGTGTTACAAGTACCGTCGCGAAGACAGACCCAGTACAGATGTATGTGGCAGAGTTTCAATCCAAGAAGTTCAGTCACCGAGGCGCCAAGGACCTGAACTCTATTCCCACGGCCTTAGTATGGTCGCGTTCGATTTGGCCCGTAGCGCCCATAGGTCTGACCGGTTTTCTTCCAACTTCCCGCAGCTGGTTGAACGTTGAGACGTGTGCGCGAACCACTTTACTCGGTACATAATCTGTTCTTCTGGCGTGCAATCCGCGTTCCCGAGTGCTATGTGGGCGGTACGTGGATTCGCTTATCGACAACGCGCCTGCCACACTCAACTGACAACCACCTCGTTATAGACCCTACGGCTCGCCAGATATCACCCACAGGCAACTGCCCCGTGACTGTCGGAAAATATTTCAGCATTTGTAACCCGGCCCATGGCGCGCGCTGTGCGCACATGCATGAGACAAAGGCATTCGGATGCCACCACAGCGACGTGTACCCCCTCTTCGCCCCGGGACGGACTGCCTATCCACAGCGACCACAAAGAGACATTTCCCGAAAATACCATGTATGCGCAACAGGTTACATCACCTGCGCAAGACGACAGCGTCAGAGGTACGAGACCACTTATCTCACCCTACGTCATCCCGCCCGGTGTTAGTGATCATTAACGAGGGACCGGTGAAGGTTAACTTTCACCTGCGACGCCAAAGTGCCCGCCAAATAACTCCCCGAGTAGGCCGATAGCTTTGTTTGTCCCAATAACACAGCCAAACTAACCCGGAATCCTATAAGATACCCCGCCAGACAGCCAAGCTCCCCAGTACATCTCTGCCTCAGATTTGTCTCTGCTCTGCCCCAGGCTTAGCTGCATTACCGCACTTGCATTAGCACCTGCATATCACGCCCTTACCGCATACAACCCCCACCATACAACCCCCACCCTCACCATGTCCACCTCCCTCGCCCTCTCCTCCATCCCCCGCGCCGTCCTGGCCGCCCCCGCCCTCCCCTACCTCCTCGCTCTCGGCTTCATCGCCGCCCTCTCCCTTGTTGCCGCTTACCCTCTCTTCCTCCAGCTCATCCTCGTCGTCGTCCTGGGCTACGTCTTCGACGTGCAACTCCGCGTCGTTCAACGCTCCAGCACTGCCGCCAACACCCAGACGACGCTCACTGTTGAGTTGTCCATTTCCGTTCCCCCGTTTGCTGATCTCGCCGCCTCTTCCATCTTGCCTCGCGCGCGCGACGCGTCCAAGGCGGCCGCCATCGAGGCCCTCTCCTCCGCTCTCATCGCTGTCTACGTGTTGGCGCAGGTCGCGAAGACGGCGGCGATGTATGCGGCGGTCTTCGGGGTGTGCGCGCTCTTTGGCGTCGCGACGGCGGCGCATGGGACCTTCATCGCGGTTGCGCTCGTCGCACACGCGATCGCTGGTCCCGTCGACGCCGGCGACGACGCCATCGCCCTGCGCGCTCCTCGCGAAGGTGAGCAGCCATGCGTTCTTGGACCCTGGACTCGTGGCCGATATATGCTCTATTCCCAGTCATCGCCGCCGACATCACCGTCGTGGTCGTGGCAAGCTCGAAGGCTGTCAACACCGTCCTCGCGATCACGGCCAACGCCGATGCCGACGACGCCGAAGACGCTGCGGAAGAGTCGTTCTCTGGAGACGACGAGGACGACACCGAGTCGACTGTCGATGAAGCGCTCCTTACTCCGGCCGACTCCTCTGCGGACGACTTCGAGGTGGATATCCGTGAAGACCCCCTTAGCGACGAAGAGGATACTATCGACGAGGATGACATCTATGGCGGACTCCTCAAGCTCGTCGAGGCGGCCGCGGCGTCCGATCCTTGCTGCCCCAACGACAACGACGTCGCGGAGCTACTGGAAGCTATGAACTCGCTTGCTCTCAGCGCGCCCTGCTCCTTCGACAGCCTTGCCACTGGCTCTCCCGCTGAAGCATGCCCCACTGACGATGTCGACGCTTTCTTCCAGCTCACTGAACAACTCGCTGAAGCCAACCCTCTGATCATCAAGATCGAACCTGCCGACAATGAAGACGTCGACATGACCATCCTGCTAGCCTCCCTCACCCTCTCTGGCGACGTTTCTCCCTCTCTCGTGGAAGTTCCTTTTGACGCTCCTCCCATGAACGTTGACGAGTGCGAAGACCCTGCGATGGACGTCGAGATCCCGCGCACCACGGACGCCCAATCGACTTCTACCAATGAATCTCTCGCTGTGGACTGCCTCATGACCGACGAAGAGATCGACGCTTTTGCATTGGAACTCGACGCAATCTTGCTGGCCGACGCCGACGAGTACTCATCTTCGGACCCCGACGTCGCGATGTCACTCGACGATCAAGACGCGGCCATGGCTCTTCTCTCCCTTGCAACTACCACCCCTCCCATTCCTATCCATATCCCTACCTCCGAGGAGCTCGACGCCGTCTTCCAGCAAGCTCTGACCAACTGCGCCGCGGCTGGGGTCTCTCCTCACGACGTCAAGGTCGAGCTTTCTGATGAAGACTTCGAGCTGTTTGAACGGGCCTGCGCGCCTGTTGATCTCACTTTGGATTTCCCGCTCACCGGTCTCTCTGCCCTCGCAGACGCGGCGGCCACTGTCGCCCCAATGGACGTCAAGTCCGAGTCCACCACCGAGGTCTTCGGCGACGACGACGCGGCCCAGCTGCTCCTCGCACTCGGCGCGACCGTCCCTTCTTCCTCAGATTTCTTCGCACCTCCTGTCGCGGCGTCCAGCGCGGACGTTGGGGCGTCTCCGGGTGCTGCTGTCGCTGAACCGCATATGCGGATCGTGACGCGGCCGATGAAGGCGCTCCCGCGTTCTCGGGCGCTGCGCAGGAGTGCCCGTCTGGCGGAGAAGCAGGCCGCTGGCAGTGCCAAGTCGTTGTAGTCTGTTCTCGGTTTTCGTCGGACTTGGCTTGTGTGTCGTTGTACTCCTGTTTTGTGTTTGCATCTAGACTTGTAACATCTCGTGTGTGTGTTTCTATGATTTCTCGGGTTTTTTGGTGGTCGTTGTCTTGGGATCATGTCGTGGACGCTAGGCTTTGAGTATCTCCATGTACTGTCGGGTTTTGGATTCTCCCCTCTGTATCAGATTATTTGGTCATGAATTTACGTGTGAACTTGGAGCGAGTGACGAATCAGCCAAGGGCAACCCATGGACAATCCATGTAGGCCCGACTAGCTGGCCTGACGAGATAAGGATAAGATGAGATGGAAACACCTACTTTCGTTGCTGTTTTGATATTCGACTGCGCTAGCAATGAGTGCTGAATATTCCAGCACCCTCCTCAAAGCCTCAGGTCTTTGTTATTTACTGCTTGTTTCAGTCTAGTCGATGCCATACGCGCTTGCGGGGATGTCAACAATCCCCGCGGCAAGTCGTGTGATCGGAGGCACTCCAGATTGTCGCCAAAGGCAGCTCTGCGTTCGTCTAGAGGGAAAAGTGTAGATACTTTTATAGTCTACGTGCTAAGCTGCCAATAAGCATTACGACGATAGCTACACGAGGACACGACGCTCGTCGCACGTGGGGCAGCACCACTCTAGTAGAGCAGCGAGGACATATCGGCGCGAATGCGGTTGTAGTCGAGGAGACCCTCAACGGGGCCGACCGCGGCGAGCGCGAACTAGACAAGGGAGGTGAGCTATGGAAAAGACGAGAGCGAGAAGGGAGCACGTACGTCCTTGTCCCAGAGGTACTTGTTGGCCACCCGCTTGATGTCATCGACGGTGACAGAGTCTACAAGGAACTCGGTCTGCTTGGGGGTCATGCGGCGGCCGCTGGTGACGAGCTGGCGACCGATGTCCTCGGCAATAGCGGTGGAGCCGTCGAGGGTGAGGAGAAGGCTCGCCTTGAGCTGGCTCTTGGCGCGCTCGACCTCGACCTCGGTGGGCGCCATTGACATGCGCGTCCACTCGCGGAGGGTGAAGTGGAGGAGGTCGTCCATGTTCATCAAGTTCTCGGTGACGAGGTAGATGCCCCAGAGGCCGGTGTCCGAGTACGAGGTCGAGAAGGACATGAAGCTGTTCGCGAGGTTGTTGGACGAGATGATGTGCGAGAGGCGTGACGACATGAGGCCCGCGGCACCGAGCGAGCGGTCCCAGTTACCGAAGATGCTCTGCATAACGAGCATGGGGTAGTAGTCGGGCGAGCTCCAGCCAACACCCTCAACGGCAACACCAATGTGCGCTGTGGGCTGGGTGTCGTCTCGGACGCGGACCTCGGAGCCGACGAAACGCGTCTTGGGGTGCGCGAGGCGACCGAGGGGGATGGGGTTGGGGGAGACGGGGAGGGAGGAGAAAGCAGACTCGGCGTACTTGACGAGCGCATCGTGGTCGACACCGCCGGCACCGACAAGGACCATGCGGTCAGCAGTGTAGTTGGTCTTGATGTAGGACGCGAGGTCGTCGCGCTTGATGGAGAGAATGTTCGCCTTAGGTCCGAGGATGGTACGGCCAAGAGGCTGGCCTGAAGGGAGTTAGACGGAGCGCCAGGTGACGTTGCGGACATGACCCACTTTGGAACGCAATAGAGTGCAGATGGTCGAGAACAACCTCCTCCATTTGCTTGTCGACCTCCTGCTGTTCCCGCAGGATGACGTCCCGCTCCCGCTCGACAGCGCCCTCCTCGAGGGTCGAGTTCTGGAGAATGTCGCTAATGATGTCAACGCTCTTCTGGACGTCCTTCGAGAAGCACTTGGCGTAGTACACGGTCTGCTCGCGCGACGTGTACGCGTTCAGGTGTGCTCCGAGGCCCTCCACGGTGAGTTCAAGGTCGCGTTGTGAGCGACGCTTGGTGCCCTTAAACGCCATGTGTTCGAGGAAGTGAGCGGTACCGTTCGTTGCATCCGTCTCCGCCCTCGACCCCGCGTCAATCCACACGCCCACCGTCGCCGTCTGCACATGAGGATGGTTCTCCGTCGCTACGGTGAGACCATTCGAGAGCGTCGTCGTCTGGAGCTGGGGGTAGTTGACTGCAGTCGCGAACGATCGCAATGGGCGGCGCTGAGGTGTACGGTGTCAGAGAGCGGGTTCGCGCGTAAACGAAACGAAACGTACGGGAGAGCGCGCTGCGCTGCGAAGCGCACGCCCAAGTGAGGCCGAGAGCGTGCTTGTCACCATCGAGGTCGTAGAGGAGGAAGTGTGCGTCGACGCCGGAAAGGCCCACCGGGCGAATACGGCGAGCAGGCGGACTTTAAAACATGTAGCTCCGCCAGATTCCCTCCGCCAATCTTTAATCGGCGCTCGAAATTTCCTAATCATCCGAGCATGATTGGCACCCGGAATGCACTCGGCGGCTCTCAGCAGACCCGGAACGCGCGATCGCACTCTTGTCTTCGTCTCCGATGTCTTTTCCGCACGACTTGCACGTCAACTACAAGATTTTAAAGCCAAAACAGCTTTCTTGCACTTGCGGGACCACTGGGGTATCGTCGGACTCGGAGCGCCGATTCCCGAAGTATTGGAGCGGGAGCTTGAGTGACGTCCGGGTGGGTGCGGAGACCACCACGGGTTTATATGCTGGAGTCATCGTGCGCAAGGGTTCTCCCGTCTTATGGGCCTTATCATGGCGGTTCGCAGCCACGCAGACTCGCTCTGGCGGTCTCTTGGACTTCTTCCCGAGGCATTGACCCGCCTCCATCTCAGCGAGAGACCAGATCCCGCAGTCAACTCCTCATTCAAGCTTGGCACTGTCGCACAGGTATACCGAGCTCATCTGAAGCTTCTCCGAGTGACCTGATCCTTAGCACTTCCACAGAGCTCGATCGGCTTATCGGCTTTGGCAGCGGCGCATTTCCATCAACTGAGAACAGGAGTATTGCAGACAGTCCATGTAGATGCTCGTCATGCCGTCATCGAATTTAGTGAGTAGAGTCTCTCCTCCGCCCAGATCACCACTAACCTTGTTTACCCGTAGAGAGTGAAGCGTATTATGCCCTACAAGGTCGGTCGAATGACAACAACGCCTTATTCGAGCCTCTCGCAGGTTTGTACGCCGAGGACCCGGCTTGGCTTCGCTCCATCATCTTCGGCGATTTTCCCACGCTCAGCTCTCACCGGGGAGACCTTGAGCGTGCGGTCTACCCCCGTTCCGACAACCAATCCTACATTCTTGTCCAGTATAAGTAACAAACAGGCGACGCGAAATGGCTACATCGAGGCTGAAAGCAAAGGAAGCAGCGGCGGCGGCGAAAGCAAAGGAGAGCTCGTCTGAAGCGCCCACGGCCAGCTCACAACTCCCGCCCCGCACCCGTTCACGCCAATCTCATAACCCGACCCTCGACTCGTCACAGCGCACCCTCGACGACGCCTTCGACATCAGGGACGGAACAACGGGCCTCAAGTACCTGGCATCAAGAGGCTTCGTCCCCACGGGGGCTCCACCCAGCATCTCCAACCTGCACACCGCGCTCCTGCATATCGCGAACACGTTGAAAGACCCCCTCGACAAGAAGACGGTGACAGCGGCGGCTTATTACGCCACGCTCGCGGCAGCCAGTGACCAGACAGAGCGCGTTGTGAAGGCAATGGTAGAGAGGGTGTCGAAGGCCCTGGAGGAGAAGCTCGTCGAGGCGAAGACGGCGACGGAGGAGGGGCTGCGAGAAGCGAAGGTGGAGCTGAACAAGGCGACGGAGGTCATGCAGGGTGAGGCGACCAAGCTCAGGACACTGCGGACGGTATGGGAGGCGGCTCCCCAGTCGACGGCGGCCTGGGGCTCAGGTGAGTTCCCCACCCCCGCGGAGGCAGCTGATCGCCGTTCCACCCCCGCGTACATACGCACTCCGGTTCCCCTCCCCCCAGCGCTGGCCACTGCGAAAGCGGAGGCCGACGTCAAGGAGCGCCAGATCCTAGTCAGAGGCCTGGACACAAGGGGAGCGGGGAACGGCAGGGCTACCGAAGCCGAGTTCATCAAGAAGGCGGAGGAAGTCATCACCAAGCTCGCGGAAGACGAGGAGAGACCCCCGGAAGACGTCGCGGTGAAATTCACAGCGGTGTCCTTCCTGTCCCGAGGGGACGTCGTCTTCACCGTCTCCTCGCGGGAGGCCGCCCAGTGGATCCGGCGGGAGAAGCCCCTCGCATTCGCGCAAGGACTGGGAGGCGACGCCGCATCGGTGGAGGATCGCTCGTACACGGTGGTAGCGGAGATGGTCCCGGTCGACACCGACATCGGCAACCCAGACACCTTACGGGAGATCGAAGAAACCAATGGCATCGACCTGGGAGACCTGCGCGCGGCCACCTGGATGCGTCCACCGGAACGACGATACGGGGGCCAGAGGTATGCACACGTTCGACTGACCTTCACAACAGCGGAAGCCGCCAATAGAGCGATGGTCTCCTGCATCGTCGCAGGAAAGAAGGTAAATGTGCGGAAGCTCTCGGAGGAGCCCCTGCGATGCCTCCGGTGCCAGGAGTTCCGAGGTCACACAGCCAGGAATTGCACGGCGGAAGAGAAGTGCGCGCACTGCGGGGGTCCCCACGCAGTGGCACGCTGCGAATTCAGTAAGAACCCTGAACGCCGCTACTGCGTCTCCTGCAAGTCGCACGACCACGCATCCTGGGACCGCCAGTGCCCATCACTGCGCGAACGGTCAGGCAAGCTCTTCGCACGCAAGGTCGCCGCCCAATACAAGTACTTCATCACCGACGACCCGGCCACCTGGGTTACGCACCGGGAGGCGGCACTGCAAGCGACACCACCTGGAATAACCTGGGACAATGGTAATGAGCTACTGGAGCAGATTCGCAAGGCGGTCGAGTCGGGCAAGGTGAGGCCCTCGCAGAAGGAAAGGGGGCAGCGGTTCCGACAGGAACGTCTGGGCAAAGGTACTACGGGACAGACACAGCGCACTGACGACACAGCCCTCAACTCGACCACCTTCTGATGAACGACACACCGACTCCAGCCCCGACCCGACGTCTCCGCATCCTACAACAAAACATCAACAAGTCTTGGGACGGCCAGATCGACCTTATGCAAGTGGACCCGAAGGAGTACGACATCATCGCCCTACAAGAACACGCCCTCAACCCAGTCAATCAATCAACGGCCAACTCTTACTGGCGGCCTGCGTTCCCTACACTCCCCGACCCCGACGCCTTCAAGAGGTGTCGGGCAGGTATTTATATTAACAAATCCATTTCCACTAATTCATGGTCCCCCATCGAGATCGTCAGCCCGGATGTGGCGGCAATTTCGCTGTCGGTTGGGGACCGAGTTGTCCATATTTTCAACTTCTACGTTGATCAGGCTAATGACCACGCCCTTACCCTGGCAGAGCACGCAGCGCACAAGATCCTCCGAAACGCCGACCGCGCGAGCGACCAACGGAGGCAAGAGTTTGTATGGCTGGGGGACTTCAACCGGCACCACCCGCACTGGGACGACGAAGCGAACAGCCAGCTGTTCACGAAGAAGGCATTGAGGCGGCAGAGGTCCTACTGCAACTCACCGCTTCGTTCGAGCTCGAGCAAGCGCTACCGCAAGGCATCCCCACACTGGAGGCGTCCAGCTCGAAGACCCTTACACGCCCGGATAACGTCTTCTGTTCTACCTCCCTCCTACCAGAGCTGATATCTTGTATCTCAGCCCCGCACATGCGTCCGAGTTGCGCAGATCACTTCCCGATTATTACGACATTCAACCTCGAGCTCACACCCGCGGAGTTCGAACCGCGCCGCGATTTCCGAGAGGTCGACTGGATCGAGTTCGACAACGAGCTGCGCAAGGAGCTCCTGCGCGACCCACCCAGCAAGGACATCACATCCGCACCGGAGTTCGAGGAAGCACTCAGCAAGCTGATGGCGGCCATCAATGCTATCATCGACCGTTGCGTGCCCCTGCGGAGGCCATGCCCTTATACGAAGAGATGGTGGACGCGAGAGCTGGCGACGATGCGCACGGAGAAAGAGCGGCTAGGCCGCATCTCGTACAGGAAAAGAGGCACCCCGAGGCACCCAACGCACGCTGAGTATCGCTCCTACCGTAACCGTTACACTGACAAATGCCGCGCAACCAGGAATGAGCACTGGATAGCCTGGCTAGAGGGACTTGACACGTCTACCATCTGGCAGGCCAACAGGCTGCTCCGCCGAGACCCCTCGGATGGCTCCGCAGCTCGCATCCCATCGCTAACGGTGTCTGCGCCAGACGGCACAGTGCACACCCTCCAGACAAACGAGGAGAAGGCTGCGGAGTTCCACCGCACCTTCTTCCTCCCAGAGGGTCCAGCGCCAGAGGAGCAGGGGGCTTATCCGGAGCCTAGGTTCCGGTGGAAACCACTAACACGCCAGCAGCTCCAGCGGGCGATCGACGCCACCACCGCGTTCAAGGCAGCGGGCCCTGATGGGATCCCTAACGAGGTATACAAGAACTGCGCCTTCACGCTGATCCCCTTCCTGCTTCCTCTCTTCCAGGCGACGTTCACCCTCAACTACTACCCGCAAGCATGGCGTGAATCAACCACAGTTGTGCTGAAGAAACCAGGGAAACCGGACTATTCCAAGGCTAAGGCGTGGCGGCCCATCGCGCTACTGAACTGTATCTCTAAGCTCCTAACTAAATGCGTGGCTGACCTGTTAACCTTTGAAGCTGAACGACTAGGCCTCGTGGCCCAAACCCAGTTTGGGGGAAGAGCGGGCCGCTCGACAACGGACTCGCTGCACTACCTTACGAAGTTTGTCAAGGATGCATGGCGAAGAGGCAACGTGGCCACTGCACTGTTCCTGGATGTCAAGGCGGCTTTCCCCTCAGCAGTTCCATCCCGACTCTACCACAACATGCGACAGAGGGGCATCCCACCAGACATTGTCAACTGGCTGCGGGTCAAGCTTGAAGGACGGACGACAAGACTGATCTTCGACGACTTTAAGTCCGAGCCTCTCAGCATCGTCAACGGCATCGACCAGGGCTGCTCCGGGTCTGTCATTTTTTACATTCTGTACAACTCTGATTTGCTCGACTGCGCAGTGACGTCGAACCGAGAACGGGGACCAGGGTTCATGGACGATGTCTGCTTTCTGGTGGAGGCGCGTCAGTTCTCCGAAGACGATGGGGTTAGCGGAGCACACGACAAGATGGGAAGGATACTGACAAGGCCAGGCGGAGCATTGGAATGGTCACGCACACACAACTCCGAGTTCGAGATGGGTAAGACGGCGCCGGTGAACTTCAAGCGGACCTTCAAGAAGGACGAGTGTGGCCCGGACCTGGCGCTCCCCGATGGAGTAGTCCTCAAAGCAGTCCGGGTGCACAAGTTCCTCGGTCTGCTAGTTGACTGCTGCCTGCGGTTCAAGGAGCAGGCGGCAGCCGCGCGGGCGAGAGGACTTGCCCTGCTGACGATTTTCAGGAGGCTTGCACGGGCACGGAAGGGCGTCACCACTCACCTGCTCCGACAACTGTACTTAGGGGTGGTAATCCCCGCCATGCTCTACGCGGCGGACGTGTGGTTCACCCCCATCCGCACGCTGCCCGGCCAAAAGCGACGCCACGGGTCTGCTGCATCAGGAAAACCCTCACTTGCAAATGAGTGATAACACCGCTAATCTTAGAGCTAATACCCATCTAATGGTCTAATGGTGAAGTAATCCGCATATTTTGCGCTAATGGAGCTGGGGAAGTGCTCATTTGCACTAAAGTAGGACTTGTGAAAAACCAATATCACCAATTTGCACGCATTCACATAAGTAGATGTAATGCAAGCTAATCACTGACTACTCAAACACCCTCGAGCAATCTCAAAGCAAAGATATATTGCTGTTAGTCTAAGTATCAATCTACTACAACAAGTCGGTGTGCGCAAAAGGTGATGGGCACCACGACGCGCCGCCCTAGTGCTTAAGGTGCCATGCAGAGCCTAGCAGCTTCGTCGCGCGGGGTTGCAAGCGACCGCGGCGCTGTCATTCTTCTAGGTTCGTTCCACGGACACACGGGCATCGTGGACGCGTCGGCGTCCGAGAGTCATGCGTCCTCCTTCTTCAGCCACTCCTCGTCCGTCGAGGTGTTGCGCTCCATGGCGTCCGCATCGCCGTCGACCACCTCCGCCTCGGCGTCGTCCGCGTCCTCGCCCTCCGCATCGCCATCGGACACAGACGACTTCGAGCCGCGCGACGAGCCACGACCTGTGTTCTCCGTCGTGGCTGCGGGTTTCGGGTGTGGGGAGCGGCTCACAGACCGGCTGGACGAGGTCCGCGCGTGGCCATCCATCGACCCGTTCGGCTTGTGGGCAGAGGACGGGTGGAGGAGGCGGTCGTAGTCGTCCTGCAGGAGCGTGGCGATGCTGGGCGGGGTAGGGCCACGATGAGACGAGCGGTGATACAGCGACGCACCGTTCTCGCAGTCGTAGTCCCGGTCGCGATCTTGCTGGGAGTAGACGGCGCTCGAGGAGAGCCCGTTCAGGCTGGGGGCGCGCGACAAGTGAGAAGGGTGGGTGGGGAGGGTGTCAGTCCGGTGGACGGACTCGCAAGTGCATCCACGATTGCTTGGGCGGCGTGGATGGGCTCGTAGAGGGTGTTGAGGAGGCAGACAATGAGGCCCTTGAGGATGGGGCTGAATGCGGAGCCAAGGATGTAGTGGACGTACCACTTGACAGAGAGCTCTCGACTGTGGGGGAGAGGGCGACTTCGAGCTTGTGGAAATCGAGGAAGGTGGATTGCGGGGGCGCGGCGGGCCCTCACCGGCGTGCCGTGCATATACGTGTGTGAGGGCGAGATGGGACGGTGGAGGAGGCGAGCAGAGGAAGAGAAAGACGACATCGACAATGATGATGCGCAGTGCTGGCCGTGCCAAGCGCTGGAGTCGACGCGACGCGTGTTGGTTCCCACGCGTCAGTGGGGGAGCAACGCCAGCCGCCAGCGCGTCCTTTCGTCCGCATTCCACTCCCTTCTCGACTACCACTTTCTATCCCTCTTCCCCCGCCTCAGCTACGCCGCCTCACCTCTGGACCACTCAAGCCACCCAAGCTGGCCAAAGGTTCGTCCTCTTTTCCCCATGTGCACCCTTCTACCCTCTCATCGCGTCTCGTTGATCCTTCACTCCCGGTGCCCACGTCTGCGCCTGTGTCTCACCCCTAGTGGGAGCCGATTCGGCCGCGAAGGAGACGGAGGCCTGCGCCGCGACGGTCACGCGCGTGTGAAGGCATCCAGGTGCGCATCTTTGTCCTGCTCGGCGACAGCGCGCCCACTGCCAGCAGGAATAATGCACACGAAGACTTGCAATGCCCACTCACGTTATCCTATGGTTGCACCATCGAACTTCGCAAGGTGCGTGTGTGATACAAAATCCTCCGTGGTGACGAAGGTGCATCTTTTGCCAGACTCTCTCGGGCCTTGTGGTCCTGACAACCTGCGCGAGCTCTGCACGAACGCGCCCACACAGAGTGGCATTGCGTGCACCTCACTCGACATGCCACTCACACGGTCGACGGCGATCAACAGCGCGCCTCAGGCTCGATGCTGGTGCGCGCGACGGAGCACAAGCGGCGGTCGGCCGCACCCGCGCAGGCCCGCGCGTCGAAGAACATGGACGGCGCGCGCACGCCTCCCCCTTCCCTCCCACCGTCCCGGTCTCCGTCCCACACGACAGCGCAGGCGAGCACGTCGAGTCCGCACGCGCGCGTCCCGTCGGCTCCTGCGTCTATGCCCGCGCGTCGCCAGTCGTGATCCTCGTCGTCGCCGTATGGCCAGCCCGCGCGCCCCCCAGCACGCCGCCGGTCACCATCTAGCACGAGTGCGGTGTCGCTCGACCTCGACACCCCCTAGCTCTCGACGAGCCCCAGCGTGTCCGCGTCGGATGTCTCCCTCCCGGACAGCGCGCTCACGGAGATGCCCACCGCACCCGCACCTACACCCACCCCCAGTCCCGCCGCCGCCGCCGCCGCCGAAGCACGTCCACGCACCCGCATGGACGGCGTTGCAGGGGAGCGTCGCGCTCCCAGACGACTACGACCTCGGCCCCGCCTCCCGCTGTGTCTTCACCCACGTCGCCCATGTCACCCTTACTGCTCATGCTTTGCCAACGTGGATGCACGCCTCCGTACATAGTGTTAGTGTCGTTAGTTTTGGTCTGTACATTATAATATTGCGAATATAATTTTCTTTGCTTCTCCTTTTCGCTTGAGTGATCTATTGAGTGGATTGCGGTCTCTATTTAGTGCTCTTAAGATCTAAAATGCATCTATCTTCAGCTAGTTGAGTGCATATTAGTGCAAAGTCTTCGCAAACGATCAGCAAACACCCTTTGTAAGTGGGTGAGTACACTGATTTGCCCTAACATGCTAATTTGCGCTAATTGCGCTGATTTGCTGCATACCAGCACTAATTATAGCAAATTTGCAAGTGAGGGTTTTCCTGATGTGGATTCCTCCAGCTCCTCCGACCAGTGCACCGCCAATTCCTACTCCTCATGTCAGGCGCGATGCAGTCTACAGCCACTGACGTCCTCGAAGCTCACCTCAATATCCCACCTCTCGAACACCTGATCAACCGCGTCTGTCAACGCGCCGCAGTCCGGCTCCGCACCCTCCCCACCACACACCCCCTCACCTCCCATGTGGCACGTGCAAAGAAGAAGCTCGTCAAAGCGCACCGAACCCCGATGCACGAAATCCTGGATGCATACGCGCATGCGCTCCCGGAGGCCCCACCGGAGCGCATCAACCCAGCGCGCGTGCATCCCAGGTGGAAACCGCTCCACCGCACGAGCGTGGCCGAGGACAAGGATACGGCGCTGGCGTCGGAGGAGAAGTGGGCAGCCCGCGAGGGCACATCAGGAAGAAACGACTTGTCTCCGGTGTTCACCGGAGACTCGAGAGCCACTGGAGTCGGCTGAGACAAGTACCCAATTATGGAGACGCCAGAGACTAGGCTCGTGGCACCCGCGCACTCCGGAGACTAGGCTCGTGGCGCCCGCGAACTCCAGAGTCATAGCCGCGCACTCGACCGGTGCTCTGGAGTCGTCCTGAGTATGACGGAGAAGGTTCTATGGAGTGCTCCAGAGTAGATGTCTCTGGAGCACGTCATAGCAATGAAATCCTGAGTGCAATAGTGTACAATGCAAGGCTATATTTCGCCCGGGCACGGGCAGCCTGCTGGCAGTTACGCCACCGCTGCCACCACCACCTCCTGCATGCACCATCCTGACGAGACTCAATTCCAACAGCTTGATTAAACGAATATACTATAGAGTACGACATGTAGAGAATCAGAATGTATACCGCTCAAGGCTCATGATCCGACTCGCTGTCAGTAAGCCCGGTCCGCCCCGCCAGCTGACTGGTTGCACTGCTCATTGCGGCGCTCGAGACCCGCGTGGATGAGATATTGAGATCAGTCCCCCCACCAGCGCGGCTATGAATCGGTGAAGATCGTGTCAGGAAGTTAGAATGTGACACCATGTGTACTAGACGTGAAGACTGAGTGACTTACAAGGCGCGTGAATACATGCGAGTCCGGATGTTCTTCCACGCTTGCGGGTTCGCTGCCTCGTACTCCTTGAGATCGGCGAGGAAGCCCCGGTAGTGCTTGGCATGCCCTGAGGAATCGTCACCACGGTCTCCGTGGTTGAACGTATCTGCGACCTTCTTGCCACTGCTCCATTCTGCAATATGTGCTCGAATCTCAAGCGCAGATATCAGTGGAGAGCAATAGGCTGGCACTAGACACGACAACTTACAATAGTCATCACGAATGCAATGGACTTGTTTGGAAGTGGATTGAACCGCTCGGGGTATTGGAATCCCATGCTGGAGCGGCCGTCTCCTGAATCGAAGAAGGTGGCCGAGATTGCTTCAAACACGACATTGTTCTCCGCAAAACGGTCCCATGTTGTTTCTTCATGAGGGCGAATGTCGAACGTCTTAGTAGGCAACACACAATAACGTCAGATACGGCACTTTACAGACAGTGGACGTCGTGAACGAACCTTGTGATGGAAGGTGCCTTCCTTGAGCAGCCGCGCGCTCTTCCGGGCATTCTCATCCCAGTCCCTCTTCTTTTCGCTCGTCCGGAAGCCGAAAGCCTTCGCAGTTGAGGCGCGAAACGCATAGAAGGGCTCACCACGCGCGTTCGATCTTCGTGATAGGATCTGCAACCATAGTTAACGGGTGTGGAGGCGATGACGAGGGATGGACTTGCCAGGCGGATCATTCGCTGGTCCAGCTCATATGGCGGCGCGTCTCTGTTCTTAGTATGGGACGCGTACGCCACTTGCCACGCGTCTGTGATGGCTTTTTCGGCCTGTTCGTTGCTGGGAAATGCATTAGTAGTGTACAGGTAGCAATAAAACTCGTTGATGGCGCGTTCCAGGAGGGTCTTGACTTCCGGGATGTACTGGCCGCTGGATGGACGACTCTTCGGATCCACACCTAGAACCAGAACAGAGATGTTCCCAGTGGGGCCCGCAGTGTTTGTTTGGGTGGGCCGTTGACGGGGCACTGGAGGGGACAGACGAGAGCGCGACCGCAGGCGTTGAGAGCGCGATTGCGGGTGTTGAGAGCGCGATTGCGGGTGTTGAGAGCGCGATTGCGGGCGTTGAGAGCGCGATCGTGGTCGTTGAGAGCGTGATCGTGGACGACTCGAGCGCGAGGGTGGGGGCGACTGCGGGCGAGAGCGCGATGGCGGGTGTGAGCCCACCAGGTGAGAACGTCGTGATGATGGCGGCTGCGAACATGGGCGAGAAGGGGATGGCGGACGCGACAGTGGGCGACTTGAAGGGGACAGTTGCCTTGCGCGTAGGGATCACCAAGGGTCCGGGTGACCCGTGCGGGTTCGCGGGTGCGGGTACCACGGGTGCGGGTGCGGGTCTCATCTCCAGGACCCGTGGACCCTTGGCACCCGTTAGCACTGCACCTGAGGCTGACGCGTCGGGCCGAACACCACTAGCTATACATTTGCTTAGTAAGGGTGGCTGGAGGCCGGACAAAGTACATGTACGTATACCACTCGGTACCGCGGTACCCCTCATGCGCACCGTCTCGCACACACTGTCTCGGCGCCCGCACCATCTCGCCCAGTGCTCTGTCTCGCCCGTGCCCTCTCTCACCCACGCCCTCTTGCCCGCACCGTCCCCCTCGCCCCGTCTCCCTCGCCCGCGCCGTCTCTCGCCTGCATTCGCCATCTCTCGCTCACGCTGTCTTTCGCTCGCGCTGTCTCTCGCCCGCGCCCTCTCTCGCCTGCACCCTCTCGCCCACGCCGTCTCTTGTGCACCGTCTCCCTCACCCACGCCGTCTCCCTCGCCGTTTCTCAGCGCCCCAGTGGGCGGCAAGGACGCGTGGTGCGCATCGAGTGATGCGCGCCACGCGTCCTTCGCCGTCCTTGCTCTCCTCCACCGCCTGCTCCCTGCTCTGCCTCACCGTCTGTCCAAGCAAACGATAGCGACTACACAGTCGTCTGTCGTCTGCTGTTGGACTGCAGTGTCACTTGGTGACACTGTTCTCCCCTCCCCCTCCTGCCCTCGACCTCCACCTCCACCTTGGTCCTCCATGCCGTCCTTCACCCACCTTACCGGCCTCCCTCACAACGTCGAGAGCGCACGAGGACGTCCATCCGGACGTCACCAGTATGGAGATCGGAATATGGGGGCCGCGGCGATGTACCGCGGCCCCTGTTTTGGTGAGTCCTCCGCCCTGCCCTGCCGTATTCCCAACGCCCACCCGTCCTCCCTGCTGCCCAGTCGACAACTACAACAGGCCAAGGACGTCCTCCCTCCTCCTCTCGGCCCTCCAAGTCGCCCTCCTCCTCTGCGCCACTCTCCTCTGCGCATGTTGTCCGCCTGCGCCACCTCCCTCTGCGTCGCCCGCCTCTGCATCGCCAAGCTCCTCCTCGTCCCTCCTCGTCCTCCTCCGCTCGCGCTGCCTGCGCACACCGCTCGCGTACGCCGCCCTGCTTCACACCACCCTCCTCTCTTGCGCCGCGCTCCTCTGCCCGTCACCCGCCTCCTCCGCCTCCGTCCACGTTGCCCGCCTCCGCGCCGCGCTCCTCCAAACCGCGCTCCTCCGCCCGCCTTGCCCTTCTCCGCGCTGGCCTCCACCCTCCTCGCCCGTCCTGCTCCTCCTCGCCCTGCTCCGCCTACGCTTCTTGCCCCTTTCGCACCGCCCATCTGCTTACTGCCGCCCGCCCCCGCATTGCCCGCCTCGCCGTTGCCCTTCTCCGCGCATGTTGCCCGCCTCTGCACTGCCCTCCTCCGCACTGTCTTCCCCCGCGTCCGCCTCGCCTGCGTCCGCGTTGCCCTCCTCCGCCTCGTCCAGCTCCCCCCGCCTCATCCAGCTCCCCCCGCCTCACCTCCTCCGCCTCGTCCCGGCCCTGCGCCTCCTCCCTCGAGCCCTCCTCCATCTCTGCCTCGCCTGCATCCGCGTCACCTACCTCCGCCCGCGCTGCCCTCCCCTGCCTCGCCCGCCTCGGCACCGCCCTCTGCCTCCCTCCATCTGTCCCCTCCTGTAGTAGTGTACAATAAATATAATAATGCACAGCGTCTCTCGCCTGTGCCGTCTCCCTTCTCCCATGCGCCATCTCCCTCGCCCGCACCGTCTCTGTCCCGCGCCTTCTCGTCTGCGCCTTCTCGCCCATACTGGAGTCTCACCCACGCCATCTCTCTCGTGCCATCTCCTGCGCGTCACCGTCTTGGTCTCGCGCGTGCCGTCTCATGCGCCTCATCTCGCACATGCCGTTTCGCGCGTGCGGTATCGCATGCATGCTCTTGCGTGCAATACCTCACTGGTGACTCGTCCCAGGCCTGTTCACCCGCGGGTGTCCGCCGCGGGTGCACACCCGTGAGATACCCGTCCGACCCGTGTGTATGCTGACCCTCGGGTCTACGGGTGCGGGTGTGCGCGGGTACGGGTGCGGGTCGAATCAAAATCACCCGAGGGTCACCCGTGGTGAACCCTACTTGCGCGCGGGCGAGAAGCTGGAGATGTCGGAGACTGTGGCCGCAGGCGAGAAGGGGATGGTGGCCGCGATCGCGGGTGACTTGAAGGGGATGGTTGCCTCGCACGTGGGTGAGAAGGCGATGGTGAACGTGACCACGGACGAGAAGGGGATGGCGGCCGCGACCTTGGTTGAGAAGGTGACGACAGACGAGCTGAGGGCGACAGTGGGCGTGAGTGAAGTTGTGGGTGAGGTCGAGATAGGTCATCCCGATGGGAGCGTGAGGATGACCGAGCGGGTGACGAAGGGTGGGAGCGCGATGATGGCAAACCACCTGAGAGGGATGAGGGTGGTCGCGATGTCGGTGGAGAAGGCGGCCGTGAAGAACCAGCCGGCGGCGACTGCGAGTTCCGTGGTTGTTGAGAGCGCCCCCGCGGCGGGCTCCCACTGCCCTCGCGATGGGAAATGCGCATAGGGAGTGCTGTTCGTGGGGCTGTTTCGTATTTCTCGCGCACCTTTAAAAGGCAGTTGAGTATACAGCAACTGTGGATACACAAACAACGTACTTTGGCTCGCATCCCATGACTGCGCCTGAATGTTCCTCCATCTGAGAGGTACTCGTCTTCGGACTCGGGTCCAGGAGACTCAGTGCCGTTGTTCTTGTTCCTAGCCGGACCGTCTCGTTGCTTCTTCTTCTTCCGAAGATCCTTGAGTTCGCGCTCGAGCTGCGCGGCCCTCTTGTCTTCTGCATCTTCGTCTACGAGTGACATTGAGTTCAGTACTACAAAGCAGAGCAGTGAACTGAGATCATACCGCCTTGTTTCCGCTTTTTAGTCGGCTTTCGTGCTCTATTGGGACGCTTGTTTGAGCCAGACTCCCCTTCTTGTTCTGCCACCTATGACCAGGTGAATGGCATGAGTAATACTGTGCAAGCTGAGGTCATAGATTTGCACACACCTCATTGTCATCGGAGGGGAGCTGATCGGCGCCCCTCTTGCTGCGTGGCGGCATGGAGAAGAAGGGGGGTCGTCGGATAGGAGATGGTGGGCGTTGCAGGCAAGCCTTGAACTGCCAGCGGGCCTGAGCGGGGTGAGTCCATGCGGGCGGAGTTTCAGATATTCGGATTTTGCCGCCACTGCTGCAAGGGGCGTATCAGCTCGCAAATTGCACCACAAAGCTCAGACTCATACGGTTTCTATCCATTCCCCTCGCCCACCGCCCCATATATCCTTCTCAATGCCCCGGGCACGCCGGCACATATGCCAGTTTTGCGGCAAGGACTTCCCCACCCCACAAGGGGTACTCTCCCATATCAGCCAGTCCACTGCGTGTCGATCCGCGCGAAGTCAGAAAGTCAATCGACGCGTACAAGAGCTTCTCCGTGGCGTACCTCAAGAACCCCCACCCTCAGATACGACTGCCGCATTCCCATCCGATCTCGGATCTCCTTCAGCAACCCTATCGGATGACAGGCAGCATGGTGTCGGCGAAGCGGCCGACCAACCCTCTCCGACGCAACCCCATCCCGGCTGCCGGGTGACTGTGGAAGAGGTCGAGGATGAAGAAGCTGGCGGACTCCCTAAACGTTTATGGCGTGGGGAATATCCGGCTTCAGGTCGCGCTGGTGAACGACTTCGAAGAGCACGTACCACATTCGAGGAGCTTCTTGCTCAGAAGCACAACAGCAAGACGCCAATCGTCTCGCCGTTCGCATCTGAAGAAGAGTGGGACTTGGTGAAGTGGCTCTTCACGAGCGGACTGAGCCAGCAAGCCATCGAAGAGTATCTATCATTGCCATTAGTTCGTGTTTATTCTTCTGTCCAATAGTCACCCTGTTTCTCACCTCGCGAAGGTTCGTCGCACAGCGGATCTGTCGTTTCGGAACAAGTACGAGCTGTTGAAGAAGCTAGATCAACTTCCCGGGGGCACAGCGGAGTGGATCTGTAACGAGTGGGAGCTGGTGGGCGATGAGAAGGACGATAACGGGAAGATGAAGACGGAAAATGTGGAGTTATGGCGTCGCAACCCAGTGGAGATCGTCCGCGAACTCTTGGGTAACCCTGTGTTCGACGGAGTTGTGAGGTTTGCTCCCGAGAGGCTTGTCGCGTCCAAGGATGGTTCGGAGATTGTCATCGAGGAGATGTGGACGGCTGACTGGTGGTGGGAAACACAGGTGAGTAGCATCACACCATGCGGCAGCTGGGCAACATCTCACGTACCGTTATGGCGCAGGGGAACCTCCCGGCTGGAGCCACCATCGCTCCGGTCATTCTCTCATCGGACAAGACCCAGCTCTCGCGCTTTTCAGGCGACAAGCAAGCGTGGCCTGTCTATATGACGATAGGAAACATCCCGAAGGGCATCCGCCGTCAGCCCTCCATGCGCGCAATGGTTCTTGTGGGGTACATACCGGTCACGAAGCTCGAATGCTTCAAGAAATCCGCCCGTTCCCTCGAACAATGGCGGTTTTTCCATCATTGTATGGCGAAGATCCTGGAACCATTGAAGGCTGCAGCACAGGACGGCGTTGAGATGGTCTGCGCAGACGGGTTCATCCGGCGAGTCCATCCCATCATCGCTGCATACATCGCCGATCACCCGGAGCAGTGTCTTGTGTCTTGCTGCAAGGAGAACTGTTGCCCCAAGTGCACCGTCCACTCGAACTCGCGCGGCGATCCCGTCCACTGCATGATGAAGGATCCGGAATCAGTATGTGAAGTCATCGACGAGCAAGACCAAGGCCTCAAACCTTCGGAGTTCGAAGACCTAGGCCTGAAACTCATTGATCCCTTCTGGCGGGATCATCCACACTGCGACATCTTCTCCTGCTTCACGCCCGACCTACTGCATCAGTTACACAAGGGAGTGTTCAAGGACCATACCGTCTCATGGGTGACAGATGCTCTTGCTGGTGGAGCGGACGAGCTTGACAGGCGATTCAAGGCAATGCCGTCTCACCCCAGTCTCCGGCACTTCAAGAAGGGGATATCGTTGGTGTCGCAGTGGACGGGAACGGAGTACAAGAACATGGAGCGTGTCTTCCTTGGCGCTCTAACAGGCGCGGCTGAACAACCGGAAGTCGTGCGCGCCGTGCGCGCGGTTCTCGACTTCATCTACTACGCTCACTTCGAGGCTCACACTAGTCGCTCCCTCGCCCGCCTCGAGTCCGTGTGGCGTTCTTTCCATGCCCACAAACACGTCTTCGCCTCCCTTGGCATCCGCGACCATTTCAACATTCCTAAAATCCACGCCGCCATCCACTACCCCGTCTCCATCCGTCAACTCGGTTCGGCTGACGGCTTCAACACGGAAGCATCGGAGCGCCTCCATATCGACTGCACCAAAGATGCCTACAATGCGTCGAACAAGCGGGCGTACATCAAGCAGATGACAACGTGGTTGAACCGCCAGGAGACCATCTCGCGCTTTCAGCACTTCCTCGACTGGGCCAAGCAAGCAGATCTCACCCGCAAGGATTCGGACATGGTCACACCAGGGGCGGCAGGGAGCATCGAGGACACGGACGGCGACATTGAGATGACAGACTCCGTGGGTGATTCAAACGGTGCGCTTCCCCCCTACCTTGTTGCGAAAAAACCTCCCCTTCCCGCTGTCCCCATCCGCGAACTGGTCCAACGCTTTGGTTGCACCAACTTTGTGCACAACCTGGAAGACCACCTCAAGACCGTATTTCTCTCTCGCCCCCGCCGACCCACAGTTCTCATCTCTGGGAGTCAGACATTCCCGGTGTATCACCGAATGTCTCTGTACCTCCCCGCAATGCGCCAAGTCTCCCCGGTTCCCATCAAGGACGTCGTTCGAGCCACACCATTCAAGCCCGCTCGACCTCTCCATCCTGCGATTCCCGCTCACTTTGACACTGTTCTCGCCTGGGAGCCAGGTGTGGAACCGGTGGAAGGGCCCATAGTTTCGATTGAGGGTGTGTTCCTTGCCATGAGTCGCATTTTTGGTGCGCAAAGCTGACACTTTTGTTCTATCGCAGGGTTGCGTGTCGCTCGTGTGCGAGCGATCTTCCGCATGCCCGCAGGTTTTGGCACACACTTCAAGCACCCACTCGCCTACGTCGAGTGGTTCACTCCATTCCGTGCTGAGCCTGACCCCGTCAATGGTATGTTCCGCGTATCTGTCTCTACAAATAATTATCGCCGCCGCTCTTCTATCATTCCTGTTACCTCCATTGTTCGAAGCTGTCATCTTATACCTGTGTGGGGACGGGAGGTTGATCGGACATGGACAACAGATAACGTACTAGATAAATGTGAGAGGTTCTTCTTGAATCCTTACCTTCGTCATCACGACTTTGTACTACTCCGTTATCTACGTGATGATACATGATTTGGTGCTCTACAACTTCTCATGTGTGCTCCGGTGACCCATGTACATGCTCAATCTTTAAGCTGCAACGCGCTCGTGAACACTCCCGGGCATCCTCCCATGTTCGCGCGAGCTAGAGAGGTGTTGCGGAAGCTCACAGGAGCTAGAGAGACGGCACAGATGCTCACGCGTGCAAGAGAGGTGGAATGGATGCTCACGCGAGCCAGAGAGGCGGCGCGGATGCTCGCGCGTGCGAGAGAGGCGGCAAGGATGCTCGCGAGTGCGAGAGAGGCGGCACGGACGCTCGCGAGTGCGAGAGAGGCGGCACGGACGCTCGCGAGTGCGAGAGGCGGCACGGACGCTCGCGCGGTCTCAAGATGGCCGGTCAGCGCTAGATAGCCCTCCGGAGCCGCCTGGAGCATGGCTCTGAGTGAGCGAGCACGACAGAGCGCCCAGTCACGTTCTGGAGCAAACGGTTTTTTCCTGATGTACCCAGAGCCTGACGAGACAGACACCTCGACAACCCACTAGGTGAACCCCCGACACCCCCGCTATGGGCCGTGCTGACCCGCTATACCACTAGACGTGACCCGGAAAGTGCCCAAACCATGCCGAGCGAAGAACCGACCCAGTGGGGCGCCGCGAACACTCCGCACAAGCTCACCGCTTGAGAGGAGCAGGGGAATTGGTTGATGGATGTGCTCTTATTGCTCATGTTGCCCACTGCTTTGTACAGACCCACTCTGAGGTCCCCGCCCTCATTGCCCGCCGCGTGTCACGCTCTCCTCTGTCTCCCTTTCTCCCTCTCAGTCTCAGCCTCGCTCCACACTATACATTACTATACCCTTACTATACTCGTTTCGGCCACCTCCACCACTCTCACACCATACGAGCCCGCACCGGGCTCACAGGCACGCCGGCTAACGCCTGCCGGCACGTTTCGGACTTCCGCTCTCGGGCTCAGGCCCGGGGACGTCTGCATCGACGACTCACATCATCGTATATGTATCTTTGTACAGTCACATACGTAGGTTACGCCTACCATAGGGCTTCGCCCTCAAGGGCAATAAACGGGGATCCAAAAAAAAAAAAAAAAAAAAAAAAAAAGGTTTGTACGCCACAAACAACGACGGCCATGTTAGAATCCACACCAACTTCCCGCAGTATGCACCTCCTCCAAATCCTCCGCACCAGTTTCTCATGTGTTGTAGTCACAAACAGGGAATCCTGAACATCCTTGGGTGTGAACCTTCAAGGGAGTCGGTCGCAAAAGCACTTCTGCAGTAAGGCTGTTTGAGGGTCCGGCTCACTTCGCGGGTAAACCCGCGATGATCCGGAGCCGTGAGCCGGGGATCATGAGCCGAACGGCTCCGGCTCTTTGCGGCTCCGGCTCCCAGCGGCTCCGGATCAAGGGGACCAAAATATTGCGGGTCTGAGGCTCGATCCACGGATTATCCGCAGAATCTTGAGTGATAGCTCATATATGTGTATATCTACTACAAACGCTATACAAATCGAAAGCTATTTGAATCTTCCTTCTAACGATGCACTCTATGTGTGATTATATGAAGAAATGACTGAGTTATACACCAAACATGACCTACTCGCACTTCGACAGCGTTTGGCGCCCGCGTTTGGCGTCTTCACGCGGGAATCCGTCCCGATCGGGCAGTGTTCGGATTCGAACACGGGTCTCGCGCATCACTGGCTCGCGGTCATCCCTCCTCCTCTCCAGTCTTTCCTCACCCCTCCTCCGCTTGCCTTCCACCCTTCATCCGCGCGGCGTCATCGCGTGCGCGCGCGCGGCCGTCCTCAAGCCCAGGAGCTGCGCTGTGGGGTCGCGGTGAGCTCCCGCGGCCCTGATCTCCTCTGGTGAGATTCCCACATCCTTGCCCGTCTCAAGCTCACCCTCGCGTTCCCCTTGTCCGCGTCTCGCCACCTCGCCATCCCCCGGTTTGCCCCCGCCAGGCCCTTGTTCTCTGCGTCTTCCCGCGCTTTTCCCTCCGCCTCCTCCTCCTTGTGTCGTCCTCCGCCCGCGCCGCGCTCAGCCTCCTCTACCACGCCCCTGCCCTCCGCCTTATCCCTCGGATCCGCCTCGCGTCGCCCACCACCACCTCCGCGTTGGCTTCAGCGCCACGTGTCCCGCGCACCTCCCATCTCGCCCACGTCACGTCTCGCCCGCGTCGCTTGATCCTCCGTCCATGCGGCGTCATCGCGCGCACGCGCGGCGTCGTTCTGTGGCCCGTGGGGTCCTGGTGAGCTCCCGTGGCCCCAATCTCCCCTGGTGAGTCTTCCCCTGCCCCGTCTGCTCCCCGCGTTGTCTCACCCTGCCCCGCGCTGGCAATGCCCCTGCGCGCCATGCGCTCGCGCTCGCCCCCCTCCCACTCGACCGCGTCATCCTCGTCCGTCTCGCCCACCTCGTCCTCGTCCGGGTCACCCACCTCGCCCTCGCTCCCGCCCTCGCCCTCGCCCTCGCCCCCATCAAACCCTTCCCGTCGCCTTCCCCGCCTTCCCCGTCCTCACCCGCCCTACGGCCGCACCGCGCTCGCATCATCCTCCGCGCCCTCGCCCTCGTCCTCCGCGCCCGCGCCCCCTGTCTTGCTCTCATTTGGCCCACGCCCACGTCACTCGCCTTGCTCTTGCCTCCGTGCCGCCCTCGCCGCGTCGCCCTCGCTGTGTCGCCCACCCCGCCGTCCGCATCGCCCATATCCCCCTCCTGCCACGCTTCACCGACGTCACGACGTCGCCCGGGTCGCCCGCATCTCGCACTCCAAGTCACGCCCGCCTCGTACGCATCACCCCTGTTGCCCCCGCGTCACCAATCTGCCCCCGCGTCGCTCGCGTTCGCATCGGCGTCACCCACTTCATCGACATCGCCCGTCACCCGCGTCACCCTCGTCCGCCCCTCTTCGCGTCGGCGTCACTCACCTCACCCTCGCCGCCGCCGTCCGTCTCACCTCCAGCCCGCCCGCCTCGTGCATGCCCCGCCGCTTTCTCGCCTCCGCTTTGCCCACCTCACGCCCATGTTGCGCTCGCCTGCGTCCGCGGCACCCACGTCGCTGCGTTATCTGCCTCACCCACATTACCCGTCTCGCCCTCGCCCTCGTCCGTGTGCCTCGCGCCCGCGTCGCCCACCCATCTCGCCCACCACGTCCTCGCCTGCCTCGATCGCGCCCACATCACCCGCGCGTGCACTCACACCCACCTTTCCCGCATCGCCTGCATCACACGCGTCTTGTGCTCGTGTCGTCTACTTCTCCCATGTTGCTCACCTCTCCCTCTTAGCTACCAATTGTATATATATACCTGTAGAGTAGTAATCCTGTCAATAAAGTACTGCTTCGCTTGCTGTCAATGACCATGAAAGATTTCTGATAGTCTGAAAGAACACACTTGAGTGAGAAAGATCCGCAGAACCCACACACCCACAATGAGCCACAGAGTGCGGCTCATTTGGCGGCTCGATCCGCGGATTGCGGCTCCAGCTCGCGCGGCTCCGGCTCTTCCAGCGGCTCTGATCCATGCGGATCTGGATCAAGCCCCCGGAAGTCACCTGATCCGTGGGTTCGGATCCGGATCATCCGTGGATCGAGCCGCAAACAGCCTTATGGGACGCTGTCGAATTCGAGACAGAAGCTTCGTCACAGAAAGCGGTGGCCACAGCACTACGGTCCTTTGCGGAGTGGGACACACATCCTCAGGCCAAAGTACTCATCGATACCCCGCCTGTTGTGCTCATTAGAGTTGGAGACGCACCAAAGCGAGAAGCAAAGGCGGATGCAGCTCATCCTCTCCAAGGTATTCGAGTACTGGACCTAACACGGGTACTCGCCGGTCCTGTATGCGGACGAACACTTGCTGGTCAGTCTCATGCGCCTCTTATTTCTCGTAATGTCCACTCAAGATCTTGTAGCGCACGGTGCAGACGTCCTTTGGATCACGTCCCCCAGTCTACCAGCACTCCCTCTCCTCGACATCGACACCTCCCGTGGCAAACGCACTACTCAGCTTGACCTCAACGCCACCAAGGATCGGGAACAGCTGTCATATCTCATTCACGACAGCGATGTTTTCCTTCAGGCTTACCACCCGGGCGGTTTAGCAAACAAGGGGTTTGGCGTCGAAGATGCCGCACGAGCACGACCTGGCATTGTATATGCCAGTTTGACCGCGTATGACTGGGACGGTCCTTGGAAGGAACGCCGCGGCGTACGTACTCCGTTCCGCAGTTTCCATATCATGGGAACGTTGAAAAGTCTTGTACAGTTTGACTCACTGGTTCAAACGGCTACCGGATTCAACGTGGCCGAAGCAGAGGCATACGCGGCCTTCACCGGAGCGGAGTTTGAGCCTCCGAGGCCGCTTCCTATGCAAGCACTGGATCACGCTGCCGGCTATTTGCTAGCGTTTGGTATCCAAGCGGCGTTATGCAAGACCATCACAGTAAGCTTCTGACCATATTGCCTTAAAGGTCTTCCTTCCTGACCACAACTCGCTCCTCTATAGGAAGGTGGTTCATGGGAAGTCAGAGTCTCCCTTGCGGCCGTGGCGCAATGGGTGAGGTCCTTAGGTCGCGTTGATCCCCAGATTGCATTCGGGGAAGGAAGGCCTCTTCCACCTCGCTCCATGGATGATGAGGAGCTTTCGCGGATAGTGGTAGAGATTCCTGTAATTTCTGCGCAAGGCGAACCTCAGAAAGCCATGAAGGCGATTCGGCACTCAGCGGTGTTGTCGGCTACTCCGGTTCAGGAAGGCGAGGCTCCCATGCGTCTTGATTCTCATCCACCCCAATGGCTACCCCGAATGTGATCTGTGCGTGACTAGAGCAGACGTAGCACACGATGTACAACGTACCTAATTCCGTTAAATCAGACCACTCCTTGTGTTACTCGCGACATGACACGTCGGGTGCCATTTCGAGAGCGGTCGCGAAAGAGGCGCGCGAAACCCGCACTCGTGATTCCGCTTGCGTCGGGTCCGACTCGGACTTGGTCGCCAAAGCTCGCTCAAAGACGGCGGCGGCACACGTCGCCATTCGTCTGCCCGACCCACCACCATGAGACCCTCCCCAGTCCGTCTGCTCAACATCCTCGTCCCCATCAAGCGGTACGTCTATCTAAGCCTTCCCGCCTTCTCCCTACCCAGACCATCTCCAGGACAGTAGACTATGCCGTCAAGATTCGCGTGAACCCGGACCAGAAGGGCATTGACCTCAACGTCAAGCACTCAATGGTGCGTCCTCCCCAGCCCCGTCGTGCGCGCCCCCATTGAGCCCCCGCCGTCCCGCAGAACCCCTTCGACGAAATCGGTGCGTCCGTCCGCCTCCCCCACCCCCGCACGCGTCCCTGAACGCGCCCCGCAGCCGTCGAGGAGGCCGTCCGGCTACGGGAGAAGCTCAAGGACGAGGTCAAGTCGATCAAGGTCGTCACCATCGGCCCGCCCAAGGCCGCAGACGTCCTCCGCACCGCGCTCGCCATGGGCGCCGACGCCGGCATCCACGTCGAGGTCCCCGAGGCTGCTCCAGCCCCGGAGCCCCTCGGGGTTGCGAAGGCGCTCCGCGCACTCATCGCGCGCGAGAAGGACGGCGTCGACCTGGTGATCATGGGCAAGCAGGCGATCGACGACGACGCGGGGCAGACGGGGCAGATGCTCGCGGGGCTGCTCGGCTGGTCGCAGGCGACGTTCGCGAGCAAACTCGTCGTCGACCCGAAGGCGAAGGTGGCGGAGGTGACGAGGGAGATTGATGGGGGCTTGGAGGAGCTGAAGTGCCAGCTGCCGTTGATTGTGACCACAGACCTCCGGTGAGTGTCCATATGGTCTCGTGCGCACTTCCGTCCCCGTTCTCACTGCATGCATGGGGTGCCCATCGCAAGGTTGAACGGTGAGTGTAACATGATATCTGCTCAAAATGACGCGTCTGACGTTCCTTGGTAGAACCTCGTTACGCGTCACTACCCAACATTATGAAGGCGAAGAAGAAGCCCATCGAGAAGTTGACTCCTGCTGACTTGTCAGTCGACCTCACTCCCATACTGGAGACTATCAAGGTCGCAGAGCCCCCAAAACGTATCGGTGGGGCAAAGGTATGCTCTCATTCACTTCAGCGCTCTTACATTCTAACTGGATGTGCAAGGTTGGGAGTGTGGACGAGCTCATAGCGAAGCTCAAGGAGGCTGGCATTACTGCTGTGAAGGCGTAGCGTATCCTGCATATGTTTATTGCCTCACACATGACTTGGACGGAACACAATGCATGTTTTGAAGTGAACTTTGAGTGTCTTTGATCACGCAGGCAATTGGGATGGTTGATATGCACAAATGGCACTGGAGTACTATTGGAATATCGGAGCTGCCAACGGAGTCTTTCGATCGGGGCCCAAGCACACGAGGAGCTCGATGATAGAAATTCTGGTGTATTAAAAGAGACTCTACAAATACCAGGCGTAGCGAGAACCCAAGGCTAAGACAAAATCCAGAAACAACGACCACCAAAAAACCCGAGAAATCGGAAATACACGACATGACGACAGATACATGTCCAGATACAAATACCAGTCTAGGGACAACACAAAACAGGAGTACAACGACACACAAGCCGAGTCCGACGAAAACCGAGAACAGACTACAACGACTTGGCACTGCCAGAGGCCTGCTTCTCCGCCAGACGGGCACTCCTGCGCAGCGCCCGAGAACGCGGGAGCGCCTTCATCGGCCGCGTCGCGATCCGCATATGCGGTTCAGCGACAGCAGCACCCGGAGACGCCCCAACGTCCGCGCTGGACGCCGCGACAGGAGGTGCGAAGAAATCTGAGGAAGAAGGGACGGTCGCGCCGAGTGCGAGGAGCAGCTGGGCCGCGTCGTCGTCGCCGAAGACCTCGGCGGTGGAATCGGACTTGACGTCCATTGGGGAGACGGTGGCCGCGGCATCGGCGAGGGCAAACAGACCGGTGAGCGGGACATCCAAAGTGGGGTCAGCAGGCGCGCAGGCCCGTTCAAACAGCTCGAAGTCTTCATCAGAAAGCTCGACCTTGACGTCGTGAGGTGAGACCCCAGCCGCGGCGCAGTTGGTCAGAGCTTGCTGGAAGACGGCGTCGAGCTCCTCGGAGGTAGGGACATGGATAGGAATGGGAGGGGTGGTAGTTGCAAGGGAGAGAAGAGCCATGGCCGCGTCTTGATCGTCGAGTGACATCGCGACGTCGGGGTCCGAAGATGAGTACTCGTCGGCGTCGGCCAGCAAGATTGCGTCGAGTTCCAATGCAAAGGCGTCGATCTCTTCGTCGGTCATGAGACAGTCCACGGCAAGAGATTCACTGGTAGAGGTCGATTGGGCGTCCATGGTACGCGGGATCTCGACGTCCATCGCAGGGTCTTCGCGCTCGTCAACACTCATGGGAGGGGCGTCAACAGGTACATCCAAGAGAGAGGGAGAAAGGTCGCCAGAGAGGGTGAGAGAAGCTAGCAGAATGGTCATGTCGACGTCTTCACTGTCGGCAGGTTCGATCTTGATGATCAGAGGGTTGGCTTCAGCGAGTTGTTCAGTGAGCTGGAAGAAAGCGTCGACATCGTCAGTGGGGCACGCTTCAGCGGGAGACTCAGTGGCAAGGCTGTCGAAGGGGCAGGGCGCGCTGAGGGCAAGCGAATCCATAGCTTCCAGGAGCTCCACGACGTCGTTGTCATTGGCGCAGCAAGGATCGGACGCCGCGGCCGCCTCGACGAGCTTGAGGAGTCCGCCATAGATGTCGTTCTCGTCGAGAGTGTCCTCTTCGTCGCTAAGGGGGTCTTCACGGATCTCCACCTCGAAGTCGTCCGCGGAGGAGTCGGCCGGCGTAAGGAGCGCTTCATCGACATTCGACTCGGTGTCGTCCTCGTCGTCTCCAGAGAACGACTCTTCCGCAGCGTCTTCGGCGTCGTCGGCATCGGCGTGGCCGTGATCGCGAGGACGGTGTTGACAGCCTTCGAGCTTGCCACGACCACGACGGTGATGTCGGCGGCGATAACTGGAAAAGGCATATATCGGCGACGAGTCCAGGGTCCAAGAACGCACGGCTGCTCACCTTCGCGAGGAGCGCGCAGGGCGATGGCGTCGTCGCCGGCGTCGACGGGACCAGCGATCGCGTCTGCGACGAGCGCAACCGCGACGAAGGTCCCATGCGCCGCCGTCGCGACGCCAAAGAGCGCGCACACCCCGAAGACCGCCGCATACATCGCCGCCGTCTTCGCGACTTGGGCCAACACGTAGACAGTGATGAGAGCGGAGGAGAGGGCCTCGATGGCGGCCACCTTGGACGCGTCGAGCGCGCGAGGCAAGAAGGAAGAGGCGGCGAGATCAGCAAACGAGGGAACGGAAATGGACAACTCAACAACGAGCGTCGTCTGGGTGTTGGCGGCGTGCTGGAGCGTTGAACGACGCGGAGTTGCGCGTCGAAGGCGTAGCCCAGGACGACGATGAGGATGAGCTGGAGGAAGAGAGGGTGAGCGGCAACAAGGGAGAGGGTGGCGATGAAGCCGAGGCGAGGAGGTAGAGGAGAGCGGGAGGACCAGGACGGCGCGGGGGATGGAGGAGGCGGCGAGCTGGGAGGTGAACATGGTGGGAGTGGGGGTTGTATGGTGGGGGTTGTATGCGGTAAGGGCGTGTTATGCAGGTGCTAATGCAAGTGCGGTAATGCAGCTAAGCCTGGGGCAGAGCAGAGACAAATCTGAGGCAGAGATGTACTGGGGAGCTTGGCTGTCTGGCGGGGTATCTTATAGGATTCTGGGTTAGTTTGGCTGTGTTATTGGGACAAACAAAGCTATCGGCTTACTCGGGGAGTTATTTGGCGGGCACTTTGGCGTCGCAGGTGAAAGTTAACCTTCACCGGTCCCTCGTTAACGATCACTAACACCGGGCGGGATGACGTAGGATGAGATAAGTGGTCTCTTACCTCTGACGCTGTCGTCTTGCGCAGGTGATGTAACCTGTTGCGTATACATGATTTTTCAGGAAATGTCTCTATGTAGTCGAACCCTAGCAGTGTATCGCGTGGTGAAGAGAGGATAAGTGACAGAGTGCCATGCGGGTATCGCGGCTGGAATCCAAGGAAGCTGCGAGGAGTACCGCATCAGTCATGAAGTATATCCCACAGACGAGATGGTAACGTACCTTCAATTCAGACGCAGTAATTGTATCCTGCAGCCATCGCACAACGCGAAAGACAGGATCCAACTGGCGCTCTTCAAGCAAACCATTCGGCCACGTAATCAGGCGCTTATAAATGTTGAATGATTGTCTCAGCGCCTAGTAGCGCCCACTGAGCTCTCAGGTCATCGATCTCTTGTGCCAAACGGTGGAGGATCTGCCTTCCCCTCATCCTCGTGAATGGGTAAGGTATTTGTGTGATTAGGACCGCGCAGTACTATGACTCTAATAGCGCCTCAAAGTCCGCATCTATTACGTCGAGTCCACACCCGTCATGCAAAGTTTAGTCGGACAGAGCCGGATAGTGCGGCTTTCCCGCGACAACAACGCCCTTCGTCTTGTTCAGCCGCGCGATCGTCGCGTCGGAGATCTTGAGGTGCTGCTTCACGAGCGCGGGCGGCGTGAGCGCGAGCCACTGCGCGAGCGACACGTCCTCGAACACGTCCGTGTTGAATATCTCGAGGAAGCGGAGCGTCGTGTTCCCGATGTTCTCCACGTAGTGCCCGTACGAGGTCGGGATGTAGCTGATGTCGCCCGGCTGGTAGTCGAACGTCTGCGCGATCCCGTTCGCGGCGAAGAGCGTCACGCGCCCGTGGCCCTCCCTGCGCACAGCCCGCGACGCGTCGTTAGTCTGAAGGCCGAGACGGAAGTGCGGGTGACGCACAGGAAGAAGCCCCACTCGTTCTGCGTCGGGTGCCAGTGCAGCTCGCGCATCGCGCCCGGCTCGACCGTGACCTCGGCGACGGCGATCTGCGTCGAGACGTTGAAGATAGTCGAGTCCGCGATCTTGGCGGTCCCGCCCGCGTACTGTGTTGGCTGGAGCTTGGAGAACTCGAAGGAGAATGGCTGCGGGATCGTGCCTTGCGGGTTGCTTGGTGGCTGCTGGTCGTCTGGGGGAGGCACTGTGTACGAGGGATGCTGGTTAGGGAGAGCAAGATGAGGAGGGGAGGAAGAACAGACCACCGGGGAAGATGTAGAGCTGGTCTCCCGGAATCTCGTCCCAGTCGGAGATGTCGTCTTGGAAGTTCTTCGCGATGACTTCCTTGGGCAGGTGGGCCAACCAGTCCGTGAGCTGTGAGAATACGTCAGGCAACAGAGCATTCACGCTGATGGGGAAAGCGCACCAAGAACGTATCGTCGTCGTTGAAATTCCCGTCGGGAAAGATCTGTCACTCTCATGGTGAGCAGGAGGCTCATAATGAAAGACAGGGATACGCACCAGAAGGAATTCGCTTCCTTCAGGAGAATCATTGGTGGCTTGGAGCGAGTGGGGCATTCCAGGTGGGAAATACCACAGGTCACCAGGGTTTACCGTAGCGACGTAGTTGCGTCCTTGGGAGTCGATGGAGGTGATCTGAGTCGAGCCCTGCCGAGATCATCAGCCGACGGCATAACTTGGGATTTGTCTCCAATTTAGACCTACCTTGATAACATATGCCCACTAGCATCCACGCTGCACATTAGCGTCACTCTTGGGCAACATCAATTGATCATTACACACCTCGGCGGTCTGGTGCCAATGCAATTCTCGGATGGCGCCGGCTTCCAGGCGCATGTCCACTCCGGCCATAGCTGTATGAACAGGGTGTGAGTCGAGAGCCTTGAGGAAGTACCTATGACGCTCACCAGTAGCGAGGGGCATCTGCTGCACTGCAGGAATGAGCGCCGTGAGCCCGAGACCACAATAGAAACCGTCTCTAAGAATATGCCCACCATTCTGCTGCCGTACCCATCCGCCGGTGTTGAGCTGCATCTTGCTCAGGCTGAACGGCCATTTGGCATTTCCGCTGCCAAGACCCGCGTGGCCGGTCAGCGTCATGAAGCTTCCAAGAAAGGACCCGCCGCTCACACTGTACCCGAGTCCGTGGACGGTGGGGCGAGGATGTCCGGGTTTTGGAGGTCTATAGCCTTGTCCTGCGGGCCAGGACGGTCGCCCCCAGCTTGCCCCGCTGAGGTTGGGGGTCTTCCTGAGGTCTCGTTCCAGAGCACATGGTTCGGGTCGTCGCTCGCGTATGGGACCGTCGGGGAGGGGACGCTGGCTGTCGCTGGTCGCCGTCGCCGTACCGGAGCTGGAGCGGACTGAGTCGAGGACAGCGCTCGTTCACGGGTGCGGCGAGGACGAGAGAGCCGCAGAAAACGGCGAGGAGGATCGTGTTGAGCCACTTGGACATGACCTTGCGGGAGCTCGACGAGCTGTGGAGGAAAGCTAGAGGAAGGAGTGCGAGGCTGTCTGCTGCCGAATGCATGGCTCACTTTGTCTACCATTTTATACGCTCTTGCGATGCTGGAAGTGGGTCGGGTCCACCACGAAGGTGCCGCCGGTGAACCCGAAGGATCTCACCCACGGGAGCAGTCGGCGTGAGGACCGGAGACGATGTCCGCGTTTCTGTCCTCAAAATACAGAGGGCATACGTCATGGTCGAGGTGAAGACGCCAATCGCAGACACGCACGGCGGAGATTCCGTCCAATGCCGGCCCGCCCAAGGCTGACCGATTTGCGAGGTCGTTCAGGGGAGGCCGTCGACGCGGGAGATGTCGGGAGGGTCTGTCGAATTCGAGTTCCCCGTGCGCGTGCCGAGGCCGGCGGGTGCGCGTCTGGGACAGGCATCCGAGGAGGATGACGTCTTCGGAGGGCCCTCGCAACGCTTGTTGAACACCGGCAGAGCAAATTGAGTAAGCACCTGCTTGAAAGAGCAGAAGAAGGAACACCGCGCCACGCGGCGTTGGCACGGCGGTAGGCCCCGTGGGAATGCGGATCTGATTGGTCTATTCACTCGGCACTCGGCGCTTGACGGTCCCAAGTTCTCCCCTTTCCGCCAAGCACTCCCTCCCTCGCCGTGACGGAATGTCGACCCCAGGCTTTCTTATCAGTCTTGACGGCAACGCACTTCCGCTCTGATTCTTCTCGCGGCGACAGCTTCGACGAACCCATTGGTTGCCGCACACAAGTCGGGTAGAACAACTTCCATCCTGATGCGAGAATGGCCGACGTTACTGGTTTTGCATAGCGTCCAACTCACCCCACGCTACCTCCGTGCGGCCACCGGAATGCTACGGCGAAAACTAGCACGTACGGTCCGCGGTCGGGCAAACTTGGGCATCATTCATCACCGTCCACATCGGACGCTCAAGCAAGAATAGAGCTGTGTACGTACGTACCGTGTCGGAGAACACACGCCGATAGAGGTGGGTCTATCCAGATACGGATGAGCGTTTCGGAACGGTGCTAGGTATAGCCTCAGTCGCTTGTCCTCGAGGCGGCTTCGGCGGGTGCGCAGTGCTCACCGGAGGTATCGGCTGCCTCGTGGTGACGGCTCTGCGCCCACATAAGCCGGAGGTCCGAGAAATCCCGACAAGCCTGCGGCCAGGCGTTCTTTCGTCTGGTTGGGTACGCGGGACTTGCTGTGCTAGGACGCGCCGTGGCAGTGGCGGCTTGGGTTTGCGGTGCGGAATCTGTGTCGAGAACTTGGAGGCGTGGGAGTGGTTTGCCAACGTGTCGTAGAGGCTGTCTCCCTCTCAACTCTCCACTTCCTGTATTCCTTCTCTCTCTAACACACAGCTGTAACTGACGCCGGATGTGCCGAAAAAGCCTTGAAGCCCGATCAAAAACCTCGCAACGTCACCAGCGCTAAGTCGTAGTACTAGTCCAGCTGCTGAACACGACGGCCTTGCAACGAGCCATCCGGACCCATGGCGGCGAAAGCAAACAGGATTCACGGCGTCGTGTCAATTTCATCGCCATCGCCATCTATTTCGTCTATTTTTACAGGTCGTCCATACCCTATCTGGAACATAAATCACTCATTTGTCACCCGTTGTGCATCTTTCGAACACACAGGCACAACCGGGCTCGCTTGGCGGCGGACAGAGCTAGAAGCAGAGAAACTCCGCTGTGGGTCACTCATATCCCAAACCGGCATCCCCTCCGAGATCAAACGGAAGTTGCTTTTGGATCACGTTGTTGGGTGCTGTTCATTTTCTCGTCATCTTGTGTTTGATGCTCTTATAGGGAACTCCACTAGAGGCTGGGATATTTGCACCTATGGAGACAAATACGGCCAAACACCAGGAGGCGTACCGCCTTGAAGATCTTAAGAGCCGCGCCACGATGCGTCACCGCCCGCAGCAGTGGCGTGGCGATGAAGTATGCCCGGACCACATCAGAAGTTCTTTGGCGACGGGGACCTTCGAGCGGCGGACCGCGTTGATGGACTTGCCTTTTTGGGCGGAGAATATGGGACGGAATGTGGAGCAGGATCGATAGCCGACCCCCTGAACAAGCGGCTCCCAAGGGCCATCAGGCCAGCCCCCAGACGGAACAATCGATCCTTTTGTTCCCATATTCCAACCATCCGGTGGCGACCCGCATCCCCTCGCGCGGAGCGGAGTCTGAAGTTCGGAACAAGTCAGCCGCTCGCCACCTCGCCGCACATATAAACCCACCCCCTCGCCACGTCCCTCTTTCCCTCAGACTGCGAAGATGGCGGGTGTGTGCCTCTCTCTTCTCTTACCCCGAGCCCGCACTGACGTCTCCCCCCACGGCCCATCTCATAGTCTCCCGGACAGTCGTCCCCGGGCACGGTCTTCACTGTCTGCTGGACGGCGAGCACGCCTTGTTCCTCAGCGGTGTTGTTCCCGACGTCTGCGTCCCGCTGGTCGGGCGTACCCGCGCCAGGCACGTCGAAACCTCCTCGATCCGTCGTCTAATCCGTATCGGTTGGCCATACGCTTTCACGCGTCCCTGAATCCTCGTGCGGGAGGCGGATCGGGGGATGCGCCTTCGGGCAAATGCAAGAGTGAGTAGTCTCGTACCGATCGCCACCCTTCCCGCCACCCTCCTCAACGACCTTCGCCGTCCCCTCATCCCCATCGCTCGCTGTTCCTACACCGCTCCTTGCCCATCATCATCGCTCACCGCCACCCCGACCACCATGCTGACCATCCTCCCTCCAGGTCCTTGAGGGACGTAGATGTGGGGTGCCGGGTTCGTCGGGGCCTACCAGCCGAGTCCTGGCCGCTGACCGCCGACGCCCTCTCCGACGCCGCTGTGGTGGCTGCCTCTGGTGACCGTGCAACTCTCATGAGCCGAGACGGATCGTGCGCCCCTCATGCATCGTGCACGGCCTAGGTGACTCAAGACAGCTCGTGCTTCGGGACCGTCTCGCGCGAGCCTGGCGTGATCCCCCGCATCATCAGGTGTGTTCCCTCGCGCTCTTCGTCGTCTCGCGCGGCCGCTCACCGTCGTCGCCGTAGGTAACCAAAGCAATCGGTCTACTTACTTGTTTTGCAGCAAATAAAATATGCTCGCCCAGGAAGATGGGCGAGGAAGGCAAAGTTCCGCGCTGGCGGGTGAAGACAGATATCTCGCTGCGGCTCGGGGACGCCCGGGGTGAAGACCTGAGGACGTAAATGAGAGGATGGTGGAAATGGGAAAGCGTGCATGAAGGCTTCAAGCAGCCGCGGTGAAGCACGCCCCCGCTCAAGACAGCTTCCCGAGGTACGGGTCGGCGCGCGCTCGTGTTGAGCGCGGCCGGTCCTGGCGCAGGCCTCTTCGTGGCCCTCGGGACTAGTACCCGCTCCGGCTTGCCGGGGTGGGGAAGCTAACGTGCGCCGAAACCGAAGGTGACTTTCAGTTGCTCGTGGTGTCGTGGTTACGCATGCAATTGATGTAGCCGCGCTCTCAATGATTATCGTTTGCTCTCTCCATTTGACATTGGCATTTGCGAGGTCTCGTACATGGTCAATCATCATTGAGTGCATTGGCTTGATCGTATATACTGCCACGAGTTTTTTCCGCACGTACAGTCTACGGAGTCTCGAGTACGCTCGCGTTTTCCACCTGAAGGTTCCGGTCTATATGCAACTCCAAGGTTCGCGTGCGCACATTCAGAACGCACGACGTGAACGAGACGGTCACCGGCGGTCCGGAGTGACCGCTCACATCGACAGATACGGTCTTCATCAATCCATCCCAGTTGTCGACATGGTCCTTCAAGCACGAATGGGGAGGCAGCTTAGACCCGTTCGCGTTCGGATAGTGGGCAAGGTCCAGCCGGCTGCGATACAGCCGGATGCTGGCGTACCGCTGCCCGCTCGCCGCGGCCGCCGCGTGCCCGGGCGACCACAGCGCGGACGCGGACCCCGCGCGTTGGTGGCCGGAGCACCGGCCGAGCGTGAGCGCGAGCAGCGCGCCGTCGCCGCGGTCGCGGAAGACGAGCATGAGCGGCTCCGCGCCCGTCCACGGCGCGGCGACGCGCGTCGCGTCCACGAACCGCCAGCGCGCGTCGTCCGGGGGGCAGCGCAGCGCCCACCGCAGGCGGAAGGGCGCGCCCGCGTTCCCGCACGCGCGCGCGACGCGCTGGCGCGCGTCGTGGAGGGGCACGGCTTCGGCGTGGTAGGGCGCGGATGTGGGCGGAGGTGAGCTTCCACTCCGGCGGCGGCATCTCCCTCCAGAAGGGCGGGGAGACGAGCCGGTGGCGGCGCCTGTGGGGGCGAGGCCGGTGGCTTTGACGCCGCTGCTGCAGTGGAAGACGGGCTGTCCGTCGATGAAAACGCTGGTGTCCTGGCGCAGAATAAGGAACAGCGGTTTGTCAAGAGAGGAAGAACAGGAGAGGTCCAGGAGGTGAAAGGGGCCGCTAAGGTGGGCCAGGGGAAGGTGGACCTGGACGCCATGAGGGGTGATTGTAGCGGCTGTATGGGTGGCCCCGGGCGTTCGCACGATATCCTGCAAGGCGGACAATCTTCAGCGTATGCTCGTGATTGTGTTGTTATGTACTCACAAAGCCGGTGCTGGAGACTCTTACTGATGGGTCGAAAGTCACCTCCTCGGCACCTTCGAACAGCATCGGAGAGTCCGCGAAGAGAAAGGTTTCCGGTGATGCTCCATCCGCCGTAGGATCGAAGTCTTGGAGGTGGATGACGCCTATGTGGTCGGAAACCAACCCCCAAGCGAAAAGGGATAAGTCGAGAGACGTCTTCATGATCTCCTCTTGAAGCCGGTAGAAGGCTTTGCGTCCTTCGCCGTAAAGAGTCGGCATGCTGACCCCGAATCGCCCGAACAGGCAGTACGCTTCGTCCTCGATCCGGGTTGTCTTCCTCTTGGACGCCCAGGACATCCGCGCGGCGATGCTGACATCCGTGATTCCCTTATCTGATCGTAACACAGCCTTTGGGATCCCGGTAGCTTGTTTGAGGATGCTGGCAAGGTCGAATCTCGAATCTCGTGCCCAGAGGTATCCACGACCGAGACAGAAAGACAACTTCGCGAGGCGCGAGGAGCTCTTGTAAGGTCCACCCTCGCGTGTGCCACCTACTGCGTCGGAAGGAGGCGCCGAAGGTCGGTGCCCCAGGTTGCGACTCTTCGACGTCGTTGAGAAAGACGTAGCAGATGTGGGCGAGGGAGTAGTATCGGAACATGGAGTTGATCGCCTCGGTGAGCTCCGCGCTGCTCGTTTTGTCGATGCAGCAGGTGTCGGCCCACGCCCAGTCGTACCCGTCCCTCTTCGCGAAGATGAGAAAGTCCCGAATCTTCTTAGATACCATGTTGCGCGGGTTGGGAGGGGGCAGCAGCCCGACGAATTCCTCCGGGGGTGTGCGCGAGATGAAAGCGGCGTTCTGCCTGCAGAGCGTTGAGCACTCTTGCATGCTTTGGAAAGTGTCTTCTTCTCCATCGGAGCGCCACACGTGTGAAAGAATGGCGTATCCGCCGGGGACGTCTTCTGGTTTGGAGAAGAAGTGGATTTCAGCACGTGAAGTGCTCAACAGCCACATCTAGATGGTCGGAAGGGGTGTGTCAGACGAGAGAGATGTCAGACCGTTTGTCGAACTTACCGCAGGTTGACATTGGGTGTGAGAGGGGGTGGTGAGAGGGGGTGGGAGGCCGGATTAGACTTTAAACCTTGCATCTCAGCGTTTTATAGAGAGCGAAGCTATGCATATCAATCAACGTCAAGTTGGGATCACAGTCACCCACATGGAACTGCGCTATTTCGGCAGACTCCCCTCGTGCTAGTGAGCTAGTGATACAGAGCATAGGCCAAGGTCATGGGGATATCGCATTGTGTGGGGTGTAATACATAATGTGTGACAGTAAGCAAGATGATGGGCAAGTCCGAGAGACAGCGAAGAGCAACGACAAAGATAAGCAGCCAGACTTATGCGAGACCTGACGTTGAGTGACCCTTGGACCTGTACTTGACGATCCAAGGGTGCTTCCTGACTTCCGTAAGGGGGATACGTTGCTCCGGGGTGTATTGCAGGAGCTATCAAAACGAAGATGAATGGGCATGCACTGAACATGATAGAGGAATTGCCACTGACTCGAATGATCAAATCTCGTGCTTCAGGCGAGACCTTGGAGGGAATCTTCAAGTCGACCTTCTGGATGCGTCGGTAGGTGGCTAGAACGGAGTTCAACAGGTAGTTCAGGGTACGCAGGACACTACACACCGTTATGTCCACTGAGGTCCTCGAACGGCGGGTTGCCGCAGATGAACTCATACGTGAGTACACCCAGTGCCCAGTAGTCCACCTTCTCTGAATGATCGCGTCCTTCAACCATCTCCGGCGGGAGGTAGTCTAGGGTGCCACATAGCGTCTTCCGTCGGTTGCCTGGTGCGTGCACGCTCCAGCCAAAGTCTCCAATCTTCAATTCTCCGTTAATGCCAAGAAGCAGGTTCTCGGGTTTGATGTCGCGGTGGATGACGTGCTTCGCGTGGAGGTACATGAGGGCGTCGGCCATCTGGTCGATATATCGCGAGGAGCGCTTCTCGGTGAAGGAACCGTACTTGGTGAGCTGCTTGTAGAGTTCGCCCTTGCCGGCGAACTCGAGCATGAGGAAGATGCGCTTCTCGTCGTGAAAGTAACCGTACAGGCGGAGGACGTGCGGGTGCCGAAGGTTCTGCTGAATCTCGATCTCGCGCCGGATCTGTTTCTCGACGCGCGACTCGACAATCTCGGACTTGTACAGGCACTTGAGCGCGAGGATGTAGTGCGGCTCCGTCTTCGTGCGCACCATGTACACCCGTCCGAACTTGCCCTTCCCGAGCGGCCGACCGATGTCGAAGTCGGTCAGATGCCACTCGCGTGTGGGCCGCTCGCTGTTGCGGACTGTGAGACGTGGGGGCCGGGCAGAGCAGACTGTATGCACTCACAAAGCAACACTCGAGTCCAACGCCAGCTCTACTGCCGCCTCTCCCGTCACAGCAGCTCCTCTCGTCTCATTCTCCAACTCAAAGCCTCCGTCATAACGGCCAATGTCTAGGGCAGGTTTCGCGGATGGGACGGGTTGCGCGGGTGCAGGTTTGTTGGTTACGGAAGAGGCAGACGATGCCTTGTGCAGCGTCGAAGTGGGTTGAAAGGGAGCGGGGGCGGCATACTTGGAGAGGAGCTTCGAGACGTTACTCTGGCTGGCGGACTTCTGGTGTTGCGCAGCGGGTGGCCGAGTGCCGGCGGTGTTGGGTTTTGAGGAGATCTCGAGCGCGGAGATCTGGCGGGCGAGCTGACTGACCGAAGTCATGGTGGGTTTCGCGGTGTCTTGAAGGATATTATGGTGAGATGGCGGGTGCGCCGACGACGCCGTCGAGGACAAGGAATGCGGAGCGCACGAGGTTCGGTTTTGAACGGCGCGCGCTCTTCGCGTACGCGTTTGCTCACGTGATCGAGGCGTCTTCATTCGGCGCGGGGCGGTCGGGCCGTCCTGCATCAGGCCTGAACTGTGAACAAAGTAGAGCGTGCCAAGTTGGAGCTGCGCAGCATTGGATAGCGTAGACGATCACTAAATATCCCTCTCTCCCTCCCGGTACAACTACAGTCCTGGTTTAAGTATGCTCTGAATACGAGATCGCGTATATCACAACAATGACTTTACTCAAACGACGAAGTTACATCTCAGACCATGGTCACTCCAGGGAATTTCCAGAGGAGCTTCGCCCGGCCTGGGTACCTCGATAAGACCCGGACGAATGACTTCCATCTCTTCTGCCGTCAAGCCCATCATCGCAACTTTGTCCAGCCTTCCCGGCCTCAGTTCGTCCCGCCGTTCCGCACGGACACCCCAAGTAGCTCCGCCGCGGCTTGCGCTCCCGTGCAAAGCGACCCACGCGTCCACCAGCCCATTCTGCTCGACAAGCCCATCGTCTTCGCGGCGGATGGCGTTGAAGTCTCCCGCGACAATCCCACCTCCGCACCCGGGCTCACGCAGGACGTTGGCCAGTATTTCGAGCTGCTGAACGCGGTAGGGTAGCGCATCCCAAAGTGAGTCGAGGTGCACGTTGATGAGACGCAAGACTGTGTTTGGCTCGGACGGGGCCAGGATGTCCACACAAAGCGCATCCCGTCGGTACTTGCTCGGGAGAGCCATGCGGGAGACGTTGCCGAGCCTGAGGTTTTTCTCCGCTCCTCCGATCCCGTCGTCGCCCTCCTCGTGAGAATCCTTGTTCCAGGCAAAGCGGGCGCGGGACAAGAGCGTCATGGTTGCAAAGGGTACCGCCTGGAACGATGCCTCGTCCTGGGCGTCGGTTACCAAAAAGGTTGAACGTATTCTTGCATCGGATAGGAGAGCGGCCCGCGCGCCGCGAGTAACTTCTTGAAGGAAAACGATGTCTGGGGATGGCGGTTCGGCGAGGATGTGCCCGAGTATATGGCCGGCGCGTGCGATTGGTCGTGAGGGGAATGCGTCCATGTTCCACGAGACAAGAGAAAGGCGCTGCGGCGCACAGAGGGGTCCAGTGTTCGACGCAGGGGGAGAAGACGGTTGGGTCACTTGGCTCTGGGCGTGTTGCGAGGGGATAGAAACCCACCGTCGAGTGGAGCGATTGAAGGCAGAGAGAGTACGCTGGAGACTGTTACTACAAGTGTGCATAAGTAGTGGTGTGAGCGAAAGCGGACGGCGCGCGGAGAGCTTCGGTCCGCGCGTCTGTGTTTCAGCTGCGAGACAGTTTTCTTCGGCCGAGCGGTAAACCCGATACTCGGGGGGGAGGGGACTTCGACCAGCCGCCTCTCTAGACTCTGTCTGCAAGTCGACAATGGAGGCGCTGAAGAACGTGCGGTTGACGAAGACTGAAAATACCGCGTCGAGACGCGGTCGACGTAGGAATTTGAGCGCCTGTCGCTCCACATGCCCGAGGTTTTGGACTCCGCCGCCTGGGCCACCCGACTCCCGAGCTCCACACGCCGTCCACCGCGCAGCAAATTGTCGACACTCGCAGTCAGATCTCTGATGCGTTATTCGGTCATTCGCAGTGAACACGCATATGACAATTTGTTCATTGGCAAAGGTACTGCAAGGAGGACAAGTAGGGCTAAGAAAAGCCACAGCCGTACGTTATCTCGACGGTGTTCCACGCAAGGTCCGCGTGCCACTGCCGGCGTCGTGAGATTGAAACGGGCGCCCGTGCAGATGAGGGAGAAACCAGCACCTGTCACGACGGGCAACAGCCCAGCTTGGAAACCCGAAAACGCGTAGACAATGCCTGTCAAAGGTGTCATTTTCGGCAGGTATTTTTCCAGGGGAGAAAAAGGGTGGGAAAGGCGAACTTTTATGTCAAGTTTGTGTGTGTCGTAGAGTATCCTGAAAGGTGACGTTTTGGGCGAATTTTTCGGCCCGACAGACAATAGAATTCATAGTAAAGGCAATAGAGCGTGTATAGTATGCGAGTAACAAACAAGTTAGTACGAGTGATAAGTAACGCGCATTATTGAAATGGGCACCAAAGGTCTCTTTATCGATCCTTTTCGGCACCCCGTAAAGCACCCGGAAAAATTGCCCATTTTAGTGCCTTTTTCACACGCGCACAAAAGGCGGCAGAAAAGACACCTTTGACAGGCATTTTCTACGCGTTTTCGGGCTCCGAAGCTGGGCCGTTGCCCGTCGTGTGTACCTCACATCAATCAGGCCGGCTTAGCCCGTGGCACCGGGGGGGTGGCCCGGGTCAAGTAGACCTGAAACCGTGCTCCCCCGCACGTTTGAATAATTCGTCCAATAAACCCGAGCTGTTTCCCAACAGGGAAGTGCTCGAACGCCCTCCCTCCCAAGTCCCCCAGCCCATCACGTGTCCCCGTCCTCCAGATCTCCCATCACTGATCAGTCCGCGTTATCTCTCCCGCCCGCGCCCGCGTTATCTCCCGCGCCCACGCCCACGTTATCTCCCGCGCCGGCGCCGCGCGCCTCCCTGCCCCGCCACCCGTGCTCGCTGTGCCCGACAGTGAGCTCGCTGTCCCTGCACCCTGCCTCCCCTCCTGTCCGTTTCCCTCCGTTCTTTTTGTAATCTACTTGTATTCAAAATGCGCACCTAATTGTACACAATTCAATAGCCACACCTGCCTGGGTGTGCCTGCACTGAGCCCTCAAACCTCCCAAAATGCGTGCAATACAGGAACATATACAAGCACTCAACTGACCGGCAAAGCTCTGCATCATATAGTAGTAGATGAGAGCTGCTCTATTATAACATTTCAGGTGGATAGCTAGAGGGGTGCAGGTATGATGTCATATGTTATTTCAGAATGACATACCCCACAGTGATATGGTATATACATATATCGTCCTATGTACACCCAGAATCGTACCTAGAGGTCGTTCAGAGTGTATTGCAAGAAGAAGCAAGTGAATAGACGATGTTGTGGTGAAGATATGACATATGCTCAGAAGGGGAGTTGGCTTGAAAATGCGGCCTTCATATGTTTTTTTGAAGACCGCTGATCACTTCGCATCTTGGTGCATTACGTTTAAATGTATATGGAGAGCTCAGATCGTTGGTTTGGTGCTTATCGGTGAAGGATTGGATACAGGCCATGGTATGTCATTATTCTATGACATAGAGTATAGCGATATGACATGTGCTCCGATTGTTATTCTGAATGGCGGAATAGAACGGGGTGTGCTTCTGCTAAACGATGCAGAAGAAACATTGAGAAACGGTGAAGAAGTCGCTGAGATATGCCATATGAGCTTGAAGTGTGCAAAGTGGTGTAGGTGGTTCAAGGGCGTTCTTTGTGCAACCTGCCGTTCTAGACCCATCTGACATATCTCAACGACTTCTTCACCGTTTCTCAATGTTTCTTCTGCATCGTTTAGCAGAAGCACACCCCGTTCTATTCCGCCATTCAGAATAACAATCGGAGCACATGTCATATCGCTATACTCTATGTCATAGAATAATGACATACCATGGCCTGTATCCAATCCTTCACCGATAAGCACCAAACCAACGATCTGAGCTCTCCATATACATTTAAACGTAATGCACCAAGATGCGAAGTGATCAGCGGTCTTCAAAAAAACATATGAAGGCCGCATTTTCAAGCCAACTCCCCCTTCTGAGCATATGTCATATCTTCACCACAACATCGTCTATTCACTTGCTTCTTCTTGCAATACACTCTGAACGACCTCTAGGTACGATTCTGGGTGTACATAGGACGATATATGTATATACCATATCACTGTGGGGTATGTCATTCTGAAATAACATATGACATCATACCTGCACCCCTCTAGCTATCCACCTGAAATGTTATAATAGAGCAGCTCTCATCTACTACTATATGATGCAGAGCTTTGCCGGTCAGTTGAGTGCTTGTATATGTTCCTGTATTGCACGCATTTTGGGAGGTTTGAGGGCTCAGTGCAGGCACACCCAGGCAGGTGTGGCTATTGAATTGTGTACAATTAGGTGCGCATTTTGAATACAAGTAGATTACAAAAAGAACGGAGGGAAACGGACAGGAGGGGGAGGCAGGGTGCAGGGACAGCGAGCTCACTGTCGGGCACAGCGAGCACGGGTGGCGGGGCAGGGAGGCGCGCGGCGCCGGCGCGGGAGATAACGTGGGCGTGGGCGCGGGAGATAACGCGGGCGCGGGCGGGAGAGATAACGCGGACTGATCAGTGATGGGAGATCTGGAGGACGGGGACACGTGATGGGCTGGGGGACTTGGGAGGGAGGGCGTTCGAGCACTTCCCTGTTGGGAAACAGCTCGGGTTTATTGGACGAATTATTCAAACGTGCGGGGGAGCACGGTTTCAGGTCTACTTGACCCGGGCCACCCCCCCCGGTGCCACGGGCTAAGCCGGCCTGATTGATGTGAGGTACAGGTGGAAACCAGGCGAGCTTGGCAGGTCGACATCCCAGCCGTCCAAACGAGAAACTGGACGGCGTAGGATGACTTGCATGGTGGGCGAACATGTGTCACGGTAGCCCCTCTTGCACCCCACGAGACCTGCGTTGCATCCGTCGTTATGCACATGGTCCTGCACATACCTCCACTTGTTCCGCCCGTCCAATCGCAACCTGACGTCAACCTACGAATTCGTTAGCGATTCCGATACTGCCGACACCCGCACGGCACTCTTTCCGGCGGGGCGACGGTCATTTGGAATTCACCCATTGACGGCACCCCCTTCTTCATCGTCGCGCACACTCCGGCGATTCCTCCCCTCACCCTTTGTCTTGTGTCTGCCATCCTCCCCATCCTCCATCCCCCATCGCTCAAACGCTCCATACCCATCGCCTCCAACGCTCTTCAACCGCACCACCAAGAATACGACAAACACTCACCGCAGACGACGATGTCGACCCTCGAGCCCCCCACCGTCCTCACGAGGCGGCCGCCATCCGAGTCACCAGAGCTCCCGCCATCGCCCCTGCCATCCGTGCAGATGGACCCCCCACAAGCCCTCCGCATCGACCTCCTCCGCACCCTCCGCTTCGCCCACCGACACCACCACCCCTCCTCACAGCCCGTGAGCGGCGCATCAACCCCCATCACCCCCGGCGTGCTCAGCGGGACCGCGACGCCCGCGAACGGCGCCCCGTGCGAGGCGAGCGAGTGCCGCGACGCCCAGGGGCGACTCAAGAAGGCTTCGAAGAAGCGGCGACGGGGCGCGGACGGCGCGAGCGGGGAGGCGGGGGGCGAGCCGCGCTGGCGGGAGGCCCTCGCGGAGTGGAAGCTGCTCCTCACGCTCGAGAACTCGGGCAGCGTCGCGCGCGACCACCTCGCGTCCGAGCGCACCTTCCTCGCGTACGCGCGCACGAGCCTCGCGATCGCCTCCACCGGCGTCGGTGCGTCCCCTTTCGCTCGTCTTTTTGTTCGCTCCGCCGCGCGGCCTGGGGAGGGAATGGGACGCTCACCTGCGCGTGATCTTTTTTTTTCATGTACACGTCCTTCGCGTGATCATCTTGCCGTCTCCGTGCACCATGACATCCCGCATCGCCGCCGCATGTGCTGCGTCCGCGCGCATCGTGTCTGCCGTACTGCTGCCGTGCGCCGACGGCGCTCCGCGGGGGCCTTGGCGGTCGGTACGGGCAGCGCTCGTGCAGCTGTTCACGCTGTCGGGGGCGGCGACGGACGCGGACATCGTTCGCTTCGCGCGCCCGTTGGGCGCGGTCATGATCGGCTTCGGGCTCCTCACCCTGGGGATCGGCGTCATGCGCTACTTCTACGTGCAGGAGTCGCTGTTGCATGGGACGTACCCCGTGGCGCGGATCAGCACGAGCATCCTCTCGTTCGTGATGCTCGCGCTCGTGCTGGTCGTCTTCATCATCGTCCTGGTGGCGAAGTAGGCGGGGAGGGGCGGGGCGGAGAATGGACTAGGGAGGTGGAGGAGGGCGAGTGTGAGCGGAGGGGAAGGGGACCTGCGCTTGACGGCATCACGGTATATATACAGGAGCACGCCATTGCGGCAGGCAATAACGATAGATTACGCCTTTCATGGTTCCTACGACTAGCCTTTAGACGCTACTGTAGTACTCTGCAAACCCACGCTGCATTGTAAATGATCGACATTCATTGGACAGAGTTGATGGGCATCGATATGAAATAACCGGTGCATGCGTCTCGGCGTATGGGGGCCCTTGGATTGCGAAACTGCATGGCCGATCGATGCGGCAAGGATTTTGTCCTGCTACCGTCGGGTACTGAGGCTTCACAGAAGTGCACACAGGCTACGAGTGAGAAGACCACGGATGTGATTCGATGGAGTATCGAAGCGGGACTAAAACGGTCTATGTCCGCATACCACCCACAGACTCCATCGTCTGTGATTTGCAAATGTGAGACTTCGCTCGGCATGTGGTAGAAAGGAGGGCGTACAAATGGGGATGCTGTAGGCCCATCCAGTATCGCGAGCTCCTCGTCCGTGAAGGGCAAGAGAGGGACGAGGTACGTCCGGACTGGTACCAACAAGAAGATCACTATCGGAAAGCCGATGGCGGCTGTGAAGGTCCTTCAGTGAGCCGCGCCGAAATGGTGTGTCGCGTAGAGAGAAGGCACGCACCGATCGTCTGAGTAATCGCCATCGTGGCCCCGAAGCCCACGAGCTGGACTGCGACGAAGAGCAGGATCCTCGACTTGCGGACTTTGCGGAGCGGCTCGTCTGCGGGTGTGAGCGCCTTGTCGCGCAGGAAATAGAGGAGCTTGCGCGTGATGCCGTTGCCTTGGAGGGCGTCGACACCCATGTACCAGCTGCAGAGGCACTCAATATAGCCCCGATGTTGGACACTGACAGTGTACTCACAAGAGGCCGGCAAGCACACCGCGCGGGATGAGGTTGAGGACATGTAGGAAAGGTCCGGTGAGAAGGACGAGGCACAACGCGCCCTGAGCGAGGTTCGAGACGCGCTGCTCTACGACGGCAACAGGCACCTCGTGTTGTCGTAGATCGCCCAGTCCGTCGCGTATTTGAGAAGGGTCAGGTTCAAACTGTGAGGCTTCTCTAGCTTTCCGTGACCCCGCTTCACTCGGCGCACGAGTCGCGTCGGCGTCAGCCTTGTCCTTCGCAGAGACATTGCGTTTCTCCTTTGTGTCTGTCTCGGTGGTTTCGACGTCGTCTTTGAATGGGCGGCCCATGACGAGCAGGGAAGTGGTGTGGATGGGCGCTTGGGGGATCAAGCCATTCGGTGCTGGTACTCCAAGTACTCCTGCGAGGAATGTCGTGATACCCAGAAGAAAGAAGTCGTGATGGAACCCCGGAGGCTTGCGCAGCGGGAAGCTTGTCCCTTGAGCCATCAACGACTGTCCGATAAGGTGAGCCAAGAAGACGTCTATGGCGTAGGAGACGTACCGAAACATTGTGGTCGAAAAAGAACAGCACCCAGAGAACGAACCCGAAAGGGAACGCGATCCCAACCCACTTTCCATCGAGCTCCCAAAACTTGACCAGCCACGGGCGGTCTTGTACGGGCAGAAACGCGTGACCTGTGGGGAGCGTTGTGGGGTTGGCGGCGTTGAAACGTCCCCAGTATGCCATGGCGGACGAGGCGACGAGGGAGATTGGCATTCCATAGTCTGCAAAGAAACGCCGCACGTGTCTGTGGAAGTATGCCGATTCGGAGAGGCCCCGGAAGAGGAAGGCCGTAACGGTCATGAGGAGGGCGAGCATGGTGCCGACGAAAGCGCCGTCTAGTGTTCCACCTGAAGACTCCACCACTAGATCGCCGCCAGAGGGATATTGCCGCGTAATGACTTGGATGCCGTACTGGAGGTAGACCCATGAGACGTAGAATCCGAACGTGTCGCATGAGAACAAGGTGACGTATTTCAGGAAGTTGCACCCTGGATAGCCGTGTTCAGGTAAAAGGGGGGGCTCGAAGAAGGAAAATGTACTCACAGTTCAGGGCTGCCGTGATCCAATGGAGTATTGCTCCCCACATGTACACCCATCCAACAAACTGGAGATAGTTGGGGGCATCCGGTTGACGTTCTATGATGTCGAAAATCGTTTTGTTGAGCACGGTGATGGGGCCGGTGACACCAGCAATGCAGAGAGGTTGCGCTCCGAAAATGGAGAAAATAAAGGCAGCCATGAAGGAAGAGAGCAGCACTTCGGTGACCCCATATTGCTGGGTCGTCTCTATGAGGTCCAGGGAGAAGGCGATTCCGGGGAGGACGCTTGGCACGGATGGAGGCTCAGGGTAGGAGCCCGAGAAGTATATCAGAGCGACTCACTTGGCGAAGAATATAAGCACTATGGCCGGTATCACTCTATAGTTCCACGCATCTTTCCAGTCAGAGGCGTAGTAGGGCGCACGAGCCCGGATGTCTCGCAGAATGCCGCGTCCGATGAAAGTAGGAATCCACGAAGGAAGCTTCCGCCTCCCGCGGAGCGTGGCTGAGGGAGAAGAGGAGGTAGACGGCGGTGTGGACATTGTGAGGAGTGGGGCTTCGTGAGGCGTTTGATAGTTTCGTGAGATTCATGCAAGGTATCCGTTGGGACCGCCTAGTCTAAGGAGATGGGTAGGAAGACTTCCAAGGGTGTCAGCCAAGAAAGAGAGGGTCGATGAGCAACGCACTCGTAGAGCTCCTACTGCGGCGTACCACACGAAGATATCTCCCACAGTAGTCGGGGGTGGTGGGAGAGGGATTCGTGTCGGTGAGAAGGTTGTTCGCGACTTTGGAGGCTCCCATCCCTCGGTCGGCATAGTCCTCGGCAAGGTGGGGCAGTCAGCGCGCGTCGGTCCTCGGATCGCGTCCCGTCCGGATCGGAGCGCGCCTTCGACGCTCTTGGACACGACCTCCATCTTCCTCCGCCATGTCCACCTCTAGTACTGCTGCGCACAGCGGCGGCATCATGGACAAGTTGCACAAATTCGCGTTCGCCAGCAGCGCGCTGTATGCCGTCATCATCATGCTCCTCGCAATGCCTTTCGTTCAACGGCAGTAAGTGGTGCCAGTCCTTGTCTCGTACTGTTTGCCGATGCATGCATCCTCGATATAGCGCGTTGTTCCAAAATGCCATCCGTATTCCATGGGGTGCGAGGTTCGATATGCCGGAGAAGTACGGACTTGCACGTGAGTGTTTGTCTCGGTCCTTATATGCGCATTCAGCCGAGCATGCTCCGCGAACAGCGGGCAAGACTATGGACTTCAAGCTCATCACACCAGACAACCTCACGATTGGCGCATGGTTTGTGCTTTCGGATCCTTACTATCAAGAGCATAGAGCCTCTGTCTTCGAACAGCCAACCCTAGAGGATGTCCACAAAGCACTCAAGTCTTACCCCACGGTTTTGTACTGTCACGGCGCCGCGGCTACCCGTGCGGCTCCGACACGCATCCAAGCTTACTCCGCGATCACGTCTCGTCTAAAGGCCAATGTATTCACCGTCGACTACCGAGGATTTGGTGATAGCGAAGGCATTCCATCCGCAGAAGGGGTTATCGAAGACGCGAAGACGGCCTGGCGCTGGCTTATGGAACAAGGCGTGAAGGCGGACGAAGTGGTGATCGTTGGCCATAGCTTGGGTACCGCAATTGCGACGGGTCTCGCTACCGCGCTTGCTGAAGAAAATATCAAACCTCGCGGTGTCGCCCTCTTGGCTCCCTTCACTAGTCTTCTGGCTCTCATCGAGACAACGACTATTCAAGGCATTCCCATCTTGCAGCCTCTGCAGAGCTTTGCGTTCGGGAAGAGTATGCGATATCTCTTCCTCCTCACATTGCTAGTGCTTACAATCATTCAGGGCTCCTCCAATGGCTTCTCGTCCCTTCTTTCGATACACTCGCTATCATCGGAGAGATAAACGTGCCGATTCTGATTGCTCACAGTCAGGCCGACATGGACATTCCGCACTACCACTCGCGCACGCTTCTCGATACCCTCCTTGATCCCCATCTCCCAGCCGCGCAGGCACTCCCGGATTCGCCGAGCATCGTCCCGTCGGATGGAGAATATCGCACCTATCTGGAAGTTCAGAAAGAACGCCGAACACTGCGGAGCCAGCTCGTTCGCAAGATCGAAGTCCCAACTTTCGGGACGATCGAGGAGTTCGACGGATCGGCTGGCAAGGTGGTGTATGTGGAGACGTTCTGGGGGAACCACAATGAAGTCGGTCTGCAAGAAGGCGTGCAAGACCTCATTGCGAGCACTTTCCGTCTCGGGACCCACCTGTAGAGAACAGGGGACACAATATTTGTTATCATCGGCGAGTAACTTATTTGTATGTTCGTCTTGCTGTCATATACCTGCGATGATCGTTCCAAGTCACTAGAACTATACCATGCTATATATTTCCTCTTTGAATGCATGCTTGAAGAAGCAAATGCGTTGCGGACCGAACAGATGCATACAGTATGCCCTGTGGACCTCAAAGTCGTCAAGGTCTGCGTCGAAGGGTTTTCCTCGCCTCCTCAAGCGAAAGGCGCGTCAAGCCGCTGCCACCCGAAAGTGTGGTAACGACATTAAAATACTTCTATCTCATTGATTCATCCTGATACTTAGGTTCGACGATCCCAGGCGTCGCAAGCATCGCCAACACATCAGCCATTGACATATCGTAAGTACTCCGCAGCGAACAAGTCGGTATTTTATTACAGTATGCGCACACGCTGATTCGACGGTCATTAGGTGGGCATGTGTGATGCCGGCATGTATGCGCTTCGACACAGCTCCCGGCCGCCCGCGAGCATCGCGTTTCTCTGACGGCATCCCAAGTACATACTCTCCTTACCGAGATGGCGGCTTTCAAGGCGCACACATGACGCGCTTCGCCCGCGACATACTTCAGAGCGTCGTTATGGTGGACTTGGCTGGTATGGGTGAGAATATCCGCTCGCCCACTGAATTGCAGGCCGCCTGCTGATGAGCTGTCCATTCTCTGCAGTTTGAATAGATCTACTGCTCGTCCCTGGCCCGTTCCTAGCGGAGTGGCATCTGTCTGCCAACCAGAACGCCTCGGGTCTGGCCTCGGCCACTCTCGCTAGCATATGAGGCAAGTCCGTCTAATGGCCTCACATATCTCGGTCCTCCACCCCGGCACTGGTCCACAGCCATGCACAGACCGCATGGTAGGCGTCCCCCCATGCGCCTCGAAGCTGTCAAAGACTGCTCGGTCTCCGCGGGCAGCGCTCGCGGCGATGGTACGGTCGTCGGCATGCTCTTCGTGACATCGGCACCCATGCTGGCCTCAGCTGGAGCGTTCTGAGGTCGGTGCTCCTGGCGTACATATACGAGCGCAGACTCGTTGGTAACCCGCCTAGTGCTCTAAGGACACAATTCCACCGAGATGCTCACGCTCAAGGTCCTCATCCCTTTCTTAGGACTGGCCCTCGCGCCTGCCCTCGCCAACGCTGCCGCGTGCCCCGCCGGCTCCTTCTCCTCGACTGGCCAGTCGCCCTGCACGCTCTGTGCTCCCGGCACCTTCCAGAACGGCACGTACATTCTCAATTGTTCCCGTCTGGTCGAAGCTCACGCTCTCCTGTTCATCAACATCCAGCCCCCGGCCTGACCTCCTGCATCCCCTCCCCCGCGGGGTCCTTCGCGGCCGGGCCCGGAGCGACGAGGAAGACGGCGTGCTCGCAGGGCTCGTACCAGCCGCAGACGGGACAGGCGGCGTGCCTGCCGTGCCCTCCCGGCTCGTTCTGCAACGGGGTCGGGCGCTCGACGCCACAGCCGTGCCCGGCAGGGCGGTTCTCGGACACGCCGGGAACGGGGCTCGAGTGCCCGCTGTGCGCGGCGGGGTCGTTCCAGCCGCTCACGGGCCAGACGGCATGCTGCCTGTGGTGAGTGGGGGCTCCGGTATTCGGATGATGGATCGCGGCGATTGCGGGGTCGAACGAAGCACGCTGACGCGGTCTCGGTGACTTTTCAATGCAGCTGCGCGGGGACGTTCCAGGGGACGACGGGCCAGCCGCACTGCCAGGCGTGCCCGGTCAAGGGCGCGAGCTCGCCCTTCGGCGCGACCGCGTCGTCGCAGTGCGGCGCGTCGAACGTCGGCTTCAGCGGCACGTGCGACCTCACGTCGTCCAACACCTGCCGTAAGTGCCGTCCTCTCCCCTCTCTTCTGCTTTCCACCCGCTCACGACGCGCGCTGCGCCTACAGCGAACGGGGGCGGATCGAGCGGGCTCCCACGGCGGCGCGCGGCAAGGCGCGACGCGTGCCCCGCGGGCCACAAGAGTTGCCCCATCTACGGATCCGGCGCGGGCGGGCGCGGGTTTGTGCGCGCGCACGAGTGCGTCGACGTCCGGCACGACCTCGAGAGCTGCGGCGGGTGTGTGTACGACGACTCGCCGTTCGGGGAGCGCTCCGCGGACGGGGGCCGGGACTGCTCGGCGATCCCGTTCGTGGACCGCGTGACGTGCAAGGCGGGGGAGTGTGTCGTCTGTGAGTCTGGTTCTTTACCGCGGGCCGAGACCAGGAAGAGACGCTGATGAAACCCGCAGCGAAGTGCAGGGAGGGGTACATCCCCGCGCCGGATGCCTCGGGGTGCATCGCGACGCTCATGACGCAGCAGCAGAATATGGGCGTAGGCGGGCGCACGCATGTCTGAATCCAACCCGGTGTTCTCGAGCTACGGCGCTCAAGCACGCGATTGGCACCAATGTCATGGTATTTGAAAGGTTCCAGGTCGTACGAAGATGTATGATTGCCAGGTGTACAATGGGAGGATATGCTGCGTTCTTTCTTTGCCCTGCTCCGTGCTTCGATGTTACCCGCGGCCTACGAATGGCATCTGCGTCGCCATGATGTTGAACACGAGGACGGTGACGTCGAGCGGGAGGCTCGCGATGTGCACGATGGCCTCGCCGACGTGCTTGGCGTCGAACGTCGCTTCTTCCGAGAAAGTTCCGTTGGGCTGAATCCGTCCTCCCGGAGGAGGCGACAGGGCAGTTTGCGCGCCGCCTGAAACGATGCAGTGAGTGGACAGTTTCGTGGAGAAAAGGCCCATTGTGCGACCGGCGGCAGAGAACTGACCGATGTCCACCTGAGTGCAAGTGATGTTGAACGCCCTGCCGTCCAGGGCGGTCGACTTGGTGAGCCCGGTGATCGCGTGCTTCGAGAGGGTGTACGGCGCGGAGTTGGGCCGCGGAGTCTGTGCAGAGATAGAGCCGTTGTTGATGATGCGACCTACGGAGCGACGTGCGGGTCAGCGTACGACTGGAGGGGGGAATGGGCGTTGACGCACCCCCGGGCGGTGACTGAGCTTTGAACACCTTGAATGCTTCTTGGGTGCAGAGGAAGGGGCCGACAATATTCACTCCTAGGAGCTTCTGAAACTCACTGAGTGGGACGTCCTCGAGCGGTGCGTCTGGTCCTGTGATGCCTGCATTCTACGCAAGCTCATGAGCAGCGAGAACGAAGAGTCCGGCGTCCAATCGGAGATGCCCGCGTACGTTGAAAACCAAGTCAAGACGGCCTGGAAATAGCGCGCAAGTTCATATTTCCGCGATAGCAGAAGCTGAAGGACGAACCGAAGCGTGCGACGGTTTCGCTGAAGAGTTTCACGACGTCTCTTGAATGGTAACGTCGCCTTCGTAGACGTACACATTGGCAGGATCGGCACAAGGGAGGCAGTCTCGCGGAGCTTATCTGCCCGACGAGCCACAATGGAGACAACCAGCCCGCTTTGGCGAGGGCGATCGTGGTCGCACGTCCAATTCCTGCGAGTCGAAGACATTGAGTGGTTGCGAAGTGCGGAGTCGTCGTAGAGATTCGCACCAGAGGAGGCTCCGTGACTATCGCGACCTTGACAGACATGGTCAACTGAGACCGGTTTGGAAGCTTGCAACGTGCCAGGGCCGTGCGATGCCGCGATGCCAAAAGCGGCTGTCACTTTCGGATGAGTACGTAGTTCGGCGCCCCCGGGCCGGGAAGAGGAATATGAAGATGGCGGCAAACGCAGGTCGCGACACCAGGCAGCAGCCCCCTGCGTCGGCTGGGCGCGTTCCGACGCGGGGTTTCGAGATGCTTATGTCCCGGGGCGGTGCTCGAGTCGGACGAATACGTCATAGGGTGACAATGAAGCCGATCGAGACGGCGCTCAGCTCCATCTTCTATATATCCCCTTCCCTCCTTCTCAGCTCTCCCACCCTCTCATACATACACCCCGGCAAGCCTCGTCACCCATGGCCTGGCCACACGCATCTATAGCTGCCAGCCTCTCGGCAACAGCTTGGGTCCTCATGAACACCCCTATGATCCCTCCGAGCGTAAAGACGAGACTATGTCCATCCAAATGCAGGCATTCCGCAATAAAAACTCTTCGTATTCGCGAAACTCCTCGGTGCGTGAACATATACATGGTCTAGCCTGCACATCACTGACTGTCCGCGTTTAGACTTCCAGTGATGCGTCCACGACTTTAGAGCGGCAACCGTCTGCGAGGTCATCTACTATGCAAGCATGATGCATTGATCTCTCATACCTATCTGGCTCAGGTCAGTGGTGCAGGTATTTTCAAGGTTTTACGAGCGACTCACGCTTACTTCGACAACCCAGATCATAGGGTCCCAGTTCCACTTTTTAACATAGTCGATTCTCGACCTGCTAGGAATGTATCAATATTATACCTGCACCATCGATCCAGCATGTAACCAACACCCATGACAGGAACTTTGCAGTAGTGTTCGCCGACGTGGTTGCGCGAAGTTATCGGTGCCCGATGCGTTTGTCACTGGCACGTGCATCTACGTCACAGGCCCGGAAGGAGTGTGAGCTTATTATCTCTCGAGTCTCTCGACTGTCCTTTCCTGCCCTTAGGATGCATATATCTTTTACCATGCGCTCTCAACGCACATATCCATATTTTGTGGCTGGGAAGAGCTTGACAAGCCATCTCTCGTCGCAAGGAACGCTCGGCGAATAGGTCGGGCTATGGACTCATCCTACTCGCGGTCCCAAATGGCTGGTATGATATCCTCACTACACATTGTGCTCGATGAGCGCCGGCCAATCTCTTCTTTTGACAGGGGAAGCCGCATTAGAGCTCGAAGATCTTGGACTTTCCTACAAGCCACCTACATCGACTTCTTGAAATGCGAGCGAAAGAGCCGGAATGCATGCGCTTCAATCCCAAGGGTGTAAGTATCCCGACACCCGTCAACCAACAAAATGAGGGCTACTTTGTGCGGAATGCAGGAACCGGCATTTTTGTGACACGTACGACCAGGAGTGCCGGTTGTCCTAAGTGGAGGATGATCATGAAGAAAGCTTGTGCGGTGGCTCTGGGCATATGGGAAGGGGTGAGTATTCTGTTCTTTAGCGTCCTTTGGGAAAGCCGGCCGGCTCAACATGCGTCACCCCAAGAAGGTGCCGTCCGTACCGGTGCGAGATCGTGCGCATGTGGGGCGTGCCCGACGGAGAAACCGAACGGACGGTGGCTCGTCGTGGCAGATGGCGCGCGTTTTCCACTGGAACGAGATGATGATGACTGACGTCCTTGGGGCGCGGGTAACCCAAGGAGCTCGACATGCTGAAGTAGTTTTATGTGCGACATGGGTGAAGTCTGGTTGCGGTTATGATGTTTGTGTTAGTGTGCGGGTGCGATCAGCTGCGTGGGTGTCATGTAGACGGCACGAGAAGCTGAAGGACTGAGAAGACTGGAAGGCCAGCTGAAGAAGTAGGGATCAAGAGCGTGGCAGCCAACGTCACCTTTTCACGGTCGACGTTCAACTACTCACGGCCATGACGAACCTATGACCCTTGCATCGAATGCGCTAGGTTCAGCTCGTGCGTTTAAACCATCACCGTGAACGCACCTTGTGGCGATTTTCAAATCAGCTGAGAGTCTCTCCTCGAGAAATGGGAATGCACATCGAAAGCGCTCTCACTCGGGCTTGCGGGTTGACCTGCCCTTCGATGGCTGAACTGAAGGCCCGTTCCCTATGAAATCTCTGTTCCATGGAGTGCGTGTGCAGGGAGGGCGGCCCGGTTCAGGGGAGGCTTGACGCTCACGCACGCCGAAGGTGTCCCGGCCATCCTTGTGCAAAGATAGACTGCCGTGGTCTTTTCGCGACTTCGGCTGGCTAGAAGCACGCCGGTAGCACGAGGCCTCGGGGAGAAAGGACTCGATGCCCATATGATGGATGGCAACAAGTGCTAGTAGACGCTGGCATGGTATTTCGTCGCACAGTATCCAATGGCGCTTATTTCATGCTCTTCCCATGACTCGAACGCAGCTAGGCACCACGCAAATCGCCGCGCAACATGGAAACAGCATGCGGCTGCGGACATGGCGTGAGTGCTCGAGATAATATCAAATCAAATCGAGGTTTACGTAGCTTCGCAGGAGCGCGCAAGTGGATAGTTCGACGGGCGAAGCTTCTCGACCTGAACACATCAGACATGGCCCAACTGGCCATCCCCGCCGGCCGAGCCCGTGCGATATAAAGCCTCCTCCGGACACTCGGAGATCTCGAGACCCTCCCTCTCCTGGACGCCCAGTCATCCTGCACGCACAGCCCTCCTACCTGTGTAGCAAAACCCATCCACCCTTCAAGATGTCCAGCGACGGAAGCACTCTTCTCGGAGTGGTTGTTCTCGCCCGCCATGGCGATCGGCAAGGGTTTTACCAGGACCTGGCCACCTATAACGCGTCTGACACTGCGATCACGCCTCTCGGTGAGGTGAGTATACTGCTCCTTTCTTGCGTACGGATGTGGTTGTGGTGTTGGTGGATGCGGTGTTGGTGGATGCAGCGGGGGGAGGGATGAGCTGGTCAGCCGTGATGGCACGGGCTCGGAAGGATTTTCTGCTGCGCACGCAGAAGCTCGGCCACGAGGAGTACCACCGCGGCTGGGAGCTGATGCCTTGGCCGCCCGCAGACACAAGAGTTCCAGCTGGGATCGCTCCTCAATAGCCTATACCTGAACGAGTCGTCACCGTCGTTCATCAAAGGCATTGCGAGCAGCAGCCAGCTTTTCAACGGGACCCAGGTCAAAGTGCGTGCCGACGCGGGTGGCGAAGGGGGTGTTATCTACGACAGCGCTGTGGCGCTTACGCAGGGCTTGTGGCCGCCCACGTCGAGCTCCGTCATCCAGCTCGCGAACGGCACAAACGTCACGAGTCCACTTAACGGGTACCAATATGTTCCCAGTGAGTGTGATGTTCTCCGATCATGAGAGCTGCTCCTCACGAACATTTCAGTTGAGTCGGTGGAGTCCAACGAGGATGTCTCTCTGGAAGGCTTTACGTCTTGCCCCGTGAGTCGTTTTTACAGGGTGTTGTACCATCTCGTGACGGCCGGTTTGGTCGAGTGGTTCGAACTTTGACAAAGTTCGAACCCAGACCCATACAAAGCGAGCAAGCGTCCATAAGTTTACTGCGAGTCGTGACGTTCGAACAATTCACTAATAACGCGATATCAGAATCTCGACCAGCACACTTTAGCTTTTTACAGCTCCCGTGCTTTCGCACAGAAGGCCGCCGAGGTCAATGCGTTCTTGACCAGCCTCGTTCCCATCTTGGACGGGCGTCTCGTGGCGCTTCAGAACATTGTAGGCATGCTCGGCTTGGTCTCTTATAAGTATCGTACTGACGTCTATTTCAGTGGAACGTATGTGTCTTCGCTTGAACATGTATCGCTCGTAACGCTTACTAGATACTCAGATCTTTGATTTCATGAATGTCCAATCGATCCACAACGCAACTTTCGCAGCCTCGCTCCCTACCGGGGCTCTTGCGCAGGCCCGCGATCTCGCCAACTGGCACGAGTACAACGTCTTCAGTGACACGTCCCTCAACGGCATCGGAAACAGTACGTCAACGCGTCTCACCTACGAAGCACCGTGCTCACGGGCACGTCTCTGCCGCAGTCGCGTTCCGGACCATGATCCCCTCGGTCGCGACCGCCATGCAGCGCATCGCGAACTCGAGCGACCCCCTCAAGCTCCACTACTCCGCGATCTCCTACAAGCCGTTCCTGAGCCTGTTCAACATGACCGGCGTGAACGCGAACGGCGCGCTCCCGCCCGCGATCGTCAACTACGCCGCCCCCGTCGTCTTCGAGGTCCGCCAGCCGGCGACCCCCCGCGGAGCCGACCGTGCGCCTCCTGTTCAAGAACGGGACGGACGACGCGGGGCTCGCCGCGCACCGATGACGCTCCCGGCCTTCAGCGGGACCGACGTCCCGCTCTCGACGTTCCTCGGGGCGCTCGAGCCCGCGGCGGTGAACACGACGATGGACTGGTGCTACGCGTGCGGGCAGTCGAGCCTGCGGGGTGCTCGGGCGCGTTCGTTTTCCAACCGGGGTCGATGTCCGTGGTCGAGGACGCGGTGTCCCCGCTTGCGGCGGGGTGGATCGGGGCGGGCGCGGCGGTCGCGGTGTGGGCGATGGGCTTCGTGTCCTCGCGTTCATGGGGTACGTCAAGTTCCAGCTGCCGAACCGGCGGCGGCGGACGTCCGAGGCGGGATCTTCGGTACGTTGGTTCTGGGTGGAATGCGTGTCGCTCTTTTCGCTGACCCTTGGTTCTCCTGCAGACAGACTCGATCACGAAGGAGAGTGTTTGAGAAGGCGCAGTACAGTCATAATGCCATTTGTACGACGATATGACCCCCATGTAGCCTGACATGTATATCACTGGAGCCGGAGACCCCTTACGAATGGACGGAGTTCTCGATCTTCTTCGAGTTTTTTTGGTTGAGCAGGTCGCCTGAACATATCGCCGTTATTAGAGCACATTCAGGTATGGGCCGACTGAGATACTCCTAGATACGCATGCTGGGTAAAGGATGGAAACTTCGTATACACGCCAACTATATTGAAGGTCCGTAAAATCCGCTCGTTAGAGTCCATTATGTATACTACGAAGGTGCCGTCCGAAGATTTCAATATGAGACCGCAGTAAGCTACTTATCATCCCTCTCTAGTTGTGGCTCTTCAGATCCCAGCTATCGACGGGCACCGACGGCGGCGTGACGAAGCTGCTCGCGCTCATGCCGTCCCACTGCGGGTTGAAGAGCACCTGGAGGCTGTACGTTCCCGTGGGGAGGCTGATCATCACGACCGTCACCCCGACGTTCTCCTGGTCGGTCTGGCCGCGGGCAGCGCCGGGTCGTCGTCGAAGCGCTTCGCGGGCCCAGTCGTGAACGCGGCGCCCGAGGGCGCGTTGAGCAGGGACATCTGCAGCTTCTTGTCGCCGATTGTGAGCGTCGCGGACGTGCCGGAGGCGTCGACGGCGACGGTCGCGTTCGTGTGCATCCGCCACATGACCGCGCCGGAGGAGGTGATGTCGTCCTGGAGGAGGACCTGCTTGCGCGCGTTGAGCATGCGCACGCCGCGCTTGAAGGTCGTGCTGCGGGGAGCGCGGGTCAGCGCGTGCGCGGTCGGACGCGCGGGAGGGAGGACGGGACTCACCCGGAGGGGTACGCGCTCGTGAGGTCCGCGGTGAAGAACGCGGTCGAGTCCGACGGGACGTCGTACACGGTGCTCGAGCCCTGCTCGGACTCGCTCGAGCCGAACTCGATCGTCGGCTGCGCGGTGACGATCTGGTTCTGCTTGTCGACGAGGATCGTGTTCTGGCCCTCGGTGCGCTTGCGGTAGTAGAGCCAGCGCTTGCTGTCCTGACCGTCGCCGTCGTCGAAGTAGCCGGCGGAGTTGTAGTCCCCAGAGCCGAGGTCGCCCGCCCAGCGCGTGCCGAGCGCGTCAATGACGAAGTCGCCCGCGTCGAGGTCGTTGTGCGTCTGGTGGCCCTGGAGCGTGCCGGCCTTGATCGCGACGTAGAGCGCGTCGTGGTCGGTCCACGAGGAGCGCATCGACGCCCACTGGTCGGTGTGGTTGTCGAACACGTGGTCGAGCGGCATGCTGTCCCAGAATGCGCCGGCGACGGTCGGGTTGTACCAGAAAACGCTGTTTGGCTCCGGGGCGTCGTGCTGATCGCGTTGGTAGAGGACGTACTCGGGGTGGTTGTACTGGTCGCCGTAGAAAATGATTGCGTTCGCGTCGTCGAGAACTTGTTCGGGCCATGGTCGCCGTACGAGAACAGAGAGCCGGGGCCCATCACATACATGTGGTACAGACCGGTCTTCTCGAACCCGGGGTTCGTCGAGAGCAGGCCGTAATCGGAGCCGGTGGCGGTCATTAGAGAGGAGGTCATCTCGGCGTGACCGGTCGTACCAAAGTACCAGTAGTTGGCGGTCTCGGCCCAGGTGCCGTCGGACGAGGGTCCGAAGGCGCAGGCAGCAAGGGCATTCGGGACAGTAAGCCCTAGGACCTTCTCAGGGAGCCCACTTGTGTCGTCGCCGAGGAGGGCGAGGGCTCCCATCGTGAGACCACTCATCGTGACGCAGTTCCAATTGCCGGTGATTGAGGGTCCCGCCCACCAAGCGGAGCCGTTGTTGATGTAATCCACGCCGAGCTGGAGACCAAGAGTGGTCATGGTGGACGCGATTTGGCCTTTCTGATCCGGGGTCCACTGATCGTAAAGCCAGTCGTACGCAATAGCGAAGGCGGCAGTGAACTCTGCGGTGTCGAGAAAATGAGACGGGTTCCACTTCGTAAGGTCATCTGGACCGAATGGTGTAGTTCCCTTTCCAGCAGCGTTCTGTAGACACCATATGGGTATGCGAGTTGATCTACGCGGCTCGAAAATAGACGCACCTGAAGCTCAAGCCAAGCACGGTCGACCCACTTCGTGTCGTTGGACATGCGGTATGCGTATGAGAACGCCTTGATACGCATCTTGACCTCTCGGGCGTTGTCAAGAATCCCGGAACCGCCGTCGAGGAAGTACTTGACCACAGGTTGGTTGTAGTAGTCCGTGGCGTTCTGGAAGATGGTCTCATTCCAGGACTTGAGGTAAGGATCGGTAGCGATGAGCTTGGGGAGGGCCTGCCATTTGTAGGCAGGTGCGAGCAGGCGAGGCCTGTCTGGGCGAACGGTGGTGACCTGTGGCTTAGCAGGCTTGAAAGGGTCTTCGGGCCAAGAGAAAGCGGCATTATTTGAGGGGTTGAAGGTGGGAGAGCTGAAGGCAGCCGAGTTTGTCTGGACTCTGGCGTTCAAAAGAGCGCTCGCATAGAAAACTGGCAGAACTCACGGTGGAAGGGTAGAGGGGGAGAAGGTATTGGCTGTCGGTGCCGGTGGGGAAGAGACCAATATCTTGTTTGATGCTCGCAGCCTGGCTAGCAGCAGGTTCGCCGGTAAGGGTCGAGCCAGAGGGAGAGGCCGAGTTGGGAGAGGCCGAGTTCGAGGACTCGGACTTGTGATTACGGCTCACCACGACGCCCACGACGACTGCGACAACAATCGCCACGACGGCGGCAGGCAAGCCGATCCAAAGGCATTTGTTCCTGCGAGGTTTGGGTTGGAGTGTGGTGAGTCCCACGTTCTCGTAAGAGTGTTGCGGGTTCATAAGAGGTCGGAAGCCAAGAGACCAAAGGAGTGACAGTCGCCGATTATACGGAGGTTGACGTTTGGGAGGGAAGGCGGAGAAAACGGTAGGAACCGGAGAGTGGAGGGTAAAGAGAAAGGTGAGGCAGAGGCGAGGCCGGACGGGCCATCCTAAGTACGTCCGTGCATTTGGCGGGCTGTCGAGGCCGTGAGATTCGAGCGTCCTCGGCGTTGATGCCCACGACGGCGTCCATCACCTGCTTGGTTGGCGTTGACATCCCCACTTGTGCTCATCCCATGACTGCCTCCCAAAATGCATCCAATCCCGACAGATCCAGGCGATGCGAGCAATTCGATGTCAAAGTTGGAGGCAAAGGCCAAGCCTTGGGCCGTGGTCCACCACCACATGGGGCCGATCGGTAGGGTCTGAAAGGCGGACAGTCTCACCTGGTCACATACTAGTCCTCGTCTACGCACGTCGGGCAGCAACATAGCGAACGATGCCAGCTGGGTGGTTGGAGGAACACGTCCCACAACTGCGCCGTGTTCCGCCTCAGGCTCTCATCCTGCGGCCCGGTACCCGGTGATCACGTCGTCATCTTTGCGGCACGTGGCACTGGTTGGGCCAGACTCCAGGTCCGGACCTGCAGCCACCACCTCTCCTCTTCCTTCTTCCTTCACCATCTCCAAAATGGCGACCATGGACGTTGATTCCCAGCCGCACTGCCTCAGCCGTACGCCATTGTGCGTATCAAGCGCAAGCGGAACGAAGAGCCTCTGGATGCCCTTGGTTTGTTGCCGTCCCTGTTTTCGATTTTTGCGGTGTCGTCTAACATGGTGCATGCGGCATCTTAGTCGTAGAGGCGTCTCCGAGCAGGAAGAAGACAAAGGGTGGTGTCAATGTATTCCAGTATGCGGCCACAGTCGAGCAGACCGCGTGGAATGACGAGCAGCAGAGGGAACTCCAGGTACGTGATTTGCTTCAGCCACTCTGCCTCCACAACATCCAACGTTTTACAGCGGCGAATTGCTGGCTTGCGCGAGTTGCCAAAGAAGAGACCGCGAGAGTCTACTGTCGATCCCTCTACTGCCCCGCCAACCACCTCCAACGTCCGTCCGTCCACACCGGCAGAGGTCAAGCCCATGGGTGGCGCCCCGCAGTACAAACGATCATCCTTCCCCGGACCGAGCAAGACATACACCATTATACCCCAGGACGATGTTCAGGAGGAACAGAGTCCACGACGGCGGAACGCCACCGCGCCGTACGTCCACCCATGTCCGATCCCTTCCTCGCATCTCCTCATGCACAACAGCCCCAAGGTGTGGTCCACGAAGGAGATAGAATCGGCGAAACGGGCAGCACAGTTCAAGCTGTACGACGCCGTACTGTCGACGAACGGCACTGTCCCTCAGAGCGAGACGGACGCAGAGATCGAGAAATTCTTGCCTCTTCTGAAGGACTATCTCAACTGTACGTCTGCGTCCATCATTCTCCTCAGCTGTCTCACAATTTGCTCTCTCAGTGGACGGAATGCCTCTACCGCCAGCTCCTGTGAATGGCGAGAAGGACTCGGCCAGCATGGATGAAGACTACGTGTACGACGTCTTCTACCACCACCCGACCACCGTCCAGGAGCTCTGTGCGCCTGGTTCCGCATCCAACATCGCGAGGCTGTACGCCACTTCGTTCATCGGGATCATAGAACCACATCTACCTTGCCCTTTGTGCAGTACCGGTCTTCCACCAGAACTCAGTGGCTTACAGGAGAGGATGACTCGGACGAGGAGTACAGTGACGAAGACGACGAGGACTCCAACGGTGCGTCCCTTTACGTCCCACTCAGATCATGAGGACTCAAGACCGAGCTCGCTCAGCGGAGGACTGGTACACGAACGACTACCCAGACGAGGAGGAGTCGGACAGGGACGACGACGACGGCAGCGGTGAGTGGTCATTGCGCTGTGTGGTGATAGAGTGTGCGTTGACCCCAGGACAGACGCATTCCACGAGCACTCGGAGTCAGACGACGTGATCTACCCCGGTGAAGGACGCGTCTACCACGATGTCATGTCCGACGACTTCTGAGCTCGGCTGGAGGTTGGGATTAGATTTCTGGACAGCAACAATTACAACTGAACCACGATTTCACTGAACCTCTCGCATACTCACGTAAGGACTCTCATACACCAGCATATGCATCCACTACATACCATGTACGAGTATTTACCGCAATGTTATGCCCCACTTAAACTGACGGCTCATTCGTGTCATCGAATTGGGTGCATTGTTGGCGGCTCAATTCCTGGGTGGAGTCGAGGATGGTTTATTATGTGCAAGCGAGGGCTGTACTGGGTACAACAAGGACGCGACAATCGAGAGCATGTGAGAAAGCATAGGTGTGCGCATAGGGAGGCGACATAGGCATACGTGGCAATATGCGAAGCTATGGTACACTAGTGAGAACAACATCTACATGCGATGTGATGTAGGAATACGCTCGTCGGTCGGCGGGGTGGGTAGCTTACACGAATAGTAAAAGTACATATGTCCGGTTGGTGGGAGGAACGATGCGATGGCTTGTGGGGAGACATGATGCAAGAGATCAGAACAAGGAGAAACGGCCGACTCCGAGATGAGCCGTCTACGCCAACGCAAAGCCCCGGTCGCCGAGAAGGATCCAGACGGAGTGGAGCAGCCCCGCGAGACATCCGCGCTTCCGCCGCCTGGGACCGTCGCCGCGAGAGGGCTTCCCGCCTGAAACGGGCGGGCCTCGCGCGGTGAACGGAGCGTCCGCGGGGCACGGCGTCGTGCCGTGCGCCGACAACGCGAGGAGGTCGTCCCAGTCGCAGAGATCGGGCGAGCGGGGCCTGGGCTTGAGGTCGGGCGCCCGGTCACTCGTGGGGGAGAGAGCGATGACCGAGACGCCACGGTCCGCACGGCCTTTTCCTTTCCGCGGGCGCGAGGGAGGAGGCGGCATGCGGTGAGGCTCGAGCTTGGGCTTCGGCGCGAGGAGCGATGTGAGACGGGAGGGGGTGGCGAGGGGCTCGGAGTGGGAGCGAGTGAGCGTCCGCGGTTGGAGAGGCGCGACGACGGGCGCGTGGGCAAGTGGGCGGGATGAAAGGTATGGAGGTTGTGGTGATGGCGATCGCGAGCGGGACGGGAGGGGAGAGGGAGAGGCAGCCCGAGCCAGAGGCGGGGGAGTGGGCAGGGAAGTAGGCGCCGCGGCGCGTTGCGCGCGTTTGGGCTTCGACTTCGATGGCTTAGGCGAAGCATGACGGGAAGGGGCGTCGGGGGTAAGTCCGCCTGTAAAGCTCCCTGAGGAAGCGTGGTACACCACCTCGCCTGTCTGGTCGCGCAGAAGAAGGTCCCAGGAGAGGCGGCGCGTCTTGGTGGATCGAAGCTCCACAGGCTCGATGCCGTCAGACGAGTTGGACCGGGGACGCTTCTTGCGAGAGATCTTGGGATGCGGTCGCGACGGTGTCGTTGGCTCCAGAGACAAGTGATTTGGAGTAGGACGCGGCTTGGAGCGGGGAGAGACGGGTATCATGAGATGGGCGGAGGAAAAGGGAGGCGTAGACGGGACGCCGAGATCCATCGCATGCTTTGGGGGCGACGGCGAGCGACAAATGATGGCTGGGAGATCCTTCTTGAAATCGGACCAGGTGGGAGAAGGTGGGTCCGGAGAACCGGAGTATGCCGTGCATGATTCCGTGGAGGAGCACGTAGAGGAACTGTCAGAATCATGGGAGCCACACGCGTAGCAAGACGGTGGGAGGTATGGCAGGTTGGGCTGCGCGGACAGGGGGTCGAGATGGCTATGTCGGAGTCTGGCGTCGGCGTCGCGCACGGTCCAAGATTGCTTGAAGCCGTCGGGGACAATGTTATCCAGAAACGAGGAAATTTCTTCCGTGGGTGTGGGGCAAGTCAATGTAGCGTCCGAAGATGAAGACGCCATGGGGGCAGGGAGTGTAAGGTCTTGGAGGGACATGCCGTGTGATTCGGAGAAGGACTCAAGGGAATTGCGCATCAACATCTGAGAGGCTTGCCCCACATCCTTCAGAGCAGTATAGATGCCGGTCTTGGCGCGCTGCCATCCGTCTACGTTCCACAGGTAGGCATGGGTTTGGTGGAGATACCGTGCCATGCTCGAGACGAGAGTGGGTGACAGGATGATGCATGGATCGACTTCACAGTCCGCCACTGAGCGAAAGATACGTCGTTGGTAGTGTGCGGCCGCAATCTTCCGAAGTGAAGGAGATGAGGAGAGCGAGCGAGCGAGTCGAGAAGATGAAAGACGCACGCTAGCAATGACCCTGATGAGAACATCTCCGGGAAGATAGAAACACAACATGGCGGTGGCATGCTCGAGCGCGCCCGCGCGCCGGCACAGAACCTCCAGCTGCGAACTATACCCCTGCGCACTCTTTGCATCTAGCGGGACCGGGGTGACGGACTCGAAAGCTGTGAGGGGAAGGCTCGTCAACGAACGCGGATGGAGGCAGGCGAGAGAAGGAGACGGACCACTATTGAAGTCGGAGAAGAGGCGATCGAGCCAGCACTCGGCTTGAGAGACCGTCAAGACGGGGTCAAGGTGAAGGGGGTCCCGTTCGCGAGTCGGCAGAGAATGGAGGGGAGAGGCGGCCATGCGACTGTGAAGGAAGGAACCCGCCTTGAGGACGAGGGCATGGCGCGGGGCACGTACTTAACGGCTATCCGGGCGACAATGCATGACAGGGCCACGCGCGCGCACAATTGGGGTTAGGCGATGGCATCGCGACAGACCGTTCTTCCCCTCCCGGAAGCAGACGGTGGGCGGGGGGCGGTGGACGAGGTCGGTGGTGAAGCTGCGCCTGCGCCCGCGCAAGACAATAAGGATCAGGCGCCCATCGTGCTCGCCTGGCGAGGCGTCGCGACCTAGGAAGCAGCCCTGAGGGAATGATGGGCTTCAATCGGAGCACAATAGCTACTATATGCGCTGTTCACACCGCGAGTCAGTCTACACCAGCAAGTCTCATCAAGAGGTGCGAGTCAAGGACCGTCGGCCCGGCGGCCTCAGTCAACCGCAGGAAGTCCAGAGCTCGACTGACCGCCATTATCCGTCTTTCATATTCGTACTTACCCTTCCGGCTTGTTTACCATAAGTGTCTGTCAAGAGCTCGGACCCATCTTCGCTCAGGTCATGCACGCCAGATGATCGCTCCATCCTGAGCCTAAGCACTCACTCCTATGGTGCCAAATAAGCCCAAATACAATAATCAGCGCTTAGAACGAAACACGTCGTCCACAGCAGCTGAGCGCCGAGCATTGCTTACTGCCTATACGGTTTCGCATGGCTATGTACGCCCATACCGAGCTTTTTGGGGATGCTTCCACCAGCAGAGGAAGGACGCAGGAACCAAGATGTGTTGTTGGAACACTCTTGCGACATTCACATGATGCAGTGGTTTGGCTAAAGACGCCGTCAGCACTCCGAAGCATATGTCAACTTGAGGTTAGTTCTCACAGTGCAGTGCTCCTGCAAGCACACACTAAATCGCGGGCTTGGCGCTCGTTAGCACGGAGATCCACAGTTGAGTTTCGCACAGCTTGTGCATGTGTGGGACGTGATGTGACCGATTACACTACATAAGTACACGTTCAAATCTCAGCAAGCCCACTGCAGGTGCACCGCTTTCCTTACTTTCCCTTCGTAGGCCGTCCCTACACCTACGTTTTTGTGCGGCGAAATAAGAGCCGGAGGGATAGTTGGCACCCCAAAAGGTGCCTTCGAAGAGACGCCAAGTCAACCACCACACAAAGTATCTGGCAGCGGCCCTCAATTATACGCAGAGAGGGGTGCGTACATGTCGGCCTTACTTAAGTGCGCCATTTCGCCGTCCGTCATGAGAACCTGCCTCACCCGCTGCTGGACCGCAACAACGTCGGATGCGTGCTTTTCCCCCTTCATCCTCGCCCGCAATGCCGCCCTCTCCACAGCTACTTGCGGTCACTCGTCCGAGGGCTCCGGTACAGAAACTCACAGCCTGCTCAGCAGTGTGACGCGCTCCCTCTTCATTCTGAGTAGCGGCAACACCCTAGTACCCGGTGTTCCTTCAAGATAGAATGTAGCAATCCCTCGGTCCATCTCGTGTGCCACCCCGTCCAGATGTCACATACCCGTAGGACGGTGGATGCCGTCAACGCGTCAGAGGGCGGCGCTAGACATGCCTCATGCTGGAGTGGCTTCCTTCCACCTCCTGCGCGCGTCGGCCGCGCACGCCAAAGCAGCCTGCCCACCAACGCAAGTTATCGGTACACCAGAATCGAGTCCAGGCCCGGGTCGATGCTGGGTCCCGACCGACTTTGCCGCGCCGTGGGCGTGAGCTCAGCCTCACGCAGTCTGATCTCGATCGGCGCGTGGGGGGCTGTGGATGCAGTAAGTACTTTCAGCAGCCTAGCATGATTGATGATGTAACTTACCGACTACGGTCAGCTTCGCAGCGTTTCAAGGGCGTGATCGGGGTGTTCGGGTGTGTTCCACGCAGGTTGCCGACGGAGTGGGAGTGGGGCCAGGGTGGCAAACGTGAGGGCGAAGCTCCGGAGGCTTATGACGACGGGGGCAACGATTGACATCGTGAGCGTCGGCGCAAGAAGTCGAGTCTGCGCAGCACAAACGTCAAGTTGAACAAATCGAGCACAGTTGCGAATACTACGCTGCGGGCAATTGATGACCAGTCGCAGCTAAGCATGTTATACAGAAAGTGAGGGCATGTCTCATAGACCGTCGCGTGGGGCAGGGTTCACGGCATGCCGATGTCTACGAGGGGGGTGGGGAAGTTGCGATCGGGAGGCGTCACCCCACACTGAATGCATGCTTGCACCAGCTGGAAGCGGAGCGCCTGCCATGTTTCGCGCTGCTCTGCGATACGAAGAGCGACGTCAGCGGGGCGCACGAGCAGAAGGTAGGGACAAGCACGTACTTGTGCTGGGCCAGTGGAGCATCATGTACTCGGTGCGCGTCCCGAACTGCTTTGCGGCCTCGAGCGCGAGCAGTAGCGTGTGGTCTGCCTCCCAGAGCTTCATTGCCCTGGGGCGTGCTGGGTTAGTGTTGTGCGTGCGACGGCGGGGGAGAGGGCGCACTTCATGACGTGGGACATGTGCCAGTATATAAGCACGGGACGCCGCTGGTCGAGCACAAGAGGTGCTAACCCCGTCTTGAGGACCGACCAGACACGATTCGCCACAGCCATGCGCTGCCGCACTGTAGAGCCACCCAATGAGCAACTCCCTTGACAGAAGGCGCGGCGAGGTGAAGGGAGGACGTACACCAGGACTCCGCCTTGTCGCGGTAGAAGAGCTTGTTGTCGCGCGTGGTGATCTGGGGTATGTACCGCTGGAACTCGTGCGAGATGCACATCCGCGCGGAGAAGAGCATCTCGCGCGCCTGGAAGCCCAGGTTGCGCTCGAGCATGCACGTGTGCTCGTTGAGCGCGCGGTCGAGCGCATCGATCTCGAGCCAGGCGCCGACCGCGAAGTCAGCCATTTCAGCGCCGGAGAGGGACATGTCCTGGCGCTTGCGGACGCAGTCGTGCAGGAGCAGCATCGTGCGGTAGTAGAGCGTCCAGACGTTGGGTGCGGCGACGAATGTGCCCGAGACGGTAAGCGACTCCCCTGGGAACATCAGCGCGTACTAGGGTGGGATGAGTGAATGTGCGCAGCAAGCGAGAAGGAAGTGCGCCGCACGTGTTCGGGGTTCTTGAGCCACAGCGGTGCGGGAGTGCTGATGTCGAGCACGGCGACATAAGAGTTCATGCTAGCTGTTAGCGCGACGCTAGCCCAGACCAGACGGCGGCACTCCTCTTTCCTGAACTCTGCCTCGCTGAAGCCATCCGGCCACATTGGGGTGCCCATCCAGGAGGGAGCGATGCCGCGTACGGAAGGCCAACTGCGTCCGATAGTTAGGTCCTGGCAGTTGCACTTGGGCGGTCTCGACCTGATCATCTCGGGTTGCATGTAGAGTGGGTCGGCACAGGCTAGGAAGTCGGCTGGCATGTAATTGGGATCAGAAGCAACGGGTATGCGTGAGGTGAAGTGGGTGCCAAGGATATCGGCGTCAAGAGTGGTAAGGGAGAACAGCCGAACGAGGGAGTCAAGGAGAACAAGGGAAGATCTATGGCGTTCCAGTGACTGGCCTGGGTGTGCTTGCAACTCAAAGTACGCCAAGAGCTACGAACGATGTGGTGAGCGTAGGAATCACGGTATTGCCCACACAAGACTCACCCAAGTAGCCTGAATGAGCCCGAAGTCGACCCAACCGGAGGCAAGACTACCTTGCACAGAGCTAAGAGCGAGTTCCATGAGCCTAAGCGCCTTTCGACGTCCCGCAGCACCTCGCTCTGCTTCGGAGCTTTGACAGAAGACACCTACAGCCAACGCACTGAGGACGAGGCTAGGTTGCATGGAGGTGCGGCGAGAAGGCGTGAGGAGTGTGTCCCAAAACCTAGGGAGATGTATAAACGACATCCACCACAGAGAGGAGGTGAAGAGGGCGCGGAGGTCGGCAACAATGAGCAGGAGTGTGGAAGTGCGTTGTTGGGACGACATAGTAACGAGGTCCCTTCTGTGCCCCCTCTTCGGTCGCATAAAATGTGAGCAGCGCATCCCACCAGGTTTCGCGCGTGAACTGCAGACCAGGACGTGGGGGGATGGCGGTTGACGGTGGTCGAGGGGGCGGCGTGTAGAACTCGATGTCGACATTGGGTTCATCGAGGTCAACGAGAGGGAAGGGGTCGTAGTCTTCGGTCTGTGCAGAGTGGGAGTGCGTCAGGCACACACGCATATAAGGAGAAATGGGACGAACCTCGTCATCAAGCGGTGGGAAGTTGTCGTAGGACGCTCGCAGGAGGTCATCGTCGTGACAGTCGTGTCGGCGATCCTCCTCCGAGTCTTCCTCCCCATCGTCTCCTTCGAGCCGTCGTCGTTTGCCGAGGCAACCAGCGCTCGCTGAGCGGATGCGCACGCCGGGAACCCTGTCCTGCCCGCGGCGCTTGGGCTGCTCTTCGTAGTTGCACTCCCCGTCTTCGGGAGGGCGCTTCCGGCAGTTGAAGCAAACGGGCTTCGCGCCATCACAACGCGTCTTGCGCAAGCGACTGGGGGGACGGGGGAGAGGGTGGTCACGAAGACGCGCATAAAAGCACTGGAAAGACAGACGTACCATTGGTTGCAGGCGACATACACACGCGCGCGAGGCTTACCGCGGGCAGTGAGCGGCTGGTTGGCGTCAAGGGCAATCTTCGGCCGAATGCGGCGACGGGGAGGTCTGGGAGGGGGCTGCGCAGGCTCCTTGGGGACGCCGGAGAGGGGGAGCTCGTGGAGGTGGAAGCCTGAGGTTGAGAGGGAAAGTTGGGGCTGCGCGCGGGCGAAGGGGTGGAGGACATGGAGGAGGTGCTGCCAAAGATGTCTGCACTAGGGGACGCGGGAGCGACTGAAGAGTCGCTGGAAGGATTGACGGAGTCGAGCCAGGCAAGATCGGCCATGGTGGCAGCGAGGATGGTGGCTGGAGCGGAGGCGTGGCCAGCCCCGAGGGCGGAGATATATGCGCTCGAGAGGGCGTTTGTGTCAAGCTTTTCGAAATCGGAGCGCGGGGCGGGGCAGCGCGTCAGTGGCGGTGTCTCTGCTGCTCTTCGTCATCGCTGCGTTTGTCAGCACTCGACCCTGATCAACGCTCAGCCTCAAGGCCCTGGCCGCTGTCCGCTGCCATAAGGACCTATTATAATTGCATCCGTCGGAGTCGCACACCCGAACTTCCAAGAAAATGCTGCGCTTTCAACAGTATCCAATGCAACGTACATCGTGCGCGGACCCCAAGATGCACTAGACCCCCGCCCCGCCCCTCCCTCCCGCACGCCAAGCGTCCAAGCCCTCAGACACAGCTCCCCGGGATGCTGCTCGTGCTGTTCACGACCGACGGCGCGAGCGCGTCGTTGGCGCACAGCACCGCCTTGACGAACTGCGCGGCGACTACCTGCGCCCCCGCGACGCTCGTGTGCGTGTGGTCGAGCGGGAAGAACGCGTCGACCGCTGCCGCGCCCCGCCGCTGGAACTCGTTCGCGACGTACTGCCCGTGGTCGACGTACATCGCCCCGATCGCCTTCGCCGCCGTCTGCGCGTACCCGACGAACCGGTTCGCCCCGTACGTGAACGTGCCCGTCTCCCACGGGTTGTTCGGCGTCTGGGAGGAGAAGATGACCTTCGCGCCCTTGGCCATGAGCGCCTTCCCCGCCTGGACCTCGTAGAAGACGAAGGTATAGACGGTCTCGCCCGTCGTGGGCGAGATGCAGGTTTGGGTGCTGTCCCCGAAGCAGTCGGTCCGGCCGTTGTCGGTCGTGGAGAGCGAGCCGCCGTCGTTGTGCCCGAACTCGATGACGACAAAGTCGCCGGGCTGGACGACGTCGACGATCGCCTGGAAGCGGCCCTCGTTCATGTACGAGCGCGCGGACCGGCCGGCGATGGCGTCGTTCACCACCACGGCGTTCTTGAGCGACGCTTGGAGGTACTGGCCCCAACCTGTGCGCGCGCCGTCGTCGTCGGTCAGGGACAGGGTGGGAGGACCGGGAGTGAGGGAAGGGGAGAGAGCAGCCTGTGAGCGAGAACGGTCGCAGCGCGGAAAGAAGGGCGCGCCGACGTACCGTCAGTTCCTGAGCCACCGCCTCCTTTGGCCATCGTCGAATCACCAGCGAGGTAGACTTTGGGAGTAGCCCGCTTGGCGAGCGGCGCGTCCTGTGTGGGCGCAGCCGCCGCGCCTGCGATCAAAGCCGCGAGGAGAGAGAACGCCGACAGCTTCATGGCGGCGTGTAGAGGAGTGTGGGGAAGGAGGTCGTGAAGTGGTATGTGCGCGCGAGGGTATGTATACACCTCCGCTTCGAGTCTTGGCACAACGTCGGCGTGTCTGTTGGGTGCCGCGAAAGCTAAATATCCTGCCGGTCGCCGTGCGCGCGGCTCGGCGGCCCGCCTTTTCGCAACGCGCGCCGGAGCCGCGACTTAAACAAGGTCACAGCATCGGCGGGATGATGCTGAGTATCCCCGAGCACGGGCTTGAATGAACTTTGAACGCGGCGTCGAAGAGCGAGTCATCGCACCGTGTGATCAGCTGCCAGCAGAGAGCTGGAACTGTGTGTCGGACCGGTGCCTGCCGGAGGGCGAAGGCGCAGAGCATGGCGAGCTTGACCCGGGTTTGCGCCGGAGTAGAGAATTGAGGACGTCGTGAAAGAGTGAGAAGATGTGAGCGAGTCATTTGACGGCGACGAGTGATCACGAGCAGTGCGGATGAGCGGATAGGTCATCACGAACATCCAGGGCGCTGCTCGTCGTCCCTGAGCGTGATCGTCGACCATGTGGGAGAGCATAAGAGAAGAACGTCGAAGCGAAAGTGTCCTCGACAGATACGTAATTTGCAGGTCACGAAAGTCGCACTGGAGGAAGATGTGTGCGGCCTTGATGTCCACTTCCGTATTCGGGCAGCATTTCGATATGGTCGCAGACGAGCCGAAAAATATTAACTTGACGTCTTTTAATCGGTTCCGGAGAGTACAAATATGCGCAAACCATTACACCTACAGCAGTCAGTACAGTCAAGTATGGGATAGTAATGCAGACAGACATGACGATCTCAGGAAGCAGGCGCGGGGGGTCCATTAGAGCTTCCTGTAGTGGTAAGTTCGTTGGATGGCTGTTTGTGGCGCGGTAGTAGAATTTCAGGGGAGGGAGGCTCGACGCCCGCCTCAAGGCACGACCGAACCAACTTCATGCGGGCAACCTCCCATTTCTCGTTTTGATCTGGACGACCCCTTCAATCAGCTCCCGTGGTTACACATCACCGTTAAGGACTCACACTGTGAGGGCCAGAGCCGGAGAAGGTATTCCAGTGGCTTGGACGACGCTTTCGCGGTCTCGAGCGCGATCGTGAGAGTAGGGTCGTAATCGAATATCTCCAGAGCGCTGCCAGATGTGATGTCAGAGAGATAATCGCTACCAAAGATACTTGACGTACCGGATAACGTGTCCCATGAACCAGAAGATGAGCAGAGGGCGAGCAGACAGCACGTTGTCCGGATCGCCGAGGCCGGACCACAGCCACTCAGCGACCCACTTCTGATTCTTCACTATATGCGACGTCAATGCAAAGGAAAAAAGAGACAAGAATAGCGCCTACGCCATGTTTGCGCCTTATCGCGATAGATTGCCGTGATGTGTTGACTAGTAGTGCCAGGATGGTCAGCGAGACGCCGACGAAGCAGCGGTGGGTTGACATACGAGGTCACAAGAGGCGCGAACTGCCGGAACTCTTGCGAGACAGCCATCCTACAACTAAATCCAGCGCCGCCCATCAGCAAACGTGGTTCATCGACTGGCAGAGACGGGGGAAGGTGGGGATACGCACTTGAATAGGTACTCGCGCGCCTGGTAAAGGCAGCCGGCCTCCAAACCACACGAGTGCGCGTTGAGTGCGGCTTCGATCGCGTCCGCCTCGAGCCACGCCTGCGTGGCGAACTGCGCGCGCTCCGTAGGCTCGACGTTCGGGTCCGAGCGCATGCGCACGCTCGAGTGCCAGAGGATCATCGAGCGCAGACAGCAATTCCATACGTTGTATTGTAAGAGGGGGATCACGCCCAGGTGGCGGAGGACGTCGCCGGGGAACATAATCGCGAACTGTAGAGAGGCAGTGTCAGCTTGTGGTCAGGGGTGCGCAAGAGCGGGTACAAACGTTGCGGTGGTCCTCGATGAAGAGGTCGCTAACGAAGGGCGCATCGGGGCCTTGCGCCGACTTTGAGGCGCTGTTGCAACTCGCGACGAGCATGATGCTCGACCAGACCACGCGCCGGCCCTCCTCCTTCCGGAGCTCGCCCTCGGTCGTCTCGTCTTCCTTCGGCCACATCGCCGTCGATTGCCACAGTGGTGCCACGGCAGACACGGTTGGCCACTGCTGCTTAAGCGTGTACTTCTCACATTCGCAGCGCGCTCCTGTCTCCACCTTGGCGTGGCCTGGACGGAGGGTCGCCACGGTATCCGTTGTGGTTGGAGGGAACGGCGGAACCGGGGAGGATATGCTGTGCACACTCTGGAGCACGGCTAGATTCGAGTTGCCTGTTCGAATAAACTGCTCCGAGGTTGCGAAGAGGCCATAGTGGCTTGAGGGGACATCGGCGTCAAGGCGGGCGAGTGCGAGAAGGCGAATTAGCGAATCGAGCAGCACTTTGGCAGACCGGACGCGTTGCATCTTCTCCGACATCGACTCACGGCCGTGCAGCTCGTAGTAAGCCATGAACTGCAAAGGAGTGAGTCAAGCGACTACCGGGCTACGTGGGGAGGGGCACATACCCACGCTGCCTGCACGAGCCCTATGTCCACCCAGTTGGAGCTCAAGCTCGCCTGGATGGCGGAGTGTGCGTGGTCCATGAGTTTGTCCGCGCGTTCACGCCCCTTCACTCCGTCCCCGCCCTTCGAGCATTGGACAAGCGCTCCTACGGCAAGCATGCTGAGCAAAAGACTAGGCTGGCAGGTATTCCGTCGCGTGGGATCCAAGAGCGTCTCGAAGAACCTCGGAAGATGCATGAAACTAGCCCAGTATAGTGACGCCCGAAGCAACGCTCGCACATCAGAGAAGACTCGCTGAGTCGAGAGTTGGCGAAGCCGAGCAGGCATAAGATCCCCGGCACCATGAGGGTGATCTGAAGCGTAGATTGTGAGGAGGGCGTCCCACCAGGTGTCTCGTGTAAAATTCATGCTAGGCACGGCAGTTATGTTCCGTGATTCTTGCGCCTCCGCATCATCTTCCTTTTCGCGCGCGGTGATAATGGGAGGGCTGGGGAGACGAAACGAGTCGACGTCGTCTGGGTCAAAGTTGCCGGGGTCAAATTCACGAATTATCACCTATGGAGACAGAAGTAAGTCTCCATGGGTCGCGGTTGCAGGTGCATCCACAGTCCAACTGCTCGAACTGGGACCGCGACGATGCGTTCACCCTGGTGGGAGCCGAAGTGAGATACCCCGAATGCTCCCAAGGTTACGCAGCATATATACGTCAATCTCCCGCGGCTACACTCTCGCTGACTGATGCACATGAAACACGACAATAGTTGCGATGACTCACCTCGAATGGAGGGTTTGGGGGTGCACGAGTCCTGTGCACTGCTCGAGATTGAAAGGAGTGGTCGTCATCGTCACCGTCATCGTCACCGTCGAGTGGCCGACGATTACGTGCGCCCTTCTTGTCATGAGCGGATCGTGTCCGGGACCCGGGAACCTTGTCCTGCCCCCTCCGTTTCGGCGCGCTATCGTACGAGCACTTTTCGAGGCTAGAGTCCCGTCGATGGCAATTGAAGCATACGGGCTTCCCGCCGTCGCAGCGGATTTTGCGACTTCGGCTGAAGAGGGACGTCAGTAACTCTCCCTCTGGTTTGCCGTGAGGCCGCGTCAGTCGAGGTCAGTCGGCGTGCCGAAGCCGCCCGCGCAGTCGTATGATGGCAAACGGGGAGTGGAGCGATGCTCGTGCAGGGGATAGAGAAATGGACGGCCCACAGAGGGTCCGGGATAGCGACCACAGAACGATGGAGTACGTATGAGGAGGAGTGGCGGGGCGACGGCATGAAGCTCATCTTCGGTCAAGCGCGGGCCGGGAGCGTGATTGACACAGCGGGAGGCGCGGGAAGGGGGGGCAGGAGGGAGCTCACCATTCACTGCATGCGACATAGACACGGGCGCGTGGCTGGCCCTTTGCCGTCAAAGGTTGAGTGGGATCGAGGGCTATCCGCGCCTTCTTGTGATGTCGGGACGAGGAAGAAGTGTCGGAGGCGTCGGACGAATTTGAAGCATAGCCGGGGTCGGAAAGCCGCTCGTTCTCGGACTTGTCCTCGGAGGATGAACGAGCATGTGGGGGCGTGAGGGTGTCAGAAAAGGGCGAGAGGTCAGTGGGACCGGTGCCGGAGCCGGACGGAGAAGTGGAGACGGAGCCGAGGCAGGAGTTCTGGATAGCAGAGAGGTCGTCGAGCCAGGAGAGGGGATCGGGCGCAGGGTGGGACGGGGTGAGAATGTCCATGGTGAGAGAGGAGAGGAGGAAAGAGGCCAGCCCCGAGAGTCGCGAGCTATGGGAGAAAACAAGGTTGGACGGCAGCGCAGACGGCAGAGACGCGTCCCCCGCGTTGATGATTTCGACTGGACATCAGTTCCCGAAGACTCGGCGGTTTTTGATTTGAAATCTGTTTGGAGTGGCCGCCTGCATGCTGTGTAACGGTTCCCCTACCGGAGGGCTGTGCCCGTCATCCTCCTCCACTCTTCCGCGGTCTTGTCGGCCCCTCGTTACGCCAGATAGTTCTCGCAGCACCTGGCTCATCATTCGCGAGTCTGTGCGGATCGCATGCTCCGCGCAGCAATGCGCCCAGAAGGATCCGCGCCCGCTCCGGGCGCACCGACGGCTATATTAACATACAATGCAAGACAAAGTCAATGCTCCACCACCCAGATTGCTGCGATCTCCTTGGGCGTGCGAAGACGGCGGTATTTTAAACCTGGGCACCCCGCCATTCCTACCCACTTGCTGTCGAGCTCCAAGCGCTTCAGCACATTAATGAAGTTCCCCCAGTCTCTCCAGTGCTCGTACGTTGCCAAATGAGATACAGGTCAGTATCAGTTTGTGTGAATTGACGAAGTCATCCTGAGTGGCGCGCGCCTTGCTTATCGCCGTTCAATGTGCACGGCTATCCCGGGTTCTCCGCAGGCAGGCGCGCATGTGTGGAGCTATCGACGGCTTCTCTTTGATGTTTTGCATCCCGATACATAATCCCGCACTTCCACTCTTGATCTCGAACGGCATCGCACAGCCAGAACAGTCATCATACAAATTGAACGGCAACGAGTTCAACAGTCAACATTTACGTGAGCATTCAAATCCGCCGACCGTGACACCTGTGGACGCTAACTAGGTTGCATTTTTTCGAACTTTCAAGTGCGCGCTTGAAACGAGGCGTGTAGTATCGACCTAGGCACAGTGGGTAGAACTTAGCACGTATGTCCGCAGAGTTGTATCTGTCCCGGATCCAGGGAACTTTCATGAGATCGCTCACTGTCTACTCCATGCCATATTATCTCTGCGATGTGAGCTGAAGCTTTCGCTTCCAGCTATTCGGTCTGCAGACACATAGATCCGACTGCGAGAAGCCATAATCCGCTGCAATATACCCTCTCATCCGCCTGTACCGAAGACGCCTTCCCCGATTTCGAATACTGGGGTGCGGGCGAACGACGGTGTGTCAACCTCGGTATTCCCCGGCACTGTTCGGGCGCCTGTTCTCGCTCGCGAACCACAGTCCCCGAACGCCAACCGAGCAGAGGAGGCTGACCAGCCCTCGCTCGCCGACGTGCGCGTGCCAGCCGCGATCCCTCGCACCTCTAAGAGCGCCGCGAACAGGACGGCGGCCACCACCACCTCGTCATCTCCCCCCACGTCCGCATCAAACTCCGAGAAGCCGGCCACCCCGCACGACACGATGAAGTCCACCTCCGCCCTCGTCACCGCGCTCCTCGTCTCGGCCGCCACCACCGCGCTCGCCGCACCCCAGTTCGCCTCTCCACCCGCACCGGCGTCGGACGAGCCGTCGACCGCGCCCTCGCCGAGCCAGGGCGGCCGCATCAGTCTGCCGACGAGCACTACGGGCGACGGCGCGCACGTCGACCTCGGCGCGAACCTCCCGCCGCAGCTTAAAAAAGCCGGTTACTCAAAGGTACGCCACGGCCCCCGCCGGCTCCTTCGCGGGCTCGGTTGTTGACGCGATCATACCCCTTTCTCCTCGCGCGCGTCGCTATGGCGTGCAGCGCGGTGGAATTCTCAACGTCGCGCACGGGAACGCCGCGAACTCGACGACGCCGGAGCTTGTGCCGGTGAAGAACTACCAGAAGGACATCGAGCGGCTGCCGGTGGTTGGCGACAAGCCGCAGTAGCCGCGGCCGGGGGCCAGCTGCGTGCTGGGATGGCGACGGGGCACGGGCAGCACAGGGCGCACTGCGCGCGGGGGTCCGACGGATGGGTGGCAGCTCGGTCGGGATGATGTTGATGAGGCGCAGTATCGTGCGGTGTCGTAATCGGGCAGTCCGATGGACCGGGGAATACAGGGTTGTCTATGGCACGCCTCGAGCGGGTTGTCGTGATGTCGTCGTGAGTCCCGGTCTAGAGTGAGAGGAGAGCGTGAGTCGTGAAAAGGTAGCAATGTCGGGATGTAGAGGGTGTCATGTCTTGCTGCGCTCCTTGAGCTCCCATTTTCCCCGCCACACGCCGCCCTTCCACCACACGAGCAGAAGGAAGACGTCGCTGAGGATCATAAGGCCTGCCCAGAGCGAGTAGAGGCCTCCGTCACCGATCGCGTTCTGTGTGACATAATGTGCGAAGTGAAGATCAATGTCAGCGTTGTCAAGATCGCGTGGCGGGCCGCAGAACGGACCTGGAGCGGCACAGCGACCTCGGTCGCCACGAATGCGGCAAGCCCGCGGAAGAAGCTGTTGACGGCGACTGCAGAGGAGGAACGACCCGTGTTGGCGTCCACGATGTAGGCTAGCGTGCTCGTGTACATCGCACTGCGGGCAGTAAAGAAAGAAAAAAAGTAAACAAGACGACCTGAGGGTATAAACGGCGTACGTACATGGAGAAGAGGCCGCTCAAGAAGAGGAAAACACAGATCGCAGCGACGTGGACGTGCTGTTCGCACACCCAGCCGTACGCGATCACGGAGAGCGGGAGGAACGGCATAAAAATGAGTGTGCTCGCGAGACGCATCTGTCAGGGGGCAGTAAGATGGACGGTCGGACAGACGAGAGAGCGGAGGGCGGCTCAAACACACCTCGGCGTTGCTCGTGCCACCGTTTTCTGCTTTGAGCTTTCGCAGGACGCGATCAGAGTAGCGGCCGCCGACGACGCTGCCCACCAGTGAGCCTGCGCAGAATGCAACCGATTGGTCCCGATTTTTAACATAGCCGAGCACTCGCAGACTCACCCACACCGAAGGGCAACAGGACGAGTCCGATTTGCAAGGCGTTGTATCCGTACTTGTTGGCGAGTGTTCGTGAACATGTGTAGGAAATACTATAGCTCAAGCCGAAGATAAGCCCTGCAAACATCCTCCTGTCAATAATCACCGGGAGCAAAAGGTCGGCCTTGCACTACGCACCTGAGGCCGTGAGGATGGTTAGGTTGTTCAAGCGCCTCAGAACGAGCAGCACAGGTTTGACAGGGTTGACGTCGGCAAGAGAGAGCTTGATGTTGTCCAGTGGAGGGGTGATCGTAGGGCTCGGGACGTGCTGCTGCTTTTCGACGTCTATGCCCCGCGCGATTTCCGCGATCGCGTCCGGCGCCTCGTCCGTCGCGCTCCCGATAGTGGGGATAGGAGTGGGTACAACGCGCGATACAGCGGTAACCTGGGAGAGGCTCGAAACCTCAGAGCCCTTGGTGGAGAGGAGAGCGCGGCGACGGCGGAGCGCAGCCTGGTAGGTAAGGCTTCGCTCGCGGCGGAAGGTGTCCTTGAAGGGGATGAAGGAGAGGAAACAGAGAAATACGAAGACCCCGAGAAACCAAAAGGTCGCGCGCCAGGAGAAGGCTTGCGTGAGCACGCCGCCGAGGATTGGGCCGAGGGATGGGCCTAGGAGCGGGGCGCTGTAGTACACGCCCATCATCGTCCCGCGCTGGACTGGGTCGTAGATGTCGGCGAGTGTCGCTGCGCCGAGTGCTATGACCGCGCTCGAGCTGCTCGTGTGGGGTGACGTCAGTCGATGCAGAGAGGTTGTAACACAAAAGCATCAAAATTGTCGGTCCAAAACACGATTGCGACTCAAAGACGAGCATGAACTTCGAGACCTCGACGAACCTGCCGATGTGATCGAGATAGACGAACGTCCTTCGATCGTACACAAGCCGCTCCACTGCGTCTCTGCTCCAGAACTCAGTCGCCACCAAGCCGTCGACCCAGTCCGCAATTCCGGGACAAATCGCGTCTAACCAGCGGCCCCGGCAGCGAAACCCCCACGAAAACAAGCTGCGAGTGATATTTCAACACTTCCGATGGTATGCAAAGTTTCACGCCGAACGGAGCCCGCGACCATATCGACCCTCTCGAACCCCGACGTCGTCAGGGCAAGCAGTCGAAGACCACTTCCCGAGCTTCTCGTGAGCGTTTATGAAATGGTCGGCCCATATGATAGGCTTCGAACTTTCCGGGCATCGCAACCTTGTATAATTTAAGTAGACGGCCCGGAAAGTTCGGAACCCACTCAACAAATCTGTTCCTCACTCCCAACATGCAGTTCAGACGATTCGAAACAATGGAGGACATGACCGCGTGCAGGAAGGATGACGTACCCGACGGCCTGAAAGCATCGCATGCCAATAAGAACACCGATGGTTTTGGAATTGGCGCCGACGATGCAGCCAACCATGGCAAGCAGGGTGGAGAGTAAATATACTTTCTGGATACGGTGAGCAGTTGTGGGGCTGATGATTAGATTGGGAGCTGCGGGCACGCACCTTGCGGCCCCAGAATTCGCTAAGGGCACTCCATAGGAGCGGAATGGCGCCTTGGAGGACGATGAAAAGCGAGAGGCTGAGGGCGATCTCGCCACTGGATGCATGCAGTTGCTCCTCGATCTGGGAAATGGAGGCTAGGCGAGGTGAGAGTTGTCGGTGCTTGTTGGTGTCACCGTGCAGTGCGCTCATGGTGCTCACGGTTGTAGATGTTCGCTCCCAAACCAGCGATCATGCTCGCAGTGGAGACAGTGGCGAGGACGACGAGCTGGAGGGGAACAAAGAGAGCGGTAGTGAGTGATCGTGTCCATTTCGCGGCACTGCCGCGCAATTTGGGAAGGAGCGACGGTAGGCCGGGAGTACCCTCTGACGAAGGCCGGGCGATGGCACACCTTCCGGGCGTTCGACCACGCGCGAGGATCGTCGATCACTGTTGCATGCTCGATGTCGAGAGCTGCCGCGGTCGGTGCGGTGGAGACGGTGACCGCGGTTTTTTCGTCGTGGGCAGCCATCAGAGGACTGGTGGGAAGAGCAAGAAGGAGTACTAGCGAGGCATGGTGGTATATAAGTGAGCGCAAGCGTTTGTCGCACGGGGAAACATGCAGGAATAGTGAATCGTTCGAACCGCCGGGGCCGGGATGCCGCAGAAGCCGCCCGTCGGGAATAGAACTCGATCGGAGCGTGCGGCCGATCGGCACCGCAGTCTGGCCGTCCCAACGCGGGCAGCGCGCATACCGGAGAGTACGTCAGTGCACGATTGAGGACCCGCGAGGCGCGGGAGCGATCGTTGACGTAGGCGGAGGGCGGGCGGCTGAGGTTGTTGGACAGGCCCTTGTGCGGGCTCCACAATGCTCCAGGCCTGCGAACTCGTTTTGCGCGACAAGGGGCTTGTCTTTCCCGGTCCGGCATTCCGCCCGGAGGGCAGCGCGATGTCAACCTCAGTCCGCGCACATCCATCTCTCCCTCCCCCACCCCGCCCACTCGTCAGTGTCCAAGCGGCCCCTCCTTCCCTCCACGCCCCATGCCCGACGACCCCCCCACCGCCCAGCGGCCCTCGACCCCGCCGCACACGGCCCCCGCGTCCTACGTCTATCCCGTTCGATCTCTCCTCGCCGGCATACAACCCGCTGCTTGCACGAGCCACCCAGGCATGTTCACTTTCTTCTCCACTTCTCTCACACTCTCAGTTCTTTCCAGAGGATACCCAGCCGAGTCCCCGGGACGCTGGTTTATGCAACTCCCCGACCCTTCCACCACTCCCCGAATCAGACGGATTTCAGACCGACGCCAGTGACTCTCATTCCCCCCTCTCCCGCTCTGCTTCACGACCCATCAAGGCCTCTCCACCCGCCATTTGTGATTTCTCTGGCCGTGCCTCTCATTTCTCTCGGCGATCATTCTCTTCCGCTCTCGATTCGCGTTCACCCACCGATCCCGTCTCGCCCTCCAACGCAGATCCCCTCTTTACCCCCGGTCCCACGGGAGAGCCAGTGATGTGCTTCCCAGAAGCAGAGCATTCTATTCTCCACGAGGTCTACAACCCGCGCCATCCGCCCCACTTGTCTGAAGTCGTTGCCGAGGCTTTCACCGAATCCAGCTCCCCTGCGGACATGATTCTAGGTGCGCCCGATACAGCTGGGCCCACTTCTCCTGGCCCACTTCCCTCCTCCGTCGACGAACAAACCCCTTCCAACTTTTCTCAATCCGGAATCGTCCATCTACTTCCTGTCGGGGAGCGCTCTCGCTCCCCTGACAATTCACGCCCGACCTCCCCTGCCCGGACATTCAGTCCGAACTCCCGTTCTGGATCAAGACCTTACTCTGCAAACAACAAGTGGTCGCCATCTGCATCTCAAGGACAGGAGTCAGGGCACTCTGATGACCCATCACGCTCATCCTCCAATGGCCCCTCGTCCTCCCACTCCGACAGCCAGGCCAGCGATTCATCCGCGTTACATGAAGAATACGTTGCCCCGCGTTACCAGCATGTAGAGGATGAGAACGGACATCATTTGATCATTGGGCGCGAGGGGCAGCTCAGTCGGTGTGAGGACGAGGTACGTTTCTTTTCTGCATCCATCTAACATATGCATGAACCATCGCCCGATGCAGCCAATCCGTGCGCCAGGAGCAGTCCAAGGATTTGGAGTTCTGGTCGCCGTGGAGGAGGATATAGAGACTGGAAACCTTGTCGTCCGTCAGGTGTCCGAGGTGAGTACGCATGTTCATCGACGTTGCTTGATATTTACGCATTCCGTCTGCAAGAACTCCACGGAACTTCTTGGACTTTCGCCCTCATATCTCTTTGGGTTGGAGTGCCTCTCGCAAACCTTCCCTGAACAACAAGCGGATGTTCTCTTTGACAACATACAATACTTGAGCGACGCGTCCTTGACTGCGGAGGAGCAGGCCGAGAATCTCCATGTCTTCATGCTCAGTGGATGGGGAGCTCCCGGGACGGCATCTGCGTCCGACCCTGTCGCCAGCCGAGATTCTCAGCTACGAAGGACATGGACCTGCTGGTGTGCCGCTCATAGGCCTCACTTAACAACTCCAAGTCGCGGGGGAGAGGTGAACGATCCAGTTGACATGAACGTGATCATTCTGGAGTTCGAACTGGAGCGCGACACGTACAACCCTCTTTACCCACCTCCGATGTCCGCATCCGACGCAGGCTCTGTTGGCTCCGGGATATCGTCGCCATCGGCCTCCGTTTCCAACAGTTCAGGACGGACACTTGTATCCCAGTCTTCGCAGGATGGCGCCTCGGTCGCCACCCCCGACACTTTGAGCACGACCCTCAACGGCCACGCTGTCAGTGCGACTGGGGGCAGAACCATGGCACATTCGGAGTCATCGGGTCACACCATCTCAAGCCAAGCACACTTGGTGGCCGGCGAAGACTCGTGGATACCCACGGCTGAAGACATACTTGAAAGCACAACGAGCCGAGCTAGACCTCTCCTGGCGCTGGAACGTTTGCGACGAACAAAGCGCATCGGAGAAGAGCTCCCGGCTTCGCATGGAAGCGGACCGGGCAGTGGGCCATCGAGAGGCGGCTTCCGTCGTCGCCGTGGGACTGGCGCGGTAGGCATGATGGACGTCTTCGCGGTCATGGCGCAGATCAACGAACAACTGGGCGCTGCACCCGACTTGGAGAGCTTCCTCAAGGTCACCACGGGTGTGATGAAAGACCTCACACAGTTCCACCGCGTCCTGGTTTACCAGTTCGACGAGGCATGGAACGGGCAGGTCGTCTCGGAGCTTGTGGATTGGAACCAGACTCACGATCTGTACCGCGGCCTACACTTTCCAGCTTCCGACATTCCTGCACAGGTCAGTCGCGTGCACTATTTCCGCGAGGCTTCGATTAACGTTCGGCGTATTCTTTCAGGCACGACAGCTGTACGCCCTGAGTGAGTTTTCCCTTCTTCACAGGACCTGGTGCTTGGTTCGACCGATATCTCTCCTGCAGACAAAGTGCGATTGCTGTACGACCGCAGACAGCCCACTGCTCGGTTGGTCGTCCGTAGCAAAGAGGACCTGGAAACCCCGCTCGTAAGCGCGCCATTAATATATGCCAGCTTAAAGGTTGACTGTATGCATGACTTCGTAGGACATGACGCACTGCTATCTCCGCGCGATGAGCCCGATCCATCTCAAATGTGAGTCTTAGCCTCGTGTCCAGGCGGTCTGCGCACTGACCACGCTTGCATGTGATACCAGACTTGGAGAACATGGGTGTCCGAGCCTCGATGTCGGTGGTAAGTCCGCGGCGCGCGATTCATCGGTTATCTGTGCTCACTGCGCCCGTCCCACAGTCGATAATCGCTTTTGGCAGCCTGTGGGGGCTCGTCGCGTGTCACTCGTACGGCCCGCACGGGATGCGGGTGTCCTTCCCAGTCAGGCAGATGCTCCGGCTGCTGAGCCAGTCGATATCCCGCAACATCGAACGCTTGAGCTATGCTCAACGGCTGCATACAAGAAAGCTGGTAAGCTCCTCAGAGCTATCGGTGGACCAGTGACTGATTTTCGCCTGTAGATCAACACGATGCCAAGCGACCAGCACCCGAGTGGTTACATCGTCTCCAATGCGGACGACCTCCTCGGCCTATTCGATGCAGACTACGGCGTCCTTGTCATTGGGGAAGGCGCGAAGATCCTCGGACCTAATCAGCACGGCCAGGAGATCCTCATCGTCGCCGAGTACCTCCGGTTGAAACAGTTCAGGTACGTACCCGCCTTCATCCAAGCATTCGCCCGCTCACGATCAAGGACCCCTACAGCACGCTGCAAGTCTCTCAGGCCGTCACCTGTGACTACCCGGACCTCAAGCTCACGACTGGCCTGGAGATCATCGCCGGGCTGCTCTATGTGCCCCTTTCTGCAGGTGGACGCGACTTCATCGCGTTTCTCCGGAAAGGCCAGCCCCGTCAGGTCAACTGGGCCGGCCGGCCATACAAACAGAACCAGCAGAACGTGCTCGAGCCCCGCGCGTCGTTCAAGACATGGTCCGAAACCGTCGCCGGACGGTGTCGCGCCTGGTCGGACGAACATCTGGAGACTGCGGGCGTGCTCGCGCTCGTGTACGGGAAGGTGCGCTTGCTGCTCGTTAGGCACATGAACATGGTTGACAGTGCCTGCTACGTACGACGTGTAGTTCATCGAGGTGTGGCGACAGAAGGAGAGTGCGTTGCAGACGACGAAGCTCACCACCATCCTGCTGTCCAACGCCAGCCACGAAGGTGAGTTCTGTGTGCGTTGCTGACGTGTTGCATCGTCTGATTCGGCTGGCAGTGCGCACGCCTCTGAACCATATCATCAAGTGAGTTTTATCCTATCTTTATATGACCTTATCATGACGCTTATGAGTCTTGTAGCTATCTGGAGCTCGCCATGAATGGACCTCTTGACAACGAGACGCGTGAGAATCTTAGCCACTCACACGCCGCTCAAAGAGCTTGCTGTTCACCATCAACGACCTCCTGGTGAGTCTAGAATATCCAACATAGACGACATGTTAACTTTCGTTATACCAGGACTTGACTCGTTTAGAGAGCGGCAATGAGACTTCGTTCAATGAGCCTTTTAACCTGCACCAAGCGATCGAGGAAGCGGTCAACATCTACCGCAACGAGGCCAACAGACGAAGTCTCCAGTTCCAGCTAGACCTCGGGCATTGTCCGAAGCAGGTCGTTGGAGACTGCCGCAAGATCAGGACCGTGGTCGCGAATCTCACTGCCAACGCTCGTAAGTAGCCCATGTGTTACTTCTACGCTTGTTTAACGTCTCCCTCAGTGAAGTACACTTCGAAGGGAGCAATCTCCGTCATGTGCCACTATTTCGAGGAGCCAACAGGACTCCGACACTCAGGAGACATCGCGGTGGAGATCGTCGTCGCGGACACCGGCTGTGGCATCCCAACGGAGAAGTTGGAGAGCATTTTCCGGGAGTTTGAGCAGGTCGAGAGCGCACCAGCTCGACCACACTCACCTGGCTTAGGTCTGTCCTTCACGAGACTTCCCATAGATTCGGGAACGCTAACCACTCAAACAGGTCTCGGCCTGGCGGTTGTTGCTCGCATTGTCGAGCAGCTCGGGGGCCAACTTCGCGTGGACTCCGTGATCGGCAAGGGCAGCCGTTTCTCCTTCCTCCTCCCGCTCACCACCGACGGGTCGAGCAGCGGCCGCCTGACACTCTCGAACGGCTCGTCCACGTCCTCGCTCATACGTTCGAACGCGGCCTCGCGTGACAACTCGCGCAACTCACGCACGTCCGAGATCGACAGCCTCGTCGACGCGCTGTCGTCCAGCCACATGGGCGAGCGGCCGAAGGGGATGATTGCGACGGGCACGTCGCCCACGCGCCTGCCCGAGTTGCCGTCACCGGGGAACCGGATGGAGGCGGGGCGGGTGGAGATCACCGGGTCCGCGAATCCGCTGAAGCCGGTGAAGATGGACGGGTTCGACCTCGATCCGCTGCCGCCGCTGCCCCGCCCCGCCGCCGTCGCTCGTAGCGCCGCGCCAGGCGTCGCGGCCGAAGTTGTCCCCGCCGCATGGTCACCGGGCCCTTCAGGACGCCCCCAAGCTTAGGATCCTGATTGTTGAGGTATGTGTCGCGGCGTGGTGTGACGGATGTTGTATACGCGTTCTCATCTGTGTTCAGGACAACGACATCAATCGCATGATTCTGGCGAAGCGATTGTCTCTCGACGGGCACAACGTCGTGAACACCACGAACGGGCAGGAGGGTCTTGAGATGGTCGAAACCGACCGCCACTTCGACTGCGTCCTCATGGACATTCAGTATGTGTCTATTCACTCGCCTACTCGCTATCCGCGATAGCTTATGACTGTCTCAGGATGCCTCTGTTGAACGGCTATGAGGCGACGGAACGTATCCGCGCGCTCGAGGAGGGCAAGGACTGCCTCGATCGCATATCGCACAAGCTCAACGGACGCATCCCCATCTTTGCCGTTTCCGCGTCTCTCTTCGAGACCCAGCGCGAAGAGCTTTACAAGCTCGGCATGGATGGCTGGATATTGAAGCCGATCGACTTTAAAAGGCTCCGCACGATCCTGCGCGGGATCACGGACCCAATCCAGCGCGAGAAGGACGTGTACCACACCGGCTCAAACTGGGAGGTCGGTGGGTGGCTGTCCGCGCCGGATAAAGCACGGCGACTGCCCATCGTCACCACGGCGTGAACACCACCTTCCTCCTCTACTCGGGACCACACCGCCCCCTCTGGTCCCGATTACACCAACCTGTTGCTGTTGTCACGATTAACAGGACGTCTGCGCTCGCTTGCTCGTTGCTCCCTGCTCCCCGTTGTCGCGCTCCATCATTTTATTCGCGCACATTGCCTGATACTCTCGCATCGCCGCACAATACCTTACATTTGTGTAATTCCGCCGTTGGCTCATGGACGTTAGGCCCAACCTGCAATACTCGCTACTACATCATCCCGCATCTTTCCGTCTTGCCCATACTGTAGCATATGAAAACGGACAGGCCGCGCACACGATATACCTGCCTTTTTATACTATTGTAGCTCTCTGGTCTCCCCTGCCGCTGTTCCACATACGGGCTGCCGCGCATACGTCTCCCGCCTTGTTGTTACCATTAGTGTATTACCACCCATCGCATCCCCTCACATCTCCCTTCTCGTCATTCGCATTTGCCACATTTGCTGCCCGCTCGCACATACCTGCAGACTTTGCATACGTCTCCGTATTCGTCCCTCCCCGCTTCCTGCCACAAACCGTTCTCCAGTCGACGTGCGCTCGCAGGGCTTGCATACACGGCGCCTGCAAGCCTGGGCCGTCATACACCCTACATACATAGTCGTTGGAGATATATGGATGGTGCTATCTCGATAGATCCCACAGCGCCGGGTGTGTGCATCGCCGCTCCCGGCGATCGGTCGTCGCAAGGACCACAGTGGTTGTTGGTGACGTGGGTGTAATTCGTAGGACGCAGCCTAGCTTCAAAGGGCGCATGAGTAAATGCTAACTGGTATGACAGTTGCACCCGGGCCGGCAAGCCGAACGCGGAGGATCGCCCCGTGCTGTGCGGCTGTGCCCATGACGTTTCTCTCGACCATAAGCCACCAAGAGCGTACCTGAGGCCTGACTCATCTCCGAACGAAGTACACTGGTAGGCGAAACTTCTCGTTCATAATGTCATTCTACTCAAGGTTCCGCCCAAGCTCAGGACAATCTCCTTGTTTGTCAAAATAAAATTTCGTCACATCATTGGCCCAACATTGGCATTTGTCGGAACAGCGAGATGTGGTGGCCCAAGAATCCCCGCAGTTTTCCTATCGGTATCACTCATGTCGTAATATGGCATGTGTTCTTCCTGGTGCTGCGGGCCTTTCGCGTAGCCGCGTAACGTGAGATGAACTCTAGCATGGCTATTAAAGCCGAGTGCTCATCACCCCCACAGGTCAACTCCCCCCACATAATGCTCTCTTTCCTTTCTATAACCGCGTTGGCAGTATCGATATATCTCGTCTGGAAGATCCACCGGAATCTCGTTGCGCGACGTCCAGAGGATAACATTCCTGGCCCTCCTCTCGACAGTTGGTTTCTAGGTATGTCAATGAGCTGTCGGGACGGCTCGCTCGCTAACATATGTCTTTTCAGGCCACTTGCCGTCCCTTAAAGGGCGTCATAAAATCAACAAGTGGGTCAAGTTGGCCCGAACCTACGGCTCGACTTTCACCGTGAAATTACCGATCGAGGTATGTTGTTTGTTCCTCAGTTCCGTGCGAGTTCTGAACGCGATCGTTGTTCTTGCCCTAGCTCTACGCAGTCGTTAGCCACGACCCCAAAGCCTTGCACCATGTTTTCGTGAAGGAGGCCGATAGCTTCCCGAGGCATGTGTCGCCCTCCGTGTAAGTAGCGTAACTGCGGCGGCGGAGCCTGGGCTGATGAGTGTGCCTCGAAGTGATTTTCAACTCCTCATCGGGCCCGGAATACTCACGGCAGAGGGAGTGCACCATAGGCGTCAGAGGAAGCTGCTGAACCCAGTCTTCTCCTCCGCACGTCTCCGGGATATGACGCACATCTTCTATGGTGTGGCTCACAGGGTGCGCGTATGCTTATATATTCGGTGCGGACTCTTCCTAATCTGTTGTTTCATACTAGCTGGTCGACGCTATCGCGGGCGTCTTCCTAGTGAAGGTGTCGATCACGAGATGGATGTGAACGGCTGGATGGCACGCACCACGCTCGAAATGCTGGGCCAGGCAGGTCTCGGTTACTCCTTTGACAACTTCCTCGAAGACTCGACGGACGAGTTTGGTGACTCTCTCAAGAAATTCTTGTGAGTTCGGTGGTTCCTGCATCTCATTTGGGTTTACTAACTGACTCCGGACAAGCCCCGTGCTGTCCAAGTCGCCATTGCTCCAGCTCTCGGTTCCGTTCATGTCCTACTATCTCTCCGAGTCGGTCCTCCGGTTTCTCTGGCGCCATATCCCATACAAGCAAAGCAGGGCGATTATCGAAATCAGCGACACCATGTACCGTCGCTCGAAGGATATCATCGCGAAGAAGAAGCTCGCGTTGGCGAAGGGCGACCAGGCACTGGCCCACCAGGTTGGTGAAGGCAAGGACATCATGAGCATCTGCTGTAAGTCGCAAATCATTTCAGTCTTTGGGTCGGGTGCCCAATATTATTGGCACTGCAGTAAGGGCAAACATGTATGCTCCAGAGGCGAGAGGATGGACGACGAAGAGTTAATCGCCCAGATGTCGTGCGTGTTGACTCTGGTTTGCGCGGATTAAGATGCCTCTTATTCAGGTCTCTTGTTGCAGCACTTCATTCTTGCAGGCATGGACACCACCTCGAACGCACTGTCTCGGATACTTTACCTACTTTCGGAGCACCCTGAAGTGCAGGAAAAGCTTCGTGCAGAGATTGTCGAGGCTCAGGGGGCGACCGCTCGGACCTGGCGTACGACGATCTTACCAGGCTGCCCTACCTCGACGCGGTCTGCCGCGAAACGCTCCGCCTGTATGCCCCTGTTCCCATCGCCGGACGCATGTGCGTCACCACCCTTGTCGTAACTCTGTCCGCGATCTGACTCTTGTGCGCGCACAGGGCAGCCAAGGACACGGTCGTCCCGCTTCTGCACCCCATCAAGGGCCGCGACGGGCGCGAGATGCACGAGCTCGTGATCACCCGCGGGACGTTCTTCATCACGAACATACAGGCCACCAACGTCGACAAAACGCTCTGGGGAGAAGACGCAGAAGAGTGGAAGCCCGAGAGATGGCTCGGTCCGCTCCCTTCCTCCCTTGAGGATGCGCGCGTTCCGGGGGTGTACGCCCACCTGTGAGTCGCACCATAGATTGATGACAAACGTCCTTGGGCTCACTCGCACTTCAGGATGACTTTTGCCGCGGGTTCGACAGCGTGCATGTGAGCGTTAAATTATGAGCTGTTGATGGCTTGATCTCACCTGAATCTGTTCACGTTCACAGCGGGTTCAAGTTCTCGCAAGTGGAGATGAGTATGTGCATTAATACAGCAGAGAACGAAGGAGCACTAACGTGATACCATCGTCTTTCCCAGAGGTCATCCTAGCATCGATGTTGCCTTGCTTTTCCTTCTCACTCACGAAGAAGGAGGTTGTCTGGAACTCGTCGCCTGTGATCTACCCGAGTATGGGGTACGAGAGTGACAAGCCCGAGATGCTTCTCATGGTGAAGTCAATCAACGTCTAAGATAGTAGTAGGATGTGACTGGCAGTGGAGTGACGTATCTTCTGGTTTGTACATGCTAAAGGTAGTCTTACGCTTTATACAGTTGCTACTTGGAATGGCGATGCTTTCGGGAGTCGAAACGAAGGAAAAGTCTCTATGACTGATTTACCGCAACTTCTCTAATGTCTCAGCATTCCGGTCTCGAATAGATCGACACCGCACCACTTTGACAGACCGACAATTCGATGATCCCGAAAATATCGGGTGACGGGTAACGGCTATTCCGGCCCGGCCGCGTTGCGCCGGTAACTGCCACTCTTTCCGGCTCTTTCCTACTCTGTCAGGAACGTTCCGCGCTCACTTCATGGAGACAATCATGGCGGGCTTCAATTGCGCCGTCCTTGACCGAGAGATCCGGATGACGAAGCTCAAATGAAAGCATTGCCTGGTGCGGTCATCATAACGCACTTGCTGGCGTCACCGCCTCAAGTCTCGAAGCTCTCATCAGTATCATCATTCATGGGTTCGCTGCCGTTCATGTGTATTTGCGATGCCAGTTTGAGCCCTTCGTCGTCTCCCGGGTCCATCTCAATTCTCTGCTTCCACGTAGCGCCTTCCAACAATGCCGGCACCAGCGGCTGGTAGCGGCTACTAGCTGTGATGTTGATCTGTTGCTGACTTGTCTCCGTCGCCCTCGCCTCTCAGTACTCAGTCTTCGATCGCCGTCGAGGCCAGCCAGCCGAACCCAACACCGTCTCAGCCTCCATCGCGCTCTCCACCTTCCTCCACCTTCCCGCCCCTCCGCGACAGCAGCCCGCCTAGCAGGCTAGGTCGTCTCCCCGGGTCGGCATTCGGTGCTGCTGGCGTCCTCGCTCGGTTCCACCCTCCTCCCTGGCGTAGCGATGGCCTGGTGGCACGGCTCTTTCGTGGCCGCCCTTCTCGTCTTCAACCTCGCCCTCCCTGGCGCATACGCAGGCAACACGACCTGCGCGAGCGCGCAGTTGGATTGGTACACCAGCGTGGTGGGCGAGACGCCTTGTGAGTGCTCATTATGAATCTCGAGGATCGAGATGTGAACGGGATCGCCCGCACCCAGGCCGGACGTACGAACGCTTGCGGCAAATTTGCAACATCGACTGTGAGTGTCCCGCAAATCCCGCGTCCCCCCGTGCTGTGCTCTCCGACGTCCCCGCTCACTCGCGTTTGGTGGACCAGACCAGGTGCCAGACTTCAGGTCGAGTCCTCCCGGGGATCAGTGCGATGATCAAGTTTGTGAGTACGAGACTGTCCGTTCGTCTGCGTCGGTCGCTCATCTCTTCTGTAGCCGCATGTTGTTGCAACACTGTCGCATTCCAGCTGAGCATGCTATGCATGAAGTATGCTCTTTGATTCCGTCTGGTGTATACGCTGACTGGGGACCTGTAGCTGTCAATATCTGACAGTGGCCGGGAATATAGGCACCGGTATAGACGCATGTACGTGCATGCACGCTCTCCTATATGCTTAACTTTCGTTCAACCGTGTACAGCGCCTGGGGCCTATGACCCTTTCTACAAGCAATCTTGTGGTGCAGGCACAAACAATTCGTGAATCTTCACACTCGAGCATTGCTGGGACTCTCCTGACAATATATCCCAGGCTTCCCACAGATATACAAACTGCTGTCTGTAATCTCGACATTCGGCTTGATGATTTCGTTTACGGAGGGTGGGACGATGGGTCTTGGTTCTAGTGAGTATCGTCAACTTTATTTGCTCTTCTGCGTATCCATACATCTACGTCCAGCGTGTTCACAAAGGAAACGCAAGCAAGGATCACGCGGTTCGTAACAACAACACCTTCACTCATTGTGCAAACCAAGTTTCGTCGTCTGCCCCCACGTCATCGTCGACAACGATTACCGATGCGTCCTCAACGTCACATACCACCACAACTGTGCGTGGTGCTGTTACCTGGTTTGCTTGTTGTCGTACTTCTGACGAGATCGTGTTTTATAGAGCGCGACGCCAAGTCGCACCGGCACTCCCAACAGCGACGCTACTAACAGTAGTGCCAGCAAGCACTCGCAAACCGCCGCTATAGTAGGGGGTGTTGTTGGGGGGGTGGGCGTGTTGTTACTCGGCATCATCGCATTCTTTTTCTGGAGAAGACATAGAAAGCACACCGCGGGGACGCCTGGCATGCAAGACCGTCACTTCAGTTATCAGCCACCGCCGAACCATAGCAACAACCCCTCTAGAGGGCTTGTGGACCCATTTACACCAAGCGTCACTGGGGCGTCCATGGGTGAATGGAGCTCAAGTAAGTCGGGCATGCTTTAACGATCACGCGTCGCTGATTCATCATTTTCCTCTTCTCAGATACACGCTCCGTCGACAACCCGAGCCGGTTCGCAAACCAACACATGCACTCCTCGCAGCCATCGCTCGCCACCACGGGCTTCACCGGCGAAAGCTACTCCGGGCAAGTACCATGGGCCCCCGCCCAAAACGTCCTCTCTGCCAATACCACTACTGGACTCTCGCCGTCTGGCACGAGCTCGAGCCTCTCCGCGCTCCGACACGAGGACGCGGGCGCGGTCGTGGACCTCTCGCGCTCCATGTCGGGGCGCCTTCCGCCGGCGTACCGCTCGTGGGAGCGCGGCGTGCCGGAGGTAGACGCGGACTCAAACGGGGGCGGGGGCTCGCAGGTGTCAGAGCCGCAGTCGTTCGGGTACGCGGTCGAGACGGGCGCGGTGGCGATGGGAGGCGCGACGGTCGGGCGACGATTGCCCACCCCGCCGTCGGGGGACCGGTCGCCGACAGGGACGAGCTTCAGTGGGAATTCGGTGCCGCTGTCGCCATCGCAGGCGTTGCCACCGTCGAACAAAGAGGTGATGTCGAGAGGCGGGGTGAATCGTTTAGAAACTGGAAATTGATTGGAACGTGGACTTCGCCGGCTTGCAGTGATTCATTACGGCTTCGGTAACGCTCCTTCTGGGGTCCTTCTTCTGTACTTCTATTTGTCGGTCTTTTCTTGTAGATACCACCACAGATATTGCTCCTTCTGGTGATGTATTCTACTAGGTACTGTGTACAATTCAAGCCTCCAATGACTATGCGTCGTTTATATCCACGCAACCTGTCAAGTCAGCAACTTTCTCGGAATGTGCTACTGCCTATTATGGCCCCCTGTCAACGAGCCGAAGATGCCGGGTTGGGGTTTCCAGCTGCGGACGCCCGGATTGGCTGAGTCAGCGGGCACAAATGCCTCATCATCCTCGTCCCCTCTCCTCCTCCCTTCCCCCATCCCTTCCTCCCCTCCACCATCGCTTCATGGGCGCTACTCCCCTCTTCCACCGTTCACAACGAGTAGGAGCGAGTATCACCCGCTCCTCATGTTCCGGCGTTCTGATCTTGGGCGAGCCCTCCCTTCGACACTCCATCCTCAACGCTTGGCCGGCATCCACCACTGTCCGCGCTGATTTACACAACAGGTAGTAGCAGACACATATGCGTACACGATCTTCGATGTGTGGCAAATGTGGCGTTGGGACGTCTTCATCCGTTGTGGTTCATCGTGCCGAGTCGCTCCCTGGTGCTCGCTTCGCGGTGCCCGTACAAGCTGCTGCAAGCCGTGGGGTCGTCGTGCGGTTTTTATCGAGCATTGCACGTACCTAGTAAGTAATCCTTTCTGATATGGTTCGTGACATCGCTCATCTCTCTGTTGGCAGATATGTGGTATAATCGGGCTTCGTCCCCCACCCGCCAGTCGTCGAGAGTCACTCTGCTTGGCGTTGTCACAGAGGGTGCTTCCCGCAACAGGTGCGTTGACTTGAGGCGGTGTGGATCATTTCCCTGGTATGTGTTGGCGCTTCACTGGAGTCTATTGATATGTTGCTGACCATCAGTGAAGGCCCGATAGGCTATCCTTGTCTGCGCTTTCGTCGCAGCTGTCGCGTAGTGACAGTACTTCCGATCGTTCGGCATGACCGCCATTCGTTGCTTGGTGCTCGTGGGATGCGACCATGGCCAATCAGCTCCCACGAAGGGCATGCGCTCGCTTCGACGCAACTGGGTCGACCCGCCCAGCGGTGAAAGCTTCGAGATGGGACGGGCTTGAAGACGACTCTGCGACTTCACCGCAGAAGTATTTCAGAATACAGTGAGTGTTGATTATCTGGCGCTGGAGCGTTGGGACGGAGGACTGACGAATCTGTTTCTAGCATCTTGCATAAGTGCGCGCGTCCATCTTCAGCTTGTCGCATCGTGACAGATGTGCCTGCATGTTCCGCCGCGCCGCTGTTCCTGCCTTTAAATAGAGCAAACGCCTTGGGAACGAATATGTGCAGTCACGTGACTTGCCTTTAAGTAAGCGAACTTCGCGAGCGCCTACGCCGTGCTCCTCCTCGGACCACACACATTCCCCATTTTCCTCTCAGCTCAACACAACTCACGACCCGGCATGCTCTTCACGCACCTCGCTTTCTTGTGCGGCCTTGTTGCCTCCGCCTCTGCCCACTTCCAGCTCCAGTACCCACCCCCTCGTGGCGAGTTTGTCGAGGATGCCGAACCTGGCTTCTGCGGTGCGCTGTTTCCATCTCTCCGTCCCGCCTGCTTGCGACTGACCCTCTGTACCTCGCAGACGGATACACTAGCGCAGTTGCGAACCGTTCGACTTTCCCTCTTGGCCAGGGTGGCTTCATCTCCATCAACTCCGAGCACCCCAAGTGGGCCTGTAAGTCGACCGCTGTTATTTCAAATACGTCAAGTTGCTTATCACGCACCTTGTAGTGGGAGGAGTGATCGCGACGGTGCAAAACCCGACGAGCTTCAACGACTTCCGCGACAGCAGCAACAACTTCCAAACGTTCCTGCCCTTCTTCGGCACCACCGGCGAAGGCCTCTTCTGCGTCCACGTCGACCTCAACTCGACCAGCGTCAGCGGTGTCAAGGAGGGCGCCAACGTCACCCTCCAGTTCATCTTTGACGGCGGCGACGGCCAGCTCTACCAGGTATGCACGAATGCGTGTGTGCAGTTGGTTATCGCTGACAGAAGACGCCCCCCAGTGCGCGACCTCACGCTCTCCTCCAACTTTACGATCCCTGCGAGTGTCGGGTGCTCGAACGCGACGGCGAACGCCGTGGCTACCCCTGTGACCACCTCTGTCGCCGCCAGCTCGACCGGCACGAGTGGCACGAACGGCACGAGCGGCACGAACTCGACCACCCCTTCCTCGGCCATGGGCGGTTCGCTTGCGGGCGTGCAGGCGCTCGGTGCTGCCAGCGTCGTCGCTTTTGTCGGCGCGGCCATGGTTCTCGCCTGAAACTGCAAAATTCTGACGGTCGTAACGTATGTCCCATGGATCGTCGCATGTGTAGGACTAGGTTCCTTGGATGTGTATTGGATTTCTGTTGGACCTATCTTTCTTGCTTTCTGCCTGCGATTTTGAGTGCATGCGTCCTTGCGCATGGCATCATTCCATACCACTCGTACGATGCGCTGGAATGTTATACATCTCTTTGGGCAGCGCTTCTACAACGACGACTCCAACGAAGCGTGACATGCGACATGTTAGGGGTGGATGTCGCTGGACGAGACTGATCAAATGGGCACAATCAGTGTAGCAACGCGGTCGATCGCCCACAGCCACCGCGGCAACCTCTGGCCCGACCCTCATCATGTAAAGTATGACCGGTTGCGACGACACCATTCGCTGCTCCCAGATATCATTGCATCCTACGGATAGGCCACCAGAAACACACTTGAGAGCCATGCGGCCGCAGGTCAGTGCACCGCGCCCAGATGTTTGAGATCTAACCTTCCATGCCTTTGGACCCAGGTCGGGTGCAGCGGGTGTCGTACGGGTGAGACCGCCCTCAGCTGAATCGATGATGCCCGGCGGGCGTGGCCTCATCTCCAATGTGCGACGCGCTGATGCTGTGATCATCGAGCCCGCCGGCCTGCTCAACCGCGCCCCTTTCCTCCGCCCGTCGTCGAGAGGTGGTTCTGGCTGTCCTCGACCCCGTCCCTCCGCCTCCTACGCCGTCGACAAGTCTTACGACTCGGCTCCCCTCGCGAACAGACGTGCTGAGCCTCGTTTGGGGCCCGCAGGGACCCCGCCTCTGCTTCTGCTTCTCTATTCTTCGGGGCCCTCTATACCCTCTTCCCTCCCGCCGCTATGACTGGGTTGGCTGGTCCTTCTTCTTTCATCCTCGCCCTCTCGCTCTTCTGGCACTCGACCTCGGCGCGCTCGAACACCCGATGCTTGACAGGCGCGCTAGACTGGTACACGGACGTTCTGGGCGAGACGCCTTGTGAGTGCGCTCCGTTCCGTGGCCGGGGCGTGGTGCGGGATGTTGACGGGGGATGTGCGCCAGGCGACACCTACCAGCGGCTCAGGCAGATCTGCAACGGCGATTGTGAGTACCGCGCGTCGTCTTGCTCGACGTGCAGCTCGGTGATGTTCTGGGGGATCGTGGCGTGCGGCAGACAAAGTTCAACCGTTCAAGCGGACGACGCCTGGAGACATTTGTGACGAGCAAGTCAGTGAGTGCAGTGGTTTTTTTGGATCTTCGGGAGGAAGGAGCGAAGAGGGCTCATCGTTGTGGCTTTTAGCGGCATGCTGCTGCAATACTGTGGCGTTCCAGCTCAGTATGCTCTGCATGAAGTACGTGTCCTCTTCGCATGCTCTGAATATGCACTTACGGGCATCCCAGCTGTCAATACACGCCAGTAGATGGAGAGATCAACGGTGTCACTGGCAATGGCTTTGATGCTCGTACGTTCTCTCCGTCGAGGGTCGGCAGAAGGTTCATGGTCGGTCTGTTTACAGCATCAGGAACCTATTCACAGTACCTCCACGGCTGTTCCGGTGCAACCACCGACTCGTAAGCGTCGCAATGCTCACTTTCGCCGCTTTGTCGCTGAGCTTGTATCAGTTTGCCCGAGGACATTCAAACGGCTGCTGCAATGTAGGCATACAGCTTGACGAATTTCTTTTCAATAGCTGGAACGATGGAGCATGGTGAGTACTAATAACTCGCATTATGCATTATCAACTGAAGCGATGACGCAGGTTTTAGTGAGTGCAGATACCGAAGTTGCTGCATATATCATACTGAGTCTGGCTAGTGGCTGGACGAAGGAGAATGCCGAGGGGGAGCACAATGCAAACAACAACCAGACTCTCAACAGGTGCTCATCAAACTCTCCCGCCAATGCGTACTCCTATTCCATCGCTGCAAATACCGGGACGTTCAACGTCGCCCCGACTTCTGTAGGTGCTGCTAATACTTCGTCAGACGTATCCCGTTTATTGAACCTACCACTTACGTACCAGTCCCTCTCATCATCATCGCCTACCTCCACGGATAACGGCTCGAGAAACACAAACCAGAACGCGGCTGCGACAAACGCGATACCGTCCGCCGGCACAATCGCCGGCATCGTCGTCGGACTCATCCTTCTCCTGCTCATCGGGGGGCTCGCGGTATGGCTCATGCGCCGCCGGAACCAGCGTCCACAACAGTCGCTGCAGTCGTTCCGCGAGAAGTTCGTCGGCGGACGACCCCGCGCCGCACGCGCGACCCGCCCCCGGCGACTCCCCCACCCGAGGTCCGTCGTCCCTCTCTGGGCGACCGCCGCCCGCTCATGTCCTGACACAGCGCCGCCCCGCACAGTGCCTTCCTCCCTCGCCCCGCTCGCCCGCGCCTGCGGACACGCTGCCGCGGCCGTTCGCGCTCCAGCCGAGCGCGGCGCCGCGGCGCCGCGAGCTCGTGTTCACCCCGGAGGCGATGGTGCGCCCCGCGTCCGACGCGCCGGTCGAGCGGGTCACGACGCGGAGGAGGATGTCGATGGTGTCCCGGGACGACTCGCGGGTCGCGATCCGTTCGACGAGTCGCCGGATCCGGACATGCCGATGGAACCGCTGCGGTTGGAGGCGAAGGAGAAAGTGGGGTTGCATTGATGTGGTTTGTCTTTGTAGATGTATTGTTGCCTGCCGACTTTCTTTACGACTTTTCTTCGAGACTGGATGTTGGCTTACTCCGACGTATATTTCACTGTCAAAGAATCGTGGACCAAATTGAGGTCTGCAGGAGATCTGGCGCTGGCGCTTGGGGGTGTCACCCCGCCCGTGATGGCCTCCGAGTTGGACTCGCACTCCTCCTTACCTTCCCCTCTGGCCTGCATTAAGTATCCTTGTCCTTCTGAACTTTACCAGAGTTTCCATCATGCTCTGGCTGGTCTAGCCCCCTGTCCCTCAAACGACCCTTGGTCAGGTGGACTTCCGTCGGGTCTCCGTCGGCACGGCGCACCCGGAGGTTCCCACTTCGTCTCACCCAAACTCTGAGGCCTCATCCACGCGGCTAATGGCCCTCATCTCCAACGCGACGACGAAACCACTAGTTCTACACGTCCGCATCACCCCTGGACGGCTTGGTTATGTCGCTGGAAGGGAACCGTACTCTTGCGATCTTGCGGAAGGCAGAGGAGGAAGGTATGGGATATTGGCGCAGACTTGGTGAGCACGCACGCGCCCCTTTGTCCGTACATGCTTGACGCAAGCACCACCAGCTACGACGCCAACTGCGTGATTGGCTCGTACGCGCTGCTGAGCGCTGCCGGAGCCCCGCTATCATCCAGATGTTCCCCATCACCTGGAGTTCGGGAAGGGGCCTGGCTTCAGTTCTGTCTGAACGCGTGAGCACGACGTTACGAAGGCCATCCCTTGCTGAGCGCGTCGCGCAGCGCACATCAGGCTTCCGTCCCCATCGCCGTTCATCTAGACCATGCCATGATCCAGAGCACCTCGAGCTCGCGTTGTCTCTGCGGAGCAGGGCATTGCTTTTGACAGCATCATGGCTGACGCGAGCCATGCTGAGGTGTGTGCGAGCGTCCGTCTCTTCATACCCGAGCTCTAGCTGACTGCATGCTTCCTTTGGCAGACGGACGAGGAGAACATCGCACTCGCTCGGCCTTACGTCGAACGCGCTGCCAAATGCGGAGTGGCCGTAGAAGTGGAACTCGGACGTTTGGAGGGGGAGAGGCTGGACTGAGGATGATCTCTGACGCCAAGCTCACTCGTCCGGAGAAGGCCACTGCTTTCATGGAAGGGTACGTGATTTTTTTACGCCTGAGGGCGCGTTCAAGCGAGCCCATAACAGCACCGGGCCATAATCCTTGCTCCAAGCATTGGAAATCTGCATGGATCGTACATCAACCCTCCTAATTTCCGGCAAGAGACGTGAGTATTGTTTTCTACAGGTCGGGCGCCAGGCTCATGCTGAAGATACCAGCTTGAAGGACTTGCAGAAGACTTTCAAAGGAATCGTCCCTCTCTGCCTTCACGGCACGGATGAACTCCCAGATGATCTCTTCAAGGAGTGCATCAAGAATGGCATCTCAAAGGTCCGTCGTCATATGGAGAGAAAGCCCTGGCGTTAACTTACCCGTGAACAGATCAACGTCAACAGCTGGGGACGCGATCCGTACGCTCAACGCCTGGCAGAGGCATTGCGGAGCAAACCGTTCCCTGACGCCGTCGAGGACGCCACGAAGGTGTTCGAAGGCGTTTGTGAGAGATTCTTCAATCTGTTCGGGTCGGCAGGAAAAGCATGAACAAGGTGTAGCCTAGGTTTCACCTTCCATTTCTTGTGAGAATTCTTGGTAGTCTCAGCTCTCGCTGCAATCATAGCACCGCATGAGAACTCTTGCGGAATGAGACGGGCCGATGTTCACGTGCTGTCCTGCATTCATGGTCATCCGCTTGCGGTGAAGCTATTCTCGCTTGTTCACGGGACTAGCTGCGATTCAAGCGACCATATATAGGACGCCTACCCCCGCTCCTGAGAACATCCCGTTCTCGTACAAGCCCACGTACAACCCGCGATCTTCTGCTACAAGTGGCAAGCGTCCAGCATGACGGAGAACACAGTGCTCATCACAGGAGCAGGCGGATGGTTAGGGGGTTTGGTTAGTGAACCGACTATCGTTGCGCGACGCATTTCTAACGTTTTTTTGGTACAGCTCGCACGGGCACTGATTGAGGACGCACGATCGCCCGGTGTTGAGCTAATCCTCGTCGACATTGTCGAGCCCAGCGCGCCACCATACGCCGCTGTGGTCACCCTCAAGGCCGATCTCACCGATCCCGCCGCGGTGGACGCAATGTTCAACACCAAGTACGGTACCCCAGACACGATCTACTGCCTCCACGGAATTATGTCCCGAGGGTCTGAGGACAATTTTGACCTGGGCCTAAAGGTGGGCGAGCCGTAGCAGGGAAACTTACTTAGTGGCTGACACGGCATCCTAAGATAAACGTCGACTCAGTGAGAGCAGTGATCGATGCCGCGCGCCGTTACGGGGAGAGCACGGGCCAGCTCATCAAATTCATATTCGCGTCGTCTTTGGCTGTCTACGGTGGACCTCTGGTACACGATACCTCGTTCAGGCCACGCTGTTTGAACGTCCTGACGACTCCTACCCCCAGCCACATGTCGTTACTCCGGAGACGATCGCGACGCCACAAGGAGCATACGGGATGAGCAAGCTCGTCAACGAGCTCTTCATCAACGAATACACGCGCCGCGGGCTCATCGACGGCCGCATCCTCCGCCTGCCCACCATCGTCGTCCGCCCCGGCCCTCCGGCCGCGGCCACCTCCGCGTTCGTCTCGGGTGCGCCAAACCCCCATTCGTCCCGCTCTCCGCCTCGCTCACCCGAGCGCACAGGGATCATCCGCGAGCCGCTGCAGGGGCTCCCGACGACCTGCCCGATCGGCGACGGCCCGTCCTCGCCCGCGCTCGACCTCGCGCTCTGGCTCGCGTCGCCGGAGACGACGGTCGCGAACCTCGTGCACGCGCGGCGCGTCCCGCCCGCCGCGTTCGCGCCGCACACCCGCGTGGTGTGCCTGCCCGGGTTCACCGCGACGGTGCGGGAGGAGCTCGCGGCGCTCGCGGAGGTCGCGGGCGCGGGCGCGCTCGCGCTCGTGCGCTTCGAGGACGACGCGACGAACCGGCGCGTGGTGTCGTCGTGGCCGGCGCGGTTCGACAACGCGTACGCGCTCGGGCTCGGGTTCGTCGTCAACGAGGGCGGGATGGTCCCGATCGTGCGGCGGTTCCGGGAGCAGCTGGCGGCGGGGGTTGTGTAGCTTAGTTTGAGCGAGTGGGATGTGATAGATCGCGTGATGAAATAACACACTGATGGTGAAACGGTATCATGCTTGCCTTCCAAGCAAGCGGCACGGGTTCGACTCCCGTTCAGTGTATGTATACACCTCGAAATACCAAATTTTTGTTGAATCTCGTGTCTTCAACAATCTCCATCATATCGATTGCCCACGAGGTGATTTTGATATGGATCTGAGATCCACAGCATCAGGAGGAGCAGAAAGAGGTCTAGCATATATTGACAGAGACAACGTGGCATAGATTCGGCAGAGATATCGACAGGGCCAAAACGACTTACAAGGGGAATGACCGTGAACTCGGGCTCCCGGAGCGCGCGCCAGGACAAAGGCGAAGGGGACTAGGGACGGCGAACGTAAAGGTGAACTGAAAGGCACCGAGTCCCGAAACGAGGGCAGCGCTGGCACTACCGTCTACTAGGGTACCATACACGGCACCGAGGATTTCCGACGAGACCAGACGCAGAGGGTGCGCGTGTCGGGGGAGTAAAGACAACCTGCGATTGGAGAGCGGCAGCGGTATCGTAAAAAGCAATATCTGAGTAAGTAGGACGGGTTAGAAAGGCGCCGCGCGCCCCCGCCAGACGGGCGGAGGCGGGCGCGGGGAGCAGAATAAATATTCAAAATATGGCTAAGGTATGGGCGGCAGAGCGAAGAAAAAGAAAAAGGGGAGAGATGAAAGGTCGTGAGGTGCGGGCCAGGTCGTACGGGGGCGTGACGGTGGACAAGTACAAGAACAACGACAAACACCGGCCGTGACGCGCTCCCTCAGGACGGGCAGGAGGCCACGGTGGTCCGTGCTCCAACGTACACCCCACAGCGTCTGCCCCCAAGCCGCCCATATGTGAAGGGGAACCAACATAGCACAAGACAAACGGGTAGACAACACAAGTGACCAAACGATGTGGAGGAGAGGTGTGTGCAGTCTGGGGTATCATTTTGCGTCTAGTCCCAGAACCAGAAGGAACGCACGTCCTGGGCCCGCGCAAGGGGCGACGGGCGGCACCTGCTCATCGACCGCCACATTCGCGACTCGCTCACCAGTTCATCGTGTTGTCACGCAGGATGGGCGTGCCGATGACCGGGCGACGCTCGCGCATGCCGGGGTTGAACGGGTCCTCGGCAGATGGTGGGTGCTGCTCGCCGGTACCGCGGAGCGAGTCGGCGGCGTAGTAGAAGGAGCGACGGCGCTGACCACCAATGCTGTCCCGGTCGAACTCGTGGTCTTCAGGCGGCGCGCCGATGAACTCGTTCTGATGGGGGTCGGAGAGGCGGCGGTGGGCGAGCTCGCGGCGCTGCTTGATAGCGCGGTAGACGAGGAAGGCAAGGATCAAGAGCGTGATAGCACCCAGGGACGTGACGACACCAATAATCGCATCTTCACGAGTCTTGGACGAGGACGAGCTGCTCGAGGCGGAGCCGTTCGACGAGGGGTCACTGTTACTACCGCTAGTCCCCCCAACGCTGGTCACCGGGAAGCTGCGGATAACGTGGCTTGCGAGATCACTGTACGGCGAGCCGAGGCCATTGTAGAACGTAGACGAGGAGACCTTGAGCTGCTGCGCGAGCGCGTCTACCTGGTCCTCAGGGATCCATGCATTGTACATCGTCTGGAGCTTGGCGACGTCGGACGGACCGGTGTACGAGTCGGGAACGTACACAACGAGCTTGTACGTCTTCACTTGGTCATCTGGGGCATGGTGAGCAAAGCACGAAGGGGAGAGATGAGCCAAAGACGTACCGGTAAGACTCAACGCCGCTTGAAGGATGGGCGACATCCATGCAAAGATCTGCGACGCGGAATCCGAGTTCTCAACGACAAACTGCCAGCCGAGGGCGGTGTCGAACAGGATGGAGACGAGCGAGTATCCTGCCAAGCTGGGGTCGCCTGGCTGGTAGCCCTTAGCGGGGAGGATTTGCTGTACCAGGTCGGAAGGAAGAGCGGCTTGGGTGGGCTTCGAGTCCGCAGCAGACGAGGCGAAGGTGAAAGTGGTCGTGGGCTCATCAGGATCGGTGGCGGTCGTTGAGACGTCGGTGGACGAAGACGTCGAGGCGAGGGCGAGAGAAGATCCAGACAGGAAGGTCCATTCCGTACCGACCTGAGGTGTGGAGGTCAACGAGGTGGTGGTCGGGGTGGGCGTGACCGACGAAGTCACAGTGGGGAAGGAGATAATGGTCCCATTGGACGTCGTCGACGTCGAGATGGACGTGTCGTTCGTCATCGTGGATATCCCGGTGTCGGTCGTGGTCAAACCAGTGGTGATGCTGCTGTCAGTTGTGGTGGGACCAACAGTGGTGTCGTTGGATGCGATCGTCGTCGTGATACTCCCGTGCCGGTCGTGGTTGGACCAACTGTGGTGCCGCTATCGGTCGTAGTGGACCAGTGGTAGTGCCGCTATCGGTCGTAGTGGGACCAGTGGTAGTGCCACTATCGGTGGTGGAGGGACCGGTGGTGGTGACAACCCCGCTGTCGGTTGTGGTGCTAACGTCCGTGGTGGTGACGGGACTGAATATATAGGTGTCAATGCTCAAACCCTGATAGGTATTGTACTGGTATTCAGAACTCACCTAGAGGTTGTAATCGTCGTTGCATTCCCACCAACCGTCGTACTGGTAGTCGGGTCGAGAACCGACGTAATCCCCGAGAGAATCGACGTGACCCCCGAGAGAATCGACGAAATAGGGTCGCTGGGGGTTGTCGAAGTGGAAGTCGCGGTATCCGACGTGATGGTAGCACTGTCCGAGGTTGAGGTCGAAGTGGAAATCGCGGTGTCCGAAGACGTAGTGGTCGCACTCCCCGTGCCAGTAGCGCTGTCCGAGGTCACGGTCGCACTAGTCGTTGTGTCCGTGGTCGACGGGTTGAGAATGGAGGACAAAATCGACGAGAGCGGGTTCCCGGGAGTGGTCGTCGAGTCAGTCGTGGTGCTGGACGCATCGGTTGTCGACGTAGGGAGTCCGTGGTAGTTGCTGACGCGGAGTCCGTGGTAGTTGCTGACGCGGAGTCCGTGGTAGTTGCTGACGCGGGGTCCGTGGTGGTTGCTGACGTGGAATCTGTGGTGATTGCCGACGTAGAATCTGTGGTGGTTACCGACGTAGAATCCGTGGTGGTTGACGACGTAGAACCTGTGCTAGAGTCGGTGGATGACGGGTTCAAGATGGAGGAGAGAATGGACGAAAGGGGGTTGCCCGGCGTCGACGACGAATCCGTCACAGTGGTCGATGTGGTGTCAGAGCTGGAGGTGGTGACAGTAGCGGAGGTGATTGTCGTTGTCGCACTGTCAGTCGAACTTGACGAGTCAGTTGAAGTAGCGGACGTCGAAGTATCGGTAGACGTTGCAGAGTCGGTGGTCGTAGAGCTCGCAGGGACGAGGGACGTAGTGTCACTGCCGCCCCCCAACGCACTGACAACATCACCAACGGTCTGACCAAGGTCGTCTCCAAGGGTGCCCACAGTGTCCCCGAGGTCGCCTGTAAATATGGGTCAGTATGATTATTCTGTGTCTGTAACATTCCAATGCATGGAAGAAAGGTGGGAATGGATAAAGATAGCGTGAGACGCAGAAACAGCGAGCGGGCCGCGCTTTCCTCGTCAATCTGTACCCGTCGAAAGCCAGCTGGCCTTGGGTACAACAAGAGGATTGCCTTGATCCAGATCCGGTGATGATTGGCCGCAGAGTAAGCGCCCATAGGCCATACTACTACCCAGCGGGCTCAAGCAATTTCCACCCATACGTCCACGAAGGCGCATACAACGGGGAATGAGACGTTTGGGACACTGGTGGGTCGCCGCGAATTGGAAAGGCGCGGGAGCATGCGGATCACAAATGATGATCATGCATGGGCGGCGGCGTGGGGGCTTCACTTGCGACGAGTCGAATGCACCAAGAGTAGAAGAGGAAAAATATGGAGGTAAACCACAGCGACAAGTCACCGCTATGCCGCTTGAGCGGTAAGAGTGACCTGCCGGCTATCGGTTTGGAATGGGGGTGAAGGTGTGGAAAAGAGCGACCTCTGGGTGGTCGGGGGGAGAGGACTGACCGAGAATGCCACGGGCTTCGGGGTAGTTTGAGGCGAGGCCTTTCCTGACGAGGGTTACGGAGCGACGTGCATGGATGGAGCGAGAGGAGGAGTGGGAGGCGTCGGCTTGAACAGCAAAGGCGAAGAGGGAGGCGAAGAGCACGGTGGAGAGGATCATGGTGGATTGCGGAGCCCAGGAGTGCTGAGAAGCAGGACGGCGGTACGGGACGGGGACGTCCGCCTTGTGGGAGAAGGAGCGTGGGGCTGCTGGTTCAGCAGAAGGAGAGGAGAGAAAGCCGTAGAGGCCGGACAGCGGCACGGAGGGAGAAGGGATTTGTACGCGGCGACGGGGGAGAAGGCGGTGGGCAACCCGTCTTAGCGCCCCGGACGCGACGCCCATCTTTGCCTCTGTTTGGCTGATCATCATTTCTCCCACTCGTCTGCACCTCCGACAGTCCGAGTCGGCTGCCCGCGCCCACCCACCGTTCCACGAGTACTTCCCCCGACGGGATCGTGCACGTCGCGCTCGGCCCTCTGGCCGCTGCGCGCTGGGACGGGCAGCCATGGCAACGCCGCGGCCCCCGCGCGCGATTCTGAAGAAGGCGGCCACGTGCCGCCGCCTCAACGCCTGCTCAGGCGCGTTCCTGTTTGAGTCCTGGTGCGCCTCTCGCGCGTTTGTCCATGACAGATCCAACCTGCAGGACATATCCAACCCGCAAGACATATTCAAAAATCCCCGGGCGCAAAAGTGGCCGACTCTTGAGCGGTGTGCACCCGCGACCACCGAGCTCGTTGCGATCACGGCCCGTGTCCTAGGCTGAATACATAAGCTGCTCTTGCCTGCTGCCGAGCCCGCTTCGTGCACCACATCCGCCCATCAACAGATGCGATCCCACGTCTGTTCCCTCCACCTGTGCAATGTCCGCCTTCTGCTCTGCCATCTAGCTTCAATGCGATCCCACCAGTCCAACACATAGAAAGCAACCGCTCGCATGCACGCGGCGTCCGTACAGAGCGTCTTCCATTCACCTCGCGATATCCCTCTTTCTGCAAGCCTGCATCCTGCCTCGGCTTGCCATCCGTACTTACCTATGCATGCTGCTCTCAATACCCATCCGTATGTGCCTGACGCCACGTACACAGCTACCATGCAACCCAATTCGACCGGCTTCCAGATAAGTATAACGGCTCTGACTTCATCTTCCCAGCTTCGGTCCTAGAGCTGCTCTATCTCGAAGATGGATCACTATCTTCCCCCTCACCATCCACCCCACCCGCAGTCGCCTCCAACCCAACCCACCCCTCGACAATGTGTAGGTGGTTCGCGTACATCTCCGCCACCGAGGACTGTCTGCTCGAGGACGTCCTCATCCTCCCCGAGCACGCCATCGCGAAGCAGGTCCACGAACGCTTCCTCCCCTACCTCTTCCACCACGAGCCCGGCACCACCAAGGAGGAGATGAGCCTCCGGAACAGCCCCTTCAACCTCGACGGCCTCGGTCTCGTCTGGTGAGAGCCGTCTCTTCCATCTCATCAGACCCCATCTCCGCCCTCCACCCCGCCCGTGCTCCTCCGCTGACCCCATCCCCACCACCACACCCACAGGTACAGCACCGCACGGGCCCGCTTCGGCGACGCCACCGGCCCGCGGCCCGTCACCTACAAGATCCTGCGCCAGCCGAGCGCGGACCCGGTGCTCGCCTCGCTCTGCGCGCACACCGCCGCGCGCTGCGTGTTCGCGCACATCCGCGCCGCGTCCGGCGGGACCGCGGTCGCGGAGGTCAACAACCACCCGTTCGCGTTCGGCCGCCACGCGTTCATGCACAACGGCGCCGTCGCGCACTTTGCGCGCGTCCAGCGCGCGCTCGCGCTCGAGCTCGACGACGCCGCGCACGCGCACGTCGCCGGCACCACCGACTCGGAGGCGCTCGCCGCCCTCTTCTTCACCCGCCTCGCGCGCGGGCGCGGCGCCGCCGCGTGGGAGGAGCAGCACCCGCTCGAGGAGCTGAGGGCGGCGCTGGAGGGCGCGGTGCGGAGGGTGCTGGAGCTGCAGGCGGAGGCCGCGGCGCGCGCGGGGTTCGCGCTCGAGCCGTCGAGCTTGAACGTTGCGGTCACGGACGGGGAGCAGCTGCTCGCGATCCGCTTCAGGAACCACGCGACGCAGCACCCGCCGAGCTTGTACCTGTCGACGCGCGCGGGCGTCGCGCTGAACCGCAAGTTCCCGGGCCACCCGGACGTCGAGGGGGTGGACAACGGATCGCAGAACTTGAAGGCGGCGGATGAGCATGGGGACCATGTTATCGTCGCGAGCGAGCCGACGACGTTCAGGAAGGAGGATTGGGAGCTGATTCCGAAAAACGAGTATGTGATGGTGGGGCGGGACATGCAGATCAGTAGGGGGAAGGTGAGTGTTGCTTTCTAACCGCGAGTGTCAGCAGCGGGCGGGAAACTGTGCTCTACATATACTGCTTGTGAATTGGGAAAGTGTATTACGGATGCGTAGAAACCACTTGTGCATTATACCAACGACGATAGTCAGAACCAAGAGTAAATGCAAGGGAAAGACACTGCAAGGTCCACACCCAACCGAATGGAAACAGAGCAACATCAGGACACTACAAGCTAGATCCTTGTGACGACTTGACCTCTCCGCTGTAGTAGTTAGGCCGTAGCGGTGCAGCTTCGGCGGACGTGCTCGGCAAATACGCAGATCCGTTGCCGCTCGAGCCCCCGTGGATGTGCCCACATCGCTCAGTGCGCCCACGGACAGCGACGCTGGGGCTCCTCCCATGAGCGGTACGCCGGTGGCAGCCGTCCGGAACCCGAGCGGGCGAGCGCGACCGAGGCATCAACATGGCGCTCCTCGTCATACCCAGAGCCGTCGGTGGGGGCGTAGACGGACTGGAGGTAGTGCGACGGGCTCTGTGCGGCGGCGGCGTCGTCCGCGAACGCCGGGCCCGGCACGCCTCTGGAAGATAAGCGTGGGTCTCTGGGAATATCGGATAGGCATCGAAGGGGTCCCCGTACCTCGAACCTAGAGACATGCTGTCAGCACGGGCTATGCGGGGTAATGCAAACTCGGGTTCGACGAGCAAGATCAGGAGACGTACTGGGTGCAGTGTGCTGGAGAAGGGGGTCACAACACTCATGGGTGGGTCCTCGTGGCCGTCCTCGTACTCGTGTCCGAGGTCGAGTGGGCGCGGGCCTGCTGCTCGCTTCTGCTTTCGACAGAGGAAGAAGGCGAGCACGACAATGATCACGGCCGCGACCCCCCAGCGACTCCTCCAGCGATCACGCTTACATGCGTGCTTGATTTGGGAGAGGTGCTGGAGGCAGATGTTCCCGACGGGTTCGCGGAAGTGGCGGTGGAGGAGGTGGAGGAGGTGGAGGACTCGGTGGAGGACTCGGTGGAAGAAGAAGAAGTCGTGCCGTTGTTCGTGGTGGACGCGCATTTCGTGAACGTGTTGTTGTTCGACGCCGCGAAGTCCTTCGTCATGGTACCCTTCGTGAAAGCACTGATGCGATGTCAGTTGAGAGTCATTGACGCCAGGCATAGAAAGACACTCACTAAAACCTGCTCGGGCCCAGTGAAACGACAGTCATGTTATGAGTTGAGTGATGGAGTGAACCTGACGTACCACGGGCCGTCGACCCAAAAGAGCGAGTAGAGATTGCGATCAATCTTGATCTCCTTATTGCAAACCGCACTCTGAATGTCGGTTGGAAGCCTACATATGCATCACATGTGAGAAGTATTGCGGGGGGCAAGCATGAGAAACAGCACTCACGACTGGTTCACCGCCTGGCTGGCGCAACTCCCTAGGTACACCCCGTAGGCCCCGATACCTGCAATACCGTTTGAATCGAAGCAGGGATCTGGAAGGCATGCGGCTTACCAGCATCGATTCCGCTCGTCTGGCCCACCGCGTCATACTGGCAACTAGTGGCATCCGCTGAGTCGAAAACGCAGGGATGAGAAGAAGACGTACTTCATGCACAGCATACTCAGCGCCCACGAGACCGAATTACAGCAGCATCCAGCTAATAGCGCGATGAGTGGCGATCGCGTGCCGAACGGGGGAGCACTCACAGACTTGGTCATTGCAGGTGTCTCCAGGCGTGTTGGTGTTGAATTTCTCGACCTGGTCTGCACCATGATCGGTCCGCGGAAGGTGGAACAATTCACAAGTGCGATCGACACTCACAATCAATGTTGCATATTTGGCGTAGTCGCTGGTACGTCGTGCCTGTGCAATAATCTCTGTTGAAGGTATGGTACGCAGGAGCAGAACGAAGACGTACAGGGAGTCTCTCCGACATGATCCGTGTACCAATCCAACTCGGTGCTCACGCAAGTGGTGCTGTCCGCAAGCGCTGATGGAAGCCATAGGGAGGTGGTGCCGAGGAGGAGCGAAGCAAGGAGCCTGCGACCGCTGGTCATAACTGTCGTGGAGAGAGATGGGTGGCGGGAGAGTAGTGCGAGGCTCGAGCTTGGGGGGAGACAAGCGACTAGCCTTGTGCGCGTGGCTTCGTTTCAACGTTCACGCCCTTTCACGACGGTGCGCTTGCGCTGCTGCGGGGCCGGTCGGGATGTAATGAGGACTGTGCCAAGAGATACCCGAGATCAAGCAGGATGGCAGGCTGGCGCACGCTGACAAAGGAAGAAGCTGGACGCAGGCGGTGAGGAGAAGAAGAGAGAGAAGGAAGAACAATGTTAAACGTTAATCCTCCACCTTCTCCAATTTCGGCCGCTGATTGCAAAGTAAGACCGCCCGATCATCGTGCAGAGGTCCGAGCAGCCTGCCCGCAACCCGCCACGCGCCACGAGCCGATCGGCCTCGTTTGCCCGCGTCCGGTCATCGTCCTTGTCAGTACGTACGACAGTCAGTGTCCAGAAACAGCCTGCAACAACCCAGCAGCAGTTCCGTGGTGACGTGTCCGAGCGTGCGCTGAGGGCGAGCCCCAGCCCAGGTGGCAGCGGAGTGAGATCCCAACGACACTGTCCATGCGCGGTCAGGGCAGCCAGTGGGCGCTCCAATTTCCGCAGCACCCATCGAGGCTGGACCTTGTTGGGACATCGTCATCGCCAGTTCCCTCCAGCAATCTCTCAAGGTACCTGGTTGCAAAGAGCGCCATTTTTACTTACATACATATTCACAAGATGGAGATATATCCGTCTTTTGCCCGTCTCCCCTCGCACTTTCTATCGTCGTCGTGACTCAAGTGGCGACGTTGTCGATGGACCCACGAGGTTTGTTCGCCCTCCAGGCTCAACGTGAGACAAGAGATCGGCCCCCGAACTTCTCCCATTTCGGTCCCAGTACTGCGCAGTTCTGTGATGCGGCGACTGTTGGACCGGATGGAGCTCGCCGTCGTGCCCTTGAGTCCCTCTTCCGTTCACGCCCACCCGTGCGCGACGCGCACGATCATCATGGACGTGGCCACTTGCTGCAAGCATAATTATCAGCCTCGGAGAGACGAAGAAGGGCGTACTCGCGTGGGCTCCCGACGCCACCGCTAGCATCGTAAAGTTGATCGGCACCCGGAAGGCGTAAGTGATAGCGAACAGACGATGGCCCCGAGCGAATGTTCACCGAGTAGGACTGCGGAGAAATTGCGTCGGTGGATGAGCAATCGAAGGGCGATCAGCGACGTGAGGAGCACATTGACGACCATGGAAGTCGTATACTAGTAGTCCTCGAGCGTAGCAGTTCCGCCGCCTTGCCTTGACCGCTCCACCCACATCCCACCCGCAACTGCACGATATCATAAACTAGATGTAGTGTAGCGACGGAAAGAACTCACCCACAGAGGCTGCCAAAGCTGATGCCGTCGCAATGATGACCATGACAGCCGTTCGCCTGCCGAAGGCAGCCCAGACGACCCAACAGCGCTATAGCTGAAAGCACTTTTCAGTCCCCTCATTATCGTGGAGAAGACGGGTACACACGAGGAAGAACGTACAACGAGGACGTTTCCCCGAAAAGTTAGGACGAACAAGCTTGCGTGCAGAGTGGTGATAGCTGAAGAATCTCAATGGTCGAGGTAGTACTGCCATGGCCCACCTGGATAGTTGTGATGCGTGACGTAGACCACCTCCATAATCCGCGCTTGAGCTATCGTAAAGGCGGTCTCCGTTCCGATGAGAAGAGCGAGGAAGGCGAGCAGCCCGATCGTGCTGCGACCACGGCGGAGTTGCTTCCAGCCAAGGCGCGCGGAATCGTACAATAAGACGAGATGTGCGCCTGTGTGTGCCATGAACCACGACGACGCATCCACATTGTCAAAAAAATCGAAGGATGTGTCAAGAAGAGATGCGAGGCGCACCACAGCTGCCACCAATGACAAACACTCTTGCCAAGTAGTTCAGTCTCTGGTGGGTCGTCGGATATGTCGCAGACGGATCCATGAAAGCTGAGTAGATAGTTTCGTAGGTTCGAGTTCCGTGGGTTCGTTGACGGATGGTACGCCGGGACAGTGATGTGGAAGCCAAAACTTTGGCAGCAGAAGATGGCCTCTTCAGAGAGTACAGCCTCTGTTTCCGATGTGTATGATTGCCCGACCAACTCCGAAGCGTGCCCGCGACATCCTGCTTCCGCCTTTGTAATTCATGGACGACTCGGAGGACAGCCGGCGCTATGGCACTAGCAGACCTGTGGCAGGCCTAGGCTCGTGGTTTCAAGCCCCTCGACAAGAGGAACACCTCACACTCGGTCGCTCTTGTGTGTGCGGCAATTGTCGACAATGAGAACGCTGTTTGGGCCCGGGGATGGGCCGATCTTGGGCACCTAGACCGAGACGAGTTGACCCGATATACCAATTCTGCGACAACCTGATCGCAGGAGACGATAGGACTCCGCACCATCCACCGAGCCCTGCGCCGCCCGTGCGGTGGGAATGCCGTCCGACGTGAGGGCGGGGAGGATGGAAAACTTACCGTCGCCTCCGGCACCCGAGATACTCTCCACAGCACGCTGCCCGTTGTGCTCATACCGTTCGATTGTCCTTGCTCGACTCGTCAGAAGCTGTGAGGCGTTGAGGGCGAAAATTTGGAGGTGATCCGGGTGTGCCACCGATGCCGGGCGATCTCGTTGCGTTGAGCTGCCTCCTTTCGTAGTTTCCCGTACGAAACCCCGAGATGGACAAGGATACGGTGGGCGGTGGTGAGGGAAATGCGAATACCATGGGTTTCATTGCACCATATGACGACTTCGTCCAGGTAATGTAGGAGAGGATATGTCGTAGATCCTCTGAGACCGAGGGTGGACGCGGAGGGCGGTGACCACAAAGAATCCGGCGGATTTGAAGCTACCCTGATGCCTTGCAGACTGCAGTGGTCCTCCCATCGTCGGACGAAGCGTATCGGACACTCCGAGAGCTTCAGCGATGTCGACCCGCGACCAGCCTTGAACCGACCGAAAGTAGATCGCACGTGCCTTGAGATCTTGGAAGATAGAGCACCCAGGCGGGAAGAGAGACAAAAGGAGTGGAGTGGAGGGTGTAAAAGCGTTGTGCGGAACTTGCTGGAGACGATGAGGTCGATTTGTTTCGATTTTCTCGTGTGTGTTCATACGTGATGCGCGCTCACGTTGCATTGGAGTTGGTCGGGCAATGGCATCTGTCCGTATGTAAGACATAGCCAAGGAAATGATCTCCGCGAAAATCGCAAAGCAGTCCAAGCAGAACAGAGGAATGGGATGAAGCGTATGTAGATGATGGTCGAGGTCAGATGCACGGGCGCCTGGGCAGTCAGACACATACATATGCTGCCATGCACGACCATGTGCGGTATCGCTGTGGAGGTCGCTGTCCCCACCACCGAGCTAACACAGCCGGGCTGAGGTAACTTGACCGACCACATGAGAGTCATGTTCGCTGACCTACGTGTTCCAATAAGTAGTACCTGGACACATGAGCTAGAGTGAGTCTTTTTTTCAAGCATTTATATTCCGCGTACTGCTTAGTGCAGGTGCGGTACATGGTTTTACACAGGTGTTAGGCTGGTTGCCGCATCTAAGGGCTCTTCAAGACGCGTCATCGCGCCGCGCGGTAGGTCTGTCTCGGTTTTGTTGCTCCTATGGTTGTATCTCACTGTGGGGCGTCCGCGAATATAAACGCGCTCTGAGCTAGAGCGAGTCAAATTCGCATGGTTTATGCTCACTGGAAACCCCTCTTAGCTCTGAGATCCGTTCAAAAGATGCCACCCCTCAGACTGGATATATGGATACATGTTTTATGTCCTCATCCGACCCGTTGAAGGTTCCAAACTGGACGATAACAATCTACAAATACCTTCAACAATGTTTGTACACAGAGTGGGAAGAGTCGGGGGTGTGGGCGAGAGATTACGTGTTCACTCTCTGGAGGTTCGGCGTCATGACGCGAAATGTGCTCATGGAGAGTCTCTTGCATGCGCGACTTTGGTAAGAGGCCACGCGCGCATCGTATCTGTTACGTCCGTTTCCTTCTCGTCGATGCTCCGATGGTATTGACGCACTTGGCTCCCCAAGTAAGGGCCACCTTCATGTCGACGAGCTTATGCTGCACGCATGTGTTTGTCGAGTTGGGTACGCACTAGCCTCTGTAGCAGCTAATCTCGCATCGCTCATTCTCACTGCTACTTTTTGTACAGATCTTTGTGCTCCGTGGCATGGATCGCTCATGACAAACTCCCGACTCGCCGTGGGCCATCTCATATACAATCGTTTCTACTCGCGAGAACGCTGTGGTGGGTGCTCTCGCCATTTCAAGTCCCACACTGCTCATCGCAGGGATCCGTATGTATGATTACTACAATCACCCAGTCTTGGGGTCTGGGCAGAGGCGACGTACGTGTTTATGGTGTTATTTCACGCGCAGACGACAAGGAGCCGCGACTTGCACCATCACGTACTTGCTTTTGCCGCGCAGCGCGGAATCCCAAGCGCAGACCTCGAACCGATCCATCGTGCCCATGTGTTGAAGAACACGCAGGGCGACGCGGCATAAGTACTCGCCGCCCCCGCACGTTTCCAGTGTCACCTGCCCCACCTCGCAGCTGGGTAGCTCGTTCCATCATGCGGCCGAGCACGCGGCCGAACCCCGCCACGTCTCCACAGACCCGCTCGCATCGTGGTCCGGTGCAAGTTCGCCGCCGGAGGACGGCGTGTCTCTGTCGGCGTGGGCGGGGTCGTCGCGACGTGGGTGTCGCAGCCCGCCAGCTCATAAACGGCTCGCAGATTCGCATCCGGTCTCCGGGGGGGCTCAGTTATCCGTTCGGCTGCGACCGTTCGGCACGGGCTCGCTCGTCGCGCGCGTGCCCGCCGTCGACCGGCGACGTCCCGAGACCGCCGTAGGACATTGTAGCGAAGCCCCGTTTGTCGAATTTCCAACATTCATACGGGGGGACACAGCTAGCGCACGGTGAGCGAGAAATTTTTATTGCTGTATGTAGACGTTGAA